TTCTATTAAAAGTTTAAAAAATATTTTTAAAATGATAGAAATAATAAATGTAAATATAATCAATATTTTTTTAAACTCAAACTTTTGCTTTCAAAAATCAATTTTTCGTTATGAGTAATTATTGGTGACCCAGTTATTGACGGAAAAGAAGCTACTTACGATTTCAAACGGATATGATTTTTAGTGTAGAGTAATGGCTTATTTTTGTTTACTACTTACTAAAGTAGTACATATCAACAGAATAGACTTGGTATGAATAAAACAACTTTAGGACAAACTTTTGCATTTTTTAATTATCCAGAAATTGGAAATTGGAGCAATGAAAGGTCATATAGAAATTAAAAATCACAACTCATTTAAGCAGTTAAACATTCAAAATATTTCGGTGATTTTTCAAATAAATTAGTCAGTATTTTAAATAATTCATTATAAAGTTGAATACGAAAAAAAAAAAAAAAATTAGGGTACAAATTTACCTTAAAATTATAGCAAGTTGAAAAATAATCGTATGTGAAATTGACAATAATTCAATTGAGGTAAAAATGTGGTAATGATAAGTCATAATTGTAATAATAATGGCTTATCTACTTGGAGTAATTTTTTTTTTTTTATTCATTTACAATTGGTGCTTCAGTCTGTTTGTTCGGGGAATAGTTTAAATAGTTATTTAAATTTTTTCATGTTAATCAGTTGTAGGGACGATAAATAGGAAAATTGACACGAGTTTGGGATAATTTAAACGATCCAGTGTGTAATTAGAAAGTTTGATCCTTGGTCTCAGCAGTGGATTTTTTTTGTACAAATCATGAAATTATCTAAATCTGAATTAGTTATCTTTACTTACTCTAATTAAAGTCATTTTTACCTCAACTGAAATATTTTTTACCACACCTACGATTATTTTTCAATCTTCTTGTAGTTTATGGGTAAAATTTAATTCAAATATATTTTGATTTATAAAAAAGTAAAATTGGATTAAAAATAGAGCCGATAAGTGAAGAATAAGAAAATAGATGACGAGCTGATCATCTAGGCAAGGGCTAAAAATTTGCTTCTGTCTGTCTTTTTTTACCATTTGTATTTTGAAGCACGATTTATTTATCACTTTGAGCTACCACTAGATGGACATTCAAAGGGGTCAGCGTACTAGCCCGAACGGTGCGATTAACCCTGGAGAAGCCACATAAAATCTCCCTCTCTTATATTTAACACTCACTTCAAGGACTTCACTTCCGGTATTAAAAACATCCGGACAATATTTTCTCCAGAGTCGATCGTTGTACGGGATTTCGTCGAAATGAACAAAAAGTAAACGCGATATAACAGACAGACAGTGAAGACAAAGAAAAATGTCGATGTATTTCATACGATCTCTTGCGTTCTTAGTTTTCCTTTTTCGCGCCTCTTCGAGGCAGTCGACTGAAAATTCGTACGGGTCGTTCGCTCTGTATAAGCACTGGCGCTGGTTTCAAACAGGAGAGGGAAAGAGACACCGTGTACCTTTGGCTCACTACCTTTATCAAGAGCAACTTGATTTTGTATCGTCACTCATGTTCTCTTTCCCTTTATCTCTTGCTTTCATATACACGCTTTTTCTCTCTTTCTTTCTCTTTCTCTCCCTCTTCCCCTTTTACTCTCTCTCTCTCCCTCTCTCTCTTTAACTGTTACCTCTCGTGGAAACTCGCCACGTCGACCCACATTCGATTCGCCATCGGCTCTCGAAAATCAATAGCGAACTAAGAATAAATTCCGTGTCGTCGTGTAAAGCAGCTCCTTTATACTTACACCAAGAAAATCACATCTCCATTTTGAAAAAAATCTTCCATTTATTCTAACATTTTTCTTAAATAATATTAAGCATTGGTGCAAAGTAATTAAGGTGACAAAATAGTTATTTGATCAGCAAAAAATTATCTTTGAATGAAAAATATTGTATTAAATATTTTAATAATATATATTTAATTATTCAAATAACTTAATATAAAAATTTGTTTATTTATTAAGAACTAAAAAAAGCAAGCAGTGAAATTTCAATTATTTATTTAAAATTTTTTATCCAAAATAGTATAAATGATTGATTGATAGAATAATTGATAGTTTTTAGTAAATACTTGTTTTAAATTAATTCCAAAAGACAATGAAGAATTATTTTTAACCATTACTACACTGATAGAATTGTTGATAACAGTTAACAAACGATAATCTATTTGAAGCAAACTTCTTTGTATAAAATTAAAATTTTAGACCAAAATATTTCAATTTAACTCAAAATAATATAAAATAATAATAATTTATGTTTTGACTAATTCATACAATGATACTAAAGCAAATCACATCATACATTAATTAATAAAACTTAAACATAATTTCAAACTTTAAATTTATAAATACATTAGATAAATAAAGTTAAATAAAAAAATAGACAAGTAATTAACTTAGTTGTCATAAAATACACATGACATTATTGTACAGAAATGAGCATCAATGAATGTTAATTAAAAAAAGTTTTGTTAACTATCAATCAATAAACATTTGTATTAATAAAAAGTATTAAACATTCGAATTTTTAAAAACGATATATCGATTACTCGAAAATAGATCCCTTTATCAGTGTAAGACTGCGTTGAAAAGTGATATACATGTCTGACCATTTTAAAACTATACTACTAGAAAGTAGTCTAAAAGTATCCACCAAAAATTGTTTTATTATTCCATGATTTACTCATTGAATTTTATCAGTCAATTATTGAAGCTAATTGATTGAAGTTTTTATATAAAAGAGAAAAAAAGAAAATGCTGATCAAGTAATTAATAGAAATTAATATGCATAAAATAAGACTCAAACAATCGTGTATTCAAGATCGATCTCATCCTTGTATGTCGATCGCCATCCAAAATTCAAATAAACCAATAGAATTTTATTTTTAAACTATTTTATTTGTGATGCTGTTATTAAATTGTTAAAAAAAAAAAGAATGAATAAAATCTGAAATACATCGACGAGCAAACCATCAACAGTGCCGTTGTCTGGATGAATCATGAAAAAAAGAACTAAATTTATTTCCTAAAAATGAAAATTGGCATCAATCGGTTGAGAGATTGGAAGCACAAAGAGGGGGGGGGAAGGGGAAAAAGCATAATATGACGTTTTTTTCTCAATAAAACGCCACCGGGCTAAACAGTAGATGCATGATCACAAACCCATAACTGATGCATCTAAAAATTAAAAATGAAATGGTCCTGTAATACGTGAAGATGTTACAGGATTTGTTATTTAAAGCCATTTAATGAAATGCGCTCATTAATTATAATCGTGAGCATCTTGCTAAAAATAAAACATTATTCCTAGCAAACATCTTTACCCGCCTATTTTTATTATTAATTAATATTAATATTATATAATAGTCATTAAAATAAGTTTACAAACATGGCCATAATGCAGGTAGAGTTGTCCCGTTAGACCAACCTTACCTCTTAGATTGAACCTGTATTAATATAAGCATGATAACACTTACAATATCTATTTATCACAAAAAATAATATTACATTATTTATATACACTCATTCACACACATACATACATACACACCCACACGCACAAATTTTCTATACTTGTAGCGATAATAATTATTCGTAAGTTTAATGAGATATTTTATAAGTTGATTAACTAGAGTCTATTTATAAATAAATTAAAAGTGAAAATTTGATAATAATCAGTTTCACAAGTAACTTGCAGAAAATCCCGAAATGTAGAGTTGGAGATATATTTTCTCGCTTTGTGTTATTTTACCATTTTGTCATTAAACTCACGTATTTGAGAAAATTACACTAGTATTTTTCTGGAAAAAAGAAAAGTCATATATAAAGCCGTATGATCATAATATTGAAAAATGTGACGCTCTTCTCATACATACTTGTTTCAACAACAAACCGAGCGTGCAATTGTTTTCAACTTATTCTAAACAGTACAGCGATACTACGACCTCGACATCCTTTCTCTATACTCTTGTACTTAATTTGAAATTTTCCAGAAAATATCATTTTGATGAATGCTCGATTTTTGGTTTATTTCGTGACATTTCCCCTACCAGTAATATCATTTTTCTTATATTTATTCGAAACGAGAAAAAGATTTCTTTTTAAATAATAATTGAATATTAAGTTAATAATTTACATAGATGAATAAAATGTTAAAGATAAAAGTTTAATTAACGTTAAAATGTGATTAAAATATCTCGAGAGTCAACAGATTTTCAATAAAAAAAATTCGACAGAATATTAGGGAATCTCAAGTTTAAATGAATAAATCCATTTGATCTTTGTGGTGGTTATCTTTGTCATGGCTGCCAATTCTTCCCGAGTGAATCTGTTTTCATATAAGCCTTGAATGACTTACGTTACCATTTACATTTTTCTATTTTCTTTTGAAAAATTTATCCCATTCTAAAAACTCGACTGAGCCGAAATCCATTACTTAAAAAACCTTTATAGTCACTATAATCGTCGTACTATACGAATCAACGTGACAGTCAATTTACGAGAAGTAGATTCAGTTAAACATCAAACGAGACGTATTAATGGGATTTTCTGGATGAAAATTTCAATAGAAATTGGAAATATAAATTGCCAATTAAATTCATTCGATACGTTAATTGATGACGAAAAGCATTTCAAAATAGCACAGATAAAAACACAACACACATACATTTATCAGACCACAACAATAAGACAACGACAACACCATACAAACAACAAACTCCCTGCAAATACAATCAAAGAAATACAGCTAAACTCTGAAACAAGTCCTTAGTAAATTGTTAATGACTGTAGTTTCGAGTTGGCAATTCATTTATGCAACCCCATTTTTTATACTGACTGTAAATGTTATGTTCTTAATGTGTATTTGTATTTATATGCCAAACTGCCCGATTAAATTCATTTTAATACATCTCGCAATATTCATTTATCAAAATTACTTACATTCTTTTTTCTGTTTTCAGCTGCGCAGATTCCACAACGAGGAAGTAAGTATTATTAATATTATCATACAAATTTACTATTTTTATGTCAATTTAATTAGTATTATTCTAAATAAATAAATAAATATATACATATCTAAACATTAAACACATTTATTTATGTTTACTGCAACACAGTAGAGTACTTTGTTTTTTATACAATTAAATTGGCATAAAAAGATTCAAAGTGTATAATATAATATAATATAATATAATATAATATATTTGTTTACAAATTAGAAATTATTTTAACGAATATTTTTAAAGTAAAAATGAATCAAAAAAAAAATTTATACTCTTATGATCGCTTTTGATGTTTAATTTATTTGAAAGTATGTAATTAATTTATCTTTATTAACTTATTTATTGATAATTTTTTTAGCATGCAAGAGGAAAGACGAGATGTCGAGTCAGGCAGAACACCAACAGCCCGCTCCCAAGAAACCACGGTTGGTTTTCACCGACCTTCAGCGCCGTACTCTACAGGCTATTTTTAAAGTAAATAATCATTCTTTAACGATTAATTTTTTTGTTTTTCGTCATACGTAGAGATAAAAGTAATGAATGGTAGCTTTCATAATACCAATTACAGTTACATTGACAGCTCAAACAAATCGAAACTGTCAATAGAAAACATTTGTACTTGCGCAAATCTCCAAATTCGTATTCACCTGTTGCACGCACTCCTAAACAATACTCAAGTAGATTATCCATGTGGATGTGATGAAATCAATTACATAAATTTCTTTTATTGACATTTTTAAAATAAATTCAAAAATGTCGAGAAGTTGGTTTTGTTTATAAACTCATTCAAGTCGACTCAGTTTATTCTTCAAAATGTCCATTAAATATATTTTAGGAATAATTCCATCTTTTTTTATTACTTTAAGAATAAATAACTTTATAATATTGCTATAAAAAAAATGATTAAATTGATTGAAAGAATAGTTTTTTAGTTGTAAATTTTTTTCAAGTCGAATATCAAAGAATAGATGAAAATGTTGAATAATAAAACAGTACGAAGATGGACATAATATGGATTCACACCCATCACAATTTTGAATATATACATCGGTGATTGTGGTTTGATATTTTAAATAGAAAATATAAATATTAAAACCGTATAGTGTTCAGTTTACTCTTATTTTTTGCCGTATTGTAATTCCAACATTATTTTTAGTTACATAAAGAGAGAAAATATTTTTTATCCTGAATGTTTTTTTTACTTAAAAAATTGATGGGAAAAAAATAATAGAACAAAGCTCTCGATAGGTGAATTGAGTACGTCGAGCACAAGTCCAAGTATCGATCGGTCGTTGAATAATTTCGCGAGTAGCTTTTACCTACACCCAACATTTCAGCTGGCAATTGTACGTCTGCATTGTTCCGAATGTCCTCCCTCTTCAGCTATAACGACAGCATCTACATGTGTATTTATATTTTCAGGAGACCAAGAGGCCGTCGAAGGAAATGCAAGTGACAATCGCTCGGCAGTTAGGTTTAGAACCTACGACAGTTGGTAATTTCTTTATGAACGCAAGACGTCGATCCATGGATAAATGGAAAGACGAAGATCCGAAAAACCCGAGTGTAGATGAGGGTCAGTTATCACCGAACCTCGGATTAGGTTCACGTCAAGGGACTGATGTTTTGTGACACACGTCCGACCACGAGGAATATGACGACGAGTCACCTGAAGAGAATCTTCCATTCTCTTAAATTATTTCGTTGAATCCAATACTGAACCGGCATATGTTCATGCTAGTTGATGAAAAACACGCAATCTATTATTGATTGGTTGAAGCTTCTTATTTATTTCTAATCATTTGGATGAAAATATTTATATCATTTTTTATCTATTCTTCTAACTATTTTATATTTATATATAACACATTTTAATATCTCATACGTACTATTTTTTTTTTTTAAATATCACACAGTTTGAAATAAATTACTTTAGTGTATTCAATGTCATTAACAATATATTCTTTATAATTTGTTCATGGCATTGGTAATTTTTCCACCATCACTTGGTTTTTCTTAACTATAAAAATCAACTTTACCTTTTTTATTAAATTATTTATTTAATACTCATTAAAACTGTATATATAATTATTTATTATTACTATTATTGTCCGTATGTACTTAAGTTATGCTTCAAATCAACTGAATGTGATATATACAATGAAAAAATTCAATTCAATGATGATTAATTTTATTATAATTAAAAAAAAAAAATTAATTATTATAAATAGTTGAAAACTGTATTATTTTATTATGTTTTACAGTCAAATTTGTAAAGTATTATTTTTATTGTGAAGAAAAATAATAATTTTCAACCAAACAAGAATATTCTTCATAAATATTGAAACGAGAATATTCCCTCGAACAAGTATATACTTATATTATAAGTCTACGTCAACTGGCTGACATAACCGGTATTGCTACTACTTACTACGTGTTTTGTTACGTTAATGTTTTAGATTTGTTTTATTAATATTTTTTTTTTTAATTTCCATTATAAATATAAGTTGCCATATTAATCTAATATATAAATTATGTTATTTTAATTGTATTTATTTATTATTATTATAAATAATTACATTTGTAACTTGTCAGTAGTTTTAAATTGTAGTTCAGTCTAGTCTAAGACACGTGTCTCTAGTCGCTACATTTAATATTATTTAATCGATAAAATTGTTGCAATTTTCCAATCCACCAGAAAATTCTATAAATAAAAAAAAAAAAACAACTCTATGAATAAAAATAAAGTTTTATTAATGTGGATTGGAAAATAAGTTGTTGTTTTTAATAACTTGTGTTATAACTTAATAATTATTTTCTTTTTTTTTTTTGTCTTATATTAGAAATAATTGATAGAATTTTTTAAATATTTGTGTTATTGTAATTTACTTCAGTAGTAAGTAGTAAAAAAAAAAAAATAATATTCAACGATATAAACTCGTCAATTCCTCGTTGGTCGTGAATTAGTGAAATGACAAATAAACCACGAATTACATGTGCGTGAATGATTGAAGTGATAGAATTTATCAAGGTGAACATGATACATGAGGTTCAAAAGAAAACATTGAATAGGCAAGTTAATAAGAAAAACAAAAAAAGATACGTACTTAAAACATCAATTTATATCACAAGTGCGACGATAAATGTATGGAACTATCCTTGCAACAAATTATTTACTATTGTACATAAACAAAAAACAAGAAACTTTTTCGTAAAAATAATATGGTGAAGGTAAAAAATTGAATGACCGTTGTCATTGTTGTTGATTGAGATAAAATAAAAGTGGATAAATTATGATTGAGTAACTATGTGATGTCTCAATAAAAGTGTGAATGTGAGTTCAAACAGTAAGATTTAAAGTTGAAGGATTTTAAAATATTTTGCACTGATAATCGCCGGCTTATAAAATTATTTGACCCAATAATTTGTTTAAAGAGGTAAAAGAAATTAGTAAATAAGTGCGTTTAGTTTAAATTATTTAAACTTTTATATTTTAATCAGGTTAGATTCACAGCGTGAAGAAAATGATATTTTTCGTTCTAGTGTGATAAAATCATTTTTTTCATTCACATTTTAACAATTCGTTATTTATTTACAAAATGAAACGAATAATAGAAAGCAAAGATACATTATCAGTGTAAAATCATGAAAAATTTGGGTAAATCTTTTTATTAAAAGGCAATCTTGTATGGTTCTTTGTCGTGTAGCTGATAATTACGACAATGAATGAAATCATTCAAGATAGTCTTTAAAAGCAAAAATAATGTAGTAATGTAAATATATTTTTACAAAATTTAATTAAATTGAATGAATTTGGAGAAACTCAGCCGGTGATTATTCTGGAACTTGTAAAAAAATTTTCTTAAAATAATTAAGAGAAAAAAAAAAACTAAATGAATGTCAGGATTTTACAAAATCGTACCAAATTTCGACTTCGGTCCGATTAAGATCTTAAATAGTACAAAATAAACATATATTAATATAATATTGGAATAAAAATAAATATTAAACAACCGATAGCTTAGCCTATCAGTTGGTAAACGTGATGCAAATAAGAAACGGAAACAAAATAAAAACAATTAATAACTAATAGAATCTCGGGTTTTGTGGATTGTGCGTTCAATTCATTTTAGAATAAATAATAAGAAATGTTAAATTTTAATCGTGATATTTGATTATCAATTAAAGACATTTCTACGATTAAAAAAAAAAAGTTTCTTCAGTACACATTAAATCAAGTAGAGTCATCGATAGTAATTTTTATTGACTAACAAATGTATTAATTCGAATTTATTGACATGTGTTACTTGTTTAGAGAAAAAGGAATTGAGCAATAAATATTTTCGGTGACTCAACTTTATCAGTGTTCACTAAAACGAGAAAACTACAATTATTAAATAATAATTAATAATAATAGTGAAAATATCTAAGGTTATGTCAGTGAAAAAAAAACAAATTGGTAATGTGGGTTTGTAAACCGCTGCCTTGCGTCGATCTATCGTGATTTAATTTCACGTAAACAGAGTTCGATCGAACAAATGTTTTGTTAAATTAAAAAATAATAATTAAAAAAAAATAAATAAACCAACAAGGGTAAAGTGAGAAGAAAAATAATAATCACATTATCCTTGTAATTGTATTATAATACTGTAAATACAATTAGTTGCAAGAGAAGTTTATTATTACGAATATTATGAATATTGTCAAGTAATGATTATGATTATTATTATGATTTATTAATAATTATTAAGTTATTAAGTGATTGATGAAATATTTTCTGTTAAGAGAAATTCAACAGGTATAAAACGTAGGTAGTCAACACAGTAGAGATCATAAGGTTATGTTGTATATGATGAATCGATTGGACACACTTAGATAAAACACAAATGGTAATAAAACTAAAGAAACTCATAGTTATAATATATTGATAATAATGATGATGTTGATAACGATAATGATGATACTTGAATACAAATAAATAATATATTATATTCTGTGGGTACATAAGTATTAAAAACAAAAGGGATTAAATAAAAGATTCAATATTATTAAATCTTTTTTAAATTATTTTATTAATAAATAGTTTTATTTACAATAAAAAAAAAAAAAGAAAGGGGACAGTCTAATAAAAATTACATCACTTCTTTATAAAAGAAATTAGAAAGGATAATGTTCTTGTTTAGAAAATTGTGTTTTAAAAATTCTTCTTTATGTTACTTGATTTCGTAGATTTTTTTAATGTATTCTGTTTCATGTATTCAATTTGTAAATGACAAAAGTGACAAACATTTTTTATAAAAACTAAACAAAATGATAATTAATAAATAACGATGATTATAAAAGAGGAAAAAAAAAGAAAATAGGAAAAGATTTTGGTAACAAATTATCTTAGATATAATTTTAGTCGAAAAAAAAGACAAATCTATTTCTGATTCGTGTGTGTATACGTGTGTTTTTATATTCAATAGAAAATAAACTAATACAAAAAAACTTGACAAAATCTTTGATAAAAAAAAATAAAATGCATGAACTACAATTAATACAAATTTTAATAATTTCAAATATTTCTGTCAAAAAAGGTCTTTCGGTTTGTCTTTAAAATACATTTACAGTTTAATTAGAATATCTATTTATTAATCAACAGAAACTTTATCACAGTATTTATTTTTGTTTTTATCAAGACTCAATAGTTATAATGATTATTTTCTTTCAATTATTAATGAATACAAACTCGTCTACTGTTAAATTATAGAAGTTTTATTGAAATATTAAAATTATGATTGATGTTTTAAGTTCATGGATTCTATAATAAAATTTAAAATAATTCGTTAAATTTAATTTGAATTTTGAAGATGTTTGAAATTTTAACAAAAAATAATTTCTATACATGAGATGTTATTTTTCTGCATCATATATTAAATTATCAATCAGACATTTTGTATATAGACATCACTATCCGAAAAATAACGACAGACAAGTTTGACATGCAAATTTGATTTAAATAATTTTTTAAATATTCATTGATTAATTTATTTTCAAATAACAAATGATTTCTTAACTATTTCTTGAAAAATTAATCATCTTTGTTTAACGCACAGTCATGGATTTTGATAGTATATTTTATTGTACAATTTATTGTTAATTATTATATTGGAAATTTTATGACCTTTGAGCTCACCAGTCATTGAAAGAAAAATTTTAATTATTTTGATAACACATGAACTTGTAAAAAAAAAAATTTTCAGTTCTATAACAAATTTGGCAATAAATTTTGACAACTTGATAGAAATAAAAGTTATTAGCAAAAAAAAAAAGCCAGTATGTTTATATTATTGATAGATAAAACACATATCCAAGTGCTTTAGCAACTGATAACACGATGATTTAATTAATAATTAAACTAAAATTATTTAAAGTTGAATAATATAAGAAATTGATTTCATTCGTCACAATGTAGTTAAAAGTATCATCAAAGTACTTGAAACAAGTAATTTTGGTAATTCTGGAATATGTAATTAAAACAAATTATGTATTTGTCTCCTTTCCAATGTCACTACGTAAACCGAAGTTTAAAATAAACAGTTCGCACGACAATAAGGTATCGAATAGTTAAAAAATGAGATAAAATAATGTAAAATAAAATAATGCAAACCGAGTATACATTATTATATTTATTATATGATACAAACCATACGGACGAAAAGGGTGAAATGTAAGCAGCGTATGTGAATTTGTTTTAGTATCTTTTAATGCGAAAAATAAATTATCTATTATTAACAAGAAAATAAAATTAATGAAAAAAAAAAAAACATTAACATCACATGTTACATATGAAATTTTTTATTCAGCAAAGAAATGTATGTATAAAAAAGTGTTTTTATTTAGAAAATTTATAGAAATCATGAATTTTTAAATTTATTACAGGTCAAATTTTCAATGAGTTTTAAACTATCAACATCTTAATGAATATTTATTACTGTGAAAGTCCAAAAAATTATAAAATCACTGGAGAGTAAAGAATAAAAAATTATTTTCTAAATCAAAACACTCTTTTATTGGAGTACGATCAATAAAATAGTTAAAAACTATACCAAAGGTTAAAAATAAAATGATAAAGACATAAATAAATTATTCATAATTTATTATAATTTTAAGTTGCGTGAACTATTGAAGAGTGAATATGAACCTGAATATTTATAAAAAAAATAAATAAGATATTCTAATATTTCTGTATGTAGAAAACAAAATTTCATCAATGCTGATATTAAGTCGGAATATATCAATGATAAATTAGTCATTTGGATAAATATTTTTCGTTAAAAAAATTTATTTATTGTAAAAAAAATGAAGACACTTTTTAGATTAAGAAAGGAAAATTATTTGTTCAAAATTTTGGAATAATGTGGATATTTCTGACTGAATTTTAGCATTAAAAAAAAAATAAAGAATGATGTGTACCTATATAATAGACACACTTCGACGATCACAACATGAAAATTGTAAACTATTGTAAACTACAATGTTACTTATGTTTTACGAAGAGCTTATTGTAGTCAAGAATTATTAAACACAATTTAAGTCAAGGTATATTTGAGTGTAGCACTAAAATAACAAAAATGAGAACCTCTTTACACTTTTGCACGAGATGTGTGTTGTAATTAAACCAAACAAAAACAATGAAGAATGTAATTAATGCTTTATTATCTAGGAATTAAACTTAATTTATTTATGATTAACTGCATCGATTATGTTCTGCCTTCTCGATTTTATTAACTCGGCATTTCAAGTTTAACTCTATTATCGATACTAGAGTAATTACCAACACTTCAACCAAACTGGTTTTATAGAGGATTTGTTTGAAGAATTCAATATCAACTGAAGTATCTTGAAAAGTCAAGAGAAAAAAATTCGTAATGATAATTAATTTTATTATTTAATTTTTTTTTTCTTTAAAATTTCTTTCTAAATTATTTCAGTTCAGTGGATGAGGAAACAAAGGGTTATAAAATTTTTATTAATAATTTTTAAAAGTGTTTTTATTTTTATCTATTATATAATTTCTTAATTAAACAATTTGAATTACAACAAATTGTTCTATAAAATATAAAGTATAAAAATAGTGATATTTATAACATGACATAATATGATTAATTTCATCCTGAAAATGCTGGAATTCCAGTGATAGCTCGACCAAGAATAAGTCCATGAATGTCATCAGTACCTAAACATACAATAAATTAAACATCAGATTGACCTGAATGACTATACCGTAGACTTCTACTAATTTCTGTAATGATTTCTCAACAAAGAAACTACTTTCATTTATTTAGAAATTTTGTACTTATATAATAAATAAACAAATTTATTCACAAATCACCTTCGTAAGTAATAACGGCTTCTAAATTAACCATGTGTCTAATGACATGATACTCATCAGATATTCCATTGCCTCCCAACATGTCTCTAGCAACCCGTGCTATATTGATAGCCTTAGCAGCAGAATTGCGTTTAATAAGAGAAATCATTTCTGGAGTGGCTCTTGATTCACGAAAATAAATAAAACAAATTAGTTTTAAAATGAATAAAAATTAAAAAAAAAAAAATGGTTATCGTCTTTATTTTTTTTTAAACTTTTTAAAAACTTACTCATTAGTATCTTTCAATCTTCCAACACGCAAACAAGCTTGTAATCCAATAGCTATTTCCATCATCATATCAGCAAGTTTTTTTTGAATTAATTGGTTTGCTGCTAGAGGCCTGTTAAATTGCTTTCTATCTGCAACATAATTTCTTGCAATGTTCAGACATTGTTCAGCTGCACCTAAAGCTCCCCATGCTATTCCATAACGTGCATGATTCAGGCAAGTAAAAGGACCCTATAATATCATCAAGTTCATTTACGTAATATTATTGATAGAAAAAAATAACTGTTGAAAATAGTTTCTACCAATTAAATCATCAATATTATTGATAAAGTAGATCAATATCAATAAAGTATTTTTGTAGATAATAATACATGAAAAATGTTTCTATCATTCAAATACATTAGCAGAATACATTTACAATTTTCTCTACCTTCAAACCTGTCACATTTGGAAGCATATTAGATTCAGGTACTACCACATCATCCATTAATATCATTCCGGTACAAGATGCTCTTAAAGAAACTTTTCCTTCAATTTTAGGTGTACTTAGTTGACTTTCATTTCCTTGTCGTTCAACGATGAACCCACGAATCTGATTATCATCACAACGTGCCCATATTATTAAAATATCAGCGACTGGAGAATTAGTAATCCTAAAAATTAATTGCTATTGCAAAATGTATCATAGCGCGGCCTTGAAAATTTAACCCCCAACGTAATTGAGAAGCTTCATTTTAATAACTCAAAATACCATGTTTTACTGCCTCGTAGTTTATAAATTTTCTTGTTAGAATCATATAATGCTCGAGTCGTTAATGATCCAGGATCACTTCCGTGATTAGGTTCTGTCAGTCCAAAGCATCCAATTTTATTACCTGACACTGGAAAATTAAAATAATCATTTTAGCACTAAAAACAATCTTGAAACAAATTTCATCAGTTAATTCAGATGACTCATTTAAAATTTACCTAGTTCAGGTAGATATCGTTCTTTTTGTTCTTTACTTCCAAAACAATCAATAGCAACAGCTGTAAGATTTTGAACTGAATATGCAGATCGATATCCACTATCAACTGATTCTACTTCTTTCGTCAAAAGTCCATTCGCTATTGATGATAATCCTGAAGCACCATAGCCTTTCAAAGTGCAACAAAGTGCTCCCATTTCTCCAAACTCTTTCATGATTTTCGTATCAAAAAGTTCATTTCTAAATGCCTCGAGTATTCTTGGTTGGAGTTTTTGCTGACAGTATGCATGGAATTGATCTCTGACCATTTTCTCATCTTGAGTGTATTGAGATTCAATGTTAAAAGGGTCTTGCCAATTGAAAGCTAAAAATTCATAAGATGTCTTAAAAGTTCGATGTCAACAATCAAAAACTGAATAAGTTGAAACATTTTTTTTTCAAAAGAAATTCTAATTAGAAACATTGATTGTGAGCTCTATCATCGTGGTGGCTCAATATTTAGCTACTGATTCAACTAACTCAAGAACTAACGGTAAGTTGAACATCATCATTACTGACTGATGTTCAAACTTTATCATAAAAAAATAACACCTCATTCGATTAGTTTATTGACTCAACAAAACTTACTTTCTCTATGCCAAGATTGTGATGTAGAAAACACTAGTTAGTCAAATAAATACCAATGAATCAAAGAAAAAAAATGAGTAAGTTTAAAAAATGTCTTAAAAATTATTCCAGTATAGGTTTAATATTTATAATAAATTTTAATTTACTTATTAAATATACAAATATTTTACACAGAAGGATACATCTTACAGCATCTGACTGATATTTTATAACTTTAGATACATTTACTCGTATGCACAGTGCCATATTTAAATATAATATTCAATTGGCTGTTATCACACTCACAGTTCATGAATAACTACATCAACCAAATCATTAAATATTTACTTTTTGATACTTCTTATCATGTGACTGATGATCTTTGGTACTTGATACATACATAAAACAACCAGACCTCTAATCAATTAAAACTGGAGGTACGAATTCTCCAAATTACCCATGAAAGAATACATCTGAAAGAGTGGAGAGAAAACTTATGGTCCCCACTCTCACTTGCATGAGACAAAGAAAGATAGATACTTGACTTTATTTTTGATATTTGCACATTAGAGATCAGTATGGCAAAGATTATACTGAAGAAACCTAACACAATAAACAAGTTCACCATTGATAATGTTGATAAAATAAAATAGCATTGTAGCATTTATCAAAAACAAAATAAATCATGGAATATAAGTGTTTCTATTGGCTAGACATCACGTGGGCCAGTTACCGCTCATTTTAGAATTTTAGTTATGACATTTTGATTTAATTTAATCCTAGATTGGTCATCTTGTAAAAAAAACACAGGCTGATGTGTTTTTGTTTATCACGGTAGCTTTTCTTTTACTACGTTGTCATAATTTCTTGGAGCTCCTGACTCTTCATTCTTTGATGATCATTGATCTTCCTGACTGATGATTGTAGATGACCACTCTAAGAATAATTATTCAAACAATTAAAGCATCTTCTTTATGATACTGTCCATCTGGTATTTTTTGATTGAAAATCCGAACATTATTAAACATATAGCCAAGAGATTCTGTGCATGGTCTAACTAGAGCATGAGTACATGCTGTAAAAAATGATCTCGTTGCTGCACATGATATTTTCCAAATTCTCAAGCATGGTGCTATACACCAGATATGCTGGAAAAATAAATATAAAAAGTTAATAAAAAGTCTTGCACGAGTATTAAATTGTAGAGTTTACTTACTTGAAATGATACACAGGCAAAAGTAAATCCTAAAATGAGTGCAGTAATAGGAGCGACTAAAATTGAAAGAAATATATAACAACAACTTCTCGAGAGTCTGAAACAGTGGCCGCTTAATCTCCAAGCACACTCTGGACTCCTGATTCCATCTGGCTCTCCTATTACATCGTCCCACATTACCTAATTCATAATTGTAACCAAATATTAGTACAGCGTGATGATGATTAATTATACCATCTACATTCAACCATAATAATCAATTGTTTGTTGTTTATATTAATAAATATGAATAATTATTATTCAAAACATTTTCTACAATCAAACATTATACATAAAAGTAATATGGTAATGTTCTATTCCTTGATTGTGAACAGAAACACGCCAACCTTTAGATAATATAAAACGAAAAAGGGTATATTTTAAAATGATTACAATAATTTAGACAAGTGGTCGATAATAGAGAGGTCAACACCAAGAATTAATTCAATTTGATGTAAACAAAAATATATATGTATCTTACCTGTAGATGTGGATTCAAATTATTTGGATCTCGATCTTCAAAATCTGCTTCACTTTCTGGACCCATTGTGCTATTAGGTTTGTCCATAGATGGTGGAACTTGGAAATTTATGATACTTCTAGCTAATTTTCCAAACATTTTATCAATTAATTTATCAATATTATAAATTGAAGCTCAATTAAACAATATCAAATAAAAAATTATGCTGTATAAAAAAAAAAAATGTGTGATTGATAAACGAGTTGACTTAAGGTACTGAAAATATAGAAAGCAAGAAAGTCTAACTAAAATGCTTTCATTGATTGATAACATTAAATAGTAAAGTGAAAATCACCCTTCACCCTGCCACTTTCCGATCGTATGTTCGTATCTGACTTTATCTAAACTTTGCTATATTCATTATTCCTTTTTACAATCAAGGCTACTGTGCTTTACACACCTCATTATTTTAGTAACAAATCAAAGTTATAACTTCTTCAAGTGTAAAAATAAAAATAATTGTCTTTAGGTGATTGGTCTTTTTAAATAAAATTTCATAAAATGTGCTTTCAATAATATAATAATTATCATAATTAATTAGTACACTTACTTGAAATATTCCCATTTGTTGATACTTTGTGATGGAATAAAAAATTATTTCATTGAGCCTACAATAGATAGAAATAAGAATAATATTAATGGAGGAATACTCTCTTTTGTATTCTAATGGGGAAAAAAGTTTATGTATCACTGTGTACACCTGGGGTTGGGAAGTTTGTACAAAGTGGACAACGGTCAAAACGCATGCGCCTTAGGTCATGATACATGAGTTTTCACCTGAGAATAATTTCACCCCTTTGTTTAATAGGTACAATCACTCTAATAAATATGCGTAGCTATTCTGAAGCTACTTTTTTATTTTTCTTCAATTATTTATAAATATTTCTTCTGTTGATCATGATTTATTTTAATTAGGGCCTAAAGATAATTTATGTTTCACTTTTGTTGAGAGACTTGTAAAATAGGGATAATAAAGGATATTTGTAAAATAATTGGAAATAATTGTTAATATAAAGAGTAATAAAAATAAAAATCAACATATCATCGATGTAAAACATTTTTATTGCTACAGTACTTTTAATGTTCACGGAAACAGATAAAACGATAAAAACAAAAGTCGATATACTGCTAACATTCCACAGGAATTTTTTTAATATTAATAATTGTAGTTGTGCATTTCTTCGCTTATGTCGATAATAATAATAATAATAATAATAATAATAATTGTGACGATACTTTCTCTAAAGTATTTTTTATCGTATATTTGTAAATGATGAAAAAAATAATTTATATTTATTTGTATTGAAAAAAAAAAATAATAATTAGAAGAAAGTAGAATAAAGTGAGACAAGGGGACAAAATGGGATATCGAAGAATTTTTTGGCATTCAAGCAAAATATATGGACAAGTTGAAGTCAATTTTCAAGTAAATAAAATTAATTTTATTTTTATTACAAACTAACATAATAATGTTTCAATGATGATCTTTGAAATATTATTTTCATTAAAGAAGTGTATCTTACTTTGCCCCAAAATAAAATTATTTTTTTTTACCCCACTTTGCTTCCTCTGTCCTATTTTAACCCGGTTGTTTACTTGAATACTATTAAAGATGGCATAAAAATTGTTATCTCCGTAAGAATTTGATAATCAGAAAAAAATAGAATTAATCATAAAAATGATAATCTTTTTTTCTTGTTTTTATTTTCATCATGATTAATTGTCATATCGATGACATACATGATCTTCATTCCTGTTAACTGATAGTTTTCTTTTATTTATTTTTCAATTTTTAAATAAAAATTTTATAATATTCGGCATATTTGATATTTTTCATTCAAATTATATTCATGAGTCGAGGGAGTGAAAATTTTTGAAATAAAACAATAATTATTTACTCACATTTGTAATGGTTAATACCCCTTTTATTAACAAAGGGTCTTAAAAAAAAGATCCAGTTGGTTCATTATTTACCAACAGCTGTTAAATATTTTAAATAGAATTCTTTATTACAATGAACACCAATCGCCACAGCTGTATACTGGAATTGACTAAATCTGACAATAATTGCCCATATCCTTTATCGGTAATCGTTCGAATCGTTTAATCCCTATAATTATCATAAATTTTATCAAGTTAATCTCTCTTGTCTAAACTCCGCTATTGCTGCAAAAATATGTTTCAAGAGATAGGATTATAAAACAATTTATTCTCTTTGTTTATATTCGATATTTATTTATAAATAATCATTAGCGTACTAATAATTTATAAAATTAATTAAAACTTTTATATAAGTTTGATTTATAGTAGTAAATATTTTTAAAAATTCCCATTTAATAATCCAAGAAGATCAGTGATTGACATTCCATTGAGATTTTTATTAATTATCTCAATGACTTTTGCTGATATGATAGTGACTATTTCGTCGTGATATTGATCAATAATTTTTGGTATCATGTCTGAAAAAACTTCACTTAATATCCATGATGTTTGATCATCATTCATCAACCCAGTCATTGAAAGCTGCTCAAAATATAAATGAACAATATTTATTTAAATAATGTGAATAAAAAGTAACTTAAAATTATGGATAATAAAAATGACATCTTTTTAGTTTTAATCTCAGTCATAAACTAAAATAAGTCCAATAAAAGATCCCATTTATTTACATATTATGATAATATTACTTACATCTAGCTTTTTCAAACTGATTTTTAAATCCAAAGATTTGACTTGAACTTTTCCAAAAACAGAGACATAAGCTGTTGCAGAGTAATAAAAGTCTGTACATGTCATGCTGAAAAAGCAATTTAAAAAATTTCATAAAATTTTAGTAGACATTTTTTCATACAAATATTTGATCACAATAACGACTCCATTTACTAGATAACTACTTCTAAATAATTTATTATCTAAAATAAAATACTGATGTGACAATAATTACTTGAAATCTCCAGTACCAAAAACTGGTGTATTCTCACCAACAAATCCATCTAGATTATACAGTCCATGTGCTGTAATTATTGGAAAATTCATACTGACATCGATTCGCCTCTTAAAAGTATTAACATTTGATCCTTTAACTACGTAACTTGAAAGTCCTACTGCATGGTATTCATTAGCCTTAGCAGAAACCCTATAATTACAGATTGTTATTGAAATAAAATTATCTAAGTAAAATATTTTTAATGAAAAAATAAAATAATTACATAATTTTATCAATATTAAAATCAAATTGCTGATCATATCCATGAAGTGGATCCATGACAGGTAGATTAAATTTCTCATCTCCTTTAATCATCATTTGTCTCAGTTTGTGCTCCAAAAAATCATTAAGTTTGCTATTTAAATTTCTTTTGACAGGAAATGTTAAAACTAGATAAACATATAGATATTTTATTTCATTTATCAGCTTCACTTAGAATCAATCACAAATATTGTTTTTCTTTTTTTAATCTAAATAAATACTTACTTTTTTCATTATGTAATTCTGACTTTATTACTTGACTACTGATGCTATTGATTAGCAAACTCACAGCAATCAGAAATAAAATTTTAAATTCCCTCATTTTTGTTATCTAAAAATTACAAACAACTCAATTCAAATGAAATTTATTCAACACTTATGGTTTTATGATTTTTAATAAATAAACACAAATTGTGTAGATGTTTCTGATAATACAACTATTTCACTCTACTGCTTTTTAACCACATTTTATTGTATTAAAAATTAACAACAATTGAGTGTAAATGTTACTCATGACATAATCCATCTCAATCATGTGGAATAGTAAAGTGGTTGTTCTACCAAGGCAAGCAGAGAAAATCCGTTAAATTAATTTACATTAGTAATGAATCAACACAATTACCACTAATTAAATGACACTAGAGTGATAGCAGTAGTAATAATGAAAATAAATAAATTAAAACACTTATTTGAACAGCTTCCAGGACTTACCGTGATAGTAATAGATTTTAGCACCAAAAATGTAAATAGAAATCACAAGTTTCACTTACTTGGTATATATAGAGTATGATTATCGTACATTGGCTCATAGATTGGCGATTTAGCTTATCATTTTAACATTCACAATGCTTTGCTAAGGTGTTATCGTCATCTTGAAGTCTCTCATTTTAAATTTCTTGATTGCAGAAGTCAAAAAAAAAACAACCAAAAATTCAGTCATGATAAGTAGAAGTGTGCAATTGAAATTATTGAATTTTTCATATAACACTTTAGATTACTCGTTATTGTTTCATGCTAAAGATATTGAAATATCTTTGTAAAATTGCCCACTTGAAGATGAAATCGAGTGTATTGAATAAATATGTTTTTAATTTTATATCAAATTTAAATTAAAGATTTATCCCTTCATAATAAACACATCTATTCCAAACCGCAAGAGATTAAAATAATTTTTTTTATCATATTATTAGGAAAATTTAGATTTATTTTTCATTTGGAGTTTAATACAAAGAAAAACAATATGCACATGAGCATGCGTACAAACGAATTTTGTCATTCTATGTGAGGTAGACAAGTAGAGTTTTATCTTCCAGTCATTTATGGATAAATATTTTTCTAGTTTGATATTTATTTCTATCGCAAGAATGAAACACATTAATCAATCAAATATAACTATCGTTATTTGTCACTGTATTTCAAATTTCAAACTCTTTTATTTGTCCAATACAATTGTACATGGGAACATGAAAATACTACTAGAGTTACCACTTCAATTTAATTCTTCTTTGTTGAACTTTCAATATTACCATTCATAACTCTTATTAATTCGCTTTTAGATCCCTGAGAAAGATTCAATCTCTTGTCCTTTCTTTTCTTACCTTTTATTATATCAAGTCGCTTCTTTTCTACTTTCATCGCCTTTTATTTTCTTAAATCAAACAAAACAGATTACTTAAAAGCTCGTTAATGGAAAAAAAAATTATTCCGCTTTTTATCTTAGTTTTTAAATTTTTATTTATATTTTGAAATACATCAAAAGTTAATAAACTTTTCTTTTTTTTCTATTAGAATGATTAATGAAATGTATCTCATATAAAAGACTTATTTTTTTCACTACAAATTCTAAAAGCAAGTGAATAAATGAATAATATCACAGTGAAAAGATTGGTGAACTTCACTAGATGAGATTTCATTACAATTGTTCTTATTGAACAGAGAAAAAAATAATTTGAAATACTTCCACAATACTCGTTTCGACTGTAATATTTGTCCAATAAGTCGAGTTTGATATAAAAGTGTAAAATTTTGAATCGGTAATCATTGTATTAATAAGTCTTTTATTTCCCTTTACCGATTTTTTTATTATTTGTGGACGAGTCAAAATCTTGAAATCATCTTTCAAAATGTGATGTTCTCTACCTTTATCCCCAAGAAATTGAATGGTATCCAATAATTTAGATTTAACCGACTTAGTATCTGTAAAATATTTTCTTCAATAAATATAAAATAATATATTAGAAGAATAAAAATTTTATGTCAATTTTAAGAAAAACTCATTAAAATAAAATAGACAAAAAATCAATTTGCCGGATTTAAACTGAAAAGTATTATTTAATTTTATTAAGTCGAGAAAAGACTAATATTTTAATATTATTCGATTGCTTATTGGAGTTATTTTTAATTTTTTATACGATTTATTTCAATAAAGAGTAGTTGAGCAAAAAAATTTACCTGTAAAGTTACCGAGGTAAGCAACTGAAAGACATAGATGATTGAAGTGGTCAATAGCAAATCCTTGTTTGAACCATCCTCTTCCTTCGTAAACAGTGCCATCTCCACCAATCAGAAAATTGTACCCAATATCATCCCATATCAATTTATGTTTAGTCTACTAGAAAAACGCTATTAAAACTCTATTTAAAAAAAATAAAATATATCATTTTATTGATTCTTACATAAATTTTTTGAATTAATGCAACACACTGTGATTTGCGGTAACACGAATCGAATCCGCTTGCTGTTAAATCATCGATCACAACATATTTTACAGGCCGAACAAGTTTATTAGACTGTGAATCATCAAAAGTCGTATCTCCAAGCCATGTATCCCGGTAGATAATCGTTTCTGACTTGGCAGCTATAAACAATAAGTATTTATGTTAATTAATCAATAAAACACACTATGAAATTTAGTATTTTATTTTAAAACATTGAAACAATTGAGACAATATTTAATCAAATTGGTGACGTCATGTTAAAACACTTTTAATGTTTTAAAATGAAACACTAAAATTTACAGTGCAATAATGAACGTAATTAAATGAAATATATATTAAAAAATAAAATAAATAATTTTCAAACCTCCATTCTTTACCAATGCAGTATAACAGAATAATAAAGTAATAAAATAACAAATGTTCAATCGACGAATATCTGAATGTCCGCACATTTTATTCACGATGGTGATAGATATCAAGTATGTGAAGAATATTAAAACGATTAATTCACATTTGATATTACATCGATATAAATGAATATCTACATTTTGTACCACCCCTACTACTATCTTTACTACTATTATTTCTTCCACTACTACTGTGAATAAATGTATTTTTTGTTCAAAGTTAATATTTATCTTTATTTGATATTGTTATATTGTTACAAAGTAGACTTCGAAATTTTTTAATATTCATAACGTGTAGATATTTTCTGACTTATCTGTGAAGTCAACATCGTTAATGACGTTTCATTTCATTAATTATAACAGTTGTTTTTCAAATTATGAGGGGAACTTTTCTGTTGGTATTTGAAAAACGTCTGTTCTCATGTATGTCTATGTCGTTAAATATAAAGATTAATATGAATAAACTATTTTCGAAGGTATTTCATCGACAATTGATTATTTTTTATCATTTCATATCAAAGTCATTTGTAGGGGGAGACCAGACAATACGAGGTGCCCGGGGTAAAACGGGATACTTTAAAAAGTAATAAAATATTTCAAAAAATAAATCGACGTTTGATATTGAAAAAAATTCCTCGTTAATTCTCCATTTTTATTTTTAATAGAATTTTTTAATTAGTTGAAAGCTATTAAAAATATAACAAGCACATGTTTTGTAATGAAAAATTTTACTTTTTAATTGGAAGGATATATATTCAGATTCTCTTCAATATCCTCAGGATTTAAAAATGGCAAAGACTTGTGCAATAACCAAATAATACAATACCTTTGGTAGGTTTTATTGCGTGATAAGGTGAAATTAATTGGCAAAATATTTTTGGATACTTCATTTTAATTAAACAATTGATGATATTCAAATAATTTCCAAAAATTTCGGGAAAGTGTTTGTGTTTACAATATACAAAAATAATATTTGTCTTTCAATATCAAATCATTTAGATTACCGATTAGCTCAAATTTGATTTTGATTTCGTGACCATACATATTCAATAACATTTAAGCTGAAAGCGATTAATCATCGATAATATCGAAAATCACCATTAAAAATGGTTGTTTACATTAAATGTTTTAAAAAAAAGATATCATTAGCATTAAATTTGAAAATTAAGGTATAATCATACCTGCAAAATCGTGTCATGGGGACTAAAAGATATTTTTATTCATAAAATGTACATCTGATAAAATAGACCATGAAGAAACGTGTTTAATAAGATGAGACAATGGTAACGTTAGCGACAAAATATCACACGTTATTTGATATGCTTATCATATCATAGTCACTCATTTAACGCAAATATTTAATTTTAATTAAAAGAGAAAAATGGTTATTCCATTAAAAAAAATTTTTAATATTTCAAGCCACTATCGAAGAATCGACATGAATGCTTTTTTATTGAATTAGGTGTAATACTTAGATAATAATGAGAATTTTCAGAAAAACTTGATCGTAATATTGAAATTATTTGGAGCATAAAATGGGTTTTATAACATGCGTAGCACGTAAATTAAAAAAAAAAAAAAAATAGATAAAATAAAAAGAGGTAAACAAAAAAAAATGTCAATTAATCATGATTGAATTACTGAAAAATTGTGAATCTGTAAATAAAAATAATCAATTATTCGATGAATTGATGAATTTGAAAACAAAATGATTAAATCACAAAATTAATGCTGAACTCTAGACTTTTTAAAACGATTCAGTAAATATTCACTGATTTTCGGTCACCTCCACTTATTCATTTTTAAGCTCAAGATTTTAAACACCTCCTGATGTCTTCAATTTACCCTCCAATAAAAAATAACTATATCTCACTTGGACCACTAGTCTATCTTAAAATAAAATTCCTATGTGGCTGAAATTAAAATTCCATTTCACATAGTTTTTTTAAAATTATTATTTAAAAAAATTAAACTTTCAAAATAGCTAATTAGACTGAAAAGCTCACTCTTTTTTGCACAATAAATTATTGTTTCAATTAAAATTATTTTTTTTTTTAAATATTTTTTAATATTTAATAATTTTTAAAATAATAATTATTATTGATTGTCGTAAAAACTTAATAACTCTAATTTAATTGAAATTAATAATTGCATAAAATTGAATAATAAAAAACAACATTTGCTTTTAAAACTGGACATATTTGAAAAGATTCAATAATGAGCATCAAAATTTATATTTCATGCTTTTATTCAGGCTTTGTTAATTCTCAAGACAAAAGAAGAAGCTCATAATTGAATTGTTAATATTGTATTCCATATATTTAACTGCGGAAAATAATTTGGTTAAATTGAATTTAGTTGTCGAAAGTAATCAATAAATTTATTATATTATTATCGAGAATATAATAAATATTATATTGCAAAGTCGTGTAGTAAAATAAATTATATCTGAACCCATTGTTACTTGTTACCCTTCAATGTATACATGAATTTTCTTTATAAAATAGAAATACATTTTCTAGGGAAAATCTAACCATATCACTGAGGATCATAAATCATATTGACGTAATAATTGATGAATTGCTGTAATTTTCACTGTTAGATAAATATGAAAAATATAAGCTAGTGTTTATTTCAATTGAAATACTCTTATTATTATATATTTTATCATTAAGAAAAATTCAGGAATATACGGGAGAAAAAGAAATTGTGCTCATAATAAGACGTAATGTCATGTTATCCTAGCAGGATCATGTTTTATGTCTGCAACAGAAATTATTTTGTGGTAGTAATTGAATTAATTTAAAAAAAAAAAGGGATTATTTATCGAATGTTATTGAATTTATAATAATATTATAAACAATTTTTTAAAATTAATACTAATATTTATTAGATAATTTTATGTATAGTAAAAAATAGATTTCAACAAAAAATAATGAAAGTAATGATCGAGAAATGAAAATAATGCTTTTAGATAATGTTAACAGACATCATAACTATATGCTTTAAACACATTAAAATAACACACTACCAAAATGGTGATTTAATTAAATATTAATAGAGATTCGTTAATGGTTGTATACATAAAAAACTTAAAAAAACCCCAAAGCCATAGAAAATAAACTTAAGGAAACCAACGAGTATAGTTTATTTATACATACAAATCAACAACGATCTTTTATTTGAAGCATTGAATAAATTAATTTACATTTCATACACGAAGAGAATTTCTTCACTAAATGTAAGTGCAAAAATGACAAGCCCACGTTTCGAAATTTATAAATAAAAATATTAAGTTAAAAGAATTAATTAAGATAACTCAAAATTCACTGTTGAACAGAAATATTTTTATTTATAAATTTCGAAACGTGGGTTTGTCATTTTTTTACTTCCATTTAATAAAAAAATTCTCTCTGTGTACAGTTAATAAAAACTTCTTTTTATTTTTCATTTAAATAATTAAGTGACAACTAGTAAATAATTGAAAAATAATTATTTAACATAGAAATCTGTCAAGAAAAGTATCAAATATGTCGAAATACTATTTTATATTTCATACAAAATAAATGAAATAATCTTGATGTCTGACTGTCTGTCACAAGTGTTTTTCTCAGAGGCTCTTCGACATAAGTAGTTGGAGTTCAGAAAATTTATAATCAAGAGTGATTCAAACACGAGCGTGAATTTGAATATTGAGGGGTAGTTTTGGAGGGTTAGATGAAAAGTTTAAAGAGAAATTTTCTTAAGGGTCCTAGTGTTGGGTGTCAAATGAAAGCTGTTTAAAGCATGAGTTCAAGAATGTATAATGAATCATTTTGAGTTACATATATGAAGAAAGGTTATTTGTTATTATTTGAAGCATTACAATGTTAAATTTTATTTTTTAAGATTCATGTTAAAGATTAAATATTTAAATAATTGAAAAAGTAATTAATAAAAATAATCTTTCAATATGAAGTTTTTTTCTTAGAATAATAATTTTTTTAGTTATCAACATTTTGATTATTTAAACGTATTATAATGTCGATCTTTTATAGATAGAAAAAAATAGTTCTGATGAAAAATATTCCCAATGGCAAGATAGAGACGATTAATGCAGTGGGATGGATAGATTCTAAGATGTAACATAACTAAATCCAGGTGAAAAAAGGTCAGTCAATTCTCTCTGAATTAAAATTCCCATCAAAAATGTGCCATCTCTCATAGTTTTAGATTCAAATCTCTGATAATTCATTGTGAGATCCACATTCCAATCTGTAATGTTTCATTCCAATATTCTACTCGTCATGATAAAACATAAGACAGTGATTTCATCAAATTTTCATATCATCGAACTCATAAACAAGTCAAACATTTCAATCTCTTTGAATCACCTGGAAATGGCTCAAAATAGCAGCCAGAAAGCTAAGTAAATTTAATTTAAAAGAAATAAAAACAAAATGTCATTTTGATTGCTCCAATCATTATGTTGTTATTAGTTTTGGAGAAATTCTAGAGAATGTTTTCCTGAAAAAATTCCTGATTAGATTTCAATTAGATACATTATATTAAACTATTGCAGCAGAATTGAAGAAAATCAGCACCATTGCGTGACTTAGAGAAAAAATATTCTTTCTTTTATTAAATTTTTAAGTCATTTAGAAATATTCAATTTCAATTAATTAATTTGCTTGCTACTTATTTTCATCAACTTTAGAAATTGGAGATTTTTATAAATAATTTCGATTAAAACTCGTTCCACCTTAACACTACACTTACTCAGTTCTCATGCATCTCCTTTTTCTTTTAACAAATTACAATGCGGAGCATTAGCATAAAAATTCAAGTATGCTCAAGTTTTAGACAAGAGAAACATGTAAATTTAAACCCAAGTATTTAACGATATAAAAATTAAATGATACCCACTTTTGACCTGAATTTTTTTCTATAATTTACTACCATTTTCTTCTTCTTCTTCACATGAATTAATAAATAAACTACTGCCTGGTTGATTAATTCTAAAACAAAGAAAAATAGTAAGTAAGAAAAGATAAATCTTTAGGTATACTTTAAAATGATGATAACCACGAGTGTACGTACCTAAATGAGTGTATAAATATATATTTATATTTGTACGCAGCTAGCGTAGCTGAAGCAGTGAAGCTGCGAGAAGAGAGGGATGAATTCCAAAAGGAGGGTTGAGATGAAAGGAGATAGAAAGTAGTAAGATTTGGTTGAGTGTAAGCGAGAGGGTGTGATGATGCGGAGAAGGTGGTTGGAGTCAGTGGCTGAAAGGTAGCGGACAGGAGGGAGAAATAGAGAGAATAAAAGCTTCACCCCTAGTAGTGGTGGTGGTGGTGGTGAAACTACTAGCAAGCTCAGTGCGGCTTGAACCGTTTGCCGGCCTACATCTCGTGCGTGTCAACAAAGTGTGACTGGTGTTCTTCTCTCTTCTCACAATCTCACTATTGTCATCATACGAAAGAATATAATTCCTCCTAAATAAATAAATAATTATTTACAAAAAATCGAAATAAACTTTGTCTCATTCCGTCCGTGCGTCATATCAAGATTTCACATTTCATCATCAAGTAAGTCTCCAACAAACTCTTCTTCTTCTTCTTCTTCTCTTCTTCAAATATCTTAGCTTGATAGTTTTTTTATTTAATTAAGCAAACCATTTTACCCTATTTCTTATTTCTTGTTTTTTTTCAACTTGGTAGAATTTTAATCAAAATTTAAACGAATCATTTTTATAGATATAATTATTTTTCATTTAAATTGGAATGAGAAAACGTTTCAGACGTTTTGTATAAATGGTTTGTGGTTTTGATAAAATGAGATTTTCAGATGAATAGAAAGACAAATGTGATTTAACTTGAAATTAATATTCAATATCAAATAAGTAGTTGATGATAATTAGATAATTAAACTCTTGACAAGTAAATTCATTATCGGATTGTTGAAGAGAAAACTTTTCTCTCACTCATTCAAGCCACTTTTGATGATGGTGGTGGTGGTGGTGATAGTAAAATACTTTTTAGGTTTTGTCTATACAACTTTGGTTCAAGTTTTCGTCACGTATAAATAATTGACTCGTGTGGGACTTTAGAGTTCTCAAGGGACCCTTACCTCGTCGTCAAGTCACTCATATGTACACTTATACCCTTTCTCTTGTATTTTTCTTTCTTCTCTATGCTTGATTACGTTAGAAATTAAAGCGGCAGGAAGCTCTCCTCTTCTCTGACGTGTTATAATATGCCAGTTGACCCATAGAAGCTCGTTAACTCTTCATACGAGCCTTTTAACGAGGGACACAACGCATCAAGAGATACTTCCGATTCACACATTCATTCTCTTTATCTTTCAACTCCATCTACTCCTACGGAAATAAAAAATGTCTAGGAATATCTGAAACTCACTTTCAATTCAACTATCAGCAATATCAAAATTAAAAGCAAAAACTTAGCCATTTCATTATTGAAGATGATGATGATAATGGTGATGATGATGATGAACGTCATTAATATAACGAATGCTTCGTTACTACATTCACTTCCCGGAAATACCATGATGATATAAAGTCAGTCTGGAATTGAAGAAGGACAGAAAGACAAAATTACCAGGCGAGTTGCCAAAAATATCCTGTGACCTTTCCATATACTCAGTCACTCTAGCACTCGAGCACCAATTCTAGACTGATATGATGATTCTTCAGGAACAAAAAAGCATCTGAACCTGGTGGAGATTACAAAGGTGGACAGACTTAATTAGACATCTTTTTTACAATACTTTTTGCCAGTAGAAAAATGATATTGATTGAATGAGTAAATTTAATAAAGGGGTCTAAGATGAAAACAAATACAATAATAAAAAGCCATCGATTATTCGAAACCTAAAATAATAATTTACTTGAAATAGTTTCGGGTTATTCATCATCACAATTTGAGATAAGATGAAGAAAAAGTTAGCACGCGGTCTTTTTTATTATCCACACGAGTAAATCGATTATGTGTCCGGAGAATGTGAAAGAAAAGAGACCAGGAGGGAAAATAAAATAATAGTTTAAGGGAGAAAAAAGACTGCGAAGAAGGTAAGTCTTGGTGTACTCTTTTTTTTTTTCCCCCAGGATTCTTGTTCTCTCGAAGCATCCCAGCAGCTTTTATGCTTTCTCATCGTTGTTTCTCTCTCACTCTCCCGGCGCACAACCCGGCGGCTTTCCTGTCTACGGGGTCAATCGATACTAGGCTTTCGAGAATTCGTCGTCGCTGCGCCTCCCCCATTTCACATGTGTCCCTCCTCTCTGACTGCTTCACCATCAGTATGCTTTTTATTCATTTAATCACAATCAAACATGTTCATCAGTTCTAACTATCTCTCAACTCAAAATTGCTAATGAATTTTACTTCCTTTTTTCATCAAGCTTATCAGCTACTGACGAATCAAAATTCATGTTTGCCGAGTTGATTCCGTTCCTAATACCTCGGTATCTCTATTCGATTTCATCAGCATCACATCAACTACTCTTCTCTTTACCTCTCTCTCTCTCTGTTATTCCAACATTTGTACACATAAGCTTGCGGCAAGCTCATTGTTTATGTACAAAGTTCAGCTGTACTCAGCTTTGTATGTTAGGGTCAATCGTTGGAATATGTCTTCGGGCATTCGTCCTCCTCCTCCTCCACCACCACCTCCACTCGTGTGTATATACACACATGAGTTGTTTCTGATATGCCGCAGTGCAGCCGCCATCCGCAGAGCTTATGTACACTGTTACACACCGAAAACCCTATGTTACACAGTTAATCCTGATGTACTTCAATTTATCATTACTCTTTTAAATTAAATCACTAAATAATAGGTAATCTCAATATCAGTGATTATTCAGTAATTGAAATAAGTACCAGACTTACTACTGATAATCAGTTGAAATAATCACTGAGATGCATTCACTGCACCATACCAAAATATCACTGATTTTTAATAACTTTTACTGATTAATTAATTATAAGTCATAATATATTGTTATTTAAAAGTTACAAAGTAATTATACATTCTATTCAAATTAATCAACTCCTATTTACTACCAATTACTTCTAAGCTTAACACTGATTGCATCAGTCACTGATTTCACTATAAATTTAAGTGTTTTAATATGACTTCACCTGTGGTTAGGTATTATTAAAACACTTTTAATGTTTTAAAATAAAACACTTAAATGTACAGTATTAGCACTAAAAAAAATGCTAATAATTAATTGAAAATTTCACTGATTTCTTTGGAGAAAGTACCTTATTTATTTATATTTACATATCATCCTCATTTCAATCTCCATTGAAAACTGCCACGGGATGCATCTTGCTAAACAAACATTTTTTTATACCAATTCAAAAAAAAGAAAAAAAGAAATCTTGTCTTTGAGTATTGAGAGTGAAGAAAACCGCATAAAAGTTGCTCAGTGGGGAAATGGGTCTCGGTGTTTGGTTCATGATACCATTGGCCGCCAACATATCAAATACTGCAACCATCCCTTCTTCTTCACCTACACCATATTCAGGTTTAACATGTACACCACCCAAATGGACTCTACTTCATTCACTTCTCTCTCTCTTCCTAGCTTCCTTCTGTGTTATTTACTGTATTCACAAATGTACGCATTGCGCCTCTTTCTGATATTTTTCATTCCCCTCTAAATACCAGTAAAGTTCATCATTGATTCTGATTAATTATGTTTAAAAATTAACCAGTTTATGTTTAATAATATTATTTTATGATCAACATAACATACACTTTTGGGAATAAATTTTAAGTATCCAATTGGTTGATTAAATTGAACTTTTCTTCATATTCTGCTCCATTTAACAGGTATAAATTTGAAATAGATTGCATAATTATCATGAACAAATTGCAAATATATTATTGTTATAAAATTAAAATAATAATATGCTATGATATTTAAATATTCAAGTGATGTATTTTTAAATCCAATAACTGAAAAGTATCATCAAATATAGATGAAATAAAATTAATAATCTCTCAGCATTATGTAATAAACTTAATATCAATGAAAAAAAGATATTAAGTTGAACATTTTTAAGATAACTCTGACATTTTAAGAAATGATTTTTAACTTGAAGACTCTTAGCCTAAATTTATTATCAAAAGGAAAGAGGCTTTGCATGTTTCAAGTGCTAATTATTCCATTTAGATATTAATAGAGATTTATTTACTTAAGATATCCTAGGGTATCTAGAGTATCTGTTATCATTCGTACTCTCTATCCTAGAGCTCTGCAGTCTATTTGAAGTCTGCAGTGTGAAGGAAGCAGGCAAATAACGACCAAAGGTGGTGGAGAAGGAGGGAAATCCCATTCTCGTTATCAACGATGACCATCGTGACCACTACCTTCCTGTATGTTCTCTCTCTCTCTCTCTTTCTCTTCCTCTTCTTCAGCTGCATAAAATTTCAAGGGACTCTTGATTACTATTACAAGTGCTGATGCACTCGTACAATGCATACAGATATGCTCTGATTTGATAATTGACTCACATCAAAATTTCCTCTTCTTATGGTTTTGTTATTTTCACCTGAGATTGCAACTTAATTTAATGATTTATTTAGTTCATTTATCTGATTCAGTTGTTTTATATTTAAGATAACAACAACTAAAAGTTGATTGCAAAATTTCGACCTTGACCCAAAGAGATATGGGCCTGTCATAACTCTGAGCGATATCGCTCTCGCGTGATGTTTCAAACGATCGAAAATTTTTCGTCCGTCAATTATTTGACCTCGGAGTTGTTTTTATCTTTCCAATATCAGGACAAGTATTTTATTGAAATGACATCTTATCTGCATGATTGAGTAGTCTATCCAATTCACATTTACTCATATATATATATGATCAAATGGTTCATCTGTTGTTCTTTCTTTCTTTTCTTCATTTTAAACTATTTTAAATGTAGAAATAAAAAAAAAAATGTGTAAAGGAATCTAAAGTTGTGAGGGACAATCTCTTGATGTTTTGACGCTTTGATGCCTCCGATTAGCATTTAAAGAGGTAGGGAAAAGTGTGAGAGGGTTAGTATATCACGAGGGTTAAATAAAGAGGGTAAGGGAGACCTAGAGAATATACATATATTCGTTGGTATATCGTCGAGAGTTATGGATGGGCCATGAACACGCTAACCCAGTGACACCTCTAGGTCACTCGTGTTACATCGAACTCACACTCGAGGACCGGAGGTTCAGGCTCACTACTCCTCGTATGGGCCACTATTGCATGCTTGCGTGATTCCTACACATCACACAGCACATTGGATCGACGTTGAGTTTACTACACTTGCAAACTAATCGTTGCACAAACGAATAAAACGGAATACTTTACCATCTTTCCGCTTGAAGGAAGTTAATTGTTTTCATGAATTTTCATGATAATAATATTCGTGAAAAAACTAAAATAGCTGGAACCTTCTTTTTTGTAGATGTATCTAGGTTACTTTCATCAATGTCCAATAATTAGATAAATCTTTATATGCTTAATATTTTATCATAACTTGGTTTATATTAAAATTCCATTTTTATCTGCAAGAGGAACATAAGTATCTCCATCAGCATATATGACAGACATTCAGAATACATTTATTCAATGATACTTGAATTATTTTTTTGGTGTTAGAATCATATTTTCTGACCTAGCTAAAGTTTATTGATGTTTTGGTGATTTTTTATTGCAGAAAAAAAGACAGTAAGGACGATGACTGATAATGCGGTAATGTAGCTGATGATAAGAGCTATTCAAGAATCAACCCTTCTCCAGTATTCAGCTTCTTTCAATTATTGGAATTAGCTCTTTTAGAGGCGTCAACACTCGCCGCTCATTAACGGACCAGGCGTCGCGACGTCATCGACGTGAGGTAAATTTGAAAGCTGGTTTTACATGTAAAAGACTGGTACTTAGAGATAAAAGAGTATCAGTATGCTGAGTCAGACATGCAATGATAAATGTTGCGTAAATAGTAAGGAAGTTGGAAACATTGATAATATGAGATTACATGAGTTAATTAGCTTGTATGCAAACTAAAAGTTGAGGAAAATTGATTGGGATGGCCTTGCTCCTCTTCTGTATATGGTGATGGTTTCTTGTCAGACTCAAGGCATAATTTTCAGGAATTATTGTTTCATGAGAAACAGAGTTATTAAATGTAAAGCATATCTAGCAAATGAGATACTTGAGTTGTAACTGATTGTTTACTTTTGATTTAGGCGTGAAGGGGAGCGGAAAGGAGTGGCGCGAGGACGATGGCAATGACGAGAGGTCGAAGCGCCCTCCTGAACTTTGAAACATTTGTAGTACTGACGGTGGTCATTGCGTCGACTCTAGACTTGGTCGCGAGGGCTTCGCCCTCACCACATCGAAGCAGACACCATGCGGATCTGTCACATGAAGAACTGGGCCAACATGAACATCAACAACAACAACAAAAGAGCAAGATGACTTTGGACAATTTTGGATCAATCAAAGCTGAATCATTGACATCAGGCTCTGATGATCCACTGGTTGTCCAAACTAAAAAAGGTCGGGTGAGAGGTATCACTCAGACAGCTTCGACTGGTAAACAAGTTGACGCCTGGTATGGTATTCCATACGCACAAAAGCCTCTCAAATCGCTACGATTCCGGCATCCTCGGCCTCCAGATCGGTGGGATGGAATTCTCAATGCTACGACGCAGCCCAACAGCTGTGTCCAAATCTATGACACCGTCTTTGGGGACTTTGCTGGTGCCATGGTATGGAATCCAAACACTCAACTTAGCGAGGACTGCCTGTATATCAACGTAGTCGTACCTCGACCCAGGCCGACAAACGCCGTCGTGATGGTATGGATTTTCGGTGGTGAGTTGAAGTGATTCAATTGAATTCGCGATAGCGCTCTTCGTTGGCGCATCTCGATACGATCTCGTTTGCAGCAGCCACGCATATCCGCGTCGGCTCGCTCGTTTGCTCCAGGTGGCTTCTACTCCGGCTCCGCCACACTTGACATCTATGATCCGAAGACTCTTGTTTCCGAGGAGAATGTGATCCTGGTGTCCATGCAGTACCGGGTGGCTAGTTTGGGCTTTTTATATTTTGGTACTCCAGACGTACCAGGTAATGCTGGGCTTTTTGACCAGATGATGGCGCTTCAGTGGATCAGGGATAACATCGCTGCATTTGGTGGTAATCCAGACAACGTAACGCTCTTTGGTGAGAGCGCCGGCGCAGTTTCTGTATCAATGCATTTACTTTCACCACTTTCAAGGTATATCATAACTAAGTACTTCCCTTCAATAATAATATTTCATGTCAAAGTGTGTTGAAGTAATGCAATTAACCTCCTCACTTAACATTATAATAGACACCTCTTCAACCAGGCGATTATGCAGTCCGGTTCACCAACGGCTCCTTGGGCGATGATCTCGCGGGAGGAATCATTTGAAAGGGGATTACGTTTAGCTGAAGCAGTAGGTTGTCCTCATGACCGGAAAAATCTTCAGGCTGTCATTGATTGTCTTGCCGCTGCTGATCCTTTGGATTTAGTCAACAATGAATGGGGTACTCTAGGTATTTGTGACTTTCCTTTTGTCCCAGTCATTGATGGATCCTTCCTTGATGAAACTCCTCAGCAATCATTAGCAACATCATCCTTTAAAAAGGCCAACATTCTCATGGGATCCAATACTGAGGAAGGCTTCTATTTCATCATTTACTATCTAACTGAACTCTTTCGCATCGATGGCGCTGAAGATGTCAAAGTCTCGCGGGAAGAATTCATTCGAGCTGTATCGGAACTTAATCCTTACGTTAATCAAATTGCTCGTCATGCTATTATTTATGAATATACTGATTGGCTACATCCAGATGATCCAAATGGCAATCGTAATGCGATTGATAAAATCGTTGGAGACTATCAATTTACCTGTAACGTCAATGAATTCGCCTCGAGATACGCTGAGACTGGCAATACTGTCTATATGTACTACTACAAGCACAGATCTCTCAATAGTCCTTGGCCAAAATGGACTGGTGTCTTGCATGGCGATGAAATCAATTATATCTTTGGCGAACCACTTGACCCAGCAAAAGGATACACCAAGGAGGAAGTTATCCTCTCCAAGAGGATAATGAGATACTGGGCCAATTTTGCTAAAACTGGGTAAGAGAACTTTCTGCTTGCTAAAATGCGTCTAAACTATCATTGATCCACTACTTCTAACAGACTAATTAAACTCCTCTTTAATTACAATACTTTAGCTATCTAATTTCAGTTATAAATCATTTGTGTGATTTTTTTTTCTCACCAAATTGCTCATTGTTGAAAAAAAAAGGTTTTCACTCATTTTAAGTACTGCTTCATAAGTAGTGAGCAAATCGTCACTGCTGAAAAGTGTGAAAATGGTACAAAGTATAGATTGTTATATGAAATGGTTTTTTAGACTTGAAGAATATTTCAGATACCACAATTGAAACTTTTATTTTAATTTACTATGATTATCAAGACTATTTTAACAGTCTAAAAATAAATACAATTAAGCTGATAATATTAATATTTTAAAAATTATATTTATATTTAACATAGGTTTTTTTCAATTCAGACGTAAACGTAAAAGAAAAAAAAACCAGTAAATATATTATAATTTATAATTTAGCATGAATATTGATGATATGAAAAGTGAATGCTGATATAAAAGCAGTAGAAATTTGGTAAAATTTATTTCTACCTCTATTTTCTTTTTTCGATAACCAATGTACTATTTTTAGAAATGATCTTACGTTGAGTAAAAAAAAACCCATCAACATGATAGTTAAAACTTGTTTGATAAATATTGAAGTATTAAACTGACACTTGTGTTTAGATTAATAGTTAAAAGAATATTAAAAATGTATTTATTGTATGATTAGAGATCCCAACATGGGTGATGACGGTTCATGGGCTGATGCATTCTGGCCACAACATACAGCAGCAAATCAAGAATATCTCACATTGGACACCAACGTAACTGAAATTGGTCAGGGTATAAGAACGCGTCAATGTGCATTTTGGAAAAAATATCTACCACAACTGATAGCTGCCACTTGTGAGTACTATATTATAATGCATCAAATATTGTAGTAAAGAGCTTTAAGCTCAAAGACAATCGATCTCGTTAATTGGCATGTAATTGTGAAGCGTACTCGATGTGGTTTTCTGGTTAATGCGGGATGACGTTGTGCCAAAATGCATTAATTGGTTGACAGCGTTGGTGAATTTGTTAGCTATTTGATTAGATAATGGGGCTCATACTCATTCCTTTAATCAGATAATTTACTTTGAAGAATAAAAGAAAATGAATCTTTTTGTTCACACAAATAATTTCCTTAGTTGAAGACGAAAGTTTCAAGTCGACTTTTGGGTGTAAGAATTCTTTGTAGCGAATTGTGTGGTGAAGATAAGGAATCTCAAGATGAGATTGGTGATTGAGGACGCTCAAGGGGAAAGGGAGAACTAAAGAGACTAGATAGAAGAGAAAAGAAGAAGGGGAGAAAAGCTGAAGCTAGAAGGCAGAAAAAGAGTAAGGGGAGTGAAACTCTCTACCCGGTATGGATCGATGCCACCGCATCGGCGGGTCGCGCACACCCAAACGCCTGGTTCACCTCTCTCTTGCCGACGTTGACGTCGACGTCTACATCCTGGCGGCTTTGCTTCACCTCCCCTGCACTCCTCTCTTTGATACAATTGAGGATAGAACATTTTTCTGGCTCCCAGTCTGGAGGATTGCTGGGGACCGGGTCAAACTGATGCACCACGCGTGTCTTCACCTTCTATATATGCTATTGTATTTCGCACTATATCCTTCACACTATACCTCCTTGCTAGCCTACTTCCGTTATTTACTGCTATTGCGCCAACCTCAACCACTTTATGGTATACCACACACTCATCTAAATTCACCAACGACTACTATTTTCATTTCATTTTATTCCGTTTTTGATTTTTTATCCTCCTCACTCTGTACCATGTTATTATACATTAAATTTCTTCTTTTTATCTCTCCCCCTCTCTCTCTCTCTCTATCTCCCCACGTGACTTTATTACTTATAAAATTCATCAAGCTCAACTTGTTTTTTCCGAATACAAATGACCTTTATTACAAATTCAACTCGAGTTTATTATTACGTTTATTTTTGTGCCAAAAAATATTCTTATATTGTGTATATATAGACGGAGCTTTTTTTACGTGACTTTTATTTTTTATTATTTTATTTGACTGTGAAGAAAAAACCATTCCTGAACTAAATACATTTTAGCTAAATCATATGAATTATTTTCTTCAATGACTGCCGTAATATTTTTTTTTTTAAATGGAATTCAATTTTTTTCCTTTTGTTCTGAATAAATATTTAATATTTGTTATTTTTTTAAGTAAAGTTGCATTCCAATTTCAGAGTTGGAATTTTTTTTTCAACAATCAGAACATGTGGAGAGTGTTAGAAAAAAATAATTTGAGTTGAGGAAAGTTCAAAAAGTTCATTATAAAAAATGATTTTTTTTCATGAATTATTTGAATAATAAATTATTTTAACTCTAGTTAATATTGATTTTAACCGAAAAAATAGTTTTAGAATTATTAATAAAATAATTCAATATATTCTCTAATAAAACGTTCATATTTTAGTATTTTTTTTATTGGCTAATGGTTTATTAATATCGGAAGACATTCTTATAAACCAAGTATTAATGATTAACCATTTAAAAGTTTCCAAAGAATATTTTCTAGAAATAAAAGTGATGATACATCAATTAATGAACTTCTTTTCCAATAAAAAAAAGTTGAAGAGAAAAAAAATGAAATTTTTCCAGTAACATAAAAGTTATAATTATTTATCTAGGTCTGGAATAATATCTAAAAATAAAATTTTTGAATTATAATATCAACATCAAGCCAAAAGTCTAATATATCATATCAAATGATTAACTGGAACGACCTCCATAAAACATCCATTCAACCAAGCATGAATCGTCTCTTTAAATTACTGTTCGTGAATGATTAGAGACACGCGAAAAATTTCAAATTACATTTAATCTAAAAATAATCAACTGACAGAATAATAATTATCTTTTCTTTCCTTTTTTTTTATTTTTACAGCTAAAATGGAAATGGAATCATGTAGCACTAATTCAGCACCAAGCATCAATGCCAACACTCTAACATTCAGCCTGGCGTTGACGAGTCTCTTAATATTCTCAGGAATGACCATCATTACTTTTCCAGCTAGAGGCATCATCAAGTCAACAAAAGATACAGTCAGATCACTTTAAATTATTTTTACCCATCCCTTATACTTCCATTCATTCTACCATTCCTTATTCTTCCTACTCTTCAAACTTATTCAGATTCTACATTGTTCCATTATGAAAATAAAAATTCACTTCCATTCCTGATTTTTCGCTTTATGATATGTAACTCGAATTGACTTGATTGATTTATTCCATCAATTCATAATTCAACTGCATTTCAATATACAATCGCAAACATATCAAGATGACGCTCTGGTAAGTAACGTTCTACTTCAAAAGATCGAATGACAACCTTTTTTTTTTCTCTATATTTCTACTAGATAAAATTTTATATTTGATATTGAATTCAATCACAAACTTTATCTGAAGTTTCATTTTTTCATACAAAGGAGACACCAATGTACGAAAATCATATTTAGATGTTGAAGGCTTTGATAGGTGAAAAAAAAAAAAAAAGAATTTTTCTAATAAAATTGTGATAAACAAGATATAATGAAAAATTGATATTATGAGATAGATTGATTACTTCAGATTTGATGTTTGTAAATGAATTTATTAGAGAGTTAATTTAAATATTTCCTAGAGATTGATTAAATTGTAAGAAGCTTAATTACAAATAACTGATGAAAGGTTCAACTTTTTTTCTACTTAATTTTTACTTTAACATTATCTAGAAGAAAACTATGATTTTACTCTGTCTACTTTAAGAGCCAATAACATGGTGATAAATTGAGTTATAGACTTGATTTAAAGCTTAAATTCCTTGGAAAAACATTCACTAAAAGTTTTTATATATACTTGTAAAAGAAGATGGATTAAAACGAAATTTCTCATAATGAAATAATAAATTTTAAAATATAAAAAATAATTAGAAATTTTTTTTATTTATTTTAATTAAATATAATACCTTAATGTGTTAATAATTAACTTATTTGTCTCATTTTCGCAAATAGAGACACTATTCATTCAAACCATCTAATTTTGTCAACTCTATGTTAAATTCAAACGAATTTTTGAAGAGAACGTATGTCAATCCAGACGTCAAACAAAAAAAAATTCTTTAACGAAAAAAATAAAGAGAAAATGTGAATGAATGTAATGCTTTACTAAACAACAAAACTACGTAGAACATATATTAAAGCACTAAAAAAAAAAAATGCTAAAGACATTAAAAATAGAAAAAAGAAATGTATAAGTGTGGTTGTGAATATGAGCTAAAAAAACCGAACAAAATAAAAAAAAATAAACCAGAGATAGTGAATTAAGTTTATCTAATCGATTTCATTACTAAATGAGAGCCTATTAGTAAGCTTTATACTATTTATATATAAAAGTCGGTTATTAATGGGTACATAGAGTGATGCAAAAATTTAACAAATATCGATTACGATAATGATAACTACTTTTAATGATTATATTAACAACGATAATAATGATGATGATAACCAAAAATATTAATTATAATATATATATATATTATTAAGGATAAATCTTGAGAGTTTACTTTCAGAATATGATGATAAATATTGTGAATGATTAATAAATTAATTATAAAAGCAAATTGTTCATTTAAAATAATATGTGAAAATTTCAGATGAAATATTAGTAGAGATTTATTAGGAGTTGGTTTCAGTTCATATAGATAATGGGAAATTAGGATTTTTTTATTGACATTAAGGTGGTTCTGATATAAACCATAGTAGGTTTGGATGATGAACCTTTACAAGAGGTTTCAGTTAGGTTTGATCAAGATCATCAACAGAATTAAAATCATGATTTAAAAGTTAACAAGAATAATAAGATTCGAAAGTTATTTTCAAAGTTTTATCAAATTTAGCAAGTTTATATTTGTAAAATGGTTTTGATGTGCTAACGTTGATTCTCAGCTTTTGGAATTGATAAATCAGAAACTGAAGATTGCTGGAGATGCTCTAGTTTGGTTGATCCAAGATTTTTTTTACAAGTCATGAATCTTGAGGCTAAAATTATTTTCAATGACTAAATAACAATAATGATGTAATATAAATATTTTAAAATTATTGTTGCATCTTATGTAAGTGGAAATAAATTCTAGATAGCATCTTTGGCATAATGATGTCTGAGAAATTGATCAAAAAAAAAATCTTTTTATTATAATTATGTTGTTAATTGTTTATTAACTAGTGAGTAAAATTCTACTTGAATTATTATTATTAATTAGTTTTTACATGATGAATTTAAGTCATCATATGCTCTATAAAAAAAAATTAAGTTTAACTAAAAATGATTATCTTTAATTCATTGAAGAAATGTCTTTCGTATATCCTAAAAAAATTGTAGAGTAATTTTTAATCCAGAAATTGAGAGAAAAATGACTTTACTAATCTGGATAATTTAGATTGAGCTGAGTGCAAGTTGGTACTGTGATAAAAATTATTCAAATAGGAATAAAAATTATTCTATGGAAGAAAAATATTCAATGAACTCAAAAATGTCTGCTTACTAGCAGTATAAAGTCATTATAACTGAACAATTTGTTCTGTGTACATAGAAACTAATATCAAAAATGGATTATATTTTAATTTATATTGAAATTTATCTTCAAGTCTAAACTAAAAGATGATGTATTTCAATATGTCTTATCAGGCATCATTTCAATCAACTTTTAGTTTAGATTATTTTAAATAATTATGCACTAAAAAAAATACTAAGCAAAAATTATTTCTCTAAACAGAAAAAATTTCCAATTTAAGGAATAATTTATACTATATATCCTAGATAACTGAAATACAGTGTAGCTAAGATTTGATGACATCTAGCCATCTTTCAGACAGCTTATTACTGTCTAAAATGTTACGAATAAAATAATTAATTCTTGAACAACCATTTTGCAAATATAAACTATAAATATTAGATAAAATATTGAAATGATTTTTGTTTTTTATTATTGCCATTAACATACTATTGTTCATGCAAGAACTTCCTTAATCAGACACGCGATATCTCGTTTTGATTCGGTTTAGTCGTGGGGTGGATTCAATAAATCTAGCCAAAGAAAAAATAAAAATATTGAATGAGAGAGGGTACACAAGGGTGTGTGAATGGACGTGAAAATAAATAATTCTACATATAAAAAATTATCAAGAAATAATATTAATCGCACTATAAACTTGTAACAGTTTTGCGCTGCCTTAAAATTAATAACAGAAACTAGGTATACATAACAAACATTAAACATTTCTAATTACGTTTAAATTAATCATTTAATATTGGACATCTGATATCTAACTTTTGAAAAAGTTTGCTTCCTTTGAAAAAATTTATTTGAAGCATTATTCCTTGTAATTTTAAGCTTCAAAATAAATTTTCAATTAGTCTTCAAAGGATTTTCATTTTAATAAAAAAAAAATGTCAAATTCTGTTCAATACTCTGAAGTTATTTTTTAGGCCTACAATGAGGAAAGAAGTAAAAAATTTTTAAATAAAAGATAAAAAAATCTGGAACATTTCCAAGCGGCCGTACTGTATCCTATTGATTTTTATTTCACATCCTGGAGCAATACTAGTGACCAAGTAAAGCCAGAGCTAGCAATAACAAGCATCAAGTTATAGCCCACTGCAAATAGAAAATATCAAGAGGCTGCAGGGTAAGATAATCCTCATCTACTCTATTACTTAAAGATTCTTCTTGGCCAATGTTGATTGTCATTTAAAAATGACTTAAAAAACAGCACATTATCACCATGATCATTCAAAGTGTCGCTATAATCATATCGTTGTTATCAAAATCTGCATTGTAATGAGAATCACATATAATTAATTATGGAAATGATCTGGAAGGGTAATAATTTCAATACTGTTTAGTAATTATATAAAAATTTGACTTACTTGTGATTCAAATAAGTATCATATTTAAATACTTTCATTGCATTGAAATAACACAATTTAGAAGTCAAAATTTGCAGTGATGTTAGGTACAGGAAGCTTTTTCTATGATGGCAATATTTTTTTTTGTCTCCGATGTTTATTATTTTACTGACATATCTTAAAACTGATTAATAAATTTATTTGTTTATGAAAATAAAAAAACTACAAAGATTTCAAGTATTATCTTCCAATAAAGTCAAAAGTTAGATAATACTAGATATAAAGCACACAACAAATACATACACACGCAGACTTTTGGCATTCAATTTATTCTCTAGCTCCGTCGGAAGCGAAGCTTTCGCTCAAAGTATGTACTATAGATGAAATAAATTAAATGTAATAAATTTAATACAGAAAAAAAAGAATTCACAAGAAGATACCGCAGATAACAAAAAAAAAATACGTAAATTTATCGTTCTTATTTTATTTCATTTGTTTATTCTATTGGAACGGATTAATTGAATGTGAATTCACTGAAATGAAAAATTTTATTTAATCTTTTTTAATTAAATTTTATCATCTTTTTCCTTTTTTTTTTTTGTTTTTAATTGTCAATATAATGTGACCGATATGTAAAATATTTTTAAAAAAAAACCATTTTGAAATATTAATAAAATGAAATAAATATTTTTGGTAATAGACATGATAGATCAGTGGCAACGTTTGTGGAATACGAATCTTCTGATTTGTATGGAACGTGAGTTTCGGTTCTCACTTGGGGGACAAAAATCAAAATCATATTTACAAATATAATTTTACTACCCCTTTGTGTCCGTATAAAAATGCCATTCAGTCTTCTGAATATTTATTATGTCCCCAAGTCTCTGTGTTGAAAATCTAAATAATAATTAATAATAATAACAATAATACTTTTCCAGTATTTAAATATCAAGCAAAAACTATTCAACTATTCTTATAAGTTAAAGATATTTTTTTGAAAATCTTTTTGTCGATGTTAAATGAATAAATGAAGTAAAATAAAGAACTATAGTCCTCGTGAGTCTGATTATATCACTTGTAAAGTCTTCAATTAAAAAGACTCTAAATAATACATAAAAGAAAAATTCAATTTTCAATAAATAGCACAAAACAAATGATAATAATCGATTGTTTAATTACTTAATAAAAAAATAATGACTATGTGAAATAAAAATATATCACAGGTGTATAACGCCAGGCGTCTATCTCAAGTGACGATAATGAAGTAAAATAACATTTGAAGAAATATTTAACAAATTAATAAAAAAAATATTGATTATTATAATTAACTATAAAAATAAAGTCATGTTTTACTTGTTAAAGAATAATAAAAGAGGTGACGGAAGAATAATAAAGAAAAAGATAAGAACTCCATGAAAATATAGTGATGGTTGAATAAAGAATTTTTAAAATACTAAAGTGAGTAGTTAATCCATTAACACAAATGGGAAATTGGCTGGTGATGGAAATTTTTTCTTTAGAAGATGTTTGAAAATTAAAAAATAAATATGTGTTGTATAGTTTAATTGTTATTAAAAAATAATTATCAATTTTTTGTTATAAAAGTCAGTTTTGGATCGTAAAATCAATTGTAAATAAATAAAAATAATTCTAATCAAACTTTTGGAAGAATGAATAATTATTAATTTTCTTTGAGCTATATATATTAATGTTATACACTTAATTATCATTATCATGCTCTTATTAATTAATTAGTTAAAAAAATTTCTTACAATTTGTTATTCTATAAATAATGAAAAAAAAATTCCATCAAATAGTGTACAAATTTTGTTTGTTATTTATTTTATTTATTTATTTTTAAAAGAAGATAAGACATCAAATGTAAAATGAAGAAAATAAATCAAATGAAATGGTTCTATTTGATAAATATATTATAAATATAATATCATAAAACAATGGAAAAAGTTCAATGTCAAATAATAAAATGAAACAAATGATATCATAATTTATATTTAAGAATAAATAAATAATAAATATGTTAACAATTTGTTTCTTATTTTTAAGTATTTTTTAATTTTTTTTTTTTGTTCAAATATTTTAAATTTTGAAATATTTCAAGTAGTGTTTAATCTTCTGTCGTTTAAAAAATACCTTTTCATTACTCTGTGTATGAGCATGCATGAGCATTTAGCTGCTTACCCCTCTTCTTCCCTTTTACATTTCACCCCTTTAAACTCTGAAAAAGCTTAATGTAAAATTTTTAAATTGACTAGACAGTTTTAATCAAACGCAACTACCAAAAAAATTCATCTTTTTGGAGTAATTTTCTTCTTAGACTCTGGAATATACTTTTTTTTTCAAACATTTGACTTGTTTAAATCATAAACAATTGAATTATTCAACACATTTGATTTACTTTCTCGAATTTTTCTTTCAAGTCTTAAACCATTTTTTAGGTAACAAAATTATCATCCTTAGCCAATTATCCCTGGACGTAAATGGATTAAATTGTGTCATAAAATGTAGCTCTATGTATCTATAAATACATGTAATATATATATAATTTATTGGATATGAAAAAAAATAAGTATTTATATATACATATATATATGTAATCAATTGAAAATATATATATATATATATCGATAAATATTGTGAATGGATTTGGGCGCATTAAAGTAAGAGTGAAGAATGATAATTATTATAGCTGCTTATGCAGCTAAATAAATAAAAATGTTTTATTTATTATTGCCAATGTATTGAATCAACATTATCAGACTAATGAAAATTACCAGAGTCGACTGCAAACGACAAAGAAGTATAACGTGAAAGTAATTAACGAGAAAGCAAGAATATTATTATTATTAATAATAATCGATGATAATAAAAATAATAAATAACAAAATAAAAACAACTGGAAATAAAAATAATAAATACTAATGATGATAGGCTAACAAAAATAAGATATTATTTAAAAATACAACAAAACTCGAAATGGCACTTGCTAAATTTATAAAAAAAAATGCCGGCTTAAAATTTCGCTATTTCCTCCGCTTTTCGATTTTTAAACATTATTTTTATGCACTCTTGAATTATCAACATTTGTTTATAACAATGGACTATATTGAATTACTTATTATATTTATAGTATTATTCAAATGATTAATTATTATTAATAATAATTAATTAATTAATTGTATATCAAAGGGAGTCTCACAGCGAATCGCTGAAAAAGTAGCCCGCAGGCCTAAATACGCTCTAATCGTTATTCTAGTTATATTAATTAATTAAATAAATGATCGAATGGCGTAAGTTTTTGCAGCTTCATAATGTTATGTATTTTCAATATTTATATTCTTTCATCTTATGGTAAAAGTAAATCGTCGAAATTATTATTATTTTTTTTTAAATAACATTTTATTGAAATTGAATACATTTTTTAAAATAATTATCATTAAAATTAATACTAGTAATACAATAGATAAATAATTATTTTTCATCTTAATTTGTCATTTATTTTATTCTTTTAATATTTATAGTTATTGATAATCGATTAGTTGCGTTAAAATCAATAACTGATTTAAATAAGTCTAAGAATAATATACGATTCTAGACGATTTATTTTTTACCGTGAATATTATTGATAAAAATAAATTTGTATTTTTTTTTTCTATTTTTAGACTGTATAAACAAATACCCTGATGCGTTCGAATTATTCTTCTATTATAAATTATTCCATTTATTTGTTTATTGTTATATTTATCTAAATATAAATCTACATGAGAAATCTTTTAAAATGTTTGAAATGAAAATGATTGTTTATAAATTTATATGAGAACTATTTTCATTGTTTTTTATTTTGCCTTTGTAAATAATATCAAAAAAAAAAAGTTGTAGTGTCGCAAAATCGACGTATCAGGGATAAGAGACCAAAAAATAAGCAAAATAAATTTGAAAAAAAAAAAAGTGTTAATTATTACTGAAAATAATTGCAATAGATAATATAAGTTTCGTAAATTAAAAGAATAAATTACTGTAATTATAATAATTAGCAAAAAGAAAAAAAAAAGTTATATTGAAAATGATGATAAAACTATGGATTTTCTTTCGTTATGTAAAACAATTAAATTATTTCTATAACTCATACACAATAAGTGATAAATTATATTAACATCATCAACAATATTGCATTTACGTCAAAATATATAACTACTACTGTTTCATAGTAGATGTATATTGTAAGAAATAAATAATAAAAACACATAAAAAAAGAAAAAAAAAGTCGATAAAAAATATTTACTGCTTGTATATAAATATGAATATAAATTATAATAAAGAAAAATATAATATATCAATAATTATAATAATTATAATTATAACGATTTATGATAATGAGGGGTGACAGTGACAATGAAAATTAAATCGTAATAAAAATAATGTACCAATTATTGTGTTTTGACTTTTATTTTCATAGTTATTATCCTCATTCTTATTATTATTTATATTTTTTCAAAATCATCAATAAAATTTATAGAACATAAATATTTGATTTTTAATATATATATATTTTTATAAAAAATTTTGAATTGATACATTTCGTAATGCGCGACGTCAAAGTTAAAATTTGAAAAAATTATTTTTCTATCATCTTTCTAAAAAAATATTCATGACGCAAAACACCTCATCATTTAGATCCTTCTTTACTAGTTTTATTAATAATTATATTACATAATTGATAATTATGTATTAAAATAGTTATTATTGAGTTAAAGAACATTTTTTTTTTGTTTTCATGTATAAAATAAGAAATAAATAAAAATAAAAAATAATTCAGGCTTATACTTGATTATTTGGCACTGAAATAGGATAAAAAATGCAAAATATACGAAATGCATTAATCTGATTATAATCTTACAGATTAAAATAGAAGATGTAACCATAAATGTGTATTCTTTCCATTTTTCGCATTTCTTAAAATTTATTATTCAAGTTTTAAAAGCACCTGCTTGAGCTGCTTTTATAATAAAAGTTTTCAATGTAGCTTCGTCTAATTTCGCAAAGTTAGAAGTTTGAATGACTGCGGTCATGTGATTAAGCGCAAACTTAAAACAAAAATCTTCCAATTCCTTTTAAAATAAACAAACGATTTAATAAAATAGATTTAATTAAAACACTTTATTTAATCAATAAAATATAATTACTTACTTGAGAACAGTATTCAATGGCAGTTTTATATAAAAAAGCAACATTTTTTATTGAGATACCTCTTAGGATCATTTGTACACATTTTCCTTTCAATTGAGTTTCGTAATAAGCATTTGCCAGATACATCAATTCTAAAAACAAATTTTCCATATTATTGTTTACTGACAATTATTTCATTTCAACACATTATTCAAGATTTATTTTGTTACCTAAAGCATTTTCAGGTGGTAAATCTACTTCATCTGTGTACAAATATCGTAGAAATGATCTATAAACTTCGTAAGAGAAATCATCATGTACAATAACTCTGAAAAAAAAAATTTTTTTATTTAAAATTACTGAATAAAATGATCAGTTCAGATAATCCTGAAATCCAGATTTGTCATTATCTCTGAAATTTCCAGGAAATACTCTCAAGTTATCAGCAATGATTAATAATCATAAAAAGATGTATTCATCTCGAATGAGGGCTGAAAATAAAAATAAAACTACCCTAAATCCACTTTTTTTTGTGATTTTCTCAAAATCTATGAGAGATTTGGAAAAAATTTTAAAGTTAAATTTTGTAGCAGCTGTTTCTCTATATAAAAAAGTCAATGCACTTTAATAAGAAAAGTTATCCCTTATATTATAGCCATGATCAAAGATCGTAAAACCGAAAAAGTCCATTTTTATTTCAAAATATCTCCATTTATGAAATTTATAAGAAAATGAAATTTTTTATCATTTGTTCTTTACCCACTTCTCTGTTTTTAAAATATAAAAAATGTGTTAATCATTTTTGACAACCTTCAGAGTATTTTCTTGATATTTCAATTATACTGAAGAATCCAAATTGCAGGGCTAAATTAAAATTTATATATTGAAATATTTGTAAATTTGATTAAAATTTTTATTCTAATGTATCTAAAATACTTGATTATTATTTATAAATTTTAGTAAAAAAAACAGTTCATACGATTGGTTATTTTCCGTCCAATGCTCTTGAAACATTGATCGAAAATATTGACAGCGAATTTTAAGCACCGATTTATGTACATGAATTGGTTTGCCTTGAACTTGTATTGTCAAGTCACTATTAGTCTAGAACATTGATCAAACAAAGCTATTAGTCGTTACATATAATTCATAACATTAAATATATATTACAAATAACATAAATCATTTAATAACTGAATTTCATCATTAAATTGTGAAAAAATAATTTAATTTTATATTAAAGTTAGCAAATAATATTTTCAAGTTATTAAATGTTTTATGATTGTTGAAAAAAAAATGTTACAAACAGGATCATCAAAAGCTTGCTTCAAACAATCCAAAATACTTGTCTCGTCTTCGGAGTAAAGCACAAAAGGCTCATGCATAACACTTGGAGTTGAATAACAAGCCAATACATCATGTAAATGAAGTAAAGGTGTGACAGTAGGTGTTATCACTGTTTGACCTCGACATTGACCCCACATAAAGATTTTCCCTCCTTCCGCCAAGGCCGCACTCAAGTGATTGCAATGAACAGCTGCTATATCACATACTCTTCCCATTTCTGGCATTGATAACTTTGAAACATTATTAAGATTATTAATGATTCCTCATGAATTTCAACAACACACACTGAGAGAAAATTATTTATACATTAAAAAAATATATTTTTTTAAAAAAAACTTGAGATACTCTATTGTTAATATAAATAAGAAAAATGTTCTCTAAATCAGACAATTTTTTCGAAAAGTAATGAATAATAATTCAGGAAAACTTTCTGATCAGTAAATTATCAAAACTGTTTATTTAATCTAAACAATACTTATTTGATTCCTATAATTTTTTAGTCAGGGTACAGTTAATATTTTATTTTGAAAATATTGTATTATCCTGTTTCATGTTATCTATTATATTATAATTAAATGATATGCTTTAGAACAATTATTTACCTTCTGTGGTTGGCAAGTATTTGTTTTTGTTCCTAAACCTAATTGACCATATCCATTGCCACCCCAAACATAAACATCACCTTCATCACTCAAAGCCATTGTATGAGAATATCCACATACAACTTTAGCTGTAAATAAATAATTTTTCACAGTATTCATAATAATTTAATCATCATGAATCATATTGACAAAATTTTTTGATAAATAACTGTTTTTAATTTAAAAAAGAAAAAAAAATGAAAAATATATAATGAAAAAGTTTGCTCTTCTTGTCATAAATTTGGAAATATTATAACATCCAAGATTGATTTTAGTTACTAAAATTTTAGTTAATTCCATTAAGGATAATCTTTTAATTAAATTTATTGGAATACTAAAAATAAGTCAGATCTAATATTGAATTGACAAAGCTTTTTCTATTAAAAACAATGATAATCTGTCCGACTATTTAACTAAACGACGGATGATTTTGCATTAAATATTTATTTATAGAAATTTAGTTAATAGCATCGTACCGATTACTATTCCTGTCAGGCCAGTAACTTTTTGAGGACTTAATTGATTTATATACGTTCCAATGCCTAATTGGCCAACGCTATTATTCCCCCAAGCATATACTTCTCCATTATTCGTCACTGCAATGCTTGAAGTCTGTCCACAGGCTATTTGAACGACTTTTTTCCCTGTTAATCCGGAATTTATTTTTCTTGGTGTATTTTGGTTGGTGCTTATTCCACTTCCTACTTGACCACATGTGTTTTGACCCCATCCATGAACCTGTTAATGATTGAATCAAATATTTTCATTAAAACTTTCTATATAATTCCATATATATTACCATTAATCCTCGACTTTCAATACAGTTATATCAAAAATCATTTATTGATTTATATCTTACTAAACATATTTATTCTTTAATTACCTCTCCATCTTCAGTGACTGCCAATGAATGATGACTGCCACAAGCAATAGCAACTATTGGCTTATCTTCAAAGTTAGATGCAACTTTGGTTGGTATAGGATTCTGATTAGATGACGCATTACCCAACTCATAATATCCATTGTGACCCCAAGAGTAAACTTCGCCTTTGTTAGTTAGTGCTAATACATGAGGACCAACCCCAAAAGCAAACGTTTTTACGCCTTTCTGACACAATGCTTCTATTTTTACCGGATGCAATGTACTGTGAGAATCTCCAGTTCCCAAACAACCCGATGTGTTACTTCCCAAGGCATAAATTTTGTCATCTTTTGTAATGATAAGAACTTCATTCTCTAGAGAACCTGAAATACATATTTGATTCTTGATTTAAAAACAAAAATGTATCATTATTTACTAATGTTTTGTGTATTAGAAATGTGTATTGTAATTCTTTTAATTTAAACATTGTCAATAAAGTTTATTCAATTTACATAAATATTAAAGAAATTTTAACTCACCAAATACTAGTACTGAATGAATTTGACTGATAAATTCATTATCAAGCAAACTCAAAATAGGCCAGTTTTTTAAATTTGCACGAGCCATCGTTATTGAAAAATTAAACCAGGACCATAATAAAGTACGCACTTTAGTTAATAATACAAAAATGACTAGATTTATTTTCAATTAATTACTCCATTTCTAGAATTAGACAAAGAAAAATAATATTTTAAACGTAACGCTTCAGTGAATTCCAAACAAAGAGTGAAATATGAGTCACAAGAATTTTATCGCAACTTTAAATTGGTTTATGTTTCAATCACTAGTGATTTTTTAATAATTATTCTTTAATGCTTCTAAACATAAAAAAAATATCAGAGATAGGTTATCAACATTTAATATCTTTAACAAATCATTGCCATTGTTGTTAGGATTACTCTTTTTTAATCGATCAGCTGTTTTTACATTACTTTACTAACCTTTCTTAATACTACGTCAGTACCTTTTCCAGGAATAAAATGCAAAAAAAAATTCTATCTCCAATCAATCTGTTTTACCAACAGTACATTAATGAAAATTTCGAAGCAATCAAGTAATATGTATCGTTGTGAAACAAATTTTCTAAACTCTATTATTTTACTGTCAGCATATAAATGTATGTACAATATAAAAATGAAGAAAAAAAATAATGATAGTTATTTGAGGCATTAAAGTGCTTCAAAATAGAGTCAGGCGCGAAGAAGTCATAATTCAGCACACGTCAACACTGTTATCCACATTTTATCATCAATTGTAATTTCTAACCGCCAAAAAGAATTTCCAATTTTACTGCTGTCACCTATTCGTACTTGTATTTGTTCAACTATTAATTCTGCTAAATAATAAGTTAACGGAAATCTACCTAGAAATGGTAAAAAAGTATTTTGTAGCCTAAAAATATCGTAAATAGTACAAATTAAAATAATCACAAATATTATTATTATTAGTTTTAATATTTATAAATAATTAGTATTTATATTGAATACTTTATCAATGGAATTAAGATTTAAAATGTCTCACAATGTTGATAAATATTGTATTAAGGAACTTGACAATCTTAAGGTTAGAATTTTACCAAATTTCAGCATAACATTCGAAATATAAAAAAATAACTAGTAGATATATCTTTGAATATATTGTTTATAAAAATTAAATACATTCGTTTGTCATAGAAATTAATAATATTGGATCTGTGAAGATGAAAAGTACAATGGATGTCATGGCTACCAGCAACAAGACTATGGTAATGGTAAAAATAAAAACTTTGATCTATAAAAATAATATTTTCAATATCAATGTTATTATATAATAACAAAACAGTTTAATCATTAAACTATAAGAATATTATTGAAGAATTAATCATTTTTATTTTTTAAATAAACTTTTCTTCTAGGATGATAATATTATTATTAATTCAGTGTTAAAAGACGAGCCTAGTGGTGATAAATTTGCTCCAGTTTACCTAGAAGATATTTGTGCAGGAACTTTAGAAAAAGTTTTTCTACCAATTGATACACACGAAGTGGATTTTGCTGATGAAATGGTGATAATACACTAGAGTATGAAAGTTTGATATTTGTTAAATTTTCATTTTACCTTATTAGATCAGTTTTTACTTCTAAATTATAGGTGAAGCTTGGTTTAGAAAATCAGAGTAATCAAAATTGGGTATATCAAATAGCTGGTTCAAATTCTTTACCTGATCGATTAAATGCAACCAGACCTAATTTTATTCAAATTGAAGATAGAAGTAATCTCGAGTTAGGTGAAAACTCATTAATACATGAAGAAAAGTTGAAACATTATGAAGATAAAGATAAAATATCGGAAATAAAAGATGAAACTACAAATTTCAAGACAAATTCTATTTCAGTATCTTCAGTAAACCTTGAAAATGTGTTAAAAAATTCAGAATACACGAACATAACTTCACCGAAGTTCTACAAAATTCAATGTTCAATTTGCAAGAAATGGTTTCTTAATAATGATTCTATGATCGCTCATATTCGTTCACATTACATAAATCTTTCAACACAAGAAACTTTTCAATGCCAAATATGTCAGCAATCATTTTTAGAGGAATCTAATCTTCATGTCCACATGTTAACTCACTTAAATACAAATCCATCAAATCTACATCATGAGTCTACTCAAAATCACCTAACATCCAAGTGGGACCAAAAGTCCAATGATTCATCTGATTTTCAAAAAGATAAATCAGTTGAAGAAATAAACATTGAACCACCGAAAGCTGCTGTTGAAACAAAATTACTAACATGTAATGTTTGTTCGATGAATTTCTATAATAAATCTAGTTTAAATCTTCATATGGCAACAACACACACTACTCCAAAGTCTTTTAAGTGTAGCCTATGTCAACGGTATTTTCCTCAAAAGACTGCTTTAAATAATCACATGCTTGCCCATAGTGGAGAAAAGCCTCATGCTTGTAGTATTTGTGAAAAAACATATAAAAGAAAATCAGAATTAGCAAGACATATGATGGTACATACTGGAGAACGTCCTTATGAGTGCAAAGAGTGCCTAATGACATTTAGAGAAAAGGCCAAGTTGAATTCCCACATGCTGGTTCATACTGGGGAAAAGCCTCATGAGTGTCATATTTGTCATAAAGCTTGTGCTAGGAAATCAGACCTTACCAGTCATATGTTATCACACACTGGTGGACAATATGACTGTAAAATATGTAATAAAATATTTACAAGAAAATCTGATTTAAATAGACATACGTTGATCCACACTGGTGAAAAACCTTTTGCTTGTGAATTTTGTGAAATGGCTTTTAGAGAGAAAACCCGTTTAAATTCACATATGGTAGTACATACAGGTGATAAAAAGCACACTTGTCACATTTGTAGTAAGAGTTTTAAAGAAAAATCAAGTTTGAAAAAGCATATGTTGGTCCACGCTGGAGATAGACCTCATGAGTGTTACATTTGTCATAAAGCTTTTATACAAAAAACAACTTTGAGTTCTCATATGCTGATTCACACAGGTGAAAGACCATACGAGTGTGGATACTGTCCAAAAACATTTAGAGAAAAAATGGCATTAAAAAAACATTGGTTAATTCATGTTAATGAAAAAGATTCTGATAATTCTGTTAATTTTAAGAAATTTAATAGTAAATTAACGATGCTTCCTAATACCACAATCAATCATTCTTCCTCGTAACGATTGTTTTAATTTAGATATATTCAAGTTTATGGATCAAGCTTTATTTGACGTTTATAATTGTTCTTAAACCCTCAATGATAAACTATGTGGTTTAGTGAATTTATTAGCAAATTATTCGAATGATTCTTTATTTTATTAATACTTTGATGATTATTTAAAAATGCTACGATTAAAAGTTTCATACCAAGTTGATAGTAATTAAATAATTCTGACATTAAAAAAAAGTACAAAGACAGTATCCATGATAAGATAATTATATTTTGATCAATACAAGTGATTTTTTTTTGTTTCACATCAAAGTGATTTAATAATATATTCAGCTAATACTTTCATAACTTTGTGATTGATACAGTAATTAAGAAAAAAAACTGTACAGAAATGTTGATAACGTTTTTCTTTATAAAAAAAAAGTAAAAAAAAATTTTTTAATTTATACAATGAATTTTAATCCTTTAAACATATCACTGAACTTTTATTATATCCTACTAAAACAATTAATTCACCATTCGGGTTCCACTTTCCATCTACAACTTTCATTCCTCGTGGAGACTCGAAACATGTTGCTTTTTTATTTGGTTTCCATTCAATTATTGTTGAAGATTCGGAAAAAATTAATAAACGAGTTTTCGTTGGTTCCCATGCAATTCCTAATTGTTTATTAAGTAAAATTAATCAGTAACTGATATTATTTTATTCTCTAAACTAATAGCATAAACTAAAAAGTAATATAATTATGAATACTTACCTGATACAGAGTTTTTCAATAGAATATTATCAACAACGTCTTCTAGCACATCCCAAATCCATAGTGTTGTTGGATAAACTTGGTGTCTTATTGCTAGATATTTTCCACATGGACTAAATTTTAAAATATCAAATGTAGCAATAGATACTTCCCAATTTTTAGGTTCACCATCAATAAGTACATTTATAGGTCTTTCATGAACTTCTTCCACTAAAAAAAAAGAGTTCTATCAACATCTGATAATTTAACTGTTGAACGAAGTATTAAGAGTATAATATTTACAAAGATATCGAATGTGATGATCTATGATAAAAGTTGAAGTTGTAAAAGTAGACCAATCTCTTCTTGAAATATCAACCTCTTTGAAGACTCTTCCAAGATAATTGCCATCTTTTATAACAGGACTGCAATAAAGTTGTAAAATGACTGACCATGTGATGTGATTCACTAAAGCTACCTGAAAAAATCATTAATCTGATATAAATAATTAGAACATAAGCTAATGAAAGATTTATTTCTATTTTCTATTATATCTTACCGTCTCATTGTTGCCTGCAATAGCAACTAATTGTCCACTAGGACTCCAAACAACATGTTCAATTCCTCTAACAGGTTTTTCTGATGAATTTGCATAGATTGATGTTGATAATTGGTCTATACTTGAATTATTTTCACTGCTAAATGCTCCGATATGAGAGTCAGTCACAGTAGAATAAATTAATAATCTTGATTTACCAATAGTTGAACACCATATACCTAATAACTCTCCATTTGGTGACCAAGAGATTCCATCAATAGCAAATAATTTATCACAAATAAGTTTCTGAAACCAAGCACATTTTTTATAAAGTTATTATAATTTAAATAATCAAATTACGCGCCAACAATTTTGTATATGGCGTCAAATTAAAATCAAATGAACACACGATGATTTAAAGAGGTTAAGTTGAAATAAACAGGAATACACGTGAACATAAATATTTACTAATTTTTTTATTGTAATCAAAATAAGTAATCATAATAATTTGAATAAACATAACCTGTAATGGAAGTGACAACTAATTATATATCTTGTGCATGTAATTATTATCCTCATGCAGTAGATTGGGGTAAAAATGGTTTGATATGTTATGCAAGTTCTCATTCTGTTATAATATATGATCCTTATGCTGGACGGGACACTGGTCCATGTATTGGAAAAGTATTAGAGACTTTAGACAAGCATTCAAGTCCAATAAAAAGTGTTCAGTGGATAAAAACAGTTGGAGTTGAGCCAGAAACTGAAATTGTTTCAGGTTCATTGGATGGCACGATTGTATTATGGACACAAAATGATCATAATTCATTTGAAGCAAGTTGTACTATTGAAACCAAAGATCAGTTGATACTTACTCAAGCTTATTATATTAATGGATCAGATAATCAATCATTACTTATTTGTGGAGCTTTTTCGCATGATAATATTTTTATTTGGCGTCGAGATAATTCTGGTGACATTGTTGACAAACAAGAATTGAATTTAAACAATAAGTTTCCGATAAATATACAATTTTTTTACCTTCCTACTTCATCTTCTAGTAACATTCCAGCTCTAATAGTAACAACAGATGATAATATGATTCAATTATTTGCTTGGAATAAATGTTCTGACACTTCTAAAATAAACTTTGTACATGTAAAAGAGTTGAAAGGTCACCAAGATTGGATCCAAGCTCTAGATGTAATTCAGATCAATGAGAAAGAATCTTTTATTGCTAGTGGATCTCAAGATGGAATGATCAGACTGTGGAAATGTAGTTTAAATGAATCCGAAGAACTTTTTGATGAAATGACAACTCAATTTTCTGTAGGAAATTATCACTTCAATGTTTCTTTAGAGTCTGTCTTCAAAGGACATGGAGATTGGGTGTATGGTCTTCACTGGCATCCACCACTTCTTGATAAAAATGGAGAAATATATAGACCTTTAAAACTTTTATCGTGTGGGCTTGACAAAACTTTGGTCATTTGGAAAGAAGGTATTGCTCGAGCTTGGGTAGAAGCAGTAAAGCTGGGAAACATTGGAGGTAATTCTGCTGGATATTATGGTTGTAGATTTAATGAAGATGGATCAAGTGTTTTAGCTTATGGCTATCAAGGTTCTTTTCATATATGGGAAACAGGGATAATAGAAAGTGGAGAGGAAAAATGGATCCCAAGATCTGCACCAAGTGGTCACTTTTCTGAAGTTAATGATCTAGCTTGGGAAGCTCAAGGAAGATATCTCATGACTGTTAGTCTAGATCAGACTACTAGAATTCACGTTCCTTGGAAAATACTCTCCGGTCATGATCAAATTTGGCATGAAATCAGTAGACCTCAAATTCACGGATATGACATCAATGTTCTAGCCATACTTTCGGCTACCAAGTTTGCTTCAGGTGCTGATGAAAAAGTGGTAAGGATTTTTGAAGCTCCAGCACATTTTGTAGAAGCATTAAAAACTGGAGATTGGAGGGATTTCAAAAAAATTAAGGATAGGACATCAGTTCCAGCATTAGGACTTACTAATAAAGTTGTTGATAATGGAGAAATGTCTGAAGAATGTCATAATGAAGACATAAATCCAGATATACCACCAACAGAAGATGAAATAATTAAATATACTCTTTGGCCTGAATTGGAAAAACTTTATGGCCATGGATATGAAATTTTTGCTATGGCAGCAACTCATGATGGAAAATTTTTAGCCACTAGTTGTAAATCTAATTCTCAAGAACACGCAGCTATTATTATTTGGGACATGAAAACATTTTCTCAAGTACAAAAACTTATATGTCATAGGCTCACTATAACACAATTGGAGTTTTCTTTAAACGACGAATACCTTATTTCTGTTTCGAGAGATAGAGGATGGGGTTTATATCATCGTTCTGATGGAGTAACGAATTACAGACTCATTACGAAAAGTTCTGGCGCTAATTCGCTGCATTCAAGAATTATTTGGTGCTGTAGTTGGACTCATGATTCAAAATACTTTGCCACTGGATCTAGGGATGGAAAAATTGGCTTCTGGAATGCTGATGAGCTTAAAACAGATAATAATAAAGGACCTACGAGTAGTTTGGAGATAAATAATGCTTCTGTGACTGCTCTAGCGTTTGCAAAGGAATTTTTACAATCTAATACATATATTTTAGCAATTGGCTACGATGATGGTGGGATTGAGATTCAAAAAATAATTGATAGTGGTTCGAATTTTGAATTTATAAGCTGTGGTAAATTAGAGAAACCCAAAGGACACCATAAAACTGTGAAAAGATTAGCATTTCGACCCCAAGAAGAAACTGAAACTCTTCAACTTGCAAGTTGTAGCTCAGATTGGGCAGTAAAAATTTATACTTTGTACAGTGAAAATTTAAAAAACATTGTCAAATAAAACAAATAATTTTTTGATAATAAGATAAACAATCATTTACGTACCCTACTTAATTTCCATCCTTCAGCTTTGTAAATTTCAACATTTTCTTCACCATTTGTTGCCACTATTACTGCTAACTGTTTTGAAAATTCATTTGCATCAAGATGTTTTACTGAGGATTTTAAATTTAGTATATGCGTTACTCGATGATCATCTAATGTAAGAATAGAAACTTGAATCTGTAATAAGTTACAATGTAATGATTTTTAATCATTTCATTATAGATTTGATAATGTATATAAATTTTTAATATTATTTACCTTAAACTCGGATATAATTATTAGAGATTTATAATCTGGCCCCCAAGAAACACTGTCAATTCCTGCACTCCCTTCAGTATATTTGAACACCCATTCTGGTTGTTTAATTGAAAAAACTTGAATAAATGCTTTTTTCGGACTCGCACAAAGAATCAATTGATCATTCTGACACCATTCGATATACTGAAAAATGTTAAATATTTATTTGTAAAAGATGTTTATGTATTATATACAATCTATTTTACGTAATTACATTTGTCAAACAACTGATCTAATCGAAAATGTTGATCACTGATTTTAATAATTTTATTGTGTCACAATAAAAAACAAAATATTTATATTCGATTATTATTATTTATAATAAATTTATTTAAATCATTAATTTTCTTTACCATCGGTAACTCAAACTAACCTCAATTGTATCAAGAAATGTAAACAAATGATAATTTTCTCCAGATTTGCTAATTTTTATTGACAATTCATTTTGTAATACTGTTGCTAGATACTTGCCTGATGGGGAAAATGAACAAAGATTTTTTGATATTCGAAACATTTCACTAAACTGAAATATGCGAAATTGTAAACAAAGATGTCAACAATGAACGTTATAGCAAAGTGATATGTGAGGTTATACATGTGAGGTCACATACATGTATGTGTGTGGTCAACTGTATACAACCCTATGATTAGTGTTTTTTGATGAGATTTTTTAATTAGAATATTTGCTGAAACATCTAAAAAATAATGTTTCAATTTTATTTTATCATAAAGAAAAGATGTTGTAAAATAAATTAATATTGTAGGTTTCTAGATTTTTATAATATGTTATAATGAAAATATTTCTTCTTTCGTTTTATAGAACCAATCTGATCAATGATGATATAAATATATACATATACATATATACCAATTGTTTTGGTTTTACCTTTGTGTTTATGTTTTAAATAAGCCTGAAAAAAAATTATGTTACATTACATTGACAAAATCCAAACAAAGCCTAGGTGAACATGTCATCCCTTATAATATAATATAAGGCTTATATTGATACACAAAATGTTACTGATCCTCACAATATTCAAAATGTCTGAGTAGAGGAGTTGATTAATCTTAAAAAGAATATCAAGACCAAAGTGGATCCATTGCACCTAGCATTTTTGCTTCACAATATTTTGAATGTTAAAATAATTCATTCTGGATAGCATTAAGAGCCAACAAACAAGCTCATAGAATATAATATACTTTGTTATGAAGTAAGTATAAATAAAAAATATTACTCAAGTCTTTTGTATTTTCTAACAGCTATTTTTTTTAATTATCTAATACTTTTAAGTGCTTCTTTTATTTTATTAAAAGAAATAATATTACGAGTTAGTTAGATAAGATGCATTTATATGATGCAATATAATGTCAATCATATAATTCGTTATAAAATAACTCTTTATTGTTGATATTTAAAATGCCTTAGGTTTTAGGAACTTAAAAATATTGTCATTAATAGTCGACTCGCATGTCATTGTTTGTTATATCAATATTTGTTGCATGTACCAACAATAAAATAGTTGTAAATATTATTGTTATCGTCATTATGTATTTGATACATAACGTTCGAAAAATTAATATTAATCAGGTCTTGATGTGAGATCAATGAAAATATAATTTTAATATCAATGATAATTATGATAATTTATTTTCAGCCAACATTACATTTACACTAAGCTAACCAAATTGTTGATAATAATGATTTCTTATGAAATATCCTGTTAAAAACATGAGATAATAAAAATTTTTCTATTCACTATAAATTCTGGAATGTTAATATTTTATGTGTAAATAAACTATATGTAGATGTAACCTTGAAGATCCATACTAGCAATTGCAGAATATTATTTATCTGACGATTTATTTTACAATAATCATATCAATTTTATGATTCTTAATACATAAATGCAGAATTACTTTTATAAGAGCTATTCAGAATAACTTTTTGGGTTCCAAGTATCGGTAATTATGATGGATACACAAAAATATCAATTAAATTTCATAAATATCTAATTATTCAACATCATTAATTTAATTTTTGAATTTTTAGAAATCTCATTAAGTTGAGACTAATGTTTTCTTAGAAAATGAAGAAAAAATTTTTGGTTCTTAACAATTTATTTATTACCGATATTTCTAAATAATTTGTTTGTTTATAAACAAAATGAAGGGAATACTATTATCGATGATACAACAGTAATTAAGAATTCATTTAGTTGATCAAATAAAGTTATGATATTCATTATTTGAATGTCTAGTCGTTCCCTATATAATGCGGATGAAAATTTTTAAACCTACGCACTCAATAATACAATACTCTTGAAAACCGTTTTATTTAATGTAAAGTGTATTTTTCAATCAAAATGAATTTTTTTAATTCTTTGACTCTAATTATTGGTGCTTTAGTACTTATTGAAGTAAGCTGTTATGATCCAATGGTTATTCGAAAAGGAGATACAACAGATTTATCAGAAGGTAGATATATTGTTAATATTATTTATTTTTATTTTTGCATCACTTTATTTTCAATCATAAGATGTTAAGCAATATTTTAATAAGACTTATCACCATTATATAGAGAACTTGTTTCTCTTTTTTATAAACTTGCATGAATATATAATCGGTTGGTCAATAATCGAAATCCTTCGAATGCTTAATTTCTTATTAGTTTAAAAATTCAATTAACGATAATGAATTTATCACTGATAATGTATTATTTTAAATTTCAGGGTTTACTTTTGAGCGATTTAATTTTCTTACCGAATTAAATGTGAATAATGAACATGTAAATGATAAGTTGAACTGGAATTCATGTTCAAACTATACTGGAATAAACTTTTTTTTTAAATAAAACTGAATCTGACGATTGCTATGGAGAAGTAATAAATTGTAGAGCCATTCCCTTTGATCCAATACGACAGAAAAGGGATATTAACGATATTATTCGGAATTTTGGCAAACTAATTACAATACAACATAATGTGAAACCAAATGTAACCTGTCATTGTCTTTGTAATCGGCGATATGATCGTAAACCTCATTCTTCAGTACGAGAATTATTGGACTCTATTTGTTTGGATGAAGTTTCAGCAGATGTTAAAAACGGCTAGTAAGGATTATAAATAAATATTAACATTTTTATCCATTACATTTCTATATTTGATTTTTAATTACTGTTTTTTAGTGTTCTAACTGGAGTACGATTAAATCGATTGAATAATACAATAGCATTCGAAATTCAAGAAGGCAAACTCATGGACGGAATCATTCTTGGCGATACACGTCGTTGGGTACGTGCAAAAAAATGTAACAATATTGGATTAATGACTCCATCAAAACGTACTTTAATCTTGGATGATGTTATTTTTTCTGGGAATATCGTTGTTACTGGTAAATAAGAATGGAAAAAAAACAATAATGATATGCAAAAAGATTACTTATCTTTTTTATTCTTATTGCAGGTGTGGCTTTTAAAAGATATAGTAATATACCACACCATGAGCGAAGATATCCCGAATCTATGGAAGTTAGAGAAAAAGATCCATTCTTTTTATCAGTAATTGGTCATGGATTAGATAATGAAGAGAATTTAATGGCAAATAATAGACTTGAAATGAGCATTTGGGATTATTCTCTTGCACATAGGTATGATTTTTCTTTTAATATCTGTTAAAAAAATTCTAAAATTTTTCTTTTTTTTTTGTTCAATAGAACTAATCTGATTAATGATGAAATGGATCCATCAGTGGCCGTAATGATCCCTCATAAAAACGATGTTATAAGTAAACCCAAAGAAAATTACGTAACATTCGATTTGGCAAAACCTAACAAAGGTCTACGTCAATTTGTCATACCTTATGTCGATTCACAAAAAGTTACTGATTTTAGTTATCCTCAATTTGTGAAAGGAATTGGATTGTATTATAAAGGATTTCCCGGCTTCGGTGGATATGTTGCTCCTAGCATTTTTGTTCCATTACACTAATTATATAAAATGGAATATACATTGTTTAATGAAGATGAAAAAATATTTCAAGCTTACGAATTATAAGAAATTATTTTAAATAAATAAAATATGATAAATATTTCTTATCTAAAGTTTATGATACATCAAAATTTTAATATTTCTTGTTTATAACATTTGTAAGTCTACAATTTTGATACATAATAAATCAAAGAGTATAAAATATTTTCAAACTGTGTAATTACATGCTTAAAGTTATAACGTTATTAATAATGATGATTAAAAATTAATGTTATTTGTTTTAAATCTTAAACATCAACATTTCTTGAATGAGAAATTCTTCGAATAAGTTGAGAAATGATCTGTATAATTGTTTCTCTAGGTTGATGTTGATTATCCATCAAGTCATTTCTATCACTCAAATAATTAAAAACTTGTTCAAGCGTTTGACAATTGATAAAATAATCAAGTATGGTAGGTTGTCTGTGTTTAATAACTTTAAGTGTTCTAAATACGTCTTCAAGATCCAACGTTTTTGGAAATTCATATGTTAAAACATCCTGTTAAAAGAAAGAAAAAATTATCATTTTAAACATTAATATTCATAATATTGTAATATATAGATATTTTTATAATTATTAAAATATTCATGTTTGAAGATAAACAGATAGATAATTTTTTAACATATAACTACTGTATCAACACAGTTTATAACTTAGTGATAAAAATCTATTATTTAATAATTGACAAAAAAAACATTAGTTATTAAATCAACAGACTTAAACATTTAAAATAGAACTATAATTGAAAGAGTTGAGTATTGACTTCAAAAATATTCAAAGGTATTGAAGACTATATAGTCTTATGTTTATAAGAAAAAATATTAATAAGCAATTGAGAAAGATTAGCGAATCGTGAAACATCTTGAAATGAAAATGCGTCGTCAAATGATAATTTTTACTTTTTTTGCTAGTTTTTTTTCTGTAATTGGTTAGTTCATAATTTATTATTTAATTTTTTATAAAATAAAATAATATAAATGTAAATGTATAAGTCAAAAATTATTGTTATTAGATTCACGTATAATTTATAAATCGGAATGGCAAAAAGATGCTCAACCAATGATCCAAAGACTTTCTCATACATCATCATATGTTGTGTTATATCAGACTGGTGGACCACCATGTTATCTCAGAAATTCGTGTATTAAAAGAGTTCAATTAATTCAGGTAAATTACAATTGATTTTCTTTCAAAAAAGTTCTAATTTTAAGGATGTTTCAAAGACTGATTGAAAATTTTTTTTTATATTTTGTTACAAATAAATGATCTTTCAATTTTTGCTTGAAATTTTTTTTTTCCAGAACTATTATTTAGAGAATTGGAGCCAGTTGATTTTTAATTATTTAATTGGAGGAAATGGAGATATTTATGAAGGATCTGGTTCATATGAAAGAGCAAATTTTTTGGGTCCACAAAAAAAAAACTATTTATTAATTGCATTTATTGGTAACTTTACAGGTAATTTATTTTTAATTTCAACCTTACTTTTTTGATTGACAGAAAATAATATTTTTCGTATCAAAAAATTGTTTTTTTTTTATATGTAATATAAATATGATTTATTATTAGATATGCAAATAACATCGGAGGCTTGGGAATCCCTAGAATATTTGCTAAACTTTGCAGAAGAACTCAGATTTGTATCGAAAGATTATACTCTACTTTCATTTCAGCAAGTTAAATATAATGATCAATGTGTAGATCACAATTATAAATATATTCCATTTAAAGAATTATTATCTCATCCACGTTGGAGGAATATCACACTTACAATAGACAACATATCTACGTCATATCTTTAATTATTATTTTATACATCTTTTTTTTTAATTTTATAAAAATTATTGATAGATTATTGATAAGAGAATGAATAATCAAACAACTTACCAAATGTCTACCAGTAAATTGGACTGAATAAATCAAACTATTTACTAATTCATTTATTTTTTCTGCGGTTTCTTTTGATGCTTGAGGTTGTAAAATGATGGTAATGATGTACTTGTTTCCTTGCTTCTCCACAAGATTTTCACAGGTACCTGTAGTAACTAAATGTCCATCAACTAATATTCCAACTCGATTACAAAGTGCTTCTGCTTCATCTATAGAATGCGTAGTCAATAATATTGACGTTCCCATTTCGCATAGTTGGCATAAAGTTTCATCTAGTGAACTTCGTGAAATTATGTCCATTCCAGATGACGGTTCATCAAGAAAAATTACCGGAAGATCACCAATGAGACTCTGAAGGACAGCTACTTTTCTTCTAACTCCCCAGGCACAATTTTTCAACATTAAGTTTTCAAATTCTAACATATCTGAAATTTAAAAAATATATAATATCAAAATATTTTATTATCTTTATTTTCAATTAGAAATGAATGAAATATAAACAGATAAAACGTGAATACACAGGTGTTTATTAAAAACTTGTGATACTAAAAAAAAACGAACTAGAATTGAAAAAGTAGCCTTTACCAGTGGAATTAAGGGAAAGAGAGAGAGAGAGAGATAATGATATGAATAATTATCTAATAATTTATTATTCAATATTATCAATATTGATGTTCCTGCCATCGAATATTATATCACAGTATGTTTTGTCGCGAAATATTTTTTTAGATGTTTTGATATTTTAATAAAATAACTTGTGATCATACCTAGAAAAAAAATCATAGATCTAATAAAATATTCTACCAAAAACGTCTAGCCATCGATCAACTTCGCCGCGAATAAATTTCCAAGGTACCCCTCGGATAGCAGCAAAAAAGTATAGACTCTGTCGACTGGTTAGAAAGTCAAAAAGTCCACCTTTTTGAGGACAGTAACCAATTATACCAAAAAATTCATCATTATTTGGTGAATATTCAGTCCCATAAATCCAAGCTTTATCAATTTTAGCTTTTATTTGGCCGATTAATGCTTGAAAAATAGTTGTTTTACCAGCACCGTTCATCCCCAGGATTCCATAACATTCATTCCTGTCAATCTGCCAAAAATACACTTATGTATTTAAAAGAAATATTAATCTCTAGATTAAAGTAATAAATTTATTGTCTACTTACTCGCAAGCTGATATCTCGAACAGCTTTTTTGGTTCCATAGTATTTAGAAAGATCTTTGACGATAACAGTTGTATCTAGTGACCTGACATTAAAATTTTCAAGGTTTGTTATCAATTGATTGATTATTTTCTTTTCAGTAATTATATTATCATCAGTGATTTCAGTCGCTGATCCATAAACTTTTGAAATAAACCATTTCCTTCGATTGTTAAATTCACAAATGATTAGAATTAAATAAAAAAATATTGTCTGTGAAGCCATTAATAATAAATCACTCATCACAGAATGATGAAATAATGATTCTGTATTTGTTTCTGTCAGAGAATTGAGTGGTTTGTGACAAAATTCATTGCCACAGTTATCTATAAATGAAGAATGAATTTATTTTCACTAATATCTAAATAATATTTTAGAGCAATGTCAAATATAATTACAACAACATGGATCCTCAATTGCAAATTCAGTGTCACATTCATTTTCTACTGCACACTCTTCATTGTATAAATTTATTGCTATAAAGTTTCCAATGGCACAAGAGAAGACATAAGGTGGAAGCACGTGAAAAAAAATTTCCATGTATTCTTGAACTTTTATGTCAATGTGGCTCAGAAGCAGAGGAAATATTAATTCTGGATTGATCATCAGAGCTAAAATATTATTGCAATTAAATGAATATGTTAATTTTCTAGTGTGGAGAAATTATTCAAGTAAATATAATAATTTGAGTTAAATTTTTTTTGTTCTAAGGTATTGACAATTTATTCATATAATTTTATTTGATTTACCTGAAATAAGATTAATTATCAATATTGTCAAATAAGCATTTCCAATTTTTTTAATCCACAATTGAACACAATATCCCATAACAATAGCAGTTGCTCCATAAAACAGAAATATAATACACAATTCAACTAGAAATTTGTAAACACATTATATTACTTATAAAAATAAAATAATGACGATGTACATAATTAAATATATCCGAAAGTATTATTAAAAATTTACTTATAACTGCTGTAGAAATTGAAATGATATGATGATAACTGAGAAAGCTTGTAACAGCAGTTATGACGAGAGACATCATGAAGATTAAAATATCAATACAATATGTTGGTATCCAATAAATCAAAGAAGTCATTTTTTTGGTATTCAACTGCAGTATTTTAGAAGAACTGCTTGCTTCACGAAGTCCAAGATCCACAGAAGGAAGTAGAAGAAATAAAGTGGTTATAATAACAGCATTTTCCCAATTTTTAACTCCTTTGCCATGAGAAATTTCATACTGCCACTGAAAAATCAATATAAATATCAATTTCCCCTCAAAGGATTAAAGTGAAAATAATAAACCTCCAAAGAAAAACTACTAACATGTTCTGGATGAATTAATGGACGACTTTTCAAATTAATTCGTAAGTCATCCCGTTTAGTAAGGTACCTTAATAAAGTATTATGAAATAAATTCAAAGCTATTGGACTGCTATGTAATAATATCGGTGAGTACATGATTTTTATTTGATGATTCTTCAATATATCAATCGTCATAAAGTATCGTTCTCGAAACTGATAATTAATAAATTTACATAATATAAAGAAAATTTTTTCATTTAAATTGAATACAAATCAATAACTGTTGCTTATTACGCTTATCGAATGCAACTCTGGATGAATCATAAACTCTGAAGCTGTAGTGTTTCTCGTAATATGCAAGTCATTCATTTCAAAGTCTTCGCTGGTTTGTTGTAGCATCAAGAAAAAATTATATGAGTGAACATCTTCAGATACATAAACCAGTGCATAAAATTTTCTGCTTGAATACAGGGCTGGGTTTAAATCGATTTCACTGTTAATATCACGAATTAGTTTATTAAATAGACTAGCTGAGAATGATAAAAAATTATGCTCTATGATGTAATATACCTGGAATGAATATGTGGAAATTTAGCCAACCCAGAGACAGTCATTGTCAAAACAAGTGCAATGATAGAAAAAATGATCTTGATAGAGAATAAATTAATAATACATATTTGTTGAATATTAATTAGAAGAAACTGAGAAGTCAAGGCTTACTGAGAAGAGATATGGATTCCAAGATGCAGTGACGTGCAATATTTTCTTATAAATAATTGCGAGGATCTGTTGACGACGTAAAGCGTTATTGGTGAGTCGAACCCAATGGTTTCGGTCTTGAATAAGTTTTCGTCGTCGTTGTTGGAGTATCCATTCATGCCCATCGCTAGGAAACCAAGCTTTGCGTTCCTTAAAATGACTTATCAGACCTATTCTAAAAAAAATTAATTCAGTAAATATTTTATAAAATAAAATTAGTCATTAATCATAAATAAGTCTTTAAAATTACTTGCGGAATTGTCCTTCAATACTAGCAGGATGCAAAGATACAGACGATATTTTCAATTCTTCTTTATTCATTTCTAAAAAGCTAAATAATTTTGCAAATCTTGTGTTTCGAGACATGTTGAAATGAACCATCATGCCCATTTTTCCAGTCAAGTTGACTAATGATGCTGAATAGTCTTGAACACGATTGTGTAAATTTTGAAGATCACAACCAGGTTTAATGACAATCGTAAGTTCATAGCCTATTTTATATCGTCTATTTAAATAGGATTTCGATCCATAACATTCAATCCGACTATTTGCAATTATTGCTATCCTATCAGCTAAAGTATCTGCTGCTTCCATTGAATTAGTTGCCATGATCACTGTCTTTTTACCCTTCACTTTACCCAATATTTCCCACAAACGTTTTCTATGCTGTGGATCAACTCCGTATGTTGGTTCATCAAGAACCAAAACTTCAGAATATCCAATCAAAGCTATGGCTAAACATAATTTTCTTTTTTTACCAAACGTGAGTTCATTAATTAATTGATTTTTCTCTTTTTCTAAACGAAGTAATTTGAGAAGACTTTTAGACTCCACTTGAGATTCCTCATAATCTAATCCTTTGATCTGAAAAAAAATTATTTAATAAATAGGTTATTAATATTTAGTTACTTAATAAATTGTATTAATAAAATGAATACCATGCCAGCTAAATATAAGTGTTCATAAACACTTAAATAGGTTACAAGCATATTTTCTTGAGGACAATAACCAATAATAGATTTGGTTTTTTTTTCAGATGATTTAGTGTCTGTATAATCACGACCCTCAATATAAATATGTCCACGAGATGCTTGATAAATACCTGGAATTAATTAAATCAATTCAAAAGTTTATACTTCCTCTTATAATTCTTTCAATTTTTTTATTCTTTTTTTGTAAGCAAAGATTAAATATTTTTAGCAAAGAAAGAAAAAAATTTATATGTACCAGCTATAATTTTTAATAAACTACTTTTCCCTGCTCCATTGTGACCAAGAATAACATTGAATTCATTTGGATAAAAATCTATAGTCATGTCCTTTAAAACTTCCAGTTTTTCAAAGCCAAACTCAATAGTTACTTTTTTTACTCTTACTTTAGGCTATGTAGATTGAATACAAATACTTGGTGAATGTTAGTGTCAAGGTTTAGACAGATTTTTTATCATTGTACCTACTTTAACAAATTTAGGCGGTCTTTCTACTGAAGACCAGTTCGTACTGCCTCTTAAAGTTACATTAATATCATTCAGATTGTTTCGTTTTCTCTTGCATAAGTAATACCAAGGTTTTCTCGTTCCAAATTTTCCTGGATAAACATTATCCAAGTAAATAGCTATCAGGTACCATGCAATTAAATGAAACAGCCATGAAATTATTACGGCACTGATAGATATTCTATTCATATCTTCACTTAATTTAGAGTCGTGATATTTAGATTGCCAAAATCGTGGCTTTGCAATTTCAACGCCATCATCTTTTTTATTGAAATTGATAATTATCTACCATTCAACAATGCATTGAAAGAAGATCTATAAAAATAAATTCATACCAAATTGACTTTTGTATGTAAAATCAACTAATCCATAAAGTAATCCACTGTGAGGGAAGAACAATGAAATAATTTTTATAGTTAAACTTGAATCAATTAGTGACTCATCCAATAAAATAGTGTAATGTGCCATTGCCAACCATAAAAGAATACAGGCAAGAATTGCTCTGATTGCTGTAAAAATTTATCAAAATTATTATTTAGTTATATAGCAAAGATTTTGAAATGAAATAAGATGACGTATTTACAATGAACAAAAAAAGTTCCAACTGCAAATATGAAAAAAGCAGACATCATTATATACATAAGTATAAAAATGGCTAAAACTATACTTGAACTTGAATAAATCGGATGAAGTATCCATGTGCAAAAAAATACTGTTGGGACTGCAGTAATCATGAGATAATTAATCCAACCGAAGTAAATAAAGGCTGGATTAATGCCTGATAATTTCATGAAAGCCTGAAAAAAATGAATAGAGTTTTTAATTGAAAATTACATCTATAGTTTACATCTTGATTGAAAATTAATGAATTACCTTAAAGCCAGTTTTTTTATCATGAATAGCTTTGTGCAAGCCAGATATGGGAATCAATAAATATGATAATACTGTCAAGTAGTATATGAGACTAATTTTTGGTCGAACAGCTGATGGTAGGATCGGAAAGCGTATGTGGTAATGCGGAAATCGAGCTATTTTAATCTACCATAAAAATTACAGAAAATCGTTAGAAATAATAAAACATTTTTTAAACAAGATAAAATTTAAATATTACATTTTCCCCAGAATATGGTAGATCACCTTCACTCCACAGTTCGATAAATGACCGCTCGATTGCCACTTGAATTGCCATAAAACCACTGGTAAAATACTCATCTGAAATCACATTAAACATCTTTGGAATTTAAATTGAAATCTGATGAATATGATACGAGTTAATTCTTCTTACCTCCATCTCTTGAATCTTCATGTACATTTGCACGGATTTCATAATTTAAAACTTCTGGAAGCGATTCACTGCTAGGCTGATTTTTATTTATTTATTTTAAAATTGACCCAATTATAAAAAAAAAGCATGCTATTCATTTCAATAGCATTCTGTAATAATAACAATAAAAAGTGTCTACTTAAAATACCTCAAATAAAATGAAAGCTGCTTCTTCAGGTACCACACTTCTATTAGGACCATAAATTGAGCTCAGAAATTCATACTCATTAATTTTAGGTGTAACTGAAATTGTTCAAGAAATGTTAATCATTCTTATCAGATCTATAACTTGTTGTTATTGGTTCACATACTGGAAATATTCAATATTTCAGAAGTCCGCTGAATTATATTGTCAGTAAATTCATTACTTGGAGTGTAATAACAAGCTGTTAATGACTGAATGCTATTGAGAATCGTATGACCATTATAAAAATTGATTTTCTGTAAATATATAAAAAATTTTTAATTGATAAATAATTTATTCCAAAAGATTATATTAGATATGATAAAAAGTATTTTGAAAAAATTACTGTGTATATTATTATCGATAAATAAATGTTAATATGTAATTTATATACCTGCATATTAAGGGCTAACGGCTCAAATATGAGACGAATTTGAAAAGAAAATATTATTGGAATTATTATCTCTAGAATAGAAATAATAACACTGTGTTTTCTCATTAAAACTGCCTTAAAAAAAAGAACTTTCCAGTTAAACCAGAAATGCTCTAAAAAAGCAAAAACTCTGGGGTATTTTTCAATCCACTTTTCCATCATTTTCGTTAATTAAAGTATGAGCAAAGAAACATAACTGTTAGAATAAATAATTTATATTATCTGAACATAGTTGTGTAGCTTTGAAGTTAACAATAAACAAAATAAAATACGCATCTACCTAAGTATACTATAGTACACAAGTATAAATTTTTATCGAAATTTCCAAATTATTTCCAAATTATCATCCGATATTTTGATTAATAAAAATCTTCAGTCTTAATCCATGGATGACATAATTTATAAGCAGGAGTTGAATTTCCTTGAATAAGTAGATAATCAATTCGTGTTCCTTAACTTAAAAATAAAGCTGGGCTATCCCAGAACAACTAAACTTTTTCTAAAAGATACACCATTACATAGCCAGTCAGTAGGAATTGATTGTTAACTCAAAATTTATATCAAAAATCATATTGTTTAGTTATTGTATTCAATTTTTGGGATTAAATGTAGAAAAAGAAAGCTTAATAAATATCTCTCGACATAAAACTATCGATAAATTCATGTAAAATGTTGATAAAAGATAAAATATTTTTTGTAACCTCCTAGCTCTCTTTCATCTTGAATTTTATTAAAGACTTTCGCGCCAAAACTATCAATGAGAATCTTTATTTGAAACATTGTCGGTATTTAAAGATTATGTTAAAATTACAATAATTCAATAAATGTTTTTACATTTTATAATATTTTTTTTTAACTTTGTCGACTTCTAATTAAGCACATATGTATCAGTATTTCAAATGGTGATTTTTCTGGAAAGAAATGTGTTTTATATCACTTTCGTAAATTCGAGCAGATGTCACCATCATGCTATTCTTATTTTTTTATACAACGCGAATCACACAATAATTTAAATTATCAACATTTATTAAATCAGTAATTGATTTGATGCTCATGCTCTAACTTTGTGATAATTTAATAAATTTAAATGATTGTATTTACGTATTTTCTTTCCATCTCTTAGTTTTAACCTCCAAACAATTGCTATGTTTATCCTACTCACTCAGTTTATTTTTTCCATTAGAAAAAATTTTTTCTTCTCATTAGTGTTTATTTTTCTATTTATTGTAACACCCTAAAACCTATTATTTTCTTATCTACATTTTAAATATTACTCGCTCCTTTCGTAAAATTACACAGCAATAATTCATTTGGAATGTTCCAGTTTGACATTCTGGCCTGAGTGATTTCATGCGGAAGTAAATGTAGTGAAATTTTTAAACATAGAATCAGAGTTGTAGAGCTGTTTCCATTTTTACACTTATTTAGTTTATTAATATTTTTATTTGATATATAATCAATATTTTTAAATAATTTCTTCACAATCTATGTAGATCTTTTTCAAGATAATTCAATACTCTCATCAATGCCTTTTCTTCTAGGCCTTTAAATTTCCACTCTCCATCAACCTAGCATGTAATTTGCTATCGCCTTCTCCACTCCTTTAATACATCTTATATAACTTGAGATAATTATTATTATCATGTAGATAGTTTTTTAATTCATTCAAATTAAGGTGAGTTTTATTTGCAAATCTATGGCAATTGAATTTAATGATAAAATACCGAAATATAATATCTGGTATCTTAATCTGTAGATATACTAAATCAAAATCAATGATTTCAATTTAATTTAATCATTGTATTGAGAAAATTATTGCTTATGAAAATTAATTGTCAATAATTCAATGTTCACCAAGTTACAGTAGTGATAAAATATATGTTCTTGATATGAAAAAGTAATCGAGAGTCTTAATTACACTTTCACTTTTTCTATTTTTCAGACAGTGGGCTAGGAACTTAACATGACTATGAGTACGTGTCACAATAATACGTGAAAATGCATAAAAGTAATTTAATGCAAGTAATCACATTTAAGTCTAATGAAAATGATAATTGTTACAAGTTGCAAAAACTCTTTTAAATTATATTGATAACTTGTACTATTCATTATTCTTATATTATTCATTATGCATTAAATAATTTATTTATATAAATTTCTTACGTAATGAGTAGAAATTTTGTGAAATAAATTCCATGAGTTTCAGTTGTAAGATACAACATATTATTTCTCTGTATTCAGAGTCATAGAAAATTATTGTTTGAGGATTTGAATGTATAGCAGAATAGCAGCTTTTGATTCATGATGTTGTACAGGCATTTTTACTTACACATTAAACTGTTACATATTTTTTTTCGATCAAATTCAATATTTTTGACTGTCAACAAAACACAGTCAACAAGTTCCATTTATTTTGTCCACTATTGCTAATATGAACTGATCCAAATAATCAACAAAAGCTGATTTAAGTATTTTAAAATAAATCCAAAGATTTTATCGTTATAAGACTCAGACTTCATAGCTCATTATGATTTCTCTTCTTCTGAAGCAACCAAAAAGCACAAAGGTATTATTTGGAGTTTTAGGGTTTCTTTAAAAAAGCTTCTAATCGAAATAATCTTGTTACATCACTAAGGCTCATACAGGCTGCAGCTTACATCCCATAAGATTGATATATCTGAAATATTTAAATTAAAGTAAGTTTTAAATGTTGAAAACACGTAAAATATCAAATGATTACACAATAGTTATAATTAAACAACATCTAATACATAATTATATTATACAAATTTTTAATTTGAAAAAATTCGTTCTTTCTTTACTCATGATTGAATATCCTCTTTTCACTGTTTATTTTTAGCCAGTGTAGTTACATTATTTAGCATAGCTATGTTCTTGAAATCAAATGTTATCGCAATAAACATTATTAAACTGTTTAAAAAAATTTATCAACTTAAAGTTATTATTAAATGTTCTTTTTTTGCAGCTATTGGTGTTTCAATTTTTATATTTCCTTGAGTATGATTATTTATTGCATTTTCTTATATACAAAATTGAGTCAACCAACTACAAAACACAATTACTTTTGATGTTGTATTATTATGATTGTTAAAATTTTTTCAAAAGTGCTGCTATTTTATGGATTGTAATATTTTATGACTGAAATAAGTCGACCATAACATCAGTACCAGTAGAGTCGAGTTTACTTTTAAATATTTCGTAGAACTTTATTACGAAATGATCTGATACAAAGAAATGTTTTTTTTTTCCTTTCATGTAATTAATTATATGATGAGTACTTTTAAGTTTGCTACTGGATAAGTTACGTTTAAAACACATATACTTTCCTTTGAAATACATACACAAATTAATATGTACTTACCATCATTTAGAAAATGATGTAAAGTTGTCTGCATGATAGCAGATAATTGAGGGTAATCATTCTATAATAACAAGACGCATTTTGAATTATAATGTAATGTAAAAGAAATATTAGTGTCTTATTTGGAACATCGATGCTATTATTCTTATTTTTGAAAAAAAAATCAGTTTTATTTAAATAACCTCTAGTCGAGGACGTTAAAAAGACCTTGATATTTATTAATAATTATTTGCACTAAAATTTATTCACAAGTTTTTGATGTTTTTTTGTACATTAAAAAATGTCCATTGTGCATGGAAATTAATAATAGAATGGTGGTTATTATTTATTCCTATCCACTTCACGAGGGTGGACCACTAGCAGGATAATTTTATGCTGATGAATGTGACCAGCATAATTATTTATTATTTTTTTTAATTCTTTCCATCATAATTTTTCCCTTTCCTACTAATTCATCCTCACTCACTCCTAACCTTTTCTCTACTCCCACCTTGTTTTTTCTGATATATTTTTTTCGATATAGTTAACCACAATGATCATGCACACGATTTATCTATTGAATAAAACTTTCAAAACCATACAGGATAAGAAAATTTTTATAAGATAAAAATTATTCTAAAACTGTGAAAGATTATTTTAGCGGGCAAGGTGAAGTTTGAAAAATTTATGTTAGCATAGTTATTAGTGAATTTGTGTCGTGTTCTTGAACATAAGTACGTGAATCAGACTCTTCATATATAATGAAAGATTGATCACACAATCAATATTTATCACTCATATCTTGCAAAAAAGGTTTTGAATATACAAATACTTCTAAAGCGCTAATTTTGCTAGTCTACATAACTATTAATCTTGTATCATTTTTAGAATTTTTTCATGAGTTTTTTTTATGATTTTATAAATTGTTCTGTCAGTATTCACCTGAAAAAATTTATTGTTAAAATTATAAATATTTAAATAATTATTATAACAATGTTTTTAAACTATTCTATGGTAACAATTTTGTCACAATGTAATCGTATAAACATTAAAAAATTCAGGATTTCGTTAAATTTGAATATTAAAAACATCTTCATTCAAAATGCGAGAGCAGTAACCTTTTTATTGACCTTGTCGTGGACACTGAACCGGTTGATTCATTTTGAGACTATTTTTTCTTCAACATCTTATTATAATTTAGACAATTTCAAGTATTTCTTCATTAAAATACAATAAAATCAAATTATCTAATTGATTTCATTTAAAATTATCAATTAGCTTATAATTCTTTCCATACTTAGCTGACTTTCTTTCTCAAGTTTGGTTAGATTTTAAATTGAGTTGAGTATCAAACAAGTTCGCTAATCAAAACCACTGATCATAACAGTTTCAGCAGTAGAAATTAAATTGAATAGTAAATTCTAAGACAAATAAAATTCAAGGTTACCTTGGGAAATTTAAAACACACAAAAACTTGGTTTTAATTAATCTATCATAATTATATTGAACCAAGAAACTAATTCAATTATCATATCATCAATTTTATATCAACCAAAATCATTGATGAATGTATACTTTATTCAAACTCTTTATGATCAAAATGGTATTTTTGATAAATGAAGCATTTATTTATTTTAAGAATACATTCACTCTTTTTGGAATACTTTTTTGATGACTGTCCGAATACTGAGGTTTATTTTTTTGATCTCTGGTTATAATTGGTCAACCCATTATGATGATAAAAAAAGGTAAGTAAAAAATTCTCAAGACCTTTTTCATGGTCAATTATCATTGTTGTTCTCACTCTAATTTTACATTAAAATTTATTCTTTAAAATGTTTCAACAGTGACATGTGAATTAGTCACAACCATGAGAGGGCTCAAAAACATTAACACAATCCAAGCAGTCAAGTTCAAGCCTTCTCCAATGTAAAATAAATAACTACAAGTCGCGTGTGTAGAAGACGAGTGGTATATCTGTATCTTTGTAGTCGTAGAGTAGTCAGTTCTCAGAGTAAAGTGAAGTGCTAAGACATTAGATCGTGTGTAGTGTGGTACATTCTCTTATTCTGATAAACCTATTCAATAATTTGGAACTATCAGGTGAAGTTTATTTTTCTAATCAACTATACTGTCACCATTGTAGTCTTTATTCATTTTTTTTCATAATTAAAAACAATTTTCTATCAAACAATTATCCGTTCTAAATTGAATGAATTGTTGAAAAATAAACAAAGCGTGTATACTATTTATTTTTATTTAAACAATAAAATATATTTTACCAAAATCAGTGTATTTTTTGACAACAGTGATAATCTTGAGTGTCAACATGAATAAAATAGTTTTTATAAAAATAATTGCGATTTAGTAATGTTTATATTGATTTTTAAAAATTATATATAATTTCGTTTGGAGTGATTGTTCAAAATTATTAGGAATTAAATAGTTAAAATATCTTGAAATAAACATTGTAATTCGATGACGTTAAAAGCAATGAGAAATTTATTTGAAACCGTAATGAATATCTTTTATGACAACAGAGTTTTTAATAATAAATGAAAAAAAATCATAAAGACACATAATTGTAAAAAATGTAATTGTTCAACACAGCATGATAATTAATCACAAATGTTTTTATTTCTTTAATTCTTTAAATTGTTTCACGTATGTTAAAGGACACTCTTACGTGCGTACTTAGATCATAGTCTATTATCTTTAATGAGATAATTTTTTCAAATCTTAGGAAAAATGATAACAAAAAGATATTTTTAAACCTATTACTTTTATAAGTATATATATATTTTAATAAATATATTTAATCAATTGGTTGATTATAAAAAGAATATAAAAAATAAGATATGAATTAAATAATAGTGATAGAAATAAGAGAAAGTCAAAACATACAATTGTTTGCCTATTTGCATTTCTAATTTTCGACCACTATAGTTTCTCCTTTACTTGCACAGAAAATTATCGTTTATTCCGCATCAATTAAACCAGGTCACTTTTGTTTTCAGTATCTTTTGACACCTGGTAAATTATTAAAAGAAAAATTCGGTGAAGACATTTGCATTTCTTTTTAATAGATCCAACATCTTTCAGCATTCAATTCAAAATCAACTTTAATTACAATAAAGTTTTTTTTAAATTAATATTATCATCAAAACTAAAACTATTCCATTTAACGTTTATTTTAAATTAACATAAATTTCATGAACCATTCAGAAAAATTAAAAACAAAAAAATAAAAATTCCAGATAAAAAGTTTGATCAAAAAAAGTTGATTGACGTAAACACTTTGATTCAGTAAAAATGGAGTAAAATAAGTCATTGATCAGCCTTTATGTTAATTACTTCAATTAATGCATAAAAAAATATAATAGACTTATTTATTAACTTTTATACTATCAACATCTTGAAAAATAACTTGAATAAAATCTTTCCATAATAGCACCCGTAATAATAAGAAAAATGAGCTAGAAAATTTCCTCTTTTTATCCTTGTTCTTTATGGACATCTTATTTGTAGTGATCTAACTCAATCATAATTATGTAATTGCATCAACCATGCATACTGCAAGAGAAATGGGTGACTAGACTATGTCAAATAGTAGCCAGCATTCAGGTAGATTTGATAAAAGAAAGAAAATTTTCCATAGACATGAATATGCTAATGTTGCTTATAAACTAATATATATGTTTATAATAAATTTCCATTGATAAAATGATACTATAATTTATAATTTCACTGATATAAAATTTCTTATATTAGAAAAGCAGCAACTGCATCATTGAATCCAATGAAATTCAACAAGACCCAACTGTCAGATAAATATTATACAGTCATTTAAATAGTTCCAGTTCGCTACTTTTAGCTTAACATTTATTGCAACACATCAGGAAATCATTTTATCACATAAATATGAATAAATAAAGAGTATATAATGGCTAATGAATGTAAAAAACTGCCCTTGATGATACAACAGTTGATTTAAATGTGAGGTCACATGTAATGCATGAACTTATATTGTTATTATTGGTAAAAGTCATTATAGTTCATCAAGAATAAAAAAAAATGATTGTTAGCATAAATAAATGTCAGTGTAATTAAACTTGTTTTTGTTTGAAGAAACTTGAGTCATAATAAATACCCGGAAAAGCGAAGGTTGATAAACAATAATTAATAAAATATTGGGAATCACTATTTGTAATGTGATTAATTTTTGCTAATTTATTATTTAATGAAAAATTAAACGAGTTTAATTAATGATTACATTTTCTTATATGTGTTTCAGACCATCTCTTAGCTCTGGTACCTTTTCTAGTTAAAAATGGTACCAATGAGTGAAGGAGTTAATAATGCCAATTTAAGACTTGGTAGTCCATCATCAACTGCATGGCTCTATTTATTAGCTGAGTTCTTTATTGGAATTTTTTTCTCTAGTATTCTAGCTATTTTAGGAATAATCAAGTATATCTTGCCAAAACCTCCAAGGGATCTTAGAGGAAATGTAGCTTTGGTGAGTCTAAATTCAGAGATCAAATATAAAGAAGTTGATTATTTTTCAATTTAAATATTTTAATTTTACAAATTAAAATCATTTACATAGTCATTTTGAGAAGATAATTTTAATAAAATATCCATTCAATTACTATTGATTTCTTTAACAATAATCAATTAAAAAAATTAATAAAATGAATTTTTGTTTGAGATCAAAAATGATTTATGACAATGCATAATGAAGATAATATGCTAAATAATATTTATGATGAAGAATAAAGTTTTGTTGATTCGATACATGTACTTCCAATTTCCAAGGTAACATTAAATGACAGATACGTAAGCATAGGAATTGATATTGAAGTAAATTCATTATTAGAAATATTTAAATTTTTCAATTGAACAGCATTACTCAATCCAAATCCGTCAAAAAAGTAAAAAAAGTTATGACTTAGATCCAAATCTCGTAAAACAGATTGCGGTGAAATCCAATTGTCTGATAAAAATCTTAATTTATTATGTGAAAGATTCAGTACTTCCAATTCATTCAATTGATAAAATGCTTCCGGATGAATATCAACGATAGCATTACCTCTCAAATTGATTTCTTTTAATTTTGATAAACCTTTGAAATCAAATTCATCAATTGATTCTATTTTATTATCTTGAAAAGAGAGGTGTGATAAATTGGTTAAACTTTCAAAATCTGGAAGTACTTGGAATTGATTACTATCTAATCGAAGAGATGACAAATTAACCAATGGTTCAAAAATAGTTTTATTTATTTTCTGAAGACTATTATGTGATAAATCCAAATATTCCAATTTAGTGACATTTGAAAAGGCATCTTGATCAATTTGTTCAAGTCGTGATTGTGAAACAGAAAGTACTTTTAAATTAATTGCATCTATCAGTTTAATTCCCTTACAATCTTTAGATGTTAAACCACACAGTTGATTAATATTATTATAATCAACATTTAACACTTCTAGAGTATTTAATGGGACATTTTCTATTTTTTCAATATTATTTTTATCCAAATATAAATGTGTCAATGATGATGGTACATACTTCATAAAATTTGTTTTAGAAATTTGATTATCACTCAGGTATAAATGAGTGATATTTGGAAAGAGTTCGTCCAACCATACATCAGTTAGCACTGAGGTAATTCTATTTCCACGTAGATATAACTTCTTTAATTTAGGTAAAGTAAATGCTGGTGTAAAAGTGATAGAATTTTCAGTCTTTGAATCTTCCATGTGCATAAGATGTTTTAATAAATTTCGACGATTACTAACAGCAAGTTTACTTCTTAAAGCTTGATCCAGTACGAGTATTTCAATTGATCCATGACGATTGAAGTTTAATTTATCAAATGATAACAAATTGCCGGCTAAATTCAAGTACTTCAAATTAGGTACTTTATTAAAAGTTTTATATGCCATTTCTGAGATGTTATTATTTTCCACATGAATGCAGAATATTTTATCACTGATAATCAAGGGTTTCCTCAAACGTCTCATGTCTGTCTCTGACAGATCTATCACGTGTTCGTTTAGATAATTGCATTCTGGATTAGTATTAATATCAAATGTACCGTAGACGTATGAATTGAGTATCAATAATGATGAAATGATTAATAAAATTATTTTCATTGACATGGTGAGACACACAAAAATAGAAACACTTGGAATGATGTGTTGTTTAATTGGAACAAAACTAGTTCTGGATATCAATGTCTTAGCATTTATAAGCATAAGAAGTGTTCAGTAAGCATTAATATTCATTTTTAAATGCATTGTTTCAATGATAACATTATCATTAATAGGTTTTGACTAAAAACTTTTTGTTCATTATTTTATTGAGATAAGAATTGTTCTGGATGTTTTCATCTATACACTTAGACATCAGAAAACAATGAATAATTTTTATTTTTATTCATCAACAAGGTTTTTCGATAGGTAATCTCTAGTCATAAATGTTTAAAAAATAAAAAACTTGTTAATAATTAATGATGTTAATGAATAATCAGAATTTATAGCCATAAAAATTTAATGTAGTTCATAAATAGGAAATCATGTCCTAAAAAAAGAATATTTATCATTAAGAATATATTCAGAGTCTATAAACAGTACTTCATAATTTAAATAGCAACGTACGAATTACATATCTACTTGCCAAGATAGTTTATATTCTAAAAAAAATTTCTATTAATCTAAAGTGAAATTCAAAAATATGATAATTATCTGAATGTTATATTCATATTTTCTGAAATGAAATATATATCTCTTACTTATAGTAGCCTTTGTATTCCTGAGTAGTAGTAATACTCGTCTAGTAACTTTTCTCTTATTATTCTACATTGTATTTGAAGATAATAACAGATATATTCCCTTCTATTTTCTCAAAGGTAACAGGTGCCACTTCATCACTAGGCAGGTGCTTAGCTGAAGAATTTATACGAGTCGGTTGCACTCTCATTTGTGTCGACAATGACCTCGACTCTGTGAAAAGTATGGCCTGTGAGCTGATGGAGAATTATTCTGCAATCCAGAATGTCGGACCGAATCACAGGAAACAGGATATGTCTGAGTTCAAAGTCAAGGTCTTTGCATACCAATGTGATCTCTGGGATCGTAATGCAATTCGAGAAGTTGCTGAAAAAATAAAAAAAGATGTTAGAAGGATTGATATTCTTGTTACATGTGCTGGAAATCTTCAACAAGATGTTTTTGATATTGTCAGCATGACGTTGATGAGTCATTATTGGGTTAGAGAATTAGTTTTTTTTTTAATAAAACATTTATTATTTTATCTTAATATCATTTAAAAATTGATAATTTATCAATAACCTCTACACTACAAAGTATTGAATTAATTTTCTAAATTTATTTGAAATTAAATTTATTATTATAAAATATAGTACATAATAATGAATATCGGTTTTTTAATTTCAAATAAGCTGAAACAGTTCAGCCATGCATATCGTGATCACAAAAAATATCAACTAGTATTAATTATCAAGCGGAGCTTGTTAATAAAAAGATTGAAGATGACAAAACGGTTGGAATTATTTTTTACAGACTCTTCTCACCTTTCTTCCTTCGATGATTCAACAGGAAAGAGCTCACATAGTTGGGATTACTCCAACTACATCTACAGATGATGCATACATGGGCACCAAAGCTGCTATTGCTGGTAAAATAATTTGAGTAATATTTTTTTATATTCATACAAGCTGAAAGAATTGTATTAAATCTCATTGAATCATTTTAAATGAATTTTAAAGGTTTGATGGAAAGTCTCAGTCACGAATTTAGTCATTGTGGAGGTCATTTAAATTTCATCACTGTTGCACCTAAAGCTGATCCAAGGTCTGTGTAATGAATGATTTCATTTATTTACTGACGAATGTTTAATGTATTAATTGCTTGGAATTTGCACGTTAATAGTGACATTGAGTATCATTTTTATGTCAAATTATATGTTAGAAAATGATTATATTACGTCGATATATCATTAGACTATTGTCTTGACAGGCTGATAAAGCAAAATGAAAAACAAGTAGCCTTGGATGTAGTGAGAGCAGTACGCAGAGATCAATTTTACCTTTCAGCAAGCTGGTGGTCGACAATGATGTATCATATTAAGTAAGAAATATGTTATTTCCTAATTTTATTTTATGTAAAAATTTCATTTGAAAATAATATGTCTTATTAATTGACATTACAGTTGCACAATACACATGACTATTATCACTATTACACGATGGATCAATGCACAAGGATGCTACGAATTTTTTTAAACATCAATTCATCTCAATTTTCAATTGTATATATTCACTTCATCGGTGTCTATTTTTAAGGAAATGTAACTAGAGAAAAAAGCTCGAGTAATGATGCATAAACATTGTTATTTTAACTGTCCAATTGTTTTTTTCTTTCTTAAGTTCGATAAATATTTTGTGAAATGAATATTTGAGATGATTTTCAGAACTTTTATTTACATTTTATGCGGGACTTTACTAACCTCAAATCACCTCAAATTTTTCTCGTCGAACTGTGCATTTTTTATTTGTTTCTTTCACGTAAAAAATATTTAGGAATATATAGAAAAATGGTATAAACATTGGAAAACAAAGATTTATAATACAAAAGTAATAATAATCGTAGGATAAATACTTTTTCAGTGAATTTCAAGGTGTCATGGCGGATGCACTTCTCGTGAGCTCTTCACTGAAAACTTATTTATTCTACGATTATTATTACTTTTGTACTATCAATCTTTATTTTCCGATGTTTATACCACTTTTCTATATATTCCTAAATATTTTTTACGTGAAAGAAACAAATAAAAAATGCACAGTTTGACGAGAAAAATTTGAGGTGATTTGAGGTTAGTAAAATCCCGCCTGAATTAAATTTTCACTTAATTTAAAGTAATTATATATTAAACAATAACGACAACTCTAAATATATTTTTTTTAAAGTAAAACATTATTATAAACAAAGAAATAAAAAGTTTTCGTCTTTATTATTTATTTTGCATATAAGTTAATTATTTTTCTTCAATAAAGAAGCTGTAAAATGCAATAAGTTTATTTTTGTTAGTATTATTTAACATTGAAAACCTGACAAAATGATCACCTGAGGCCGCCACTGACTAACTAGTTGAACAAGTGTGTTTTCTCAGTCACCCACGAGCATAGAGACGAGTAACAAGTGCGTTGAAAATGGCGTCACTAATAGAATCCTAACCATAGTGATGCCTCGGCAAATAATACGTGTGTGTTCAGTTTTTATTCAAACCAATTTAACTCTATTTATTCTAGATATCATTTATTACAGTGGTTTGTAATATAATAGAGGCTATTGCCTTATTTTCGTATATATTCGCACAAATGTCATGGGAATTTGCAGCAAAAGACATTTTCTACTGACAATATGTACTCTGCAACTTGTAAGTGATGTATATATATGTATATAAAATGGATAAAAAAAACTATACATACTTGGACAGGTTTCCATCCTTTCTATTTATTTATCTTTATTTATTTTATTTTCTAGAAACGTTTCCTCAGTTTTCTAATTTTTTGTAATCCAAGTTGAATCATTACATCGATAGTAACAGACGCTTCTGATAATAGATAAGCGTTTAAGTATTCATCATTCATACATTGTTGGATATATTTAAGGGCCAATGACAATCTGTTGCTTATCATCATGTAGATAAACTTGAAGCTATTTTTATATTCATGAATATAAAAAAATGGCATACTTTAATAGTAATATCAACCATTTATTCAAACATTGGTACATTATTTAAAATATAAAATTTTTACAGTCAATTTTTGAATGAAAAAAATAAATTTCAAAATAAAAAGGAATAGCTGATTTTATTTTATGGTTTTAAAATCTAGAAAAATACATCTTCACTGATAAATATTAATCCTCTTTTCATTAATCAAATAGTATTATTAGTCATCCAAAAATTATAATCACATGATATAACTATGATCATATTATTAATTATTTACAATAATAATTATTAAATGAATGAAAAAATACTATTATATTATGAAACAGACTTTGACCTTTTTCATGACATAAATAGTAGTGTTATTATGTAAATATCCAGATAGTAATTCACACGATCATTGCTCTTAACTACAACAGGTTACGTGTTTTTTTTTTTAATGTTAAAAGCATTATTAAAAGATTAATTTTCTACAAATAGATCATCAATTAATTAACAAATAATCAATACAATACTTTTCAATAAAATTATATTTGATGACAGAATTAGACTCATTCATAAACGGAGTCATTCTTAAATTTCCTACCTTATCTGTTGTGATCAGTATCAGTCGTTAGACATTAAATAAGAAGCTACTTAGATAATGAGTTGTTTGAAATAAACAGTGTTCTAATTTGTTATTCATGACATTAATCATTATAATGAAGTTGAGGGGAATATTACACAAAGTAATTAAGTTCAAAAGAGTAGATAAAGTATGAGAGAATTTGAAAGCTTGGAAACCGTCATTAACTGAGTATTTAGACCAAGCAATTGAAGCAAATTGGAAGCTATAAAATACAATGAAATACGAAAAAAAAATAAAAATAAACAATTGACACTTATGAAAACAAAAATAATATAGTTATGTTGCAAGACATTTTAATTGTTACCATTTGAACATAATTTCTATAAATTAAAAGTCTTTTATTATTCAATACAATCAATTATTAATTATTTTTATTTTCAGTTAACAACAATAGAACGTCAAGTGTTCGACTTTTTGGGGTTCATGTGGGCTCCGATACTGGTCAATTTTTTCAATATTATTTTTGTGATCCTTGGCTTCTTTGGAGCTTTTCAATATAGGCCTAAATATGTCGTATCGGTAAGATAATCATATATTTTTTCCCTAAAATATACTTTCGTAAATAGGCTTAATTCATCCAAGTTCTTTCCCATTACTGACAAAAATAAATAGAAAACATTGTGTTCATCAACGACAATTTCTCCTATTTGCCTGTTCTAGTTTCTGGAAGTAGAATAAGCATTTTTCTTCCTCAGTATTCCTATGTGCAGCCCATTTACGAAAGTGTACTGGATAACATTTTGATTATAAATTAATTTTTAACATATTGTTTATTTCAGTATTGCATATGGGATATTCTGTGGCTTGCATGGAACATATTTTGTATATGTTTCTATTTAGATGTCGGTATTTTAGATAAGGTAATTCAATTGATAATTAAAACCATACATTATTTCATAAAATATGGCTTCAGTTTTTGAAACATTACACTGAATAATAATTATTTTTATCAACTAAAGTATTGATTTTTAATTAAAAGGCCTACATAATAATAAAATATTTGTACTAATTGATAATTCGTCCAACAGAATAAAGATATTTTAAACTTTGGAACTGGAAGCTTCTCCTGGTGGCAGGTCAATGGCCCAGGATGTAAAGCTAATTATGACATTATTGAGCCAGAGTTACTTCGTCCTACCCGACCTCATAACGTGACCGATTGTTTATTAAGTTACGAAGTAATAGAAATTTTACATGCGTCAACACAATGTCTTTTAGCAGTAAGTGAATAATTGAAGTTTAGTGCCTTCATGTACGAATACATCTCTGATACTATCACTCTAAAAATTAAATCTAATTTCACATTCAGTAAAAAATAATTATAGTAGTGTTTCCTTGCATTTTATTTTTTTTCTTCTTAAAGCAGTAATAGTAAAAATATTTTTTTAGTACATTACGAGAGCAAAAAAATGAAATGCGATATATGAGACACGTGAGACTCAGTGTATCAGTGATATACAATGAACATTAATTTTACTTTCAGGTGTTGGCGATTATTGGTGGAATCATTTTAACTCGTGCATTCCTTGAGGAAGATGATAGTTGTGAGTATTTTGATATTTTTAATTTATCTTTCAATCACTTGTAATTAAAAAAAAATTTTCCCTTGTTGTTTTGATGGATTTGGTGGAGAATAATAACAAGACTGTGGGCGCTCAGGTTTATACTGAAATAGTGAGGAAAAAATTCAAATAAACTCTATGAGAATGTTATGAATTGAATCTTTATACAAACATTTTAATTTTATTTTATGAACAAAAAATATTTATTTATTATTATTATCTTAAATATTTTTTCCTCTCATTTTTCATAAATAATCTCCATAATAATTAATTGAAAAAAATTTCACGGCTTCTCACTAAATTTCCTTCACACGTTGTTACTGGTAATCACTTTTCACATATACCACTTATGTATCTTCTAAATCCCTTGCAGTCGATTTCATTGGTGGATTTGATCCTCCTTTTTGGTAAGTTTCTACATACTAGCTAATTTTAATAAAAAAATTTTTCATTTATTTATATCATTATCAGTATCGTTATCGTATGTAGTACGTGGATTAGATATTAAATTAAATGTAGCATGCGGGACAATGGCTATTTGTATTAAAATCTAACACATGTAAACTAAGATTACATTGTCTAAATTAATGGCTAGTTTTTTACGTGCATTCATTCGAGTATGCGTAGCATGAACAGATTACGTGACAATTATTTAATAGATTTATTTTGTAAGAAAGAAATAATGAAAATTCATTTATGGTACGGCTTAGTGAAATAATATGAAAACTAATGAAATTTCAACATTATATTTATTTAATCCTTCATTATGATAATTGATTTTCATGATAAATATTATTATTTGTTTTTTAAATTTTAAAAATATATTCATCTCAATCCAAGCAAATTAATTGCTTTTTTATCTTTATGTATAAAAAATTATTTATAAATAATTTGTGTATCATACTAAGGCATTTTAATATTCATCCTGTGAAATAATCGTTTGAATTTATCCACAATTATCCACAAAAACACGAACATTAATGTGTACACAATTACTGACAAATGAAATGAAACAAAGCGAGGGAAATAAAGTGGGTTGTATAAAAACAAAAAAAAAAAATAGTAACAATTCTAGAAATCACTTTTATAAATAGCTATAATTTATGTAAAAGATTTTATCACTTTTAGAGCTTTCTTGCATGTCTTATGCAAATTCAAGTATACATATGAGTAGTGTTTAAATTTGTTTAAATAAATTTGATTGTATTTTTCAAAATAAATTTTATAATTGGCAATTTTACGAAAATGTAAATAGCTAATGATTGTATAGCATTTAGTTGTTTATCATTACTTTTATTATTATCAATTTTAAATTAAAAAAATGGAAATGAAATGGCTTTTAATAATTAAAACGAACTCTAAATATGATATTGATTTTCAATGAAATATAAAGCAATTAAGTATAAGTGAATTCTTCGAAGCCCCTTAAAGTCGTGATGACATTTTTGTAAAGTAATTAATAAATAATATCTAATGTGGATGGTACGTTGAATAAAATTTTCAGTTGACTTTGTGGGAGGTGGTGACTTTGGTTTGGCGGGCCACACCCCATTGCATCCAATGTATGTTAGCTACTCGGCTTTGCCACCAGCCACCTACTCTCAATCTAATCCAAACTACCAAAGCTATCCGAGAGGCACAACCGGCTCGAACAAATCATCCTCTTTATATCGTGACACAACGCTTCCAAAGCTTGTGGAAAAGCCACAATATGGCTACTCGTCACATCAGCAACGCGTTAAGACATCATTGATGACCATGCACGACACAGCTCGTAGCAACAAGAGCAGTGCTTCAACGCGGATTCTTGAGCATGTGGATTACAACGACTATTCCAATCCACTTGATCATTTACATCGACCTATTTCACCACCTGCCGAGTATGATTCACTTGAAAACGCGACTAAATTAAGATTTGAAAAGAATCGATCTTATCAACCATACTCGTGCTCTTATAGTCCCGTCGTGTCACCGGTTATGCGAAGAGCTAAAACTTCTCAACCTCAACAAAAGCAGAATAGAAATTCATACCGACCAAGAATTTTTACTGATTACGTACGCGAACAACCCCTAAGGTCTTTTTATTCAGACCCACGTTTAGCTATGGATCAACAGAAAGATAATATTTTAGAATCAGATAGCACTGAAAGACCGTCTAGAGATAGTAGACCTGTGTCTTTGTATGCTAGCAAGTTGTAGAAATTTTTATTTTTATCTTTAAAAGAAAACAAAAACAAGTAAAATTATTTATGTTAACTTGCCAGCTATTATTTTATATTCTTTGTAGACATGTGCAATTTCTTTATTTATTATTTTATTTATTTTTGCATTAAGGTAGTCTTTCCATAGAGATTTTTTTATTTTAACAGTTAAATTTTTTTTATTAGAAATCTATAATTTATAAGATAGTCTGTACACTACGGAAAAAAATATCTACATTTAGTTAAACATTATGTCTACTAAAGCCAAAATTTATAGTTTCACTGAAAATGATACAGTTAAGTGACAAAATAAATAAATGGATCCATTACAATAACTTTTGAATGACAAATAAATAATAAAAATAGAATATTAAATATTTTTTCAGTGATGAATTGATATTTACTATTTATCATAAAAAAAAAAATAATTTCTTTATTCAATGAGTTATTTGATAAAGTCTGAAAAGCATTCAATTATAATAAAATAGTAATTTTAAAAAAAAGTCAATATTAATGTTGTAAAAAAAGAGGCCTTAATAGAATGCAATTTAACTAGGTAGTTTAATTAAAATAAACAAAAATCTAATGCATAATATTTAATTTTTATGGAAAGATTATCACCAGAATATTTAAATTCTTTTTACATTTTTTCAATCAATTAAGACAAGATAAAAGCAAAATTGAAATAAAATAAGTATATAATTATAAGTAAATCGATTTTAAGTAATTAACATTTGATTATTTAATTTTCAAATCGATGATAAGTATTATTCAATGAAATATAAAAAATATACTGGTAATATTATTGTATTTTTTTCTATATTATGTAACGTTTAATATAATTTTTTTTTAATTAAATTTGTAGTTAACTATTGCTTATATTATGACTATAATTTTATTTTTGAACTGAAAGTGTGTAGTTTGACTTCCCGTTGTGACTACTATATAGACTTACTGAATGTATTCTGTGATATGTATTTTTGAACGGTGCTGAATGATTTTCGTACTGACATTATGGAATTTGCACGTTTTAGATAACTAAGTAATATTGATTTATTATATTTTTTTTTGACACTACATCAAAATTTTAACAATAGTCGTGCAAATTTTTATTGGATATTTTTTTTTGCATAATAACATTATTTATGTCATAGAAAAAGGACACATTCCTATTTTAGTTTTTTTTTTCTATTAACGTAATAATTTTAGTAACTCAAGTGATAGATTTTAATTTAATATATATTTTATATTATATTTTTAAGAGTAATTTTTTTTAATATCGTTGCATTTAAAAAAAAGTATTTTTAGCTACAAATATAGAGATGTAGATAATGGTTAATTGATTTATATTGGCTTTATTTTGGTGTACTGTTACACAATTTTTATGCATTTTAAGATTGCAAGAATAAATAATGCAGTTTCAAACAATATACTATTGCTTGGCTTTTTTATTTCTTGATCCTTAATTTTACTACTTTTTTAACTTGGTTTTCTGTGGGTAATCCTATTGTTTTGAGGTGAAGATACTACTGGGAGGATAATTAATAAAAAATATTTTCTAATGAAAAATAAAAAGAAAAGTATTCATATTTACTGTAAAAAATTTATTATTTAAAGTTTATTCGAAATAATAATAATAATAATATCTTCACCTTAAATAAAATGAATAAATTTTTTTTAACATATTCAATTGAAAGATTAAATATAAAAATTAATTCAAAAACTTATAAACTTTTTTTATAGCACGAATTAAAAAAAGGAAAAAACCAATTCGTCCACTATACAGCATAGAATATTCACAACCAGAGCCACCAAGCCATGATGAAAGTGTTTCACCAAAGCCCATGACTCCACGGCGTGTTAAAAGACGGTCTGTGATTTCTCGTGACGGAACTAGAAGATCAAGTCGAAGAAGTTCAGTTCGTCAATCACGTCGTAAAAATCCAGTCAATCGAATAATGGATCATCAAGAGAGTCTTTATGCTAATACAATGCCAAGTTCATTAACCAGTCAAAATGTTGCTACCTTGTCTCAAACTACACTCAACTATGACAGAATAGCTGGAACTTGGGATCGAGAACGAAATTGGCAACCTGAAGCTGTTAATATGGCAGTATCATCACCTACTTTATGGACACCAGATCCAAGTTACTCCAATATGAATAATATAGTGAGCTATCCATGTCAAAATTGGGATAATAACATAAGTTCTACAAGAAATCTTACAGAAAATTGGTCAAATGATACGACGAATCCTATGCAGTGGCAAGGACAAAGCAATCCAACATTTCAACAAACTAGTATTCAAAGCTTGAATACTGAAGATGTTGAAGATTTATACAGCAATCGACCAGCAAGTGCTCGATCAAGTTATAGTAATTATCATGGTATTCGAGCTACCCCACAAGTTCCAAACAGAAATGATGTTGTCAGACAAAGCCAACGTCAATTCGTCTTAAGTGGACCTCCTGCTTATCAAGATACTGTAATTTAATCATTTTTAAGCAATAATTATAGTTTAATAATAAAGTAGTAGATACAACGAAGATCAATAGAGGCTCTATAAGTGAACAAGTCAGAGCAATGTATGTAAGCTCATTTGATAATCCTTAATAATTTGTAATTATTAATTGCACAAAAAGATTGATTATTTTTTTTCAATGTGAATTATTAACACAAGGATTATCTGTAGGGTACATTTTTTAACATATTTATTTAAAACGCTCAAAAAAAATTTTTTTTAATAAAAATCTAGTAATTTTTTGTCTAGTTCAAAATTAGTTGATGATTTTTTCGGTAACTTTTGTGATTTTTTTTTGATAATATGTCGATTTAATTTTTATATTTATAGGAGGAATATTTCATTTTTAAATTAAGATTAATCTTAAATGAAATCATCATAAATGGATGAAGTTTTTAAAGCAATTATTTATCAGATAAAATTCCAAAAAAAAACAAATTTAGATTTAATTTTGAACAAATTATAATTAATACAATATTAGCAGTAATTAAAATAGTGATATAAAGATAGAATATACTTCAGAAATAGTAGACGATATTTCGACTGATTTTTAGAGCTTTATTTAACGTAAAATATTGTAATATTTCTCCCTTTGTTGTAAGAATAAAGTTCAATCAAAAAGTTATTGTGCACGCATAAACAATAAGCGGATTGTATATATCTAAGGACAATAATTTTATACATTGGATATCAAGAAATAATAACCAAAGTATTATTATAGTAATAATTGTAATTATTATAATTATATTAGAAATAATTTTTATACTTTTGTTTATAAATTGTGCTGTCAATGGTACAATTGACTGGTATCTTTTAAAGGAATTAATATCTATATCTCAATCGTTTAATATTTAAGATCATTTTTTATTCAAAAATGTATGTAATAATAAATGAAATTAATTATATATTCTTTTATTAAATGACATTATTTTATAAAATTAAAAAAAAATATAGAAATTAATATCTTTAAAAGACACTTGTTATTGAATTTAAAAATAATTTCTTAATAGGTAATACAAACTAGGACTTTTAAGTATTTTATACTAAACTTAATTAATGTATATCAAAATTTTCATGTCATTTTAATGTTGATCTCAGATACCAGATGTAGATAATTTTTTCATAACATTTTTAATCGTTTATGGCTATCCTAAGAGAGCCTTTTTTCTACGATTTTTGTAATAATATAAAAAATACTTTTCTAAAGTAATAAATAACACTAAATAAATAATCAAAAATACCTTATTTCTCTTTTCAATTACATCACACTCAAGCACACGTTGAAAAACTGTTAGAAGACAACAACTGAAAGAAAATTGCATTGTTTTTAATTTTGTTAATTTAAAATAAATATTATACTTTGTATATAAACCATGCACACTTGTGAAAAAGCTTTACTTTACGACTATGAACTTCTGATTCAAAATATTAAACTTACATACATTGGGGCTTGTTTGAAATATAAACTGTTTTCATACGTGATAATAACTTTGAATTTAACTAAAAACTCAAATTATTTTACGGAATTTCAATATTATTATCATTTTCCATTAATTTCCAATTCATCTCAAGTTGCTGAACTTGAAATGAAATAAATCTAACGTAAAATCAATATAATTTGATTCGAGAATGTTCAAGAGACTACAGAGTGTGCAAAATTGGATCTAACATCAATTACTTGGATAATTTTCCACAAGATGATCTTAGGACTTTCAATAAAACCAATAGAATTCAATAGAAAATCCTGTTTGAATTGAATTGGAATTGACAATTGCAGAATTATTTTTATATTATCATTCATCGTTAAATATCTATTAATCTGTCAGCTGTATCACATAAGCGTATCTTGTACACATTGAAAAATGTCAACGATTATATTTTGAAATTTGCGCATGCTCCGAATTAGTTTTTCATTTTCCTTTGGTCCCGAGTGGTAGTAGGTATATTTCATGATGACCTGACTCTCATAAATGTAGTAGTATTCTAGTCGTTGGACCTTTGAGACGTTAATGCGTCTTGAATTTTTGGTGTGAGTGAGAGAGAGTGCGTGAGAAAACAGCTCAAATAAAGCCGATATCAATTATATATTATAATTCAATTAAAATTCTTTTTATTTATTTAAAATCAATACAGAACGACGTTGATTGAAAAAATCATCTTTGAAATTAAATTTTAATATTAACGTAAACAATTTGAAAGCTATTTGGTTATATTGAGATTCAATTGTGACAAAAGTGACAAATATGTTAAGAGAAGTGGTGATTTGTGGTGCAAAAATGAACCGGTTTACTCAAATAGGACTCAACATTTTTCGACGAGTACACACAAGTAATAGGGTAAGCCAAATACCAGACAATATTTGTCTAAAAAGATATATGTTAATTGACGCTGTTATACCCTAGCCACGTGGGCGATAGCTAAAACGGTTATTCGGTGGTAAAAATAATATAAGCTCAAGATCATAAGATCTAATGAACACGAGATAAAATAGTAAATATAAATATGTACTTTGTTAAAGGCTCCAATAAGTCTATTGAAACAATTTGGCTCAATTGCTTAAGAATTCGATCTCGAAAGACTTTTCATTATACATTGTGTTTATTCTTCATTCATTTATTTTAAATATTTGATTTATTTTTTTTTTTTTCTTCGTCATTTTGCAAAAACGTTTATATTTTAACTTAAACTTCCTGTTTCGGTTGTATCGAATAATAAGTTAAGGACATTAAGTGCTCTAACGATCAATAACCTTGGCCACCCGGCAGTTAGTCAATAACGCACCCCTTGAAATCAGATGATCCCCCTTTTTCAGAATACACGTGACATGTTTGTTTCAGTTACTGTTCAATTTTATTTATCATTTTATTGATTTATTGTAGTTTGAAATTTTTTCAATTCATCAATATCGTTTATTCAAAGAGAAAAAGATAAAATTATTTAAATTTTATTTATGATGCTAATGGGGGCTCTTGTATTGTTAAAATAATAATTTTAATAAACAAATATTTATAATAAATTGAAACATAAAAAATATGCTATTAAAATGAATAATTATTACATGAATAAAGTTAATAATTATTTTTGTATTTTTCAGATTTTTTTCAACTTATTATTTATATTGTTTTACAAATTTACCAAGATCACAACAAATCATCATTTTGAATACCAATAAATAGACAAAAAAATATTATTATTATTATTATTGTCATTATCGTTATTATAATGCACTGCTAAATATGCTAATAACAGTAGCTATAAATAAAAGAATAAAAATTGAATGCTGTTAGAAAAACATACAAAAAGCGATGTTATATTTACAGACATTCAGTAGGTTCTTTTAAGACAAGATGTTCACTCAATTTTTAACATATCTTAATCTACTTGTAATAATACATATTATTCATAAACATTATATTATTAATAGAAATTTTCATGTGATTGTTATTAACTATTTATTTTATATTATTTATTTATAGAAACGATCAGTATTGCCAGCATCGAAGAAACTTGGATCAGCAAGATACATTGACCTTGCACACCCTTTAACTGATGCCCATGACTACACTTTACAACATGATCGGTATTGTTTTTAATTCATTATTAAATTATAAATGTGTACATAATTTGATATTGACAAAAATTAATATTAATTATCTGTTGTGAATAAAATATACTTATTAATAAACCACAAAAATTGATATGCTATAAATATATTGCAGACTCGTGTGTATAGAATCAAAAAATCTATAATCATCATCTTATTAATTTAAATGTTGTATAAAATATAATATTTTAGAAATACATATGAGATCTTTACAGTATTATATTAATAAAATTTCATTCGAATAAAGTATTCTAACAATCAAATTCGTCTCTTGAACTGTTTTCAGTGGTTACAGCTTCATTCACGACAGCCACTATATGTAGTGAGTACCATGCACTACCATTGCATGGAAAACCAAATAGACATGCACTTTAATTTTCTCAAATCCTAGTTATATCAAATTTATGAGTATACTTCTAAGTTCAATGGATTTGAATTTTGAAACATTTCATATTTGTCTTCAGTTTTGTAGAAGTTTTCATTATTTTTCCATTATTTTCTCTAGAAATTGATGTAAATTTTATTTAAAATTTTTTTCAATCAAGTCTGCACATAATTCATTATCAATAAAAATTATTTTAATTATATCAATTATGTTCACTACAAGATAAGTGTTTATTAAATTATAATTAAAATAATGTATATATTTAAGCTTAAGTTTTGCCTTGGCTTTCGATGTACTTTATATAACTTTTTATTTTTTTTTCAGATTCTCAAAGCAACTTTTCAATTTAATTATTTTTTTTATTCAAAATTTTCGTGGTTAAATAGAAAAAAATTATTATAATATTTTAATTATGAATTTTCAGTACGAAAGATCAAGATCATGGAGCTAATGCTGAGGATGTCTTATTCGACATGTTTAAAAATGAAGAGACTAACTTGCTATCAGTAGGAAAATTTTTAGCTGTAAGTATATTTCATCAACAAATACTTTAGATTTTATAAAAGTTTAAAACCGACATTTAAGATAGTTGTTAAGATTTTTCTACAGGTAAGAATATTTAAGTGAATGCATTTGTCAGTTTGAGTTAATTAAGACTCACCATCTCTCGGTATCCCTAAAAGTCAAGTATGTCTTCATGGTTCTTTTAAAAGCAAGTATTTCATTATTCTACAATATTCAATGTTAGTCTAGACCTGGAGTAAAATAGATTATAAGGTTAAACATTAGAGTGACAATTGGTTTCATAGAAATACATTTGAATAATGAATAGAATTCTAGCTTAACTTTTTTTGTTAGAATTTTCAATCAGGTATAAAAGAAATTTTTGACTTTTGGATTGACATTTAGATATTAGGGTAAGTTATTATTATTGAGGTATTAAAAGGAATGTCATGAAAGAACTGTACAATGAATGGCAGCTTTTCGAAAAGAAAGTGGTAGAGATTAAGTAACATCCGTAAGTCTGGTTTCGAGCTTAAAGATGTGACTAGGAGCAACACAGAATGAGAAAATTCTTTTAGAATTTTCTTTTAAGTCAAACCCCTATAATTAACACTACATTGTTAAAATCTATATTTTTCAGGCTTTGAGGACAACTGGATTAAGAAAAAATGATCCGAGGCTGCAAGAATTAACTGACAATTTGAAAGCTGAGCATTTGAAATGTGGTGGGAGTGAAGGTGTATCACATGAGACTCAGAAGCTTGATCGAGAGCAATTTAGACGGTAAATAAAGATAATTGAGGGCAATTTTTTTATTTTTCCTATTTATTATGTCAACAGAGATTTATATGTGCTAATAAAATGCTATTTATTGTAGTAAATAAATAATAAAACTAAAAATGATCATAAATCATCAATAAATTATAACTTTTCAGGTAATATTTCCTTGAAAATAATAGTTTTATTGTTCTTTACAGAATTGTGACTCCAAATATTGTGCTAATATCAAGAGCATTTAGACATCAGTTTATCATTCCTGATTGGGCTGATTTTACCAAGCACATAGAAGATTTCTATTGGAAATGTAAATCAAATACTGAAGGAAAAGTAGCATCTTACATACCTCAATTGGCAAGAATGAATCCTGAATACTGGGGTGTTTCTGTTTGTACTATTGATGGTCAGAGATTTAGCATTGGAGATACTGCTATTCCATTCACTCTTCAGAGCTGTAGTAAACCCTTGACCTATGCCATTGCATTAGAACGATTGGGTCCTCAAGTGGTTCATCAATATGTTGGTCAAGAGCCGTCTGGAAGGAATTTCAATGAACTAGTTTTGGATCACAATAGTAAGTATATATTTCATATAAAAGTTGTAATCATTTATTTTTGTTGATGTCATTGTCTGATCGTAAAATTAGGCAGGCCATGATGTGTTTGAGTATTTTATAAATTACTACTATTCTGTTAAATTGTTGTTTAATGGTTGTTTCATGATGTATAATGATATTACTGTTAAAATAGCAAAAGTTGATTTAATTTTCAATGTGATTATAGCAACAATATTTAATAAAGAATTATTTTTCTAGAAAAACCTCATAATCCAATGATAAATGCTGGTGCAATTTTAATATGCTCCTTGTTGAAGAGTCTAATAAAACCAGAAATGACCTTAGCTGAAAAGTTTGACTTCACGATGAACTGCTTTAAACGTATGGCTGGAGGAGAAAATTTAGGATTTAACAATGCAGTCTTTCTTTCTGAACGTGAAGCTGCTGATAGAAATTACGCCCTTGGATTTTATATGAGAGAGCACAATTGTTATCCTGATAAAACTAATCTCCGTGATATCATGGATTTTTATTTCCAATGCTGTGCTATGGAGTCCAATTGTGATGCCATGTCAGTGATGGCTGCAACTTTGGCTAATGGTGGTATATGTCCCATTACTGAAGAAAAAGTTCTAAAACCAGAAAGTGTTCGAGATGTTCTAAGTCTTATGCATAGCTGTGGAATGTATGATTACAGTGGACAATTTGCTTTTAGAGTATGTATTCAAAATTTTTAAATTACGCTGAGGCAAAAATGGTTGCCTAGAGCCTAAATATAAATTATTTAGATCAGATAAAAATAAGAAAAAAATCGTAAATAGTTGTTTGATTCTGGAATAATTTTTTTCTCTATTTATTTAATAAAATTTAAAAAAATATAAAATAATTTAATTAATAAGCGGTGTAAATTTTTAGGTGGGAATCCCAGCAAAGTCTGGAGTCTCAGGTAGCCTTCTGGTTGTAATTCCAAATGTCATGGGTATCTGTACTTGGTCACCTCCTCTGGATCCTCTTGGAAATTCATGTAGAGGTGTTCAATTTTGTGAAGAACTTGTCAACGAATTTAACTTCCATCGATACGACAACTTGAAACACGCTACAAATAAGAAAGATCCTCGAAGACATAAGTATGAAACTAAAGGTTTATCGATTGTCAATCTTCTCTTCAGTGCAGCAAATGGTGATGTTACTGCAATGAGGAGGTAAGAATTCTCATATCAGCATCTCTATTTTGATAATTATAAAATACAATCATCATCAGAGCTTGGAAGCTAACAACATCAAATAAACATTACATAAAACAATATATATGATGAATGTTAAACACACAACTCAATGCATGCTAACAGACATGACAGCCTCAAAGAATACCTCGAGAGGTAAGTCATTCTGAAAATACACTAACACAAAATTACACACATTAGCTTAATTTGCTCCGTCGTTGATTATTGTTTAATAATTACATTTTTTTTGCTATTATTAATTTTGTAATGAAACCTTATTTATACTTAATTATAAATACAATTTTCATTCAATAGAACAAAATGTTTTTTTTATTTTTTTTCATTATTTTCCCTCATTAAAAACATGTCAGAAAAATATTTTTAAATTAATTAATTTTATTAATAAATAGATTTATTTTTTTTTGCTTACTATTTGTATTATCTACTAAGCTTCGTTTTTTTTTAATTTGTTTAATATTTATTTATACATGTTTTATCGTTCAAAATATTATTTAATAACATGTCAATCAATGATACCTTATTTCTGGTTTGAAAAATGATCAAGTCATTATAGGATAATAAACTATTTTACTTTTTTTATCAAGTACACTGAGACATTGTTTTTTTTCTTTCGATTTAATTGTAAAGAAAAATTTGATAGGCAATTAATTTAATTTAATACATTTAAGTAGTTTTTTTATTTAAAAAAAATAAAAAGAAATGTCTAATATAATTCTCAATCAATGAAGTATTATATGAATAATGAGTAAAATTATTAATAAATTAAATATTTGTCCCGTGACTTGTCCAAAAAAATTTCTCAGTGTTATTTTTGGAAATTTTTTAGTTATTAGTGTCAAAAAAAAATGGAAAATATATTATTTGAAAATAAATCGACAGTATGAGAATTACTTCAAGTTAATATTGTTATTAATAAATTGATATATTTAATAGAAATTCTGTAAATATGTTTTCGCATTTTTCTGGTTTTATTTTTAAATCATTAAATCACAAAGTGAAAGAAAAAATCCATCCACAGACATCGTCTGAGTGGAATGGATATGACGTTATCGGACTATGATGGACGCACGGCTTTACATTTGGCAGCCAGTGAAGGTCATCTAGACTGTGTTGAATTCCTTATTGAGCAGTGTGGTGTTCCTCATGATCCCAAGGACAGGTGAAATTTATTTGTTTAAATAATATTTTCAAATTTTCTCAATAAAACCATTTTTCAAAGCTCAATAAATTGATCATCTTGAATTGCAAATAATTATAATAACTGCATGGAAATATTTTTATCATGTAATTTGTTTTAATTTTATAAGATGGGGAAATCGACCTATTGATGAAGCTGAAACCTTTGGTCATACACAAGTCGTAGAGTACCTGAAAAATTACGCATTAACGTTAGTGACAGAAGAAAGTAAAGAAGGACGAAATGATGAGCCTAAAAATAATCATAAGAATAATAGTAATAACAATAATGATAAGAAAGTCAACGATAATGATTTGAATGAAACAAAGCCTAAGGATCCGACTGAATCACCTCTTCCTTAAATTAAAAATAATAGAATGAAATAAATGACTTAAATAGGTAAATAATAAAAGGAATTGAGACTGTTGTAAACAGAAATGAGCCTTAATATTGATGAATTTAGTCAATCAATTATGTCAATAAGCGAGAGTTTTGTAAAAGCTGTGATTTATTTTTCTTGTCTTTATAGTTTATACCAATTCTCATTAATTATTATTTTATTTATATATTTTCTGTATTCTACATTGCAAATTAATAGTATTCTCCTATATGTCGCTCATTGTTCGAAGCAAACATATCTATAGTTAAAGTATTATCTTATGAGCTGACTTTTATGCTAAAAACTTTAGTGCAAAACACTCTAATAAATTTCTGTTTGAATAATTCCTGATAAATGAAAATTGTTCAATCATAAGATTCAATTTTACAATTATATTGTATTGTATTCATAATTTAATAATCATTATTTATGATAGAAAATATTAAAAATAACATATGAAAGTCAAAAATGAAAAATGTTTAACTACAAGAACACTTTGGTCTTTATGTCAATTAATAAACATTAATCTGTAATAAAATTATTGAAATTATTATTGAAAGAAAGTGGACAAAAAATTAAATAGAAATAAACTATGAATTATTATTTACAATAATTTTATGAAATATTTTTGACTTTTCATTATTTTTTTATTCCTTAAAATATTCGTCTGTAAAAAGTAACGAATAGAAATAATTCCATTAGCACTTTGTTAATTATATTGTCTTATAAAAATGTTGTATACTTTTACAGTCTAGTCGTCAGAAACTGCGATATTGAGCTTATATTTATGATAATTATACTAAAAGTACGTATCTGTGTTGTTATTATAAAATTAAAAAGACAATAACTATTAATATATTATAAAAATAGTTGGGATTATAAATAAAACAACAAAAAATATGTACCAACAATAATAATAATAATAATAATAATGAGTAACAAATTAGTTGCCAGGAATTATTCCATCCATTTCAATCTGAATGGCTTATGATATACAATAATTATACGTAGTAAATGAACAGTAAAATAAATAAAATAAAATATTAATGAGAGATTTATTTCATTAATTTAAATCTAGTTCATGATAATACGGAAAAGCCAGTAAACTTGAAATAAGAAAAAATTTGCATGATCTCGACCTCATTTTTTTATTTTCATTACAAGATATCAGTTTAGTTGTAATGAATTGATATGATAATATATTTTCATTTATATCAACACATTTTTGCGGATAGAAAAAGTTTTAATCACAGATTACTAGTGTCGATGAAAATGAAGAGTCTAGAACTTCTTGATAAATATGTTTATAAAACATAAATTAGAAAATTATTGTAGTATTGTTAATATTGTTTATGTCTTGTCAAGCAATACAAAATTCAATACCCAAATAAATGTTTAATTTTTTAGCACACACACATGTTTCGATTAATTTTTATATAAAATATTATTATGAAATTAACTATTATTTAGAGTGATAATAAATTATAATAAATAATACTTCAATTCTTTTTGCACTAGAAAAAAACATTTGTTTTTAAAAAGAATGTTAAATGTTGTTCTAAAAACAATTGTAAATTTAAAAATCTTGATTATCAATATTAAGAAATGTTAAGATAAATTAAATTCGAGTTAACAATAAATTATTACAAATAATCTTCTTGCAACACATACAAATATTTATTTTAAAAATATTGAAATTAATTTACAACAAATTAATACATCACTATTTATGAAAAAAAAAAAAACATGTTTAAATAATTTTTTTCTACTGTTATATTTATAGAACTAATTCTATTTTTAATTTTAAAATTGTCATGAGAAATATTGAGGCAATGCTCAACGATTCTTACTTTTGTAACCAGCGGAATCTCCAATACAAATTCCCCATGTCTCATTGCTACGTAATTCACGAGAATTGTCTTTTTGCGATGATGACAGCAACGTTTTACTAATTTATACTAAGTCATGTCTATGTATGTATCAACGTGGTCTGAATTTTTTTTTTTGCATGATTGAAATAAGTATGTTTTCGATACTTTTTGTATTTTATAAACAGGTATACACAGGAGGATTTAATCTTGTCTCTGGCCCTAACCAGTTACGATCAAGGAGAGGGTATTTCCCCAATGACCTCAGCCACGAAAGATCTTTTAGTTAAGAATTATATTCAAGGCTGAATTTGCTCGTTGTGATGTTATCAATTGATAGGTAATTAAAGAAATTCATTTGATTCTATTCTCTTCAGATATTCTCAACATCTAAAGATCTATCATTAATATTTATATCCTGTATTTGTTTTCTATTTAAAAAACAAAATTGTTCTCACAATACCAAACAAATCTAAATTATATCAATGAGAACATTTATTTATTTTTTTCTTTCATAACAATGGAGCTTTATTATTTTGACTTCAATTGGGATCTTAATATCTTGAATATTATGAAAAATATTTGTAAAAAAAAAAATTTATGATACATTCAGACAATTTATCATGCCTTTTAATGAGATAATTATGTAAACCTTTTGGAAAATAGAAGTGATATATTACAAGAAACGATAGAAAAACAAATTTTATTGTGGAAAAGAATTTACTTGTGTAAAAGTTATAATATTCCTTCAAGATCCTTATAAATAAATATCATATTTTGATAAGTGAATAAAAATATTTAAACATTGAAATATTTTTTTTTAATAATTAAATACTAAACTATATATTTAAATTATTAAATTTAATAATTTCGCATGTTTGCAATAAATCATCTTTAAGTCAGGAATAACCCATAATGTAATAAAAAAAATAATTAAAGTGAATGGGCCGTGACCGTGAACTACTCTCATATCTTTCCATATACAGCTGTTCTATTTGTCAGAATATTATCAACTTTTCTTGGAGATTGTTATGAAAATGATGATCTTATTTCAATCAATTGATCATTAGAAAGAGTATTGATCAAATAACTCAATGTTTATCAGGGAAATCCGTGACATTAAGTGGTCAATGGATAAATTGTTGAAATAATAATAGTGATTATACCGCCAATCGTAAAACCCGGAGGACAAGAATCATTCGCCACACATGTATCTGTCTTGGATCATATATAAGATGATGTTTGGCGTAAAGCAGCCAGTCCTGTTCTTTACTCATCGACTCAACTATCAGAATAGTTGAAATATATCAAGCGTTGTTGAATAAAGAATTTATATTTACTAATCAATTGTTAATATGAAGACATTTAAGTGCTTTGTGCCTTTTGCAATACTGCTATTAATTTTAAATGGATCAGATGGAGGTGAGTTTCTTCAATTGTTTGCATAAAACGTTTGTAATGATTTCCAAAATAAAGAGTTTGAGTTTTTAACACCGAAATATTATTTTAAATAAAGTTCATTTGTCGATTAAGTCAATTAATTGATTAAAGTATTATTGTTTTAAATTAAAATAAAGGTATATTGAGAGATCGGGTACATGAACATCTTGGAAAAATCGGATCCATTCTCGACCCTCTTGGTCTTTTCCATCCCAAAGATCAAGGAGCTACAGCTCAAGCAAATAGTCAGGCTCTCAACCAGAACTTGAACTTGGGTCCACTGAGCTATTCTTCTTCTTTGAGTTCGGCATCAGCAACAGCTAATGCTGGAGCAGGAGGTTCTGCAACAGCCAATGCAAATGCAAATGCAAATGCTGGAGGAGCTGGTAATGCCAGAGCTAATGCTAATGCCAACGCCCAAGCAAACGTTAATGCCGGAAACTATGGCACTGGATACAATACTGGAAGTGATAATCCATTTATAAATTCTGGATATTCTGGAAACTCTGGCTATGATAATACGTACTCTGGAGGATATAATACTGAAAATTCTGGTAAATACAATAGTGGATATTCTAATGGCTATAGCAATGCTCAAGCTGATTCTCAAGCTGCTAGTAATGGACGTGGTCAATCTTACACCAAAACTGGAACTAATACTCATGGAAATGCACAAGCTAATGCTGGAGCCAATGCCCAAGCACATGGATCTCATCAAAATGGAGGTAATTATTGGAATCATTTGTTATAATAAATAATAAATGTTTTTAAAAAAACATTTAGTAGTTTAAAGTTTTAAAGTAAAGTTTAGTTTATAATATAACACTGTAATAGCAACATATTTTGATACAGCAGCAATATTTTTTTTTAATATAGATAAATTCTAATCGAAATCATTAACAACTAACATATTAATTATAATAAAAACAGGAATAAATTACCAAAGTAACAGTCCAGCTCGTGAATCATACATTAGTGATAATAACAGGAATCAAGATGTACCTAATTATTCCTCTGGTTCTTCATCAGCAGCAGCAAAAACTACCGCAACAGCATCAGCTAACTCTAATGATAATACTGGCGCTATTACCAATTACAATGTACCGACGCAAACTTACAATAATTATCCTCAGAATGATAATTATTATAATAATGCTAATGTCAAAATTCCTACTTATGTCAAAGTTAAACAGCCTGGTATCCAATTAATGCAACCAGTTCAATCATCAAAGCCAACGTTGACAATAACCTTCTCTGAAAAACCTCAAAAAAGTTCTTTGGGATGTTCTCGATGCAGAGCCAATGCTCAAGCAAACTCCCAAGCAGTTGCTCTAGCAAATCTTCCATCGGGTCAGGGTTCAAGTGTTTATAATGTTGGTCAAGGTCAACAAAACAATGGAATTCGTATGATTCCAATAAAAACTTCTCCCATGTTATATAGTCAAACTGGAGCACAAGCTCCAAGTCAAGCTGACACAATTGTAGTGCCAATTTTGGTGATGGATGCACCTGATCGACGTCCTCTGAGACGACGTCGTCCACATCACCATCATCATTCTACTCCTATTACATCTATTAATGTCCCTCAAGACAAACCTTATTACTCAGTGGACATGGGCGATAAGATGCCCTCTAATACTCTAGGTGAGCATCTTGATGTTTGTGTTTGTAATCATGTAGATATTGATGTCTATAAACAACATCAGTGATGCACAGTTATCTATTTAAATCATTCATTTATATTGTGGACTTTGACTTTTTACAGCTGCTTTATGAAACGATGATATTGCTTTTACTGTGTTTTACAATTAATTTTTTAACCATTCTCTAGTATATTATGGCTTCTAATATTAACTTAATTGTTTTTTGGTCATCGCTAATTTATAAGTTATTCATGTTTATGTGTATAGATGTAATTAATTGTTATTTTTCGTATTTAATATTGCAAAATATTCCAAGAGGTTTGTATGAACGAAATTCGATTGAAAAACTCATGTGAAGGTTGAAAAATAAAAAAAAAATTTATAGTGATGAAATAAATTATAGGTAATAAATTGTTTTTTTTTAGGTCATCAAGGCTACGATGGCACTTACAATACTGGCAATTCATATAACACTGGCTCGTATGACAATCAACCGCAGTATAGCAACAATCCTTTCTTCCAAGGTCAAGGAGCAAGTAATGCTAATGCAAACGCCCAAGCTCAAGCTCAAGCTCAAGCAGGATCGCAATCTCATGGTAATACATACAGTGGACAATACCAGAACACTGGATCATCATACCCTACAAACCAGAATACCGGTTATAACAGTGGCTCTGGGTATGGCCAAACTTCACAGTATGGATCACAAGGAACTCCAACTTCCTCTCATGCTAATGGAGATGCTAGTGCAAGTGCTAATTCCGATGCAGTGGCTGCTGGAAATCCATTTTTAACAAATACTGGAAGTGAATCTGGTAGTTATCAACCTACATACGGCAAACAATCGAATACAGGAAATTACGGATATAATCCTGATCAACAAACGAATGCAGTACCATCAGGAAGCTATGGAACTCCGTCAAACGCTAATGCAAATGCAGCAGCAAATGCTAAAGCTGATGCTGGTGCCAGTGCTGGATCACAAGGAGGACGTCAACCAGATTACGGATATACTGGATATTCCCCAGTCAATACTAATTCACAACAGCCATCAACTGGAAGCTATGGAGCTCCGTCAAATGCTAATGCAAATGCAGCAGCAAATGCTAAAGCTGATGCTGGTGCCAGTGCTGGATCACAAGGAGGACGTCAACCAGATTATGGATATACTGGATATTCTCCAGTTAATACTAATTCACAACAGCCATCAACTGGAAGCTATGGAGCTCCGTCAAACGCTAATGCAAATGCAGCAGCAAATGCTAAAGCTAATGCTGGTGCCAATGCGGGATCACAAGGAGGACGTCAACCAGATTATGGATATACTGGATATTCTCCAGTTAATACTAATTCACAACAGCCATCAACTGGAAGCTATGGAGCTCCGTCAAACGCTAATGCAAATGCAGCAGCAAATGCTAAAGCTAATGCTGGTGCCAATGCGGGATCACAAGGAGGACGTCAACCAGATTATGGATATACTGGATATTCTCCAGTTAATACTAATTCACAACAGCCATCAACTGGAAGCTATGGAGCTCCGTCAAACGCTAATGCAAATGCAGCAGCAAATGCTAAAGCTAATGCTGGTGCCAATGCGGGATCACAAGGAGGACGTCAACCAGATTATGGATATACTGGATATTCTCCAGTCAATACTGATTCTCAACAGCCATCAACTGGAAGCTATGGAACTCCATCAAACGCTAATGCAAATGCAGCAGCAAATGCAAAGGCTGATGCAAGTGCTAATGCTAATGCTCAATCTCAAGGTAATAATTACTATGGATCTCAACCTAGTCAAGGATACACCGGTATAAAATCTAACCTTGGAAGTTATCCAACATCCAATCAAGATTTAAATACAATTCCTACAGGAGGTTCTTCAAACGCTAATGCCAATGCCCAAGCTAATGCCAATGCTCAAGCTAATGCCAATGCTCAAGCTAATGCTAATGCAGAAAGCCAAGGAACATCAGGAAGATATAGTGATCATAGTCCATACAGTAGTACTTCTGGACAAGACAATACACCCAGTAATGGTGCTCAATCAGGAGCATCAGCATCAGCCACTGCCAATGCCAATGCTAATGCCAGTGGAAAAGCAACAGCAACTGCAAATGCCAATGCTAATGCCCAAGCAGGAGGATATGCGAATGCAGTAGCAAATGCTGAAGCTAATGCCAATGCTGGAGTTGGATTCCAATCGAAAAGTTCAGCAGCTGCTGATGCTAAATCCTCATTTGACACTACAAAAGGACTTATTTTTACAGATTAAACCCTAATCACTTTGTTTATTGATCGTTGTCTTCCATCAATCATGCAGATTTAAGATACTTAACTTACGTATGAGTGTAAATTTTATGTTTACGTTTTGATAGGTTCAACATTGATATTAATGAGTTCATAGTTGAAACATAAATACCTCAATAGTTATAAATACTCGTGTTCATTATTTTATTTTCATTGTCATTTTCCTATAAATTATTTTACTTTATTTTTTAATCCTTGAATAAAATTATAAATCATTAGACTGGACACAAATGTATTTATGATAAAAAATACTTAAATAAAAGTATAGAGTGTAAAAATTGTTGATAAACAATAAAATGTAAATTTTTATTTTCAAGTTTATATTCAATTGATAATACCATAAATATTGATAAAAAAGATATAAATTACTTACAATCAGTAGAATTAACAGTTTTGTGGACCAACTAAAATAAACCGTATATTTCAAGTCTGTTGAAGCACATTAAAAGCTGAATAAGATGTTTTTATCAACTAAAAAAATCAGTCAAATTACATTTTCAATACTCAACAATTAAATAGTAAATTACATCATCATTACCGCTTTAAATGAATCATACGATAGAACGACGAGGTTTCCACTGATAAATTTAATTGGTCGAAGTGATCGATTCATTATAATGATCAAACTTTTAACTGTTGTTGAGTCTAAACTCATCCAGTCCATATGATAGATGGCATCACTTACCGTTCTACTCTAAAATGAGGATTTTTTTGGAGACCAACGTATGAAAGTGATTCTATTCAATATTACATTATTTTAAAAATGAAAATATTACCACAAGTGTCACTTCGTTGCCTGCAGCACATAAAATAAATATTTCAGTCAACATGCAACAAAGATAGAGCACAATGGTTGTGAATTCCGTTGAAAATAGAGGCATACGCGCCATATTATATACACTAATGCATAAAACAATAGAGCTGATGATGAATTGTAGAAAAATCACCGAACTAAAGGTTGAATTGATGGTTTCAGCAAGTCTGCAATTATTTTGATAATGTATTTGTTTTATCATAACATGTCAATATTCATCAAAAAGACCATTTATATGATAAAATTCAACTTAAAAATGACAAGATGACATTTTACGGAGTCGGCTATTATTTTTCTCTCCAGTTTTAAGCTTTTTAAGTAATATTTATCACCTTGAGTTGATTCTATTGAATTAACGAGGTTAAGAAAACGGTACTTTAGTATTTGCACTTTTGCACTAATTTGCATCATCAAGCCTGGTATCAAAGTATCATATCCAATGTCTGAATTCGCTGAAAAACCTACGCTTATTATTTGATAAATATAAGCTAGCCAATATAATGATCCTTTAGAATAATCCCAGGGTATATAAGTGTTATAAGGCAATACTCCAATAGGAAGCCTTTGAAGTAAGGTGCCTACAGTCACCATAAATGCTGTTATCTCAGTTAAGATACCATAAAAAAGTGTGTTAAATCTAGAATAATTTATTGTGTTTTATACTTTTAGCACACAAGTGATAATCTTTCATGAAAAATGTCAAATAAAATCTAAAATGTTATTTATTGATGTATATACCTTATGATACGATCAACTTTAATTTGAATTAATTCTTCATCCTTATTTCTTGGCTTACATGGCTCACAGTCAAGAACTTTAATTATTTCAATAATTTGTTGTCTGCTATTAACAATGTTAACAATTTTCCCACAAATTGCTAGGATTGATAATAAAATAAAACAATCATTCGATAGATCAGATATACTTTTCGATGAGATTATCAGACCAATAAAACCATTTATTGTGAATGAGTAAATAAAAAAAAATATCAAGCACATTCGTAAATTGTAAAACCAATTGTAACATGGGGATACATTTTTCTCAGGTTTCCACAATCCAATAATTTGTAAGACTATAAAGCTTTCAGCAAGTATTGGTTTCATTTCTGTAGATAAACTTAATTGAAGGGTTGTTTATGAACATTAAACCTCTTATGGATAAGTCTTTTTCTAGAAGACAATAGGATTTACTAGGTATAGTTGATTAAGAATTTAACATCAATTATTTTCTTAGCTTATTAAGGTAATTTTCTTTTAATTGGATTTATTCTGTGAAACCAAGAGACGGAGTTTCAATAATTGAGAAGAAAATTGCCAACATTTCTTGCTATGGTATTATTTTGTTACGTTGACAAGTTTTCAAAGGGGAAGTTTATTGATTTATTAACTATCTAAGAGGGTTTTTGTCTTTCCTATTCAGTCGTCAGTTAAAATTCATTCAATAGAGTGTAAAGCAAGACTTGGATAACCATTTAGCTAACTATGGTTATGAAGTAAAGTAACAAAACTTTTTCCAAGTTTGTGAGATCCATTTTTGTTTAAGTCTAGTGAGACAAAATTGCTTTTAATACCTGATTTAAAAACTAATAAACAACAAAAGGATTTTACATTAATGTTTATTTGAAACAATTTATTAATCAGTTGGAAATTGAAAGTAAGTTATCAAGAGACTTTAAAATTCATTAATTGAATATTTTATTTAAGAAAAAATTTTTCTTATGAATGTCTATAATTTTTAGAAGAATGGAAAATTTTTATTAATGAAAAACAGTGAACGCTTATCAGCTCATAATTTGGTTGATATTAATTCATTTGTTTTAATCTGTGTTATCGCTATTTAGTTAAATGGTCTTGAAAAAGACACCTGAGTAAGATATCAAGACTAAGATAATATAAACTGATAATATATAATTGAAATCGAATAAAACATATTGAAATAAAATTTAAACATTTTTATTTACAAAAAAATTTTATTTTATTGTCTTCAAGCAACAGACAACATAATAATATATCATGATGGATTTTATGTGACTAATCCTTTTTGTTTTATTACTGTTTATAATTAAATCCATCGAAATAATTTTGTTCAATATTTCATTATTGAATTTTTCAATTAAATCATCCTGATTGTGAACCAGAGCTTGATGATGAGCTAGATTTGGACATAGCACTGGAGCTGCTTGATGATGATGATCCACCGAGCATTCCACCGACCATGGGGACAGATTTGATCATGCCCATTTGTCCACCAACTAATCCACCAACCATTGGGAGTCCTTCAACCATTGGCATAAGACCACCAACCATTGGAAGATCAACAGATCGTACTGGGGCAGCAGCTAAAAAAGTAATCAAATAATTATTTAATGCGATTAAAATTATTTATAATAAAGAGATAGATCAATTGAATACAAATCAAATACCACAATTGAATGATGAGATTAATTTGATTGCTGACTAAATAAAAAATTTTTCAACTGATTAAGAAAGAAATCATGAGAAACTTACCAGCGAGAACAACAGCCAAGAAGGCAAAGATAAAAGCTTTGTTCATGATGATTTGTTTTGGTTTTTGCAATGATCAGTAGCTCAAAATGAACAGAAGAGAATGATAAAGATTGTCAAAGATGCACAGATTTTATACAGACGAAGAGTATTTTTAAATCTGTATTTTTATTTATTTATTATCTTTACGTGAAATAAAAATATGTTAAAGAATGCCTTCACATGTGCTGAAATAAAAATAAATAAATAAATGAATTGTAAGTTAAGTTGTAAGTAATATAATGAAACTTTTACAGCAAAAAAGTAATACAGAAAGTAGCAAAGTAGGTGATATTAAAAATAAATTAAAAAAAAACATAATTACATGAATCGTTTCAAAGTAATAATAAACTATGTCATTAGTTGTTCAATATTTTATTAATTTATAATAATAATTTCCATCACCATGCCATTATATTCTAACTTTTACCATGTTTATTAGTATTAGATAATTGTTATTATTTTATTGATTATTTTTTTTTAAATTCATTTTTCAATAAATTCATTCGCTTGCAAAAATGATTCACTCATTAATCACATTTCTAAACATATATAATAGTGACAAAAAAATAACAAATAATTTTACATATTTCAATTTTATTATTTATTTTATCAATATCAACATCATCGTTATATAATGATAATTTCAATTATTTTACTATGATCACCATAATAATTATTATTATGCCCTTTGATTAATCAATTTAACATTATTTTTATACAATTTATGTATTCAGCTTTTTTTTTGTATTTTATAAACCTAATGCATTCTAAATTGCAAAAGATGAATTTTAATGATTCTGTATATATGGAATTATGAAATGCAGTATGAACAAGCGTAATTTTTATCAATATATTTATATTTATATATTTATATTTTTTTTTATATATATTATACACATTGTTTTAACGTTATCATATTTAATTATTAAATTTTCTCTCTCATTTTTCTATGCCTACTGTAATCAAATATTAAACAATTCAAAATCATCAACTTAAATATTCAATTAATTATTTACTTAAAAAAAAAAATAAAAACAAATTACTTATGTCAAATTATTAAATGGCGTTAATCATACAGTTTTATTAAAAGGATCATCAATGTCTAAAGATTTAAGAGAATTATTTTGGGGGTCATTAAGTAAAAAAAAATTTTTATAGACTATTGTCTATTATTTATTTGTTAATTAATTAACATAAACAAATTGACAAGTAATAAATAAAATTACTGTCTAAAGCGTTAACCGCTTATAAAAATATTTATTTATAATTTTCATTTTTATTTTTTGTAAATTATTATTTCTCTCTACTTGATGTTTTTTCTCTCAATTGTTTACTTATTAAATTATCATTATTTGTCACACATATATATATATTCCACGTCATTTATTTTTTTCTTTTCAAGCTTATTAAAATAATGTAAATTTCTTATTATTGTGCGTGTCTACTAAACAACAATTATAAATAAAATAATAATTGGTGTATAAATTGAATTTGTAAATGACCCCAAATTTTTCATTATTCTCTTAAATCTTGATGTTGAATCACCATCACATTTTATTTCTTGTCGTTATATTTTTCATTACGTTTTTTATTTATCTCTTATGTTGTAAATTGTTTTTATACATTATTTATTTTATTTTTTATTTATCAGAAACTGAACGGATATGAACCATTGAGTTTTGAAAAAGTATATTTTTCAGCTGATTTTATTTATACCTGAGCTTACAAAAACTAAAAAAAGATTTCCCTTATTTTTTTGTGTTCCGTATAAAAAAGAGAATATTGATATGGAAAAAGTTTTAGTCCAATAGTGATTAAGACAGTCTGCATATGAGTTGACTATTGATGTAGAATACAGTGTTGTTGTGAATTTTAAAAAATGTGAATTAGTTTACAACATATATAATAAGTAATGGATGTTTTTAAACAGTTTATTTTCTAAATATTTATGAAATGATCCTGATGAAGTGAAAAAGTAAATTGATGATGTGATTGGATCATACACGTTCAATTTGTCATCCTCTTCATTTTCATGTTCAACATAGTATCATCAATCTACTAGACTACTTTGGATCTAAATATGTTTGGCACATTAATGTTTCCTCGCTAATTGGCGTCATAATAGGTGTGTCTTTCATGTGATAACAATTCTCATATTCAACATGCGCAATATGGATCCTCATATCACTCCAAAGTAGTGCTCGATACCGTTGTGTGTACACCTAGTATTCTCTTTCTTCTTTCACTTTTCTCCCACCCTTTTAATATTTGCATCTTCTACAAAGAAAAGGATTTCTTGCTCTTGAGCTCGAGTTCATTCACTAAACATTTATTCTTACTCTTGACCTTTTCCTATATCGTTGCTTCCTGATTTCTTTTACAAGCTAAATATTCCATTTATTTACAAGCCTTCCAGGTTATAAATTTTGCATCTTTAACAGTTATAATATTAATTTATAATAAAACGAACAAAAAGTAATCTGATCTTGTAAGTGTTCCAATTAGCGACTCAATAATGTTTTTAGTAATATTTTATTTTTTAGTTTAGATTAGTCGAAAATTAGGCATAACAATTATAGAAAATATTGGAGTATTATTTTGTTTTATAAAACACTGTACGGAGAAAATTTTCTTTTAAAATTTAACTCTATGATTATTGATTACTAGATATTTAATAGCTTTTTGCTGTTTTTTTTAACATTAATTATAAAATAGCAATATAACATTAACTACTTATGTAATCAAATTAACTTCGGTGAGTCGTTTTTTTTAACAAATATTTTTATAAACATTTTCAAGAAATATTAAATATTATTAATAAATTATCTAACTGTGCTATATAATTGCTCTCAATTTTATGATACAAATTTGAAAACTACAAATTTTTTTTTATAAACACTTCAATTCCATTTATTGAAAATATTATATTCACCGAATAACTGATAGTTTTCATAAAAAATATTCACTAATTAACTTAATAATATAAGGGCAAGTATTACAACATGAGTTAATTAATCATAATTTTCAAGTAATAAGTAAAAATGAATTAAATACAATTACAGATAACTGGATAAAGATTTAATTGTTCTCATTTTATTGAGTTGGTATAAATTTTAAAGTTAATTTTTAACAAAAAATTTTATCCGTATTAAGAAATAAGGAGGATGGAGCAACATAGGACCCTCATGAACAAACGATATTCAAATTTAGGTCAGATTCGTGTCATCCACAGTTACACTTTCTGACAACAGTTAATTGACTTTTATGTTTATATTCTATGAAACAAATTATTGCAGGCCTTATTTTGTAATCGTTATTGTATTTTAAATTACAATGTTGTAAAATGAAATTACAAAGAAGCATTTTTAGTAGTAATCTTATCATTTATTTTTATTTAATACTTATCTAATTTCTGTAATTATATAAAAATAAAAATATTACATTTTTATTAGTCACTCTGTTATTAACTATTGTTTTTATCGCAATGATAATACAATTATTAAATTATTTCTTAATAACATAAGTCTCAAAGCAACAATATTAATCATGATTTAACCATTTCCTACTTGATGTTATAGAGAGCCCTTCTTACCCCAATCTCCGTTAATCCTACAAACTAATAATTTAGACAGGATCGCTCATTGGTACATTTACGCTAATGTATGCTTCAATTTATTTTCATTATATTTTACATTCACTATAGTAATCAATTTATTTTAGATAATAATAACTTTCTAACGATTCACTTTTTCAACATAATTAGTCAAATAGTCAACAGTTAAATTATCAATTCATCAATAAATCATGTTTCAGGCAACAAGAATGGTTAATTTATTTATTCATTAACTAACATTTATGTTACGTTTTAAGCATTTTATTTTTTTTTGTCTTTTAATTAGTAATTGATTTTGAAAAAATATTATTGAGGTCCTCGAAGTTCTTTGGCACAATTGGCGACCTTTTTTTTTACTCATTGACTTATCATTCACTTGTTGTTGTTTTTTTTTCTTTTTATATATTTATTTTAATATTTTTCATTCATTGAAATAATTGTGTATTTTAAATATCTTTTTTTCTTTCAAATAGCTTTATGAAGATTATTATTTATGCAGTTAATTTGTCATTTCTCATATTTTGTTCGATTTTCTTTTATACATATAGTCGCCTCATTACTTTAATCGTATAATTAATACTCTGTTGCATCTTTAAACTCTTTTGCTTTACCGTACGTAGCTTCTATGCCGGTTTTAGCCACGTGTTTTCCCACCTTCTCGAGCTGGAGTAATTGGAAACTCGTTAGACACTGAAGAATGTCAAATACCTCCAAGGAAAAATGATGGATAATTATTGTTACTTAACTACATCATCCAAGAAAAAAAAAACAACCTTTTCGCTTATTAAAAACATGAAAATCAATAATAAATTTTTTTTCGATTTTTTTCTTCATTATTGTTATGAATAGTTGATAACAAAATAACAACTTTCCAAAAATCAATACTAATCAACTTGATAATGTTGATAGTAATTGAAATTTTATCGATAATGAAATAAAATCGAAAAATCATAAATTATTTACTGTCTAACTATTAATAATTCTTTAAAATCGTTCTATGTAAAAACAATGTAAAAATAGTGAGTTATTTTCTCAATAAAATATGAAATCTTTCCGAGGTCACGATTGCATCTTCCAGGTCATCATAAACCTATCATCACGAGTTTACGGTGGTTCCGGCTCGGAGGTGGGAGATTCCTGCTACGCCTCCAGGAATATCAAAGCCGTTGGCTTCGGTTCCAAGTTACTTTTCTTTGCCTCTACAACCAAGAATTCTATCTCATTGCGGTCACGTCTAGCAAATGATTCGGCGATAAGTCTTGCTACTTCTTGATGATGAAGTCCTGTAATCGGTCCAATCAACCCAATTTACAAATAAAAACAGTTGATTTGCTTTTGATGTTGTTTTTTTTTTGATATTCATTAATTACCTTCAACCTTATGTCCATCAACTTCGAGGATTAATTGGCCTACTTCTAGACCGCCTGCTTCATAGGCTGCTCCGTTATCCTTAGAACAAATAATGAAAAATTTCAGATCATGAGGCAAAACATGATAAATTATTCAAGATTTATCAGAAAGCATTCAAATTAAAATATAAGAATTTATCTCTTACTCAGGTTTATTAATTTCTTTGATCATGTCTCAATTTTTTTTTGTTATTAAAGTTTGATTTCACAGACTCTTCCACAATTTTAAATGAAAACTTTTCCAATTTTTTTTTTATAACAGAAGAAATATCTAACTACTGAGATACACAGTTTGAAAATGAAATGATTTAAAGTTTGAAGTTTGAATTATGAAATTGTTTTTCAACTATATTATGGCAAATTTACATTTCATAAATTAGTTCATGAAAGTTCATATCATATTCATCATAATAAGTATCATATCAACATGATAAACATGTAGGTGAACGAATATTGAAAAAATGGTAAGCTAATAAATAAATATTGGAACAATCTGCAAAATATGATATCCTGAATTTTCAATCATTTAAACAATAAACAATTGAATAAGAAAGAAAACTTACATGGATATTTATTATTCTTGGTAAAGGATGTTTAGTATTAGCTCCTCCTTCAATGGCGATTCCAAGAATGGATTTAGTCTTTTTTACAGTGATCCTGAGATTTCCTTGATGGTCTGGAACAACGAGTGCACCATCCTCCTCCCTTCTCTCGGATATTTCACTTCGTGTAAGTCTCTGTGCGCTGTGATGACGTCGTGGAGGTCCACCAGTTGATGCATTTCCTAGTGCACTACCAGAAGCTGCTCCCTCCTCCAACAATTGTGCTTCCTGCATATCAAAACTCCTTGAAAGCTTGTGCGCAAGTTCCTAAAAAGTTTTTTTATCGATATTTTGACAATTTTTTGTTTTAAAAAATTTTTTTCTTTTCACAATACTTTTCTTGTTACAGAAAGCAATTATTTTGTTTTTGATAATTTTATCGAGTGATATATCCGGTGATTTTATTGAGATTATCAACCAATCCAATGTAGCTTCATATAATATATATATTGTGCATTATAAATATATTAGAACAGATTTGAGTATAGTAGTAATTGTAATTAATAATGATAAATTGTTGAATTAAAATATTGAAGACATGCTTGCTGATAAGGCTGATTGATTGGTGGTAAGGGTGTTTAGTGCTCGGAGAGTGGTGGTGTCGCGATTGCAGAACTTTCATTTGTATTATTTAAGAAATCATTTAATTTATTAACAATAATATTGAATAATAAAAAATAAAAATATCAATTATTTTAAAAAACAAAATCTATTGTTTAGTTTATTTTATAATTTTTTTTAAATAGTTATAATTAAAATTGTAATTTTTAATTAATATAAAAAAAAAAAATAATTTAAAATTATTAATATTCTTTATCTGTCCTCTTCAACTCTCTGAAATATTTTTGTCATCGTTAATTAAACGAAACAATTATTTATTTGTTACACACTGAGAGAAAGAATAGCTTTTAATAATAAATCAAAATTTTATTTGTTTATAACTAAATGAAAGTAAACAATTAATGATATTTAACAGATATAATTGATTTAATTTCATTCAATTATAATCATTTTTATTTAAAAAAATACAATTATATGTTAAATAAATAAAAATTTTATTTATTACACTAAAAAATGCTTATTTTTATATTTTTTTTTGTTAATTTTAGGTGATTTTCTAGATTAAAAGAACGTTTATTTAGTGAAAATAATTGTTTCTCTCAGTATATTTGTGAGTTTGTGAAGGTGCATGCCAAGACATCTAATTAATTAAGTATAGTATAAGTTCGTGCTTTTGAAGAAAACAATCACATGTTTTGCTGAAAACTGACTGCAGAGTTGAAGAATTAATTGGACTAAAGTGCAAAACATCTATAAATATACGAATAGTAAATTTAATATATAAAAATAAGAAAAGATGTTGACACATATCCTAGTAGAAATGTTATGTAGACAAATATAAGATGCTGATTAGTTTGATTAAATTCAATTTTAAGTAGCCACTTTAAAAGTATAAAAAAGACTAATATTTAAATATTTTCAAGTTTAAATTAGTGTATTTATTTTATGTTAATAAATTCTCATGAATATTTATTTAATTAGGGATAATTAATTAGTACTCATTTCAATTGTAAATTATGGAAGAAGATCAAATTTGAAGTTGAAAGAAAAATACAATTAAATGGAAAATGTTTTCTTTTTTTATCAAAACATTTGTAATTATCTTTATAAAATGCAATTTGTCAAGTTTACATTAGTTTTTTCGATATATTTACTCGATTAATTTTATTTTAATAGATACACAGATTTTTCCTGAAAATGGATACTTATTTTTTAAAATAAACCAGTCAGCATTTATATAGGAAAAGATAAATTATTTTTTTGAAAAGTCAAGTGAAAATTACGATACTTCTCTAGAATTGTGATAGTCCCTAAAAAAATTATCTTGAAAATATTTTCTATAAAAATTTTACAATTTTTTTGTAATCCAATTAAATTAACCAATTAACTAATTAAATCGCAGTATTCTTTACTTTGAAACAAATTTATTTAAATACTTACAACCTTTCGCTTACAATTGGAAGTCAGGATTGGAATGTATATATTTAAAAGATATAATTTCTAGGAATTGCATGACCTTGTAGAACCAAGTGTATTTGACGTTTCGGAATCATATGATACGAATGCAACCGGTTTCACGATATCTAAAGGTTATAATATTAAATTAGACCCAGCACATACAATTCCTAGAAGTAACATCTATAAATAAACGGATAATAATTTTTTTTTAAATGTATAATCAATATTTTAACTAGTGTTATCTATTTTGTGAATTTTAATATTTTAGCAATCGACAATATATTCTATTACAATATTCTTTTTTTTTTTTTAATATTTATAACAAGATACTTATTGGTAATTTCAATATGAATTTCAAGATCCTGTGTTATGATCTGTAATGTGTATAATACACAAAAGTTCAATCATGGAACCAAGGGTATTTTTAATTATTAATAATAACTAAATATATCAATATATTAATAACATTAAAATAGCTAAAATTATCAGATTGACACATTGTTGTATTTCATTTTGTATATATTGTAAAATATAAGTAGAGGACAACAAATATTAATAAAGTTTATTAAAATGACAGATTCAAATACAGAATCTTAAATATGATGTCTAATCAGAACTACACTGTAAATCTCAGTTTTCCAAAATGCATTATTGCACCCATTTGATTAACATTAATTATACTCTTAGTCATAAACTGGAGATAAACAAACTCTACCCTCACTGTTATAAACAATTTAATTGTCAACTAAAAAATGGTCGTTAATCAATCAATTAATACATGGAGACATGCATATATTTTACAATATTATATCTGAATTCTTTTCAGATAGAAGCATCGTAATTTCTACAAATAATCTTTTCTCATATAATCTTTAACTAATTGCTACTAAAAAATTTCTACTAGTGTTACAGTAATACACGCTATCGACTAGTCTCTATAATTCTAGATCTAGACGTATAGCGAATAGTAATATTTGAATAATGTTACTAATAATAAAACCATGCTTTATTCAATGAGTCCATTGATTTTCCCGTATACTTTTGTTATTATAGCGTGCGGATTATGAATAAATCCGTAATAAAAGAAATAAAATGAAGTATAAGTAAAATGATGGAAATAAAATGAAAAATAATTAACGAAATGATTGAAATTGTGCGAAAGTTCTGTAATAAAGAACTTACAAGGGGTCTGGCACCCCAGTACCAGGACTTGACACGCTGAGTAAGACCACCAAGTAGGTGTGATCTCCAACCACCAAAACCTCCCCCACCTCCACCCTCCGAGCTTCTTTCTTCCCTGCTTTCGTCTTCGTCCTCGGTATCACGGTCACGACGACCGTTACCGATCATCTCCACGTCGCTACCCTCGCAACCGCCGTCGCTTTCCTAATCCCGTCAAACAAAAATATAACCAACTCAACCCTATTTCAATCTTATTAAAAATAATATTTATATATAGTCAAATTTTCTCCTTGTTATAGTTCATTATTTTTTTACATTTATTCAGCCATCACATTAAAGAATAATAAAAATAACTCTTAGGTTTACTGATAATTTAAAAAAATTAATTTTCTTAGGGATAATAATAATTTATTAATTGACAATTAATTGGATGTATTTTATTGATAAGATTCAATTAATATTGGGTTTATTTTTGAATTTTTAATTACTAATGAAGATGACAAATGTATAATATTTTATATAAAAATGATTAATTTTTAGAATAGGGTATTTTTTGTTTTTTTTTTATTTCTCTGAAATAAAAATGTCTCCCCACGTTATAGATTATTTTATCTACAAAGTTTCAAATATATATGATAAAAGTTTAGCACTTACAATTTCATAAATTAGTTTCATACTATTCTAAATTAAGTAATAATAATAACTTTATTATGAAGACAATTTCTAAAGTCACATGACCTAGATATTGACTTAAAAAAATCGCAGGTCTGACCGCAGACATTTAAAAACTTTCTCCAGTTGACTCATGCTTTTTCCCAGTATTACTCTTCACCTTTTATGTCTTTATTTATGAGGCAAGATCGATTTTTTATCTCATTTATTGAAGTTTATGAAAAAAAAATCCTCAAGGAGAATAGTCCATAAATTGTCATTAATAATTCCACAAAAAATCGCCATATTGATAAATAAATATATAAATTACAAAATGTTTTGCAAAATTTAATCATAGTATTGAGTAAATGTCAATCTTAGCTCTTCCGCATTAGCTTTGATATTATAAAACAAAATTATTAGCATAGTAATTTAATAAGAGACTATTTATTTACTTAAATACGCAAGACGTAAACACAGAAACATGAATCATATGTCCAGTCGACTGGTGCAGTGTCATAACGTACATTTTGTTGCATGTTTCTTGTAAAAACTTGGCAACGGTGTACAAACTCTATTCCTCTTTCTTCTTTACTTATATATATTCTAACCGATCTCTTTTGCTTTCTAGTGCTATCTCACTTCCTTTATTCACCATCACTGTTCAACTTGGCTGTTTGTTGGTTAGATCGGTCTTTCTTTCACTAAACCAGGCAATACAAGTGATCAGCTCCACTCGTTCTTGAATCAGTCGTGTCAGAATCTTTGTTAGTGCACGCACACGTTCAATTTAAACCTACAAACGATCATTTAACTTTGAAAAAAATCAGGATTAATATTTATTTCGTAAGTAATCTGCCTTGTTTTTATTTATTTATTTATTTATTTGTTCACTCCATCTATTGTTGACGTTGACAAAGTGTCTAAATACTGACATAACCTGATTTTCAACTTAAATTATATTGATGATTTTTTTCTTTTGTATTGCTCATCAATTTTGATCAAGTTTGATTGATTTAACATGAATTTTCTTTCAATTGTTTTTAAAAAATTTAATCAACCAAATTTATAAAGTTGATTTATGTTTTTCTTAAAGTTTATTATAAAATATTATTTTTCCAAGTTATTTTTGTAAACAAGAATTATTCATTAGTATGTAAAATGTAGATAATGGATGTTTTTAATTGTTTCAATAACTGACAAATCTTTGGAAGATAATTGATTTCTGAGGAACTATCAAAGACTGTAAGTTGTGCAGAGTTAACTGTATATCCAATACGGTACCTGATCTCCAGTCTGAGAAAATGAATTTTCAACCGGTTCCACGTTTAAGTAATCATTTTTTTTTCATTTTTATTTTCTCAATTTTACCAAGCTTATTTATTAGTTTACTTGAAAAAAAGCTGTCACATTGATAGATATATTGAAATGTTCATTTAATATTTCATTTAATGACTCATGGTAATCAGGATAAAGAGACCGATTCGGTCTAACGACTGAGAATGACCAAGTGACTTCTTTATGTGTCTTTTCTCTTCTTCCTTTCTTTTCTTTTTTTTCCTCCCAATTAGAAATTATTTTCTTTGTTCTAAAGTGTTATCAATCATTTCAGAATTACCATAATCATCATTTTTATCATCATGGAATCGTGGTTAAGTGAAGTTCAACGAGTCAAAATTCCACGACCTAAATTCGGTAGTGGCAATTCAGTACGACGATCTAATTCTACTGTCCAGCATTGTGTCATTCGTGTTGATACACATCATGCTAAACAAGTTCAAATAGATGTGGCTAAAGCAACTGAAGAACTTCGACAAGCTATTCAAGAAAAACTTTGACACATTCGCTATGTAATGATAACTTTTAATTAATTTTTATTTTGCTACTGTACCTTTTTTTAACATTTTCATATTATTATTACTATTATTGTCATCATTATAATATTATTATAATTATATTAATAATTGATTATTTAAATTTTAGTATTGTATACTTTATATTGTTTTACTTTATTGTCATTAATTATGGGATATTTTTAATTTACATTCACTTGTACATAATTTTTCATTTTGTTCTGATGATGTATTTTGTATATTTTGTTAAATTAAACCATCAAGTGTAATGATTTTTTTTTTTTTAATTTCTTCAATTCATTTTTATTTTTATCACAACTATTAGTATTTCAGATTTTTATACTAAAAAGAATATTTACTGTGAATAAAAAAATTATATTTTATCAATAAAATGAAAATTTTTAATTTTTACTATTGAATATATTTATGAAATAATAGATATTTTTTAAAAATATTTCTTTTTCTAAAATAGAAATAATTTTATATATTTTATGAACTGAGAGAAAAAAAATTTGATTATGAATCATTTACTCCATTAGTGTTACTAATTAATCAATTAAATTAGTAATGTAAGTATTTGAAATGAACACTCTAATATATTTTTATTTGCAATTTTTCAGCCAAACGCAAATATTTACTTAATCCTAAATATTTATTAGATATATATCTGCTTACTATTTTCAATCATGTTCAATTGATATTTATTGAAATACTACAAGAATGATACCAAAATCTTTTAATTTGCAAACCATTAGGGATTATCAACTCAGTAATGTATATTGCTAATTATTGCTGTATATATTCATATTTATTTTCAATATAAATATTTTATATTCCATCTTTCATATTGATAATAAACTTATGAATGAAAGTACCGTATAATGTGGTTAACTTTGAATTGATTTTAATATATCTTGAATGATGAAAGGGTTTAAAGTTCGAAGTAATTCCGAACAATGTAGAAATTTACAACGTGTGAAGTGTGATTTTCCTACGTCGTTAGCACGACACTCCGATCCCATTTTAAAATAAATCGGCTCTCGCTTTCCACATTCAACTCACTCGAGCGAATCACTAAAAGAGTGTGGTTTCACCTTCACATATTATATATACCCACTCTCCCTTTTTATAAATTTTTACACAAGGAAAGTGTACTTTTTTTTAAAAAAACATTTAAAATACTAGAGAGAGAAAGAGAGAAAAAATTACAATAGCCCTTAAAAAATTTAACTATTATATTGTATTAATAAATTTGTTTGAATATATTTATTATATATGAAATTTAATGAATTTGTAAGCACGTTACGTTAATAAAGATTAAAAATTAAAATAGAGAATTGAATAAAAATCGTGTGAGTAATTGCAGTGGTGTAAAACGCAAGTTCATATGAGAGGAAATGAATAAAAAAATTGGTAAAAAAATATGAAGAAAAATAAAATGTGATATAGAGGTAAAGAAAAAAATTTTGCACGACCATGAACCCTTTCAAGGGATTTACATCCATGTTATTTCATTTTTATTTTTACTATATATTTTATATTTTTTATTTATTTGTTATTTCTACTTATCTCTTTATCTTTTACTCTGTCACTACTTTGTAAGAATTTCTCAAGTAATTAACGTCTAATTAATGCCTAATTTATATTATATTTATTTATTAACTAAACTAACAAAAATACCAAAAACTATCAAATTTTATTCAATTAAATTTTTCTTTTTTTTTTTCAGTAACTAATAACTAATTTCACTGAAACTTTTATTTAACTTTTAACATATAAATTTCCACTGATAGAATCTACGTCAAGAAAAGGATCTATTTATTGGAAATTTCACTTGATAATAATATATTTTTATGTAGGAAATTTATCTATTATGGTAAGTGGTTTGAAATCCTTTTCTTAATTTTAATACTTTCTAGGTAACTTGATAATTATTTATACTATCTATTCTCATATCAAAATACTAAGTAATAAATCTAAATTAATTAATATCCAATTAAGGATTGAAATAAAACTTACCACGTTATCAGGATGAAGATGGTGATGGCCATAATCTCGATTCCCTCGTGATCCACCTGGAGAACTGTGTCTTCTACCTCGATCATTATCAATTCCGTCATCGTAGTCCTGTTAAAAAAAATATATATATAATAAAAAATACTAAACCTTTTGTTAATTATTTTATAAGTGATAAAAAAATTTTATAGTTTATTTAATTTTTTTTTTTTTAATTTTTTATTGCATTCCTAAAATCTCGCGCGACTTTCCTAGCATTCTTCCCTTATTATGTTAGCTTGTCACTGTCTTTAACATGTCCTCAGAGTCTCATTAAAGTACCTGATTGTCGTACTCGTCATCATTAGAGAGAGCGAGGTCAGACGTGGCGACTTGATGTTGTGAGCGTCTGCAACCTGGCCTGCAAGTTCCAAAATTGCAAGCTGATCCTTTGTAATGTACTTTTTTTTTTAATTATTCCCATCTTCTTATTCTCATGAAAGTATCAAAACATCTCTTAATTTTCAATTAAAATTTTTTTAACTAATGTCATCAACATCACTATCTATTAAATTATACTGAGAAAAATTTTAAATATGGTCTTTTGTTCAATAAAAAAATATTATTCAAATTAAAAGTATACATTATCTTTAATAATCAAACTACAATACAATACACAAAGAAATATGTTTTAAAACCAACTAAACATCAAAAGTATAAATCTTCACCAAAAAATGGCTTATCACGACTGTTTAAAATGTTAATTTCCTTGATTGACATAATATAAATAATTTTGGTTCTCAGTACATCCTGAGTTAATTGAAACTACATTTTTATTACAAATAAAATAAAAGAGATCCTTAAAAACTGATCAAGAGAAAGAGAGAGTGTGTTTTGATGGACTTTGATGACAATTTTAGGCTTTAATAATTGATTTGGGACCTCGTTCTTGGCATATCTGAACCCAGACCGCTGTCCTCGCTTGGTGATCTGTGGTCCTGGTTATCCCGAGGTAGTAGTGGACCTGTGACCCCTAACGGATCCCCCTCGATGTCCACCAGTCTTCCTGGACGACAGCAGGATCCAGTTTGAACTCCTCTCTGCGGCAAATCACAGAGATATCCACTATGAAAGGCACCCGCTGGCCTCTCCGTTTTTTTTCTTCCCTTATTTTTTTATTTTTATTTACTTAGTTATTTTGCTAATATTTACAGAGTGCCATTGATGAGCTTGCCCGAGCTTTGGGATACCAAAACTGACGACACTTTAAGTGATTGCTGTCTTTAATAAACATCAAAAGTCACATAAGATCCTTGAAACTTAATAAATTAAATCTCTATGATGAATTTTTTTAAATTTTAATTATCTAAAACTAATTGTATGATTAATTTTGGCAAAAAAAAAACGCGCAACTAAAAAAAAAAGTCAGCAAAGCTCAGGCAAACTCACAAAAGGGATGATTTATTTGTTTTTCAATAAAAAATTCATACCATTTTTATTTATTTTAGTATCATTAGTATTGTTTTTTAAAATTTTTTTTTTTAATTATCGATTCAAAAATTATGTTGCATGAAATTTAGGATTTCAAAGCTATGACAAATAAACTTAGTGCTTGTGCTTTTAAATGTATAAAAGTGTGATGCGGTGTAACTAGATATATTATAATGTTAAAAGCACCACTAATGTCACAAGCGTAATCAAGCATTAAAACAGTTAATTGTGGTAAAATAAATGCCCCAATGATCGAGAAACAAGAAGCAAAATAAATAAATTATTTACTATTATTATTTGTTAAATTTTATATATGACAAAGAATTATTTAATAAATAGCAATTGACATTAAAAATGGAGAAAATAATAAAAAAAATTATTTTATAAAATAAATTATTTAAAAGTTTTTTTGTCTCAAAGTCACTTTGTCTATTTCTATTTTTAAATTTAAGCATTTAAGTTGTATAAAATAAAACAAAATGCTATTATCAATCGGGCATCATTCCAAAATGCAAAGTTTTCTCTTAAAATAAAAACTCAATTATTAAGGTATTTACCCATTTGATTTAATTTTAAGTCCTTTAAGTGATTTTATAACAAAGTGCATTGCTTATTTTATTTTTATACTATATATCTCTAATAATAAAAAAACAAGGAAATATAAAAAACGGATTTTTTTTAATTCTTTTATAAAGTTTACTAACTAAAACGTTGAAAAAATTTCAAACATGATTGATTTATTATAATTATTTTTTAATCTACTCTTTAAAATATAAATTTATTCATATTGACTCATTATTCAGATTTCTTAAAATAAAGTAAAATAATTAGCTTCATTTTATTTGAAAATTAATAATAATGAGAGAAGCAATGATAATTATAATAACCAACCAGTGAATTTATTACTACTATACACTTAAAGGACCCATTATCGTGCAGCATTCCCTAAAACGACACAAAAAGCAGACAGATAAAATAAAAAAAAAAAAACACAAAGCTTATTTCAATCGATGTACTAAATTTTACTAATTATTATAAAAACTTGAATAAAACTCTAAACAAATAGTTATAATAACAAGAAAAATTGTTAAATAATTTTCAAAATTGAAACTCCTTCCTCACAGTTCTCTTTTTGATAACGAGTTTATTTAATAATGAGAGATTAGCATTTCGAGTAATCAATTCACACTAGTAATTATAGTCTGATCTAAATGAATAATAATTATAAACATTAAAATATAATAACAATAATTGTAATAATTTCTGCGTGAATAAAAAAAGAAATACATTTTAGTGGGATTAGACACATTTAGACAGAAAGACAGTGAGAGACAGACAATAAGAGAGGAATTCTAGCTTTTCTACAAATCTAAGTTGTTTGTGAGTTGGATTCTATTGTTGTGATTAATCAAATAAATACACGTTAAATTGAATTGAATTAATTGATTGATCGAATAAACATTTATAATCATTAATTATATTTAAATATAATTGTTTAAAATTAATATTACTTTTACTATTTTTTATTGAAAAACTTACGGGTAAATCGTGAATTGATGGAGTGACGATCAGATCTGAATGTGCTCTATCTCCTTTTCTCTAAAAAAAAGTTAAATTTTCTTTAATAAATCAAAGTAATACAATCTCTACTTTTACTTTTATTACTTAATCTTTGTCATTAGTGAATGATTATGAATTTTTCGGATCCTTTAAGTATCATTAGTTAATTTTTTAACACTGATCACCATATCAAAAATCGTTTTTTTATGTAATATACTTTATCTTACTCTTAAGAAAGGTTGAGAAAATCAGGGTAACCTAATTTTTCAAGTAATTATCGAAAGAAGTTTGAGCTTCCTTGAAGAACTAAACTCCTTAATTACCTAATCACTTTTTACAAAGTGACAAAATATCAGATAGAAAATGGCCAGTTTTATTTTATCTAAGTTAGTTAATATAATTTCGGCAACTTCTTACATATAATATTTTCTATCACTGTAATTTTATCATTTTCAATAATTGAAAAAAAAAGAATTTTGTAACATCACTAATACAATTTTTAAACAAATGCAGTTTATTTTATTAATCATTGAAAAATTATTGCATGTATTTTTTGCTCATAAGCTTAAAATTTTTAGAGTCAAAGAAAAATTGTTTGCTTTGGCAGTTGATAACTCAGCCGGAAAAAAACTTTATCACAATGTTAGTGAAAAAACAAATAAATTCACAAAAAGAGGGCAAGCTTTTAAATACAACAGTGATCAATGTTAGAAAAAAATCCAATAATAAATTTCTTTACTTAGAAGTTCAAGCTGAACACTTACTCTTACTTTATTTAAATTTATTTATTGATTTAATTCAATAATAAAAATGAGAATTTATTTCCATAACTGATAATAGATTATATCTTTTTTCCATAACCTTCTTAATAACTCGTAACTTAATGACTTATTGATTGTTACCTACTCTCATAGTGTGCCATATTGATGTCACTCATAATAAATTTGTTGACGATGCTCCTTTAATTATTAACAATTAACTTCAGAAAATACTTACTCGAGCTGTCGATGCTCGTGGCCGATAAACGAGTTCATCAAAAGCTGCTCTATCTTTACTATCAATAAGTTCTCGAAGTTCTGTTAACAATGTCAACTTTTCATGAGTATTCAAAAGGTCTGCCAAATTAGCAACAAGATCCCCAATTGTTAATCTTCGCGTTCTGTAATCAGCTATGAGTTGAGATAAAGCATTCCGCTCACTTCTCGCTAAAACTACTCGAGCTTTTTCTTCTACCATAGCTAAACTTGCTTCTGATACAGACTGAACTCCTCGATGTCTCCATTCTCTTGAATTGCTTCTAAAAATATTTTTTATCTGTTAATTTATTAGCCAACTAATTATATTATTAATTCATAAAGAAATAATTTTTCTTTTCTACAAACAATTGAAAAAAAAAATATCTTTTAGAGGTAATGTGACTTACGGACTTGGAGGATGATTTCCAGGACTCTCTAAAATTAACTGTGGATCATGATCTGGATATCTAGAGGTTGGCATCATAATTGGACGACTCGTTGTACAAGAATGTGGTACTTTGCCAACGTCTCGGATGACTAAACTCATTCTTTTGTTTGTTTTCAGAATCTGAACTGCTTCATCGTGTGTTGCTTCCTCAAAATTCGTTCCATTTACTTCTATTATTTGATCGCCCACCTGGAAAATTCATCGATGCATTAACGGAAGAATAGACATATTTTTAGAAATATTATATTAGAATAGTGATATGGATTTGAATAAAAGTATACTTATAGAAATGATTGTGAAAAGACTATAATGGAGCTTTGATAGGTAAATTTATAATACTTCTAGAAGAACGATTTTCATCCTAATGTTAAAGCAGTCCTTTATCTTAAATCTGCTTTTTATATTGCATTAGGTGATAAACTTTTATAAAATTACTTATTTGATCTCTGTATAAACTTATCATTACAATTAAAATTATGAAAATTATTTAATACAAAAATATTATTCTAAATAATATTTTTTAACTTAAAATAGAGTATAACATAAAAAAGAAATTACCAAAAGTCCAGCTCTATCAGCTACACTATCTTTATCAACACCAGTGACATAAATTCCAAGACCATATTCCAATCCACCTCGTATCATTAACCCTAAAGATTGGCCAGGTTCAATACAGAGTTCAACTTTTCTCGTACGTGATCCATAATGAGAATCACGCGGATAAAGAGGTGGTGGTGATGCTGGCCGGCCTTGACGATCCATCCAAGAACAAGATTGTTGTCTTCCTGATCCCGACCATATTGGATGGCCTCCTCGACATCTGGGATCCAATGCCGGACCTTTTACTGTCATGGTGAGAGTCCTACATGACTTGAGCATCTGCCAAAAAAAATTTCATCATTAAAAAATTCCCTCGAAATGGATAGTCACTTGATCAGCTAACGTTACGTAATTTAATTGATTATTCGTTGTGACACTAATGATAATGAGTATGTAAGGGGGTAATAAAGTAACAGGATAGTGCGAGAAGTGACGCCACACGCCTCTTCCTATGTTGATATCGATCTTCAGGCTGCCCGTGACGTCACATCCTGCTTATCCTTGACCTGACTCAGATCCCTGTGTTTTCTCTACCCTCAGAATCTTTTAAGGGAATTTTTACTAATTTTTATATACTTTTTAGTATCTTCATCCAATTTAATTGGAATATTTATGTAATTTATTACTCATTAGTCGATTCAATTTTCCAATCAATACTTTTTCTTCAGAAGTTAACATCAGTTTTACATAAAATTTAATATCAATATTGTTCATCTAATCATAAATTTATTTCATTTTAATTAACTTGAAAGTTATTGATAACATATTTATGGATATTTATTACTAAAGTTTGATTATATTTTTTTGTTGGATATTATTATTCAAAACTTGTACTACTTTTGATATAATATTATAAATAAAATGTACTACTGAATTATTAAAAATACTTGCATTGAATAAATTCATTTTTATTTTTGTCATGTTCAGATGATTTTTTAAAAATTAATTCATTATTGATCATCTCTACAGAAGTAAGTTATTTATGTTCAATAGCTGTAAAAACGAAAAAATTGTAATTCAAAATAAAATAATTAATTAAGTAAATAAATTCTATGACTTATTTTCAATATGATTAGTAGTTGAATTAATTAGTTATTTTGTAAAACAAATAAATGTTATTTATATTGTATTTGTTTGATTAATAATAAAAAGGAAAAAATAAAAAAAAAAAGAGACTAAAGAATGTAAAGTATCCTTTCAATTTACAGATCGATGCATGAATCTCTCGAGTTTGCGCTTTCCTGACTTTAATATCTATTCCTTTCCCTCCTTTTTTCATGATTTTTTTTGTTTTTCTTTTTTTTTTGCTTTCATGGGAGATGGAGGAAAAACGTAAAAGATGTTAAGGATAGTTTGTGTAAAGGAAAAATAAATGATGGCATCCGGGGGATTATATGGAGCGTCTAGAATCCTGGCGCCACTTTTGTCATTCTTGATAGAAAATCATTTGGGAGTTTGAATACATCAACGAGTGTCATCATTTATGGTTCTAATACATCTAAAGAAAGGGATAGTTGTGTCAACAAAGCTCACAAATATATCGAGATTTAATTATAATATTTTTTGTTTCACAATTTTTTTTTTACTGATTTTTAATCAACTTTAATACCGATTTTAATTAAAGTCCTTTTTTGTTACTATAAAAATGTAGATTTGAAATCCAAAGGAGTATTATTATGTAAAAATTATGAAAATCGATGACTAATTTTTCTGTCAGAAACACTTTTAAAAATTGAAAATATTTACATAAAGAAGAAATGTATAATAGGAAATCGATTTCTTCATGCTTATTTTTAAAATAAACACTCTGTATTACTGTTGATAATTCAAAATAATTCTTTTTCAATATTAACTGTTGGCATTTACAATAAAAAATATTATTTATAATTATAAAAAAAGGTATTGAATTTTTTTTGATAAGTATAAATATTACGAATATTGTTCGTATTTTCTGACACTTTACAACAACTCAATAATCTCTGCTATTGTTCATGCTGATCGATTTAAGACGTGGGAGTTGATAATTTCAGGCCAGGGTCGACATATATTTTTTATTGACAGCTAGTTCGTTTCTAATCCGTATCTTTCTTTATAATATTGTCAGAATTTTGAATAAGCAACATCATTAGAATATCATTAAATTCATCAATTAAAATTACTTTTATTTTATTTGATTTTACTCACATTACATCATTTTATTCGATGTGCTATAAATATTCATGAGTTCCGAAAGAAAGAATGAGTTAAATAAATTATGTTGGTAACTGTTCGAATCAAATGATGTCCGATTTATTCTATTTATTATTTAGCATTATTAGAATTAAATAAAATTAATTAAATCATTAAAAAATAAAAATTCTTCAATATGTGAAGATGTTATATTATTTTAGTAATTTTTGATGAAAAGACAAAGCTTAGTTTAATATTGGCTCAATGGTTTATTACTTTTCCATCCAACAATATCAGTTGAAATACTGTTAAATATAGATAAATTTTTCAATAAATATCAATACCCTCCGTGATGTGATTTCAAGTCTTTACCAAGATTGAATGTAATCTAGAAAATGGTTTCAAATTAGATTCAATCTATAGTTAGAGTTCATTGACCAATGGAATAATATCAAAAATTCGTAAATTCAAGTATACAACAGTCTTTCTGCTTTTTTCTTTTTTTTTTTTCGTAAATGATCTATTTTTCCTTTTTTTCTCTTTTTACATTTCTCATCCCCCTTCCGATAACAGACTCTGATGGCCCATTGTCGAGCTTTAGCTTTGTCGAACAAGAAATCCATGCGAGCGTGACGAGTCTTGAATTCTCGTCATTTACATCTGATTCTTTCTTCCCTTTTTCGTTTTTTTTTTCATTCCTCTTTTTGACTTACTGTCTTTTTTTTCATCTGTTCAGTTAGCCTTCACTCTTATTCAAGTAGATTCATGTGGAATTAAAGTTCTTAAAAGAACGTACAATAAAGAATATGATAAATCATGACCTGAAAACAATAGGATTGAAATTTAAGTAAGTTATATTCCCTCAATATCTTTAAATTTAGAAGATAAAGAGGTAAACTGATAATGAAAAATAAAATGTTAAATTAGGCATAAAAATTTTATATCACTTCTAATTGTTTGCCACTTATATCAACTCAAATCATTAATTGATATTATTCTTGTTATTTTTTACTCCACATATTCTCTGAATCTATGCCAATATTATTAAATATCATCCTTTCAGGAAGTTCCTTGGTTTATTAAAAAAAAATAATCATAAAAAATTTAGTTTAAATTTGTAAAAGGAAATATAAATTTAAAAAATCAATTGAAATGTAATAATGGATCATTTTTATCCATTCACATCAGTGTTATCTTCAATAATGATATTTTAATTGTAAAAAAAAACATTGAAAGTAAATTTACTACTGTTTTTTATTATAATAATAAATAACTATTTGTTACTCAGTTTATTGTATTGTTCTAATTTAAAAACCATTTTTGTATCTCTCTGAAGTAACTCTTTATTGTCGTTCTTTTTAATTATTTTTTCACTTTCACTATTTTATATAAATAATGAGTAATTTTCAAATAAATAACATCTAAATAAAATGATAATTTTTCAGTTATTTCTTCTCCAAAATTTAAACAAAAAAATTTTTCAATGTTTTATCTCAAGAGATTAAGAGTGAGAATATTTCATATCAAACAGAAAAATATTTCAATATTATATATTTGCATTGTTTTTTTATTCTTTTATTTTTGGGGAAAGACAGTCATTTTTTTTTTTATGAAAAAATTTTTTTCCAACGATTAATTTTTCAACGAAAATGCCAGAATATTTGAAACGTTTTATTTGAAATATGTCAAAAATTACCTTAAGTGCTTCTTCATGTGTAACAGCGCGAAAAGGAGTCCCATTAACTTCAAGAATGGTGTCACCAGGTCTTAGTCCTGCTTTAGCAGCTACAGAACCTTCTTCTACCCTTGAAATGTAGACACCCACACCTGAGAACAATCCAAAGCTTTCGTTATTTCTAAAGTCAGTCCTTTCATTTAATTCACTTTTGCATCTTGAGTGCTCACTAATTGTCATCTTGTCCATTCTCTCCTTGTTACGAGCATAACTAAAATCCTTCTCTAAGGATGCTTAGAACACTTCTGGCCACAATCAAGGCATCAAAAAGACGAGAGGACGAACAAGACTTGTGTGAAGTTGAGTTGTAAAATATTTTTAAACACTATAAAATACTTCATTCATGATAGTTCTATAGACATGCATATACTTTCAAGAAATTTAGTTGATTCATGCCTGCAATATAATTTTCAATTGTTCTAAAAGCTCATGCATTTTATTTATTTAAAGTACTTTAATAAATCTTATTTTTAAAGATTAATAAATTGAATTTTTTATTCATTATCATGCAGTTAGAAATATCCTGACAGCATTTCATTTTGTAAATACTGCTTTAAAATTATTTAAACCATTTAATTCCTTTTTAAAATTCAGTTGAAATTGAAATAAACATTAAACAATTGAATTTTATTAAAAAAAAATAGAATTAATTATGTATAAAATAAGTAATATGCCAATTTCAACACTGTTTGTTACTTCAATATTTTCATTTTATTAAATATTACTAAAATCATCATGACCCAGTAAAAGCTTCAATTATTTTTCATTATGATATTTGATATCCTGTACTATCAGAATACTTAATTAATCAAGTTTTTAATAATAACTAAATTTATAAATTTAAAGATGCCTTGGTGAGTGATAAAATATAATTAAAATAAGTGATAGAAATATTGTGATAATAAATAGCGATGACGAAAATATTTATTAATTATATTAATCTATTTATATATTCAATTCGCGAGGTCTTAATGATTACCTGACTGCGCATCTGGTAGAGCGAGAAAGAACAGAAAGATATTGGCAGTGACATTTGATTGTTTGCTTCACTCCCACTATAGAACGAGATTGACTTCTTGAATTATCTTATCATCCTTCACTTTTTTAAACTATTTTCTTATTTTCTTCTTAATTCATTTTTAATCATTATTTCTACAGTCAGTTTTTAATTTCAAAAAGTCATTCAAGTTCTCATCCATTGAACAAAAATAAAAAAAAATGGTATAGAAGCATAGCAGAAATGTGTGTTCTAAAGTGTTGATCACTTTAGCCAAAATAATAATAAAAAATTTGAGGGAAAGTAAAAGATATATTTTTACCTGCATCTTTGCCACCTTTGACACAAATACCAAAGCCATGATGGGAATCTGGAGGATCTCTTGTCATAGTAATTGTTCTAACAGTTAATTCTTGAAGGCTTAGAGTTTGAGGAGCAGGTGGAGAAGCGGGACTTTGTAGAGCTTGTCCTGTTGGCTGAGAAGTATTATTGGCCCCACGTAAGGTAGACACACTTGCTGGACTTGATGCTGGAGTTCTACGGTCATTAGATCTTCTTTCCGGCTGTCCATTGCCAAATAGTCTAGAATAAAAGTTTTTTCTACATCAATTCACTTTCTATAATTAATTATTGGCATGATCTTAGGAGTATTTATTGAATGATGGCCAAAATCAAATATCCTTTATCAGTTTTTTTTAAAAATGATTATCAATTTGTGACTTACAATTGTGTGAAACAATTAAAGCATGAGTCAATGAAAGTGATTTATATAAACACAATATTTAAATAAGTAATGTTTGTTGAATAAATCGTAACAATCGACAGTAAACACTTTTAATTGGAGTTTTCTTGCTTATTGCAATGTACTTTGTGCCAGAAGTGAAAACATATAGTGTAATTAAATAAAGAAAGTTATCCACCGGTGTTGGATACGATTGTCAATTAAAATATATAGAGCAACAAATTGAAGACCTATTGAAATGGAACGAACTTTAAATGCGATTAATTGAAATAATTATCTTGTATTTAATTTAATTAATTGTTTTTTTTACATTAATCGTTACCTCGTATCTGGGAATAAAAATGTAACTACAAGTAAATTTCTTTTTCGTTTTGGTATAGCTCCTCTAGGTTGTGGTAGAAGTCTTCTGAGTTGTGGTAAAGGTCTTATGGGTTCTGGTAGAATTCTTCTGGGTTGTAGTAGAACTCCTCTAGGTTGCAGTAGAACTCCTCTTGGTTGTAGTAGAACTCCTCTAGGTTGTAGTAGAACTCCTCTAGGTTGTAGTAGAACTCCCCTAGGTTGTGGTAGAATTCTTCTGGGTTGTGGTAGAACAGCCCCAGGTTGTGGTAGAATTCTTCTGGGTTGTAGTAGAACTCCCCTACCTTGTGGTATAGCTCTTCTGGGTTCTGGAGGAACTCCCCTAGATTGTGGTATAGCTCTTCTGGGTTCTGGAGGAACTCCCCTAGATTGTGGTATAGCTCTTCTGGGTTCTGGAGGAACTCCCCTACCTTGTGGTATAGCTCTTCTGGGTTCTGGAGGAACTCCCCTAGATTGTGGTATAGCTCTTCTGGGTTCTGGTGGAACTCCCCTAGATTGTGGTATAACTCTTCTGGGTTCTGGTGGAACTCCCCTAGATTGTGGTATAACTCTTCTGGGTTCTGGTAGAATTCTTCTGGGTTGTGGTAAAGCTTGTCTGGGTTCTGGTAGAACTCCCCTACATTGTGGTATAGTTCTTCTGGGTTCTGGTAACACCCTTCTAGGTTGTGGTAGAACTCTTTTGGGTTCTGGTGCAATTTGTGTGGGTTCTGCGAAACTTACTACAATTTTCGGTAAACTTCTTCGAGGAGAAGAGTTTTTAAATTTTTCTATTTCTTTTTTCATTTTTCTCAGATTCGGTTTTGAGGAGCACAACACATAACCTACCACGCGTCAGTTTTACGCCAAATCGCGGGAAAACTGGTTCAGTTAATAATTAGGTCAGAGATAACCTATCAATAACTTACCGATATCATCGATCTGTATATCGACCCTCGGTGTCGTGCCACCTTCCTTATAACATATTTGTGACGTATTAAAACTGAGCTTAACTAACCTTAAATTTTCACAAATTTTTCTCGGCAAACTGTGCATGTTTTATTTGTTTTTTTAATGTGAAAAATATTTAAGAATATGTAGGAAAGTAAGATACACATAGGAAAACAAATATTGATAGTATCAATGTAATAATAATCGTAGAATAAATCATTTTCCAGTGAAAGACTCACGACAAGTGCATCCGCCATGACACCTCAAAATTCAATTGAAAATTATTTATTCTACGATTATTGCTAATCAATCTTAGTACTATCAATCTTTGTTTTCTTATGCATATCTTACTTTTCTACATATTCTTAAATATTTTTCACATGGAAAAAACGAATAAAACATGCATAGTTTGCCGAGGAAAATTTGAGAGAATTTGAGGTTAGTAAAGTCCCGCCTTAATTCAACGGGAACAAGAATAAAATTAATCAACGCAGTTATTGTTGTCATTGTCAGTCGTGCATGAACAATTTTGTAATCTATAAAAAGTGATTTTTTTGGTGAATAAACATTAAATCAACAGTGTTTCTAATGATAAAAAAAATAAAATGTGCTACAGATGACAATGTAGCTCTTGCTAAACGATTGGTCATTGTTGTGAAGTGATAAAGAAATGACAGTAAAAATATTATAAAATGTGACGATTGACAAGAATGCTAAAAAAGACGCCGTGACTGTGGAAGATCAGCGAAAGGACAGTCTATAAAACCGTGACTGTAGTAATAAAAGGAATTTATTAATTTTTTTTATCATTCTGTTCGTAAGAACAAAAGTATTCACCGTACATTTTATTTCTCTACATACATGAGATAATATTTGTTAAATAGTCTATTACGTGTTTAAAGTTGACTACTGTGAGGTAAATTTGATTCAACTGCAGTAACCTTTTTTTTTTTTATTTGAGGTAAGCATTACTTTATTGTACGGTAATTGTTACTATACTGCAAGATAAAGTTTATTTTATTATGGAAAGTCATTTTTTTGTTCCTTTACAGACTACATTTTACGCTTCTGTTTTTCTCACGTTATTGAAGTAAAAGTTTAAAGTAAAGTCGACATTACTTCTCAATAAAAAATAATTGAAAAAAGGCTTTTACCTAAGTACTTGCTCCGGTGAAATAGCACCAGCACTACCGCTGCTTGTATGTGCTCGATGTCTATAAGGGGTTGTGTGGGACGAGTGATGATGAGGTGCACTCGGTGGCCTCTCTACAATTGTATAACTAGTTCCAGGGGGGCTGTAGTACCCTCGGTTCTGACCACTTTGATGCCTGCTATTTCCACCAATGGGTTCCAAGTCTTCTGCTTCATAACAACCTGCACTGCCACCACCTCCACTTCTCAAGAAGTTGTTGCTACTTCGTAGGAAGTGCGAAGAACTCCCGCCACCCCATTGTAACTCCTGCAGCTCTGAACCGTAGTCCTCTGTGCTGCTTGCCATCTTATTCGTGGGTCAAACCTGAAAATTAAGTATCTTCTTGATTTTTCATTCAAAATATACTTGGTAAATGTATATTAAATCACTTCCACCTCCATTTGCAACATTTATCTTAAATCGTAAATTTATCAAATTTAGGTTACCATTATGATACAATGATGGAGTATAAAAGAAGAGTCACCTTTTTTCTGATGATAAAAGGTACAGGTTATAATGAGAAATCTATGTGGTGAGATGACAACTCTTTCTTCAATTTGATTATACAAAAATGTAGACAAAGAGGCTCAAGTATAAAATAACTTAAGAGATAATGCATTTAGCATGTAACTAGAGAATCCGATTCTATTTAAGGTGTATGCATGGAGTAGGAGATCTCACTGGTTACTGTTTTTGAGGATAGATTAACATGTAAAGAATACTGATATCCAAGAAGAGTGAAAAAAAGTGGTATTTTCTGGGAGTTTCACGAAATACTATACGGTGTTGAAGACCTTATTCTTTTTTTCCCTATCAATCTATAGGTGATGGAAACTGACAAGGTATACATTAACCATTTTTTATACAGTTGGTAATTTAAATGAAGGTTAAAGTAAAGTTTGGCTTTTTAAAAACATTAACCAATCTTATAATTCAATCCTTTATGACTAATTTATCATAGAAATCAATTAGTTCGATTGTAACAATAATAGTAAATAACTTATGGAAAATCAGTTGTATAATTCGTTAAATTGCTGTAATATTAATTGGTAATTAACTTAATTATGGAAAATATTATAATTCAGGTACTACTAGAGAATAATAATATTCAATTAATTAATAAATTCATTTTCAGTCATTAATAATCATAATACTATACATTTTGCATCGGTCGATAAATACATATGTATGTTGCTTTTTTCACTATTTATTTACTTTATTTCATTCATATGCTAAAAATACTTTATGCTGATGACTCAAAATAAAATTTACAATCAATCGATTGGTTTAGATGAGGCTAAAAACATTTTATTCATAAAAATTATATGAATTTTCACTGATGAAGTAATGAAAATATTATTTAACTTTTAAAAACTATAAATTGAACAATCTCATGGCCAAATAACTTTTCCTTCATCTTTCGGTCGTTGATCTGATTTTTTTTCTCGTCTGGATGTTATCGTTTTCATACTTGGCAAGACTGTTTGAACTTTCTGTCAGGATTTATTGGGTTCATTAAACTACACATTTGGCAATAGATAAGTTGATCAGTAATAGACTATACATAAAGACAGTGTTAATAAATAAATCGACTAAATAAAATTATTCTACGCCTTTGTCACACAGCAGGAGGTCAATGGAGACTTGCCGTGACGCCGATATGCCAAATCTCAGATCATGATCTTTACGAAGCTCGTACTGGTAATTGGATGACTTCCTGCTGTTTCCACCTACGTCCGTTGGTAATTCTTTTATTACCATGACTTGACTTTTTTTTATTGCTACACCTTTTCATCGTATTTACTTATGATTCAATGTTTTTTGTCATGAGATATGATTAATAATTAAAATATTTATTACTATTTATATAATTATAGTCCTGTATAAAATCAACTTTTACTAGAGAATCGATAAGAACTTTATTCTGCTCTATAGGTAAATGGCAATTGTAGAATATGTAACCTTGACAGTGATAACAATCTTTTGACTGAACAGCAATAATTGAGTAGGTGTTTCTTTCCCATTCAACCCTTTCGCCAACATATGCGTATTGTAAGTATTTATCTATTCTTTTATTATTATGTATTTAAGGTCGAATCAAAAAATAGAATAATCGTAATAATGGAATTAATTTATTTTCAGGTTGATTTATTGATTATTGGGACGATAAATTATTTTAGGTATTTGTCAAGTGCAAGTGATGACCAATTGATAGTGGATTTAATATTGATATTATTTTTCATAATTAATATATAGAATCCATTGCATTTTTATAATTAAAATTTTTAGAAAATATTTTTTATTTAATATTTCACTTTAATATTTTCATTTAAGTCATACTAGATTTAAAAAAAATTTTTTTTTGATTAATAAAAAATCCTAAGTAAGTAAATTTGAATAATAAAAATAATAAAGCTAGTTTAATCGAATATTAGTTATTAGAGTGGGACAATAAAAAATATTCAATAAGACAAAGACACTTTAGAGAGATAACAGTCTTGAACAGTCAATGTTAAAACGTCTTGGTCCGAATATTGTGTTGTAAAGCTCCGGGGATTTTAATTACAACTTGAAGATAGTATTTACTCTCTCGTTGATGTTTTCAGCAAGCAAGCATTGAAGAAAAGCTTAGACATTTGCTACTGGGTCACATTCCTTAAGTAGAGTGTTTATAGTGTGGTCTGTCTTCGAGCACGAGTTCTCTCGTGGGAATTAACCACGTGTTCTACCTCTTAAACTTAGCGACGTGAAATCAATGATGTTTCAAAGTATACAGGCTGAAATAAAAGTTGAGGTAAAAATAGAAAATTCTTTAGTTATACATCAACTACACTATTTAGTTATTTATTTATCTATTTTCAATTTTTTGCAGGTTACTCAATGAGATCACGAATGGAAAAAATTGATAAAATATTTCTTAGGTATCGCGTGTATTCGAGAAGGTTGTAACGTCCAAGCTGACTGCAGTAGCAATATTTCACGAACATCCGGGTGCTTCCTCTGTCTCTCTTGTATTTTAGCTTCTAGTTTGAGTGCACACGATTAGTAAGCACCAGGTGCATTGTAAAATCTTCATATCCCATGTATGTTACGTTTTTCTCTATATTATTACTTATGCTTTTAGCATCAACTTTTGGGGTTTTCATACAATGTTATATAAATTATAATTCCATTTTTGTTGCTCATCATTTACAGTCCATTTTAATTCTAAAAACAACCTAGACTCATTTGAATTTTAACTATTGTATTATCATGTGAAAAGAAAAAATTTATAATCAAGTTCAATCCTATATTAAATACAAAAAAAGGTAGTTTGTTGAAAGGATTGTTCATGAAGAATAAATCATTTATATCTTTAATCGCTATTTAAATATAATATATGACTTAATGTGGAAAAAATATCAAAGTGCTCCATATTATTAGTTTATTTTATATGTGATAAAGTATAAATTCATTACTGATAAACTGTTAGATATTTGTGATTAGTTTCCATTATCATTGTTGTTAGTTTACTGTATGTGACGATCGATATAATAATAACAGCTCCTTGATTGAGAGAATTTCATTTTGGTTGAGATATTTGATATATAGTTTGTGCTTGTTTGTGGTTTAGAATCGTCCTCTTCTATTTTAAGGTCGCTATTGATTCCTACTCTATGTTGAATCGACATATAATGCAGAATCTCCGAGTCTTATTAATTCTTCAGATCTTCGTAGCCTTTAGGGTTTTGAACAATCAATCTCCCTCTTTTTTCTCTCGTCAGAATCTTGATGAAAAAAAATACAATAGAAAAATAAGGCAAAAATGTTACGTAAAATTTGATGAGAGTAAAATAACAATAGTTTAAGATTTATTACTTTGACAATCTCATTAATTTTCTGTCACAGATTCGATTGAATGAAAATATTAGCTCGTTACTCTATAAATTGAATAAATGTCTCAATCACAAGCATGTGAAAGGCTTCATTTGACGTCTAATCTTTCTTATTTATTTGTTTTGTTCATGAAAAGATTGTTTCTATTTTCGGTCTTTAGGAAAGATAGAAGAAGTAAGAAAGGAAAATTTTTTAAAATTGTTATGTCATTTAAAAATAAATAAAAATAGAAAAAAAAAAGTGTGAATTAAATTTTCTTTAAGTGGATATGGATGTAAGATGGAATGAAAAAGCAATCAGGGTCATATTTGAAAGAGACAGACAAGCCAATTTCCTGTCACGTATCATTTCTATCTCTTCGTGCGTACCACAATCTACCAATCTTTGACATTATGATAAATGTTTAGAACTAACTGTCTGAAAATTTTGCGTGTTAAATATCAAATTGTTTTTCTTTTTCACGTTAGGTCAATGATACATTTTATTTAGACATTAAAAGATAAATTATTTTTTTTTATTATATAATATTGATGGTATTATTTTTAATTAAAATAGATTTTAAATTATCTGAAGAATATATTTGGGTGTAATTTAAATATATAAATAAAAAAGAAGAGAATTGTTGTAGCCAATTGTCTTTAATAATGTTTCATTATGCTTTCAACTTGAACAAAAGTTCAATTTAGTCATTCGATTTTTTTATGAATAGTAAAAATATCTACCAATTGAATAGTTTAAAAGTAGCTACAACGTTATTGAATTATATCAACTACGATAACGTAGTAGAAACTAATGTGATGGCTGCAAAATTTACTGGATTAATGAAATTAATATTTTTATGCTACAACAATCAAAATTATCATAAATATTGATTTATAAAAAATAAAAATCGCTAGTTTTGTAAATAATTCCAGTCAATATAACTAAACATAAAATAATAATAATAAACAGGCCTATCGTGTTGTATTATTTATAAAATAACTGTTTATTGTAATTATTCAATTATACAAAAATAAGATAATATTTAATTTTGCAGTAAATAAATATGTATTTAAATAAAATATTCATTTATTTTATAAAATTAATTTTTTTTTATTGCAGATAAAATCAAGTTAATTTTTTTAATGATTAAATTATTTATTTTTTTATCTTATTTATGAACTAAATATTTTTTTCCAATATGTTAGAGAAATAGTTCATATATAAACATGTAAAATTCTCAATTAAAATTTATTTTTGTATATAATAGTATCCTTTGCCGCTATATAATGCTGTCTTTCTCGTTGGCTTGTCGATCGATCGTAGCCGGCGAGGTCGAGGACTGACGAGTATCGTCCCCACGAGTCTCACAGTCTGACTCATAACGGTGTTCTCTACTTGCTTGAGAGGATTTTATCCAAAAAGAAAAAGATGCTGATTCATATTTTATTTTCGTTGATAATATATATTTTATAAAAATAATAAATTTTATCCAGAAGGGAACAAAAAAATTTCTTTATTTTCAAAATTTTCGTCGTATAAAAATTTTTTTTTTTTCGGTCAATTGATCAACTTGGTCTATGGACTCTTTGTGCTTTGGCTAAGCTCTTTCATCCATAAGGCATATTTAAAAAAGATTTTCGAATTTATTGCCTAGCTTTTGACGAGAGTAGGAATTAATTCTGATGGTTTTTTTTTAATATAAAAAACTTTTCCTCTCATTAAATTAACTTTGAGCATATGAATTTTTTCTTCTGCTTTGACATTTGTTTGTTTTTACGTTATATTCTTAAAATATTATGCATAAAAGATTTAAATTTGTGAAAATTATAATCTTTACCATTAGTAAATTAAAATAAATAATGAAGAATTTTTTAAATAAATATATCTGAATGAGTATTTTTGAGTAAAAGTGAATTTTAAATAATGATGATACATTATTTTAACTGAAATGTAGTGTTTAACTATTTTCTAAGTGATTACTTCAATTACACATGTCAGCTTCGACGGTAGTATGACGCTAATATACTAGAGTACCATACCAATCAAGTAGAATTAAGTGGGCTATTTGCAATCAATGATATTTATTGGATAAATTTTAATTTGTTAAAAATTCATTAAAAGTTTATTTTAACACTAATGTGTCATAAACTATTAATAAAGTTATATATCAATATTTAAAAATAAAATAAATAAGTCCATAAATGTAATAGATTTAAAAAAATAGCATTGCACTTATAATTTTTATCCATTTGTGAGTAAGTTCTTTTTTCTTTAATAAAAAGAAAAAAAAAATAATAATTTTTAAAAACTTTCAGTAATTTATTTTAAGTAATTTTAAAATGTGAAAAATTTTCAATTGTTTTTCTTTTATTATTAAAATTATTTTTATAAAATAAAAATAAACGTTTTCATGGTTTACATAATTAGTCCATTTTTAAAACTATTACTTCAAATTTTATTGCCTTCAGTGCAAGGATAAATATTAGCATTTCTTTAGAAAATAGTTCACTTTACTGTCTTGTACTTTTATACTGTCAATAAAAAACACTTAAAGTCGAAAGGATCAACTTCTAACACTTTGTATAATACTAATAAATATTATCCAAGATTATATTTTAAATGATAGTATTCCAGATTACGAGACCACTTCATATTTGGTCACTTTCATTTATAAACCCTCACTTTAATTACATCCCTACTGGACTAATAGCCTCCCAAACAGAGCTACACAATAGGCCTTTATTACTAGTTAATGTCTAGGACATGTATGTGGCAACTAATGTTGGCCCAATCATGGAAAATGATCAGATGATAACACCAATCCAACAACTTGGGGTTTTCTCTATCATTAGTCATGTTGTTTAATAACTATTTTTATCCATAAGACTAACAGAAATAAATGTTCAATAATATAACAATGTTACACAATAACGTATTGGAGTGAGATATCCTAAGATAGATTAGAAATTTTTCCTTAGCAAAGTCTAGTTCCGAATCGAATGTATTTAATCTTTCAGTTCATTGAGGCTTTTTGTAATTAACACCAAGTATTCGAGCGAGTAATTACATTCGGACGGGTGCTCTTATTGAATCTGGTTTCTCTTTCGAGTAGGGATGAGGATGACACTAGTATACAACAAATTGAACAGACGGAAACTGAAGGGAACATGAGGCCACAAGGAAGAAACTCGGTCACCGGGTTAGTAAGCATTTTCCAAATTTTCCTGGGCAATTATTGAACTTTGAATTATTCCAACACGGATGATTGAGCACCAACTGTATTCACTAAAGTATAATAAAATGAAAGATTTATGAGGAGAATTAATGTGGGAAAAAACTTTTTTACTTTATAAATGTTTTGAGGTCGGTTTTGTTAAGCTAAGTAAATATGTTAACTGGTGAGTCGATAATTATATACGAAGAAAATGTCTTTTTCTATTCCTTTTAAATATATGCGTGATTGCTATAGACACGGAAAAAATATTGAAATTAACCAGTCTAGCAACACGCAATGTTGGAATGCAGAAAAATTATGTCATAGGTGCAGTCATGTTTATAATAAATATTTTTTTTTTCAATAAGTTTTCGTTTCAAGTATTTTCAATTATACTGACATAAAAATTTGTAGAAAAGTCATTAAATAAACTTGAATAAAATATTTAAAAAAGACAACAAATTATGTACTTAAAATGTGAGATACTAAAGATGAACTTGAAAAAATATTTTTTTAACTTTGAATTCTCAATTGACCTCTGATAAATTTTATGAATCATTCAGAGGTTATCAAAGTCTCAAGAGAGCTAGAAGGTTGCCCATAGCCATTATGCTACCTTCTCACAAATCCAGAGAGAAGTATATAAACAGCGAAATAATAATTCATTAATATATCAAATACGTTCAAAGTAAGGAATATATTTACGTTCAATAACTCACGTTTCTCATGATTGAAAATTCATAGTTTCACGTTCGCCGATCGTTGCTGTCACAAACGTCGCGACACGCGAGCGCAGAACGCAAGAAAACGCACGGATGAAGCGCATCGCCTCACCAGGCCGGCTTGAGCTTCAAGACTAGCTGAGAATGTAAGCTCGAGCTAGTATAAGAGCTTACGAAGACTTGGTTCGTTATTCTACTGGGGGTTTGCTTCATAATTGAGTCGAGGGTGGTGGCCAAGTAACGACGACATCTATCGGAAGCTTAAATTACTTTGATGTCTGACCAAAGATAATCTTTATCACTGACTGAGTAAACTAAAACAAGCTATTATTTGTTGAATAAACTTTTAATTATTTATTGATGTTAAAATGTGTCAAAGAGTTATTTAAGCATCTAGGAATATTATTAACTTGACTTTGAATAATAGGTGCAAAAAAAAAAAAAAAAATCAATTGATAATGATAAATCAAAGATAATCACTAATTTCTTATGTTAGATTGAAAACGATCAACAGGTTCGCGTGCCGGAAGTCTTAAGGTAGACCGGAAGTCCACTCATCTAAGAGTTTTCAAACAATTGTAGAGAAGATCGGTTTCAATAGTTTTGGTTTTCTCGTTTTAATGAATCTCAAGAGTATAAGAGAGAAGAAGAACCTAGAGATAGGAAGAGGAAACAAGTAGTTTGATCGATGAGTTAAGAATATCTATTTGATAAATCGAGAGGGAAAGGATCGATGTTTATGATTGATAGACTAGGGACATGTAAGGTTCAAGGTGAAGGCTAAATAAAGTATTCTAAAAATAATTACACATCTCAATAATATTTTTTATCAATTATTTTATAGCCTTGTGTAGAAGAAATTCAATCGATAAGAGACAAAGTGATAAGTACAAAAGAACTAATGTTTCTTTTCTGATTCAGTTTTTTTTTGTGCTTTTTAGTTCATTAGCTTAGAATGCAACGAGACCAAATAATATTTAGAGATTCCATTATCACAGAATTCGTTACAATATCTCGATTGATTAAGAGAATATTCCGTTTATTAAATAATTTACTTTTTGTTGAGTAAATTTTTTTTAACAGAAAAATTAAAACTTCAAATCTAATAAATATATTTAAAAAATCAATAATAATATAACAAAAAGATTAAGATAAAAAATTAACTTCACTTGAAGTATTTTTAAAAATCTATTCTCATCAGAATACTCTCTTAACAGAGGCAAAATTAGGCGAAAGATGATTAATAATCATTCAAAATAATTATTTACAAAAAAGGAAATCTAACATTCACTGGTCAATTGCTTTTTAAATATACAAAACATTGCATTTCGGATATGTAATATCATTAATTAATAATAACAATATATAGAAAACTATTCTAATTTACAAAAAAATTATATTTTACATTTTACACAAAAATTGTACTTTTTTTAAAAACACTAAAAATTGTGTAAATTTGGTTATTTCATTGTCATGTATTAGAAAATGAAATTCAATGAAAAATTCATCACCGTTTACCATTTGATTTACTTTTAGAACTGTCAGTACTTTCATTCAAATCCCTTCGAGGTCGTAAGATAAAATTAAGATTATGCGCAGTATTGACTGCATAATAAACATTAGCAGAACTTGGTAAAACCATTTCCCTATCAGGAAGTACTTGGGCAAGTGTAAATTGGTCCGGACTTCCTTCAATTCCCAACTTAAGCATTGCATTTCTTATAACCTGAGGAGTTCTTTCATTATTAGAAAGCATTATTGATTTATAAAGGATGACACCTTCAGTCTCAACACTGTCACTCTCCATTGTCACCTTGATGATGTAAAAATCCGGTGAGCTTTTATGAGAATGACTAGGACTTGATAGTCCAACTAAATTTGGAGTACTAGTTCCATTTGAATTTACTATTGGAGGTCCTAATCGTTGATTGCCACCACCACCAGAACTTAACGATATGTCTAATGATGGTAGAGATGAGCTGGAAGACGAGCTAGACATTGCAGAAGGTGAAGTTCTTCGATCCAATGAATTGTGGGGTGAACTCGGAAGAGAATCTAGATCACAATAAAACTGAGATGAACTAGAACTTGATGTCGATGCTAAAGAATCGTTTTTCTTATGACCTTGATGATTCTGCTTCTTTTTAGCTCTGTGATTTAAAGTATTTCCCGGTGGAGGTGCTTCAATTTGACAGCTCAGCTTGTAAGCTTCACGATCATCTAGGACTACAATTGAATGGAACCATCGATCGAATTTTGAATCAGTACTGAAGTTATAAGCATTAGCTGCTCCCTGAAGAAGTCGAATTCGTGCTAAGACTTCAAATTCTTTGCGACGTTTGTCGAAATTAATTAGGCCTTCTGCTATGGTGTCAGGTATTGCGGTGTCGATCATGGTTAAATCCGTTAAAAATGTTCCTAAATATGGAATTGTTCCATAACTGATTTTCTAGAAAAATATGAATTCGTGAATAACTTTTTATTTCTCTAATAAATCTGATAATTGATTCGGTAAAAAACTCGATCATTGTTTGTTAGAATAAATAAAATAAAAGCTTCAATGAATTATAGAAATTAATTCAAATCCATTTCTATTTCAATGAGAACAATATTTTAATTGATCCTTCAATTAATTACCACAAAATATATTTATTTATTATGGATATTCCATTTTGATCGAATTTGAAACCTTGATAGAGCATAAAATCTCTTACTTTATATGCATTAAAAACTTACCCCAGCATGAGTATTTTGTTTTTGAAAAATTTTCTGAAGATGTCTGTCACTTCTGCCAGCAGTGTCTGCAAATTTTGCAGTACCCTCTTTAATCAATAATTCTCTCTGAGTCCAGGCATTGTTATCTTCAGAAAATATCCTTTCTAGTTCCATAAAAACTTCATGTTTATCTCGAGGCATATATTGCCAACATTTTTCTAACCTGTAGACAGGATTACTTTGCAATCCTGAAATAATAGCTTTTAAACTGCTAAAGTTTTTTAAAATTCTCAATTCTTGAGCAATATCAATCCAAGTTTCAAGGATTTTCGCTCTCTCTTGAGGTTTCAAAGTTGTATCAACAAGGATAGTTGACATTACCCTTAGAGATACAGCATTAAACTGATTGACAGTCGCTAAAACAGTAGCAGCATCGTGATTCCGAGATCTGTCTCTACGAGACCAAACTGCACCGAGACATTGATGTGCTATGAGTTTTTTAAATACTTCAGCGTCCATTCTTGTCAGCTGTTCAGCAAAATGCCGATGAGGAACTTCAGGAAAATTATAACTAGACCAACGATCATTGAGAAGATCTGAACAGTGTTGATTTGACAATCGGCCATTGTCATAAACAATACAATTATCTGTAAAGAGCAGAGATAGTCATTAAAATGGTGACTCAGAATATATAAAATAGTTATTAGCATTTCAAAGGCTTATTCAGATGTACACTGTATTGTTATATTTGATAGTATCATTATATCATAATAAAGATTGAATAATTTTAATTAATTAAATTTATTTACCAATGTGATCTTCGTCGTGAAATCTCTGAAGCCGATGTTTAGCTTTGAGCTCCAATTCCGACCCAGGAAGTTTTCTGTGAGTAAAGTCCAGTAGTCTGGAGAGTAAAGGATGGCTTGGTGGAGACTTCCAGTCACTTGGGTAAGCATCAAGCCACACATGAAGTGCTTGGACAAGAGTCTTCCTGTGTTGCTCTCCAGATTGATGACTTGCATCTTCCAGAGCATCATAACGTGCTAGTAGTAATTCTAAAACTTCTCTAGGAGTTGTGAATGCTCGATAAGTGGCTAGGAAAACATTTATGTAAGTAGACTCCAATTCTCCATCATCATTAGCTAAACTTTCCACCAACTTTTGAACTGTTCCTGCTTTAAGGAACCGTACTCGAACTGTTTCCCATTCTAAATGTGATATTTCATCATCAGAATCCTAAGAAAAATATTTTTTTCATTATTTCTGATGATTAATTATTTTTTGTAAATGAGGTTTAATTACTCACTGACGCAGAAAGACTCTTTGTAGGCCTGTGATATCTCACTTTTTTCAGGTACACAGTATAAATGACACCATCACACCTTTCTTCGCCCCATAAACGCCACGTGGGCTGAAAAATGATTTTTAAAAAAAAAAGCAGTTTAATCAATCAATTTTTTGTTCTGATTATTATAATAGATAATAGGAAAAAAAAACAATTAATTATTTTATGCAATATATTGTCAGCCTTGGAGAATAATGTGTCTATGACTACAAAAACACTCTAAGATTACAAAGTGATAATATGAAAATTTTTTAATTCGTAAAATTGAATTCTATAGTCTCAACATTTACTATTGATGTAGTAAGACTTAAGTAATGACTCAAGGTTATAAAAAAAACGTCTCAGGATGAGTAGAAAAGTGATGGAACAAAGGCTTTCAACGGTCTCGTGTGAATTTCATTGGGCAGACTATTATTTCCGGTCACGTGATGGGTAATTGCTCACTTTGGCCTCTCCCATCATCAACATATGAAGTTCTTTGATGATAAAAGAGTTGTAAAAACAATAATTAATTATTAATTACGATAACCATTAAGCAATAATTTTCTCGACAATTCTAGAAACTTTGCATGCGACATTCAGAAGCAAAAAACATGAAACAAAAAAATATTTTTAAACAAGTAGACTAAGCTGTACGGTGATGTTGGGTGGTGTTTTACCTGCTGAATATACCAATGAGTGGCATTTGGATTCTTGCGTGTGACAGGTTTGCACGGGGCACATAGAAGTAGAGGACCAAGCTTACAAGCTGGTTTACTGGCTGTCTGAGAGGGTGGCGGAAGCCCTTGAGGTGATGAGGGACTCAGCCCATCATCCCCCAGCACAGGCCACAGCATCCAATGCGTCTTTGTCTTCAGTTATTATTTTCTCTCACCCTCTCCCTCATTCGAGTTTTTTTTTTTTTTATTATTATCACGCATTCTACTCCATTTCTTCAATAAATTCTTAGCCCCTCCAAATCATTTTATAGCCCTGCGTTACTTGATTTATCAAGTTTTATCTGCAAAAAATGGATGGTCGTTTTCTTTTGTTCTTAAATTCATTGGGGTAATTTGAGGTCAAGAAAACATTCAAAAATTTCAGTTGTTTGGGTAAGTTTTAACAAAGTTGGGGAAAATAAATTCTAGAGGTTTATTATCAAGTTTATCAATCTTGAATAATACCTATAGACTCATTGTATTTAGGACATTGGAAATTTTTTATAAGATTTAATCGATAACTGTAGTGAATTGAAAAAAAAACTCTACACGTATATTCTCTGAAATTAAATATCGAAAAGTAAAAAAGAATATTAATATATTTTTTTTTCTATTCCTAGACAAGAAAATAACTTCAGTAACTTACAAAAAAAATTGTCTTACACATTTTTTAATAATGACAGTCTAGTTATAAATAAAAAATAGATTTTTCAATATAAAATAATGAAAATTATAATTATTCATTAATACACAAGAGTCTCTAAAGATAAAATGAATATTGATTGAAGCTGAAGTTCCACTTGTAAATAATAAGATAGATTAGCTTTTCTTATTTATTCTCATCATTATAATTCATTCAAAATACATACATGTCCTTTTTTTAAAAAAAATAATTGAAATAAAATAGTCTCCATAACATGGTCGAGTGGGGAGATGAATATTTACTAATTATATTGCAAATAAAAAGTCCTTATTAGCTAACTTTTTACGTTTCATGTATTTTAAAATAAGAAGAAGACAAATCTTTAATTATTAAAGACTTTTTTTTATCAAGTCAATGGATTTGAAAAAATCTGTTGACTCGATTTAGCAAATGAGAGATTTGTTTGCAAGATTTAATCGATAATTTGAGGTCTTTCTGAATTAGAAGACCTTTCTAAATGCATGCACGTGGGTGTCATTTAATAGCGACAAACATCGAGTTAATTAAAGTTGAAATTTTAGTCCATTTCCGTCAGTTATTTTTGATTCAATTGATCGATTTGATAGACTTTGAAGTTTAAAATATCTCAGGTTACTTCAGAAATAGATTTTTATATACAAATTGCTTTTTCTTTTTTTAATTTTTTTAAACAATTGATGGTAGCTCATCAATAAATAAACTTTTTAAAGTTTTTTTTCTTTTTATCTGAAGTTACATTTATACCAAATATATAAAAAAAAACTTAGCATTAATTAACTATCATTACTTTTTTGAATTACCTACATCTATTATGATAAATTTTTTTTAAATTTACATTTGATATTTTTTATTCAGAAAAATAATGATACTTAATTAATGCTAGGTTTTTATTTATATATTAGGCATAAATTTAATTTTTAATCGAAAGAAAAAAAACTTCAAAAAGTTTATTTGTTAATAAGTTACAATCCAACTTTATAAACAAAATCAGTTAATGTTCAACGGATTTTTAATTTTCGTCCTTTTCCAAAGTATCTTGACTGGACTATAAATTTTAAATGTAAATCAATGAAAAATATTGATAAATGAAATTAATCGATAAGCTGCGACGCCTCGTTTTTGATAAGGAACCAATTTGTTGGTGCTTGTTACGAGTTTACACAATATTGATCATTTTTTCTTTTTTGTTTAAAAAAAAACAACGGATTTATTTTTTTCTACTACTTGAAGGCTTTGTATCATTTTAGTTATGGTAATAATTATAAAATAAAGATAAGAGCGAAATCGAATCATCTTAACTTGTATCAGAACAATCTAAGTGAGTTTTTATAGACAATAGATAGTTGGTTTTGTCTTGCGTAACCAACTACTTCGACCGTATGCCGATTACATTCATGGTAACGGGAGAACCGATAGAGATAGAAGATAAACATGCACAAGCAAAATAAAAATAAAAAAAATTACAAGTTTTATATTTTATATGTTTTTTATTTGTCGAATAATTTTTAAATCTTGTCTCTTCCAGGAATTTTACATCCAGTTCATTGAACTAAATCAAATGAAAAGGTTATTACTGCTTTTAAACCGTAAGAAGGGAGGAGAACAAATAAAATTAAAACAAAACCGTAAAAAGATACAATTACGTTTTTGCGTTTGTTGGAAAGACTTGGTCGCACTTAAATGTTTGGAATTCAGCGAATACCAATTTTAGATTCTAGCGAAGGAGGAAGAATCGCTAAAACTGGCGTGAAAATAATTTTAAAACATTCTTATAAAAAGAAAGAGAGTTTAATTGACTTTATAGTGATAAATCTATTTTTGAAACAACCAAATTTAATACTGATATTTTTGATAACTCGAGAATAATTGATTCTAGTAAAAGAGGAGTATAATTGTGCTGAAATAATTTCAAGAAGTCGTCTGGAAGAGCAAGAAAATACACGCAGAGAAATGTATAGTAAAAATTACTCTGAATTTTATAGTGATTTGGTAACACTGTAGGGTGAGGGTAAAAATTACTATATACATGGTAAAAATTACTAAACTGCATAGTAATTTTTAGGGTAAAATTAGAGTAAAAATAACTATGCAGTTTGGTAATTTTAAAAATGTGCACAGTAAGTCCTAATTTTAGTACTCCCTGTCGATGCAGAAATAGGAAAGAAATCAACAAAGCATCAACATATTATAAATCTAAATATTACATGTAATCAAGGGAAATAATGAAAATCTTAAAGATCAATATATAACAGAAAAAACCTAGTATGATTGATTAAGTCAAATGTTAGTCAAGGTTCAAGATAGAATAAATTGATCGATTTGAGTGTCCCTGAATAGTATGTTTTTGTTATTATCTGTGTTGTGACAGTTGTATAGTAATTTAAGTCAATTAATTTGCCCTCGGGATTATTAAACACTTAAACAAAAATGACAAATATATTAGGCATCCAACGAGGTGTGTTAGAAAATAGTTGAGATAATCATAAAATAAAATGTACATTGGGAACAAGGAAAATGAGTAAACGAGTTTAGTCATTTCGTTAGTGAACTACACGTGGTGGATACACGACACATGGAGTTTACATTCAGATCCAACAGCTGTGCTAACTCATACTGAGATGTTATTAGAGTATTAAAACCGCTACACTCATTTCAAATTCATCTTTCAATTTTACGCAATTTATTTTTAAAATAAATTACAATTTTTAACGGTCACACACTAAACATAATAACACGTAATTATTTAATAATAACTATTATATGAAATAAATAAATAATTAAAATGAAAAATTATGCGAATGAGAAGGTGAAGTGACTCACTGATTACGACACAGTTACATTTTAAAATTAATTCCCACATTTTTGTTTGATTGAAATAATTTTTTCTAACACTTGTCCAATAGTATAAATGACATAAAAAAATCACTTGTTAAATAATTTAAGGGGATTTAAAAAATATAAATAATTAATTTGTTCTTAACAATTATTTACCTTCTTAAAGAAAAAAATCGTTCTAATATTCATACGTTGTTATGGTATTTATTTAATATTAACGGAGTAATAATGTTTTTTATTTTGATAATTATAAAAATGTGAAACAGTAACATAAAATAGTCGAGACGAACATCTAGAGCCTTGGAGACTCAATAGTAGACTGAAGCTTTGGCCGTCAAACGCGTTTATAACATGACGATATCGCGCGTGTGCGTGAAACGCATTCTATTTTATTCCTCGTGTTCGTTTAGTGCAATTAAATTTTCTGTCTTGCTTTGTTTCCGTTCATAAATGAAAGATAAACGGAAATGGAGAGAAAAGTTTGAGAAAAAGATGTATTTGTTGTATCATAAATAATTATATTGATAATTCCTAACTTTACAACTGTTGATGCAAAATATTAGCACTTTTCATATTAAAATTCAAAATATCTCCAGATATAATAAATAATAAAGTAATAAAATTTTAAATAAAATATTTTATCGTAACTATCAAAACTTTATTAGAGAAAAAAAATTCTTTTATTTCTGCTGTAATGAAGAATAATATTATTTTTAGATAAAATTAAATATCATTTTAGATAACGTGATGTTAGGATTAAAATACATATTTCATATCAAACTAATCAACAATATAAAGTTATAGTTATTTTCTTTTGATTCATATTTAAAAAGTTTTTATTTTAATGGTTTTTTTTTTTCAAAGTACTTTATTACTCCAATATCAAGTATATAAATATATTTGTATTTAATTTAATAAAAAAACTGTGGAATTTATTCAGTAATTTTTTAAATTTTTATAAGCATTTAACAAAATTTTATAGTAGTTGGTTTAAGGTGTTTAGCATTGTAAACATTTAAGTGTTTAATTAACAGTGTTGCTAAAATCATACAAGCAAGATGTTTTAAATTAATTATTTTTATATAAAGTACAGTGGTGTCTGAATATGATGTTACATAGATTTTTGAGAAAATTTAAACAATATTGTGTATAAACTTATTAATTGTAAAGTAGATACATTATTTATTGAGCCCATTTAATAAATAATTTCAATAATAATTAACACTTAAGTCTTATTCTACTTTTTTTGGTCTTACACAAAAATAAATTGATCAATGAACTCAATAAACTGACAATACGTCAGTGTATGAGCTTAAATTTATTTTTGTACTTTAAATAATAAATAAAAGTATCAATTTTTTTCTTTAAAATTTAAAATAAATAATAATAATAAATGATTTTTAAATCCATTGATTATTAAAATATTAATTTTCATTATATTAAATAAATTTAATTACTAATTTTGCATAGAGTAATGAATGAGTACTAATTACAATTAAGAAGTAAACACAACTTATTCAACACGCAATACAATGTCAATAATAGTTAATTAATCTCGATTAGAAAAATATAATGGGGAATGAATAAAAACAAAAAAAAGGAAAAACAAAAAAATAATAATTAATACTATCTACACAAAGATAAAAAAAATTAATAATATCACGAATAAATTTATTAAGTGGTTTTTGTGGTAAGAGAAAAAGTGTAAAAGTAATCGATAAAATGGCAGGAAAAAGTTGAATGGAAATTTTACACAAGAAACAAACAAGTTTGTTAAGAATTCACATATAAATATCAATCTAGTAAATGTTGCAAGATTCACTTGCGAAATCTTACGGAAAATGTGAAGCAATTATGTCTTAGTATATCAGATGTATAGAGAATAAATCATAACTCAAACCAAGGGAAAAAAATTTATCCAACTTAATTTCCTAAATAAAAATAAAACAAAACCTTCCTAGATAATAAATCAATAATAAAAAATAAAATAAAATAAAACATCAATCTCGAGAGATTAAATAAAATCAGATAAAACTAGGAATTTTTTGAATGAATCTTTCAATATATCTACCCTAGTATCATATGATGGCTTTATTATTGGTCTGACGTCATAAACGACAACGCATGTGTTGGTAACGTCATCAGTAACGTCACCTCACAACGATCATATGGAAGTGACAGTAAAAGCGAGTAATTTAAACCGTAAATTTATTAAACTTTTTCCTCAATTTCTTGATAATATTTAAAAGGTGAATTTATTTTCAATTTTACTAGAGAAAAGTATTTAAATACAAAAGTAAGTTAGTTGAGTTATGGTTTGTCTTGAACTAATAAAAAGTTTGAAATTAAACCAACAACGAATGAGAAGGTGTTGGAACACAGCAGATGATGATATTGATTTCACGTCGTGTTTGTAAGGGCTGTGAATGTTAGGATTGTGCCCACATACAACCCTAGAGTGTAGGTTGATAGTAGGAAGTATGCGGGGGACGATTCCTAACCAAGTTTTGTGTGACAGTCATGCTAGGGAGTTATGGTGCACGCAAAGATATTTAACTGGCGTGCCATTGTCTGTGATAAGGCCAAATGTCAAGTACAATCATGCTTAAATTGCAACTACAAATACACTATTTAACAAGTTATATAATAATAAACAATATCGATCAAAGCAATTGAAGAATATATTTTGATTTTCTAATAATTAACCAACTTTAAATATCAATTAACCTACTTATTATGTTAGGAATGAAGCAAAATTCATCTGTGTACTGATCTGAGTTAGGACTAGAGCTAGAACTAGTCTCAATGACTAATAGATGTGAATGAAAACATAGATACGATTAGATAGAAAAGCTTGTCAGACATGTCGTGTCATAAAAGGCTTTCTCTACTTTCTTTTAAGGAGTAGAGTAAAAGATATTAAGAAGTAATATGAAGTTTAACATTTTGCTACATTCTAAGATTATATAGTAGGTCAGTTGACTTTTGGAAAAAATGAAGGGTCACACAGCTGTTGTATTTATAAACATTTTTAACATTATTTATCTCTATACTTTTTTTTTCAGTCTTGAAGAAAGAAGAATTTTATGCAATTAACCTTGGAGATTATGTTCTAGGTAATGTAGGAGTTAAGTATGACATATAACGCCTAATCTAGTGTCACTCTTGCAAAAATTCATTTGTCTATATTTTAAATAAAATTTTTTTTTTAATTATGTTAAATGATTTTATCAATAAATTATTGAATATTATAATTGAACATTCATTTAATATTTCTATAAAACTTTTGAAAATTTAATTCTTACGTCAACGTCTGCTAATTGTGGTCACAGTTGTTGAATGTTTTGAATGTAAACAAACGAATCATCAATGTATAAAAAAGTTGTCTATTTTTCATTGGTATTTTATTTTATATATCAAATTGTTTATAAAAATGAAAATATTAATAATTCTTGATGATAAAAAAAAGATGAAATAATTCTCATTTTAACGGCTGATTAAAAAGTAATTTTCTTTTTTTTTTCAATTAGATTAAAAGAGAAACAATATGGTAAATCTTGATTGTATTCTTCAGGATGTCTTGCTTAACTTAATCTTCCCACACTCTTTTTTCGCTTAACGTGAGAAGTTCAAATCTTATAACGAAAGAAGAATCAAAACTTTTCCCTGTAGAAGAGTTTATAACAGTATTTTACTTATAAATTCTTTTCTCTAAACTCATATATATATATATATTTTTTATCCATTGAAATAATAAAATAAAACTGCTTTTCTTTTCAACTAATGAATAATTTCTCGTTAAAGTATTAATCATATAAGCAGAAATGTATTCAACAATAAGAGTTAACAATTATTTTAAAAGGCTTTTATGTATTATGATTGATTCAAATATTGTCAATTATTGAAATATTTGTAAATTAAAAATAATTAAAACATTAAATTCGCTGTGATAAATAAATAACTAGAAGAAACTAAAAAAGAGGTCACGTTCTAGAATGCAAGAATAACTTTCTCGTCCAATCGAATATAAATTGAAAACAAATGAGTTTTGATAGCACGTGAGATTGCTTCTAGTATTAGTAACATTTGTCAGATGACATGTGATAATATCACGTGTGCAAGGATATCCTCCAAGGTAACAATTTACAGGGTTTCAAAATGGTCAATTTAAGCACTAAAAAAATTATAAAAATTACAACATTTATATATATGTATAAAAAAAAAAGTAGTAAAAAGAAATAAATGATAAATGAATAATGCAGATAAAAAAGAAAAAAATAATACCAGGGAATCGTCTCCATTTTCAGCGTTCATAGCCTAACGTCACAGGATTGCACTTCATCTCTTCGTCCAGTAGTTAATTTCTTCATTACCGAGAAGCTTAGACAAATCCTCGAGTCTTCAATGTGTCGAATTGCAAGAGATTCAGGGTATAGTCTTCTTGTATCTCACACCTGTCATCCGGCATTGCACGATATTAAACCACAGAGAAAATGAAAAAAATCGAAAGAAAGAGAAAGAGTAATAAAGAAGAGAGAAGGAGGACACTGACACAAGAAACGTCAACGTACTAGTGTACTATAGCTTTCACATTAAAATTTCACAAATTTTGAATAAAATATTTTTTTTAAATTAAAGTTTAGATAAACACAATACACTTTATTATTTATTTTGTTTCATTGTTCAATCAACTGACACGAATTTAGATGAAATATACCTTCAAGTCAATACAGTTGTACGACATTTATAGCTTATGAAGCGCGTCGTACACCTTCTAACACTTCCAGCGGCTCCAGCGGCATTCAGGGGCCCGTCAGACGCCATTCCCTTTCCTAAGGTCCCCCACTCATCTTTAGTAAAGGTGTGGAGTTGAATATACTCCCATGTAAGAACATTCATAAGCATAAAATACATTTTGTTAATCATTATCAATAATTCTCGTTATTATTATTTTCTAATTGTTAAAGATGTTAATCACCAATTTTATGGTTATTTAAATTGTTCAGTAAAATGTTTCGATTGGTTTATTTTTTATGATAACAAAAATAATGTTCATCAATTTTTTTAAGCGATAACTAAAAATCCGAACTGATGAATAATTAAAAATATTTCATTAAATGTATTAATTAATTCGACTCTCGGAAAAGAGAACAATTGAAAATTTTCCATTTTTTTTGTATAATTTAAATTTATTACTGACAATAATTGTTTATGTAATTTTTTTTTTATGTCATTCTATTGAAACCACCTAGTGGTTATCAGTAGAATTAATTTTATTGGCACTAAGTGTTTTGATATTTTTTCTGTAGATAGAGACACTGTTGTTGTTTTCAAAAGCGCGTTAAATTTGAAATTTCAACTATGACAAAGTTTTTGGTTAATAATAATAGAAAGCTCTTATGTTCACGATATTGATGAATTAAATATTCATGTTACATAACGAGATATTTATAAGATTATTTATTGTGTTGCTGTGTTTGAATTGATAAAATAGAGATCCCAATATAATTTTAATCTCAAGTTTATGAGTATTAATTTTTCTGTGCATTTTGATTTTATTTATAAATATATAAATACCTATAGTATTTATATTTAAATGTCGATATCTCATTTTTCATTCGCCATTTTTAATAAATATTATTATTATACATTTTCTAAATTGGTATAAAAAGCACACTGTGCTAAGGATTATGGTTTGATGCTATCTAATGGTTTTTCCAAAACAAATTGCAAAATTATTTTCTAATTAGGTTAATTCAAAGTATTTCGGTGTAAAAATTAAAATAAATTAAACAAAAAAATTATAACTGTGATAATTACAACATTTTGATGATATAATTAAAGAATTATCAGAGAATTTTCTAAAAATCAAACATTCAGAAATGAATTCTCTTGCCACCTCTTGGTATTGTTGTGAGATAAATGAAATGTCCATCGACATTCTCAAAAACTATTCTATTCCCAGTCTCCATGGATCGATGAAATTGTAATCAGGATGTAAACTGTTGTTATGTTTAGAATATCATTCGTATTAATGTCAATTTTGAATTAATTTTTGAGTTTATTAAATGATCATTTTATCTATAAATGGATTACACTATCAATTAAGAATCCAAATATAGAAATACTTCACTAAACAATATAACATAACAAAGTAGTCATGGATGTGAGAGGCATTGAAGTTACAAATCAACTAAGGGTATACTTTTTCATTGATTTCATTTGATTATTATATGATTTATTTTACATTAAAGAATATTATTTTAATTCATTTATTTAAAAATAAAAGAAAATGTTTTTTTTAATTAATATATTCATTTTCAGAGCGCAATTAGAGCAAAACTGTTAGAACTAGGAGTTAAATATGATGAAGAACTTCCTGATTATATTTTAGTGATGGTGGTAAATAAGAAAAGTCGACAGCAAATGCATGAAGATCTTCATTTGTTTCTAGAAGATAGTACAACGCCTTTTGTTGATTGGCTTCATGATCAAGTGTTGAAAAAACTCCAGAAAGTAACGGTAGCTAAGAAAAAAGCTACGAGAGAATTTGTTCCAACAGTAATAGTGAAACAAGAAGAGGGAAAACGGAAAAAAAAATCTGTCAGTGGTTTGGACGATTTAAAGGTCAAGGATGAGCCAAATGATGATAAATCGGGTGAGAAAACGGTTCTAAATACATCAAAATCATCTAATAATGAACAGGAAACCATTCAAAATAATGTTACACTTGAAAATAATGATAATCCTGTTGGAACGTCTTCTAATGAAGTGAGATCAAGATTAGCAAGTGGAAGTGAAAATACGTCTTCCAGATGGACAGAGAAAAATGATAGGCATGGAGAGTCAATGACGAATAATAAAAGAAGTTTAGACAAAGATAATGAAATGATAGAAAGAGCTGAGAAAAAAACCAAATCTGCTGAGCAGTTGAAAGAATTGATAGATGATGAATTGGTGAATGATGCCAGTGATAAACGTTTAAAATCATGTATCAATAAACCAAAAATTACTTCGGTAGTTTCTGTGAAAACGAGACTTGGTATAACATCATCTAGAAATAAATTTGAGGTGTATCGAGAGCGACATGAAACGAATGATGAATACCGAAAACATGAAGAAGAACATAAGAAACAAATGGATAAACGTACAGAAAGACGTTTGTACGAACCTGCAAATCGGCGTGACTCGTTTAAAAGTAAATATAATGGTGAAGAAGTACCCAAGAGGTTCAAAGATGACATCAAGAGTCGATCAACTTCTGGAAATGACAATCGAATGAAATTATCAAATTTGAATGATTCCAATAATAGACGACTTATGATTACTGGAGTTAAATCAAGACTTGAGAACTATTCTAGTACTATCAAAGATCGTTTAGGGGTTATTAATAAACCTACAAACAAAGAGGTTGTTGAAGATACTCAAAAAAATGTTAAAAGACGCTTGGGACCAATTAAAAGCAAATTTATAGCACTTGGACGTCTTGGAATTAGTTCAGTTCAAAATAAGTCTAGAAGTAAAAACGATAATTTCAAAGCTGATGAAGCTGAAGATGATAATAACGATGATGATAATGACGATGATGATGATGATGATGATGATGATGATGATGAAGAGCTCAATACTGGACCTGTTAAATCACATATAATTGCTATAAAAAATTTATCACATGATAAAAATGCAAGAAAAATAGTGAAAAATCCTAAAGAAACTGAAAAAGATAATATTGAAGAAGATGGAGATGAAGAAGAAAATAATACTAAAGCAATCCCTAGTAAAGTTATTGTTACACCAAGACCTTTAAAACCTCTCCAACCAGCTCAAAAAAGAGCCACTCAATCTCTTCTACTTCGTGCTGTTGCTGAAGCTAATCAGTCTGTTGTTAGGCAGAAAAATCCTGAGCCATCATTAATGGTAAGAGATAATAATAGAAATAAATTTCGTAGTCGTAGATATTTCTAATAAAGCTATAAATAATTATTTTTGTAAATAAATTTTTACACTAAGTGATTATTATTCAACTATTTTGTGGTGTGTTAAGTAGAAATTTGTAAAACTAAAAATATGTAAAAACAAAAATGTTTTTATGATTAACTATAAATAATGATAAAATAAATAATTAATTATTAATTTTGAAAAATTGTCTTCTTTCATTTCTTTGATGAATTGTTGTCTCAAATATATAATTAAAAATTTTTATAATTCAATAGGAAAAAAAAACTGCTCCAAAACGATTAAAACCGGCAACTGCTAAATCAACATCAATTCAAAGCTTAGCCACTCAATTAAATATAAAAAATAGACTTGTAATGGAAAATATTCAAGTGGAATTAACTACTTCAGAGAATGCAGAAGATCAACCACAATCATGTAAGTAAATAACTATTTATCAGAGTAAGTTTAATATATTTATCATTACCATTACTTAAACAGGAATGGATAATTTTTTATATAAACTGTATGTAAATTTAATTTTTTAAGATACTTCCCAAATAACATCAGATACCGATGACCATATGGGTGTTGTTATGTCACTATTTCAGCGAGGAGATAACAATCAAAAATTTTTAGTCACTCTAAATGGATACAACAATAACATAATAAAGGATAAAAATTTTTCTGACGATGAAGAGCAATTGGGAATGGAGGTAAAAGTTGATAAAAAATTTTAAAATAAATTAGAAACAAAATAGGATGATTTTTAATGTTCAATCTATCAAACATAACAGGTAAACGAAGAAGATCAGAGAATTCTTTCTAATTCTCGTAATAACAATTTTAATTATCTCGAAGGATCGTCAGAGTTTGAAGAGATTCAAAACCTTGTGAAGAATGCAAGTCATGAAAATAATGAAAACCATTGCGATAATGTTACAATGGTTAACGAAATGCCAAGAAAAAAGAGGAAATTAAGTCCTATTGTTTATACAAGGTCTCCGTCTCCAGAGCCAATAAAAGATTTATATATATCCCCAATATCAAAATCAGAAAAAAGAGCATTAATATCATCGACAACTGCTGATAAATCTACTGATAAATGTAGATATTGGCCAAATTGTACATTAGGAAATAAATGTGCATACATTCATCCTGCACTACCTTGCAGGTGAGCATTCATTATTTTCCATAAAGCATTTTTTTTTTTCAAATCATGAAATAATTTCAAGTTGACTAGTTACTTGAAAAATATTTAATAAAAATTTATTTCATCTATTCCAGTGCTTTTCCGGCATGTAAATTTGGTGATAAATGTGCATACAAACATCCCAAATGCAAGTTTGGTTTATCATGTACAAAGCTTGGATGCATTTTCTCACATCCACCACAACAGTGCAAATATCATCCATTTTGCACGAAACCTGGTTGTACATATTTACATCCTCAAATTGCACCGGTTGTGCCTCTAGAAACCGGAAGATCCAAATTCACATGGCGCCGACGTGATTGAAATCAGCTTCGTTATCTTTTACCCATTCTATTTACAATGTATTTCATTTTATCTCAACAGAAGGAAAAAATAACTACAACTGTTAGCGGTAAATCAATGAATTTCTTTAAATAAAATGTACAAATCTCTTGAATATTCGATTATTATTTACGTCAAATTTGTTATAGTTAAAATATCTCAGAACTCTGATCAACCTGAGATCTAGGGTGTAATTATACTGAGGTATCCAACTTTTCTGAAATAATAATGATTATAAAAATATTTATTCAATAATTAATATAAAATAATATCAGAGAAGAAAAATAATATAGATGACATATCGCGTGAGAATCTGTTGGACGAATTTTTTGAGATACATTTAGAATTTTAGAATTCCAATTTTAGATGGGATACTAAAATTCCAGCCATATGTAGCGTCTCTCTCTTCTCTGGCAATGTTGACATAATACAGTTCACAAATATAATTCTTAAAACTACCGTTAGAGTTCGTCGTATTTCTGTTCCAAAATAATCAATTGCCCATGTGACGCTACAAAAATACATATAACCAATACATTGTTTAGAAAAAGTTAATTCAGAAATAAATTGTTTATTAAACGAAATAATTTATAAATAAATATAATATAAAAATATTTTCATTATTTACTTACGGATAACACAACGTATATGTGACTATATACGTTATTTACAAAGTATTAAATCATTTTATAGTGTTTAGGTTATGAAACACGTGATTTTCTGCCGACACTAAATACATGTTTATTTATGAATATTACTAGTGAAAAAGATGGATCTTGAACGGTTTGAAAAAAATAATACAACAAACAAAGAAAGTAGTGAAGAAAATATAGAAGTGAAAGTCAATTTGATTGACAATGATTGTAATGAATTATGTAAAAATATTGTGGAGCCGAATCATACTGATAGTTTTCAAATGACGTATTGTGATAAATCAAAAGACGATATAAAAGTTATTCAAGTAACAAATGCTTTAAGCATTATAGCATCAACTTATTCTGAATCTGAAGATGAAGAAGAATCAGAAATAAATATTACCCATGAACAAATAACAATTGATGATAGCAAGCAAAATAACTACCGGAATAATACACTGAATGATGATACAGATAGTGAAGACTCCGAAAATAGCAGTGATAGTAGCAGTAGCAGTAGCAGTAGTAGTGATAGCTCTTCAGATTCCGATACTGATGATGACGAAAATCGAAGAATCTCATCTAAACCAAGGTAATGTTTAATTTAAATAAAAATGATTAACTTAAATTATTAATAAAATTTATTTCAGATATTCGAAAAATAGTGCTAATTCAGAATTCGATAATCTACCTCCAATAGAAGATCTGCAAATTTCTGTTCCTGAAGTTTTATGTGATCCCATAGGAGAGGTAATATAATTAGAATAATAAATTTATTAAAAATTGATTATAATTTAATAAACGTTAAATTAGGTGGGATGGATGGTAGAACAAATGGTAGTAGTAAAGCCAAAACCAAATAAACCTACGTTAAATTTTGACACAATACTGTTTATTGACAAAGGAAAAAGGCCTTTGGGACGGGTATTCGATGTTTTTGGACCAGTTACTGAGCCCCATTATTGTGTTAGATTTAACAGTGGTGAACACATACAGGAAAGCAATATCAAAATTGGAATGACAGTGTATTACTGTCCAAATACACCTTATACAACTCTCGTATTCATGACAGATCTTCTAAAGTAAGATTTACATTATATGTGACGTGTCTTGTTTTCTTTATTTGTTAAAAATAACCTGGATTTCTGGACTTTTTTTTTAGAATGAAAGCCAGCGATGATGTAGGCGAAGATGAACTTCCCGAATTTTCGGACGACGAAGAAGAAAAAGCATATTATGCGGCTTTAAAAGCTAAGAAAAGCAACAATAAAGGTTCGGGAATTTACAAAAATACTCCAATTCCAGCAAAACGATCTAAAATTCAACACGAAACTGGGTGGAAAACTAAACATCCTTGGCACAGTGAAAAAAAAAATCGCCAACACAAATCAGTTTATCAATCAAATAATTCCAATAATAATTTGAGTAATAATGGTTCAAATTTATATTACAATCAGCAACCAAATAATCCGTCACAACAAATAGGAAATTATTATAATAATTATTGGTCATCTACTTTTCCTTACAATTATTGGAATCAAAATTCATATAGTTCTGAATGTCAACCGGTTTTTCCATCAACTCCAACGCAATCGAATGCCAATCCAACACAACACACAAGTCCTAGTTTTTCATGGTCCTCAAGTTCGACCTTTCCACCTACATATCAGAATATACCCTGGCACGTGCCACCTCCACCTCCTCCGCCACCCTCATCATAAATAATATTAAGAATAAATCTTCTATTTAACAAGTTTATTACGAAATAATTTAAGATAATTTATTTTTTATTTATAATTATTAGGTATTGAAAAATTAAATATATTTTTAATATAAAATACTTTTTCTTTTTAAATTTAATGCTAAAAATATCAAAAAATTGGTAACTAAATATTAATTAGTTAAAAATGCTGAAGATTTGTATGCAATCATTTCAGGCTTGTCCAAAAGTTGATCAGCTGTTTTTATGTCATTATTAATTTCTGCTATTAAGGCATCTAAGTAATGCAATTATAATATCAAATATGGTTTATTTTATTTGTTTAAAATTAATTTTATTGATCACCATACTTACCAACTGAATCAAAGTTTTTTTCTGGTCGAATAAATCCAGTGATAATAACTTTTAATTCCAGTCCATGCAAATCTCGATCAAATTTATGAAGGATATGGACCTCCTAAAATAAAATTGTAATTATAAAAAACGATTCTATGATGGATTAAATAATAATTTATCTAATTACCATAGACTTTTTTTCATTCTGATAGAATGGATTCCATCCAATACTCATAACCATTTTATAAATTTGTCCCTCGAGTACGGCCCAGCCATAATAAATTCCAGTTTTAAATCCTTTTGGAAGTAGAGCAACAACATCTTCAGAAAAATTAGCTAATCAAAAAAATATTAGAAAGAGTTAATTTTATAATTGTAAAACTTTTTTGAAGTTACAAAAATCATTGCAAATAAAGTGATTGAATAATTAGACTTGGTAAGTTGCTGCTGCTATGTATTTATTTTTCATCAACTTAACAATAAGTTAAATTACATCATTGTTACAAAATTGATTTAATTTGATTGAATATTATTTTTTGTTTACCTGTAGGTATGCCTAAAGCTTTAGATCCTCTGCCAAAACCTTTGACTATTTGACCAGATGCGAAATAAGGCAGAAAATCATTACTGCACATTTTATATATGTATTTGTAACTGTCAGTCTTCAGACGCATTAAACAGTGTATACCTAGTTTAATCCCAAGTAAGACAGCTCATTATATTTTATCGTCTTGTTGCGTATATTGAGGTTGTCTCTTCTTTTTCTATCAATTGAGAAATCAAAAAAAGTGCAAGACAAAATTATTAAACTTATTAATAGTCAATAAAATAAATTGATATCATCTAACATATGACAATTGGAACTACTTTTTAAGAAAGTTTGAAGACAAATGAAATTCATAAATTACCATCCAATTTATAAGTTGTACTGATAAGTTGCATGTATTATAAGTTATGAAATCATCCCCTCTTCATCATTAGCAACTTGGAGATAAGTTTGTCATGTATACAAATGATGAGAAATATTTCAAAAACAGGTGATACTTTATTGGTTAATAAAATCTTTGAATTATTCAAAAGCTAACATATCGATAAAATTATAGAGTAAAGAAACACAAAGTCTAGTCAGATATAAATTGGATAGACAAAATGGAGTTTTTTTTTGTTTTACTTAATAGTTTTATTATTTTCAGCTCAAGGCTATTGATTACGTGGAATGAAGTCCTATTTCATGAAAAAATTTTGATGTCACTGTCTGCAAGATGGTGAAAATAATATACATTACTTTATTGCTACAAAATGATTGAATTATCATGTGATAAAATAATAAAGTAATTAGACAGAATATCTTATCATTGAATGCTGAGATTTCAGACAATTAAGATGGATATATGGAGTCGAAAATTTTTAGAGTTTTCCTATCAGTGTCGTTGGAGGAAGTACAGACAAGTACTTACGTTGACGTGAAACATAATGCTCGTGTTCGAATGTATTATGTAGTGATGGTAGGAAATTTAGAGTGTACCTAAGTACATACTTTGAAGGTGGAGAAGGAGGAGACGATGAATTGACGTCATAGAGTGACGTCAAGCAGGTTCGTAACTAAACTAACTGGGTACCTTTCGATGTGATTCAATTACTTGACGTCTCTTCCGATCAACCAATCAACCATATCTCATTTCTTTTATCAATTCTTCGACTTGATCATAATTTTAGAATTTTCAGTAAATTATATTTAATTGTTGTTAATCTATTTTCCGGTGGAAATAAATCATTTGGGATTGCGAATTTATTTACAAAAGTGAATTGGATAAATTTTTAAAATCCAGGCAAAGCTGTAACTCGATACAAACTAATCTGGTGACCTCGACTCGTCGACTATTTCTTTAATAATGACGCACGTACTGTTGTACGTTATAATACATAAACTTGGCTTGAGGCCGAAAATATACCAAGAGAGAAAGAACTATTAGATCCTTGCTTTCATTTTTGAGATAGAATATTGTCTCTAAGCAACTAAGTCATCATTAATAACGACTGTCTATATCTCTTATGAACTTTTATATCATTCAGCACAAGTACCAATCACATTTCATTGGTCTCTTTAAAATATAAAGAAAATAATATTTGCCTTACAAAAGATATAGTAAAAATCATTTCTTCACTGTATGTGATTATTTTTTAATAAATTTTTTCTCAAAGACCTCCAATTTTTATATACAATATCCTTGATAGATGTTTTGATATTTTTGATAACAGCTCTCTTAATTTAGTTCTTTTTTCTTACAATAAACTACTTTTTTTTGTTCTAATTTATCATAAATCTCATTTATAAGAGATGCAAGACAGAATAAAGAGATATAAAACTTTTTCTATATATAAACTTTAATCTTAGACAAATTAGCTATGAATCCTGCAAATATGTGAATTCATAATTCTAGTATATAGAAGAATAATTTTTTTAAAAGGCAAGAAGACGTACAAGTCAGTTGAGTTGGAGTGACGTCAATGATTGAAGATAACAGCTGATTAATAATAAAATGTTATAACCTGTAAAAGATGATCATTAAGATTATTATCAATTAGATGATTTGGATAATGTAGAAGAAAAAATGATGATTAACTTGGAAATATCCAAGGAAGATAGTGTAACTTACCTTGGAATATACTCCCTTAGTCACGGTCAATTTACTCTAGTAAGTCAAGGGTATATTTGCAATTGCTTTGTACGATAATTAAACGAGAGCAGAGCAGAGAGCGGCTGGGAGAACATTGACGTCAATTGTTGAAGATAACGCGCGTATTTCCTCCCTTCCGACTAAACCAATGCTGGTGTGTAAGAGTGCGAGTGAGTGCATCTGATCTACCAGGTGCATAGGATGACAAAGAAACACCGAAGGGAGGGGAGGATTTTATATGACAGAATAAGAGAAAGACCAAGTGAGAGAGAAAGAGAGAGAAATAATCAAGACGATGAGGGGCAAGCTCGAGGGTTGTAACATGGCCGACAGTTAGTCGGTATCGAACCGTCATGTTGAAAGGTGTATCTATCGTCATGACAAGCTGAGTTTACGGGGTGTCGTGAGATTTAAATGCTTTTTATAAGCTATTTTATTCAAAGTCTAGCCGATACTCCATGGCAGACGATTTTCATCAATTATTTTAAGTAAGTTTTTTTTACATAAAAATCTAACTTTTCATACTTGATATTATATGCTTGCTTTTTTTAATATTTTTCAAGTCTTTTAGTTAACATTGCTTTGAAGTTTTCATACAGATAACTACTCTCAACTTGACTTGTTGCCTGTGTCGTTATTTTTTCATTTATATTATATATTATTTTTTTCAAAATACTTGCATTTGTGTTTTTTTTTTTTTATTCATTTAGCATTACTCTGTCATGGCAGAAGCCGGAAAGTCTATTCGATTACTAAACATGCAACTTGACATAGTTGGAATTTTTTTAAATCAATAAGAAAGACAATAAACATATTATTTAATTAACTAATGAATTGGTTATGTGAATAAACTATTTGAATAATTTAATATTAAATGGCTAACATTTTTATCAATTCTATTCAGTTAAAATTCAACAGCAAGAATAAGTTTTCTTAATCAAATGACAATATTTATTGTTATTTTTGAAAATTATCATACCCACCTTGATTTATAAACATGTCATATGATTTTTTTTTTAAGGTTAACACAAATTCATATCACTTAAATACTTGAATATTTTATAACAATCTATAACACTCTACATATTGCAAATATTCTTATTCTAATCAATACTTAGAAATATTTTAAATAAATAGATACTTTGATAGAGTACCTAGTAAATAATATATTAAATAAATAATAAAAAATGTATAGTCAGTTAAAAAGATTACGTTGTCTTGTGCAAAATAATGTTGAAGAAAATACTGGAACAAGTATTGTGAAAGGTTGAAGGAAAGTGCATTCATCAGGTCCTTTGCCTTCTATCGACCAGTCCTCCAGCGATACGTGAAAGTAATTGACACCTAGAGCGAACTATGGCGACATTACTCGACTTAATTGCAACATTATACATATATATGTATATATTATCTACTTACATGTATATATATATATATATATATATTCTTTTATACCTTATTCGTAAATAACAATATCTTTCTAAAAATAATTACATAATTATTAAGACGTTAAGTTAATTTTTTTTCTTTGACTAAGAATTATTTGATAACGCAATACCTAATTGTCGTCAATATACATCCTGATGGTATGATAAAAATTATAATATTATCTTCAGAAAAAGGTTTGCGATCTGCGTAAGCAGTGACGCACGCGGTAAATGATTTATATCTCTTTCTCTGTAGATTTTTTAAGAAATTTTTTTTTAAACTCAATTCAATCATTGAATTTGTCATCAATTTAATGTAAAATTAGGCTATGCAATATAATAATAACATGTTATTTGTATCCAGTGCCAGGAAAAAAAAATAGACTGGAATTTATATGAAATGAAAAGTCAGCTTTTACTTGTTCATTTATTTATCTATTTATTTATTTTTTTGGTTATTATTTTAATTTAAAAATGTAAAATAAATTGTTTATGTTGTTTTTTTATATTTTCAGATTTTAAAATGAAGGAAACACGTCGTCAATGAGAAGACGAATGTCAACCAGATATAACGAAAGACTGAACAAATAAGTGAATAAGGATAATTATTTAATTAAATTATTAATATTATTATTAAGTAATACTCAACAATGGAGTCCGCTACTGTTCAGGGTAAAAAACAAATTCGAGTCGGTTTTTACGACATCGAAGGAACGATTGGTAAAGGTAATTTTGCCGTTGTTAAGCTGGCTCGGCATCGTATTACAAAAACTGAGGTTAGCAAATATATAACAATAATGAATTACTCAGCAAACCTAACCTTGATGATGGTAATAGCTTTTTATTGAAATAAATTGTTCTTAGGTGGCCATTAAAATAATAGATAAAACACAGTTAGATTCTACTAACTTGGAAAAAGTTTATCGAGAAGTTGAGATCATGAAACAACTCGAGCACCCTCACATAGTAAAGCTTTATCAAGTGATGGAGACAAAGAATATGATTTACATGGTGTGTGAATATGCACGTAAAGGTGAAATATTTGACTACATAGCTCGCTATGGAAGAATGGGCGAGTCTCGAGCACGAGCAACATTTGCACAAATTTTATCAGCAGTTGAATATTGTCATGCTATTGGTGTAGCTCACAGAGATTTAAAAGCCGAAAATTTATTGTTAGACGCTCAGATGAATGTTAAAATTGCTGACTTTGGCTTTAGCAATCGATTTGTACCCGGTGAAAGATTAAGTACATGGTGTGGAAGTCCACCTTATGCTGCGCCAGAAGTATTTCGAGGAAAACATTATGCCGGTCCTGAAATTGATGTTTGGGTTTGTAATTTTTTGCTTTAAATACCCTATTTTAATATAAAATAATAAAATAATTGAAACCTTTTAAATTTAATCACTTATAGAGTTTAGGAGTAGTGTTATACGTATTAGTTTGTGGTGCTTTACCGTTTGATGGATCAACACTTCAATCTTTGCGAGATCGAGTTCTTAGTGGTCGATTTAGTATTCCTTATTTTATGAGTACTGGTAAATATATTGATTTTTTTGTTAGTCATGTCAAAAGTTCTAAAATATTTATGTAAGTAAACTGTCAATTTTAATATATAAATTTTTCTATTTTATAGACTGTGAAAATTTAATTCGTAAAATGCTTGTATTGGAACCAGCAAAACGTTATACAATTCCACAAATAAAAAGGCATCGTTGGTTAATTGGAACTGCCGAATCAGTTTGTCCAGTAATAACATCAACACCATTATCTCTTCAAGAACCTAATGAACAAATTTTAAGGCTTATGCATAGCTTAGGAATAGATGTAACTCGTACCAAAGACGTGAGTCATAATTATAAAAATATCTTGATATGAAAAAAAAAAGTATTGACCTAATTATTTATTTTAATATTTATTTATTATATTTACAGTCATTAAAAAATAATAGTTATGATCATCATGCTGCCATTTACTTTCTTCTATTAGAGAGATTAAAGCATCGAAGTAGTAATCCAACAAATAGCAGTAATGCTTGGCAAGCTGTCTCTCGTACCAAAGATGACAAATTTAAATCAAGGTGAGTATATTTTTTCAAAACTATTTGTAATTATTTATTTGATAATCATGCTTTTTATCGCAGCCATTAACAAACGACTCATTGCCATAATTTGCAGTACTTCCAATCCGGCCTACCGGAAAAATCTACCATTTGCACTCAATGTCATCTATCCATCAAAATCATATAACATTATAATTTTTATTTACAGCGATAGCTTAGTCGGCTGTTGATGGTCATTGAATGCCGTTGCAACGCGGATTATCAAGATTTTGTTGGAATAGGTCGGATTGGAAGATTGATGAAGGCTGTCCCATTTCAGTTTTTGGTAATTCTTCGTTTAACCTGTTTCCCTCTTACTTTCAATTTTTTTTTTTTTTTATTAAAAAAGAATTGCTTTATCATTCTTGCTTTATTATCTTCAATCATTGGAGTTGAAATTTATTATTTATTTAGGTCGTATTTATTTATTTTTTGTTTGCTTTTTGATTCCTGCTATTAGTTTATCAATGCTTCTTGATACTCTTTATTGTAGAATAGGGTGAAGCTGTGTTCTTTCTGCGTCACAAAACTACTAACGACTAGCGAAATACGCGTTTGGGTTAATAAAATAAATAATGACTTTTATACTAAAAATATCAAAATATTTCAGAGGTAGAGAGGAAACTGGAAGAAGTGGAAAACGCTTCAGCTCAACTAGCTCATCGACTGACGAAGGATGTTGCAGTGCAGAAGGAGATCTAGAAGAAGGTCCGAGTGGTGATGAACTCCGTGAAGCACAAATTAAACTCCAGGAACATCGATTAGGTTTAGATCAAGATATAAGCCAGCAAATTGATAGCCAGATAGTTAACCGTCGATTAAGTGATTATCAACAGCAACACTTTGATGGCTCTATTATTGATCCTGTTGATCCACCAAGCCGGACAACTATTTTTGGACCTGGTTGTAGTGGTAGCTCATCGTCAGATTTATTTGAGTCAAGCTTTGATTCAGGCTGTCCATCAGACTTGACAATAACTGGTTGTTTTACAAGCAGTTTACCATCATGCACTCCACCACCACCTAAAAGCCCATCTCCCATTGCTACAAGACTGTCAAGAACTGCACAAGGTCGAAGAGCGTCAGATGGTGGACTTAGATTATTATTTTGTCAAAAAACAAGTACTGGAGACCGACCTGCTAAGCAACGAAGTATTCAAGGTATTTTTTTTTCATTAAAAAAAATTTCAATTATTTCAAATGAATGGTTTAATGAATTGAATTATTTATGGCAGATGCCGGAAAAGCCAGAGGACATATAGATCTAGTTCATTTACGACCCAACTCGACATCACCAAATCAACAACAGTTTAAACTTCGTGGAGACTCAAGTATGCAACTACAATTGATGGTTCAGCAAAGAATGTTACAACAAAAAAGAAATATGTATCATAGGCATCGAGGGGGAATAAGCCCAACACCATTACCAGCTAGTAATGATAGCAGCACAAGTGGGTCTTCCTCATCGAGACGTAGTGGTGAACATGTACCACGACAAGATAGCTATAAAATGGCACAACGTAAACAAATATTACCACCTCTGTCTCAAGGACATGATGATAATGATGTTGAAGATGACAACTTTGATCGTGAAAGAAAACGTGAAGAGGAAAGATGGAAAAGTTTACCATCTAGACTAGCAGCTGATTGTCAATTAGCCGAGAGAACGTTGCTCTGGAGTCAACAGGTATTTCCACAGAAATAAAATTTTTTTCGATCAAAATGAGAAAGAAATAAAATATTAAACAAAATAATTAGTGAGAATGCAATCGAATTATATTTTATTGGAAAGATTTAATTATTATTTTATTTCTCAGGGAATTAAGAGAAATCATTTAATCTTTATAATTTAATTACTTCACATTTAATTAATTCAATTGATATAAAAAAGAAAAAAACAGCACACTATTTTCTGTATAAAAATGAATTAGATCTTACATTAATTGTACTAAAAATGTACCTGTATATTTAATTTAATTATCAATTTATTTATTTATATTTAATAAATTATTTTTAATTTTTATATTTTTGCCCGTTTTTTTTCAATTGTTAAATAGCCTTTCTATAATTAAAAAAAAAATGCATGAAAAATTAATATAAAATTATTTATAAAATAGTGCACAATAATAAAAAATAAAATATTTTGAGAAAAACCAGGAATTCGTTTGCATGTCTATTAGGTTGGTTTAAGTGGAGGCGCTTCCTATCTACCACCCGGAAGTGTTGGTGCAGGATTTCTCTGGCCAGGTAACAGCCCTCATGCTACAATTTTTGAAAATACTGGTGATCCAATGGAGTAAATGAATTAAAATAAGAATAATAAAACTTGAAATGGAGTACTTACATCGATCACAAGAAACCATCCAATTTTTAATTTAATAATAACACTGATAGATTAATATTTTGTCTGTTGAATTGATAAATTTTTAATGATAAAAACGATGTTCGATAGTTAAATATCATCTCTTATTTAACTTATCATTTAGATTAAGAATAAAAAAAAAAAACTAATAAACGAAAACATGAAAGCTTACTCAAAAAATTCATGGTAATTAAACAAGTTACACAATAGACTGATTACTCAAAGAATTTGGTAATTATTAGCATTAAACATTGTAACATTGACACTGTTAAGAAATAGTTAGACTTTAACACAGCCGACATCTTTTTTGTAAATGAATGATTATAGTTCAACTGTCAATGACTTTGTGTATGAAATAGTTAATTTTTGATACGGACAATTTAATTATAATATTACAGGATGGTTATTAGTGAATTAAAAAATATATTAATCATCATATATACTGCCAATCGAGTTTTACTCGAATCTTAATTATAATTAACTCAAAATATGCATTTATAAAAGCAATTAGTCAATAATTTTATTAAACACAATATACTTGTTAATTGATATACCTTGATCTACCTTCAGTAATTATCGATATGCCTTTATTTTACGGGCAGGAAGCTCAGTAATATTTCATGAAAAAACTTTTTATAAAATATTTCATATGCGCTATGATTTGATGTATTTCTGACTTCCTGTAAGGTAATTTATATTTCAATAGTCATTGCATAGATACATTTTCTGAGCTCTATAGCTGCTATAAATCATAAAGCAATATCACTGGGGTACAACGACATTAATCATCTAACTTATTTCGCATGTCATTCAAAAGTATAACAATCAAATTTCACTCAGAGAAAAATAAATATTAATACGTTTCTAATAAAAAAGAAAATAAAAACTAGATTGAATGTGAATGATTGAGTAATGAAAAAATTATTCATTTAAAGTATCATTGATATCTTAACATTTAATAATTATTGGTTTGAACTGCTAAAAGTTGATCGAAAAATAATTCTTATTAGTCTAAGATTATATCAATATTAATGGGTTGATCGATAAATTTTCAATGAAATTCTGATTTCAAGATAATTGGAATTAAGATGTCATAGACTGAAATCAGAGATTTTTGATCAATCATAATAATAATAATAAAAAGAATGATTTCCGTAATAATAGTATTGCTATATAAATATTTATTCATTAACATTTGATTGGTCTTAAAAAAGAAAAAAACGAGTATAATTGCTACAGATGGAAAAAGTGAAATAATGATATTGTGATATGTACCCATAGATTTGCAATACAAGGTCTAATGTAGTCAATAATCGTGAATATTTTATAGGGTATATAAAATAAAACTGTTATCAATTGTAAAATGAGCGATAAAGGGTTTTTATTATCATATCAAAGTATGGCAAGCGTATAGCGATATTCATGAGAGATTAAAATAAAATTGAATTGATGAAAGGAATTATTTATTAAAGAATAATATCGCTAATTTACGTATTGGTGCACGTAGTAAACCTACATAATAATTAATAATAATTAGTTTATAAAATAAATATATACAAAAAGGTTAGTAGAAATTTTTTAAATTCTATGAATCATCTTTCATGGTGATTTTAATGGAAAAAATAGGTCCACTAGTTTAGCAGCATGAATTGTTCAAGTTATAACATGTGAAATACTTGAAATAATCACATTCTACGACAATAAATTTAAACAACATAGTTTCGATATTTTTCTTCTGGTTGTTCAAGCTTTTGAGTAAATATGTCACTTCCTGTTTTTAATGCCCTATTTTTTGCTTCTTCTGGTGTTAATAATTCATTCTCATTTGGTTTTAGAGGATTGCCATTCTCATCTAACTTTCCTGCTTGAAAGTCAGAAACTATTTTAGGAGAGTATACGGCATCAAATAAATCCTTTGATGTGAATTCTGATTGAGAAATATTCACTGCTTGGTATGAAACATAAGGTTTCAATTTACAACCTTCAAGGTTTGGTACAATAAGTTCTGGAATCATTTCTGGAACTTCTATAAATCGATCGTCTACCCTATATCCTACATCTCTTACTCCTCTTTCTGAAATTTTTGTCTTTGTTTAATATATTGCTTATATTTGACATTACTAGATAAATACAGAGTCTACATTAAATTATTAGAGACAAACAATAAACTTGGTTTGAGGAAATAATTGAATCACCATTTGTTTTACCATTTATGACGTTCAAATCAAACTTAATGTAGGCTCTAAAAAAAAATAATTTTAATATTTACTATCAATTGGAATAAGTGGATGAGGCTTGATCGTTTGTTGCTTTTTAAAAGCTCTCGTACCAGCTTTATTATACAGTAAAAATTTTCGAAAATTCTTTTTACCATAACAGATAGATGATGTTGATAAATTTCTTTGGAAAATTTTTATTGCTAATGCCATTTCAACACTATTTAAAAATATGTATGATAAATAACGTGATCAAATAACAATAGTAATAAAACAAAAAGTTAATTACCTTTTTATTGGAATCCAATATGAATATTCATATGATTTTTATTGCTTTATTTTGTAAAAACAACCAAAAAAGCCACTAATGTTGGAAATTTGAGGTTAATTTTTCTCAAGTGAGTGATAGTCGAATTGATAATAGAACGATGGTAAAACTGGGTTGTCGAACTGATGGAACAGAGTTCTCCAGTTGCTCCAATGCTTTTGGGTTTCCTCAGTACTGACTACGCAGGCGTACAAGAACATACATGTGTACATACATATACATATATGATGAACTTTCTTTATAGTTCGATGCGTCATGTAAAACCACGAACCAATTAGTTACTAGTTGCACTACAAGTACATAATAATATATATTGTGTGATGTAAAAAAAATAAATTTTTTATTTTCATTAAAATTAATAGTAATTGTAATTAGAATTTAATTAAATAACAAATTATGATGAAAAAATGCATTATGATTTATGTCTAGTTTTGTATAAACCTACTAAAAATTTTTTAAATACATTTATAGGATCTTTTAAATCAGTTTTGTCCCAATATTCATTTATATTTGAGTTGAGGATTTTGCTATTTTTGTTACTATCTAAAAAATCATTCTTTTGATCGACTACTGAACATACCGTAGGTATTTTTTGCGGATTAAAAATATCAACTTGTTTCGGATCAAATGGAATGGAAATTTTTCCTGTTTTTGGATGCATGGAAAATGGTAATTTTAAAAGATGATTGAAAGCTATAGTAACATTTCTATCCAATCTTGGATAGCAATAGATAATCTTGATTTTTTCCATGAAATAAGAATTCTCCAACCACACTTTATTCCCCTAAAAATATTCATAAAATTATATAATTTAATTTTTCTTCTGAAGAAGAGTAAAATTTGTACATTTACTTACCGATTCGATTTGAGTCTGGTAATAATCAACAAAAGCATTCCACCGATCTAAACTAGTCGTATGAGCTTGAAATAATTTCTCGACTTCTTGTTTAACTTCCGATGATGGCAACAAATTTACAAATTTCTCTATACGATTTGTATTGCCTAACAAATCTTGTTCTACAACGCACATAGGTACAAAAATTTCATTGATCATAATTATCGTTCGTTCAATAAAACGATTCATTCTTTTAATTTTTACATTATATCTTCCAAATGCATTTTTGTTTACCAGTTGAAAAAAATCTGCTATACCAGCTCTTTTACTTGAGCTATATTCTTGAATTTCGGGATCACAAATCCAAGCATGAATTCCTCGTCTACCGGAAAATACCCATAAGATGTTTTGAAAACCCCAGTCTTCTACAATTTTAATTTAATATATAAAATCCATTATTCTAATAATAAAATTTGGACCTACCTCTTAATGAAGTATCAATAATTTTGCAAGCAATTGCCATATATTTCCAACATTTTCTGCATAGTTTAGCATCAGAACAGCATGTTCGTATATCACCATAGTCGTTTATATCAATATCAATAACTATTTCTTTTTTTAGTGGAATTAATTTATCTTTATTTTTAAAAATAGGCCTTAAAGATAGAAAAATTGTTTACCAGTCGTAGTAAGAATAGAGAGATTCATGTTTAATTGCAATAAATTTACATGATATTAAATGCAGGACCAACATCAAGTTTTGCTGGAATTTGTCTCGCAAGTGTTTTACGCATTTCTTCCTCATCATTGAATACTATGTATCGACTAAATTCTTCAAATATTGATGTGAAAGAGAATTCACGTAAATGAAATTTCTCAGCTGTAATGTTATACTTATTAAAAATACAATCTAATATATTTTAAATGCAACTGAAAATTAAATAGCAAAATAATTTGTTTACCATTGCCATAGCTTAACCAAAGTTGAATGTATTTGCATGGAAATATTTTCATGTAATACTCTTTTAAATATCTCCTAAGAGTATATTCATCTATATTCATGATTATACATAGAAAAATCACAAAATATGAAAGAAAAGCATTTTATTTTGTTAACTTGTACTGGAAAAGTCAAATATCAAAAATTCTGATCAAAAACATATATCCATAATATCACCACCCCATGACACCCTGTTCTAAGCAAAACATGCGCAGAATGACACATATATTTTCGATCTGCGCATGGCGATCTCGGAAAAAAATTGTTACTAAATCGTTTAAAAATAATATAATAATTATGGTATGTTTAGTGTATCTGACATAATAAAATAATTATTTTGAAATTCAGAGTTAAACAAATTTTTATAAAGTGGTTTCTCTTCTCTATCATTCTTTTCATTATAATGGCGCAAAAACGCCACACAGTGGCAATTATTGGTATTAATTATATTTTATTAGATAAGTTCGCCATCTTGATAAACTTACATGTAACTATTCTCGTGAACAACCTTAAAGGGAGGTTGGTTAAAGTTTAGCAAAGTGAATTCAGATAAATTTTTAATATTGATCAGTATTTCTGAAAAATTTTTATTAAATAACATCAAATTATCGATTCTTTAAAAAATATTTCTAAAGTTAACTCTACCTTTATACGAACTGTCAAAACTTCCGGCTATTTAAATACAGAAAAAATAAAATAACGTGTCCGACAGAATTACGATATCATGGCGGTGCCCACAGCCGGTGTAGGTAAGGCTAAATTTTCGATTATCTAATGGTTATTTGAATTTGTTCATTTAACTGTAAGCTTAGTTTATATTTGTTTATACTCCTACATTCTTTGATTATTAATACAATGGTATCTTATAAATTGAAATTTGATAAAGTAAAAATATATTAAAGTGAATTTGTTTGACAGTTTTATTCTTCATTATTAAAATTTGAGATGTCACATTACTATTTTTTATAATTCAATTTACTTTATATAAAATGTATAATTAAATTATTTATTAATTTATTTATACTTTTAAACGCTTTTTTTATAGATAATGAATCATAACAAGAGAACTATCAAAACAATACATTTTTAAATGATTACTTTACAAAAAAAAAATCAATTATTCTAATTAATTGATTCACTATTTAACATGGTTAAACTTACACAATTAATTTTACATCAACTAAATAGGTGTTTTTTAAAAATTATTTTCTGCTTGATCAGATTTGATAAAAAATTTACCTGTATATATGTTTAGTGGTTCCTCGAAACTTTCGTTTATTGGAAGAATTAGAACAAGGACAGAAAGGCGTTGGAGATGGAACAATAAGTTGGGGTTTAGAAAATGATGATGACATGACTCTTACTCATTGGACTGGTATGATTATAGGACCGCCACGGGTAAATTTTAAAATTTTAATTATTTCATTGTTCTTTATTTAAAATATATTTTCTCCACAATAACGTAAAATCAATAATTATATTTTTTTTAGACACCATACGAAAATCGAATGTACAGTTTGAAGATAGATTGTGGTCAAAGATATCCGGATGATGCTCCTAGTGTTAGATTTTTAAGTAGAATCAACATGAATTGCATAAATAGTAATACTGGAGCGGTAATTTTTTCATTTAATTATTAATAAGTAACATATATATTCGACATATATTTGCTATTATTTATTAATCATAAATTAAGATATCAATTTATTGGAATAATTGAAAATAGATATAAATATATATCTTTTTTAATTAACTAAATTAACTTATTTATTATCGTAATTTATGAAAACACACAGAAAAACGTTTTAAGTGGAAAGTTAAATATCAATCAATAAAAAGTAATGAACCTTTATTGTCCAATTGCTTAAATGTTATGGGGCGTTTTACTTAAATTGTATTCCGTAGTTACTAAAAGAAAATTACAATTTTTTTTCCATACATAATAAGTTAATATTCAATATGTTTTTTTACGATAATTTTAATTTAATAAATAATTAAATTAATTTTAATTTTTTAATATAACTCATCATTAATATAATTATTGTTTATAATAGGTGGATAATCGAAGTGTGCCAATGCTGGCCAAATGGCAACGAGAATATACAATTAAAACCGTTCTGCAAGAATTACGTCGTTTGATGACACTTAAAGAAAATATGAAATTATCTCAACCTCCAGAAGGTAGTACTTTTTAGCCTACCAACAATGCGTCGCATTTTTCTTTATACAGCGACAGAAACAAATGTTAAAGATCACCAAGTGAATAATTATTTGTTGATCTTATTTCTCTTTTATCGAGAAAAGCAAGATCAATATAATTTTAAGTAAATATGGCACATTAATACATATATACATACAGAGTAAAATTGAACATCTTTTTTTGTATGAAGGGTAAAGACATATTTTCCACTTGCGGTAAATATATTTCAAGAAACACGTTTAAGTTATAAAATAAAATCGTAAATAATGTAATAAATAAATATATAGATGAAAATATATAAATATATACATGTATGCCTTTGGAAACTTTTCAATCGTCAATGATAGAGTATATTCCTTAAATTTAAGTAAATTATGTTATTTTGACGCTTAAACGTTTTCTTTATTATAATTAATTATTTAACGATTTGCCATTTTCAGTGAAATTAAAAAAATTATCTTAAAATAAATGTTACATAAATTAATTAAGCTAAAGATTTTTGACATATTTTGTCCAAAAATAACATAAAATTAATAAAAAATTTAACGCTGATAAATAAATAACGGTATGTTTTTAAATAACCTCACAAATGTACGTATAAAAAACAAAATATAAATAAAATAATAAGATATTTACGTAATAATAATTATTAAATATATTAAATTTTACTACATATTCTTCAATGAAATGAAGAACAGAATAAATTGAAAGAAAAAAAGATAACAGTCCAATAATATAAAAATAAAAATTTAATGTTAGTAAAAATGATTCGCATTTTTATATTTTTACGTTGTATTTCAAAACAAAATTTTAAGTATTGTTTAGTAATTAAAAAAAAAAAAAAATTATTATTATTTGAAATATCCGAAGTCAATTATGCATTCAAAAATTAACAATATATTAAATTTTATTTAAATAATAAATTATGGTACGAATTGCATAAATATTATTTATTTTATTTAATTTTTGATAAAAAAAGTATCATGATCGTGAATACGATTAATGGTGCTAAAAATAACTAATAATTTACAAGATTGTAATTCTTATTTTTTTAACGATTTATTAAAGATGATGTCACTTTGGCATCTATGTACATTGTACGAATTTATTCATACGGTGTAAATTAATAGATAAGGTATTGAGAATTATACTATTAGTGATTGACATTTAAATGCCATTTTCTCAATAACAATTAATTTCAAATAAGTCAAAGCCAAGTCATTTGGATTTAAATTATTAAAACTACATTTTTAATTATATCAGATTTTGTTTTCACATTACTATGTATATTTGAAATGATTTTTCGAGCTAAATTTCTTCAAATTGCATTACATTTCAATGTTTTTTGTTTTTTTTTTTCTTATCTTTCTTTTACTAATTCTTCGTTTTTGGAACAAATGCTAATTTTGTGGATTTAATTGTTGACCACTTATGTCTCTTCATCCAGGTAAGAAGTAATAGTAATGCTGAGCTGACTGCCATGAACTAGAATAAAAAATTTCTTGTTTATAACAGAATATTACAAATATTATTAAACATTTAATGATTTTTTTGTAATATCAGTTATTTAAATATTAATTAAAATTAAATTAAAAAATGATTTATTTATTTATTCTACTTTTAAATAGTCGTCTTAAAGACAAATAATCAAACTTTAATAAAAAAATGAATTACCTTAATGAACATACGCTTCCTCTCATCATGTTCACGATTTGATGTCCACATAAGGAACATAGTAATATCTTTAGCAACCTGTGAGGCCGTAGCAGGCGTACCATCTTCATATTCTAGTACTTCATCATAGATAGCCTTAATTCATAATAAACATTACTTATTTATACGATAAATTATAAATTTAGGTTTTACGAAAACATTGTGTATTATTACCTGAGCCATACCAATAGCTCCACCTGGAAAATATGGATTGAAATATTGACCATCTCTTAAATTCATCCCTGCTGGTGGATCACAATATCCAGTTAATAATGAGAAGATATAATTCTGGAATTAGACGATTATTTTATGTAAATACTATATCAATTGTATGTCCACAAATATAAAACCAATCAATTACTTCTCCACCGTGTCTGCCATTTAGGATATAGGAGAGATCAGGTGGATAAGCTCCATTATTAGCAGCTCGAGCCGCTTCCACATTTGGATACGGACTTGGAATAAAATCTGAAAGTTTTCCTGGTCTCTTGAAAAAATTTCCAACATCATCGGGTCCATCTTCAATCTGATTGCAAAATTCATTAGTAAAATAAATAATAATTATTATATATTAGTGAAAAATCGTTTGCCTTCATAAAAAATTATCAATAATAAATTTGAAATGATAGTATTGAAAGCATACATACTTGAACCTCTTCTGCGAGAGCTTTTGCCTCTGCTTCTGTGTGCGTAACATTAACTAATTGCCGATAAGCAACATACTTTAAACTATGACAAGCAGAACAAACATTCTTGTAAACTTCCCAACCTCGTCTCATACTAAAGTTATTAAATAAATATTAATATTATATTTATTATTATTAGTATTACTTTTATAAAATTAATAATAATAAAGTACCTAGCATGGTCTAATGAGCTTATAGGGCCATAAAAGGTCCATTCATAATGAGGTGGATGAGCAATAAGTTCAAAAGCTTTTACAGAATGTTCTAATGAATAAATTAAAGTTCCTGCACCACCAACTGCAATTCCTAAACATGCCATCATCTGAAATTAAAAAAAAAGTTATATTAAAAATTTTTAATTAGAATATACTAAATTGATCATTAAAGAGATTTTTAATAAACAAAAATATAATTTACCATAAAAATTTAGATGTTAAAGAATTATTTATATATTAAACTTACCGCTTTACGACCTCTGGACCAAACTCGTGCTGTTGAAAAATGATTTGCCTGAAAATATTCAACAAATTATTAATTTTTCATTATTTATTATATTTATATTTTATGGTATTGAGTATATTTTAAATAATTAATTGCTTTTAATAAAATATTAGAAATGGTATTACACATACAATTTTATTAATGCATATATTTTAAATACGTTTTATATTTTTTATTTGTATATCGTGGGGTTAGACTTAAATAATCATGGCAGATCTGAGTTTTACCTCTCAAAAACTATTACATAACATTTACGAATTCATCATGAAAAATATAGAATAAAAATATGAATTATAATTATTTAATACTACTTTCTATAAAATTGAATGTAAAAAAAATATTTATATTGTAATTTATAAAAAATAAAAATGTCATTAGACCGACTCTAGACATATAAGATAATGAGACTTTAGGCAAATAAGTTAGACGTGTTATTTTTTATAATTAAATAATGATAGATGCATAGAAAATCATGACCATATTGATGATTATTTTTGATAAATATTTTAAGTTTTAAAATATTTACCTGATTAAATAGGCCTGCATGACTAGGTTTTAAAAATCCAGATCGACAAATTCTACCAAATGATGCAGCCATCTTGGCCAGAGGTACAGAATGTAAAAAGGCCTTAGTCAACTAAACAACTTTATACAATAACTATTTTTTTTTATTTATAAATTCTCTCAAATATTTATTTAGAAAAAAATATTTATTTATAAACATATTCAATAAATTTTCTTTAGATATTTATGAATATTTTTTATCATATTTTGTCATTCACATGAAAACAGTTTATGAATTGACTTGAGCGTCTAAGAAATTCAGTCTTACCAATCGCACTTTGAAGTAAAATTTTTGCATATTTTAAATTTAATAATATTTGTTTTTAATTTTATTTTAATACTGTGCAAAATTATTCTTTTATAAATAAATTGAGTATTTATATTATATATATGAATTACTTATAGGTTATTTATAAAATAATCTTAATTCATCATAAGATGAAAATTAATAAACAAATTTTAATATTAACTTGTATGTTTGCGCTTTTTTTCGACACATGCGTACAATTATTCTATAAGTTTGGTAGCCCTGTGAAGAGTAGTAGGAAACGAGATTTCTTCGTGTCGAATATTCACGTCGTCAGAAAGTATCGTGAATCCTTTACCATCGCATCAATCGTTTGGGAAAGAAATATAATTTAAAATGGCTTCTGGAATGCCTGAATTAGGCTCAAAAATCAGCTTAATATCGAAAGCAGATATCCGTTATGAAGGAAGATTGTTTACTGTTGATCCACAAGAATGTACAATTGCTCTTGCTAATGGTAAGTTTTAAAACTGTCTAATTTTTCAAGATGGAGTATAATTCATCAGCATCACTACTCCATTTTTCCCGGCATTATCTTTGATAACTTTTTCTGTATAATTATTCCTTTCCTGTTTAATATCGATTTCATATTATTTTTTACAAGTCTTTATTTCAGAATAATTTTTTGTATTAAGATTGCAGCAATTACAAAATATGTAATACGTTTTTCTGGAAAATTTTATATTGCTTAACATATTACAAAGTAAAACAATACGATTTTTTTTGAGAGAAAAACATTAATCAAATTTCGTTATTTTTAATAAAGAAATACTTAAACTTTTATCTATTTTCGATTTCGAAAGCTCGATTAAATGTATTTCATTTCTTTGTTATCTTTCAATAATTAATTATTTTATTACTGATTAACATAATTTTTAACAAATAATTTATATAGATTTTGTATTTATTGATTACTTAACACATAAGTAATAAATTCATACAAGTAAATTATTAAATAAAAAAAAAAACATTGAATACTTGTATGCTGAATTTCGAAAATTCCGTTAAGAGTTGGAATTATCTACAAAAATAATTACCAAATATTTATTTGCCTTAGATTTTTCGTTGATAGTATCTGTTATTATTATTTTCATATAACAGTTTACTATTCCTATAAATGTATTAATACTTTGTTTACATTTCAATTCTCATACCTTTCAAGTAATTTAAGATAATGAATAACAGTTATGAGTAAAATGTATTTTCATTTTAATACTTTTTGTATGTAAATTTATATGAATGATTCCAATAATTGTCTTTATTTGTTTATTATATTTTTCTTTAAATGTTTATCCATAATTATTTATGTTAACAGTACGTTCCTTCGGGACAGAAGAACGAGAGACACAGTTTCCGGTAGCTCCTCAAAACCAAATATATGAATATATTCTCTTCAGAGGAACGGATATTAAAGATATTCGGGTAGTTAATAATGTTAACACTATGCCAAATGATCCTGCCATTGTTCAGGTAATGATGATATCAATAAAATATTATAGTATGAAATTATTTATTATCTAATTGATTATTAAATAAATTGGTGATTTTTCAGATGACTGTGCAACCACCAATGAATCAACAGTCTTATGCGCCACAACCTGGATATGGTCATCCAATGATGAATCAAGTAGGCCCAATGGGTGGACAATATGGACCTCATTACAGTATGCCGATGAGTTCTATGGGTCCAGTTATGGGAATGCAACCAGCAAGGGATCCACGTGGACCAATGACTAAACCCCCAAGTGAGTTGCCTTCGGGACCCGTCGAAACCAACGTCATCAATATCCCAAATTCACTACCGACGGCCAACGTCAAGCCGTTAACAAAAGATCAATCTCTGGAAGATGGTAAACTGTTTTTGCTATGAACACTATCGTCTGCCAATGGTGCATGTCTTCATCTGCTGCTTACTATCATACTCTATGCTTTTTCTTCTTTCATAGCATGAATGAGATTTGATATTTTTGGTTAATTCTCAATAATTTTGCACTTTTTCAATTATATCAATAATTTCTATTGTATGTTCAATAAAAAGCTTTTTTTTTCATTTCTATGCTTTTAATTATTGCACGACATTAATATCAAGTGCACCGATGTTAAACAATAGCAACAACAGTTGAAATTTTCAATATTGTCATTGAAAAAATTACTTTTATTAATAATCAAATAAAAATAAATTTTTAATTTATAATATTTAATTGTAGGTGTATTAGATTTAATTAGTGGCGGATCACGTTCTACAACTCCCACATCTTTATTATTAACGAGAAAAAGTCCGACAATTGATCAAGGGATTCAAGTTGGTCAGCAACAAAAGCAACAATCTATCGGAAAAGCTTCAGAAAAATCAAATAATCGCGCTGTTCAACCTCCACATCGTGAACGTGACAAGTAGTTATTTGTTATCATTTTTATAATATATATTGATTTATTATTATATTCCAAAATGGATATTTGTTATTCAATATTTTTTATATCTAATTTAATAAAAGTCTTTTTAGTATGGTTATAGTAAGTATAAAAATAATAGTAAACATTAAATTAAATAAAACAATCATTTTTTTTTAATGCAGTCAAAATCGGGTCCGGTCTGGTAGTGGAATGTCACATTACAGTGATAGTAAACGTGATGGAGGAAATCATGAAAATCAAGGGCATAATCAGCGACATCCTCGTGGAATGCAAGGATCTCGTGGAAATCGTGGATGGATTCCACGTGGAAATGTTGTTCGAGGAAGAGGGCGAGGACGTGGTATTTTTTCTCATCAACCGGGAAATACCGGAGGCAAGCCTAAGAACACTTTGAAATTTGACAATGATTATGATTTTGAACAAGCTAATACTGAATTTGAAGAATTGAGGTAAATACTTAATTTTTTTTTCTTTTTTATTTTAATATTGCATGCTTATATTTAATTATTATCATTAATTAATTGATAAAAGAAATGTTTAAAATCTAGCAGCATGATAATTTATATTTTTGTTTTATCGTTCAACTAAAACAATTAAATCAAGTATCATGCTAAAATTAAATAGTATGTATTTAAAGCCGTTTTTAAATAATTTAAAAATGGTTTACGCACTTACTGATAATTTAGATATTAATAAAAAAAAACTTGTTTTCACTAAATAATGAAGTTTATCTTAAAACGTGTATAACAAATAATTATTTTTTATTTATTTATTAATTTTAGATCTCGATTGGCAAAAACAAAACTCGAATCTGGAACTGATAATGAAAAAAAAGATGACAGTGGAAATGAAACAGGTGCTGGTGAAGGTGAACAAGAAGAAGAGCCTGAGATCATTCATTATGATAAAACAAAGTCTTTCTTTGACAATATAAGTTGTGAAGCTGTTGAAAGAAGTAAAGGGTCAGTATTAATTTTGTTTTATATATTTTATATATTATGAAAATGAGTTCAAAATTTTGAAAAATGACTTATTTAACAAAAAAAAAAAATTACATTTAATTCTTACCTTTATTGTAATTTATTTGATAATTAATTAACTTTCCCATAGAAGATCTCAACGTACAGATTGGCGGACAGAACGTAAATTGAATTCTGAAACATTTGGAGTAGCATCTACAAGACGAGGTGGTTTTCGTGTACGAGGTTACTATAATCGAATGGGTGGATATCGAGGAAATAATGTAGGTTCTGCTCAAATGAGTAGCTCCAATTCCGGATCTGGATATCGCGGTAATTATCGAGGAAATCGTGGAAATAATTCAAATAATCGTAAACGTGGACAAAACCAAAGTGGAACCACAGGACAAAATGGTCCAATAAACGAACAAAATACTAACCAATCTCAACAAAATCGTTTAGTTTCTGGCACTGCGTAAAAACTTTTTTCGTTTTATCTCATTCAATGGAAAAACAATAGTAATAATAAGAAAATTGATTATTTAACGAATTTTTCTATTTACTGAGTAATCTAACAACGCGATACTTTGTAAGTATTTATTAAGCTTAAGGTTTTTACGATATGTGGTGCCAGAAATGAAGAAATCTAAAAGAAATTTCCATAAAAAAAAAAAAAGAAAATTCATTTAAATGCAGTAGTATAATACTGTACAAAGTGAAGGGTTAGTTTTCAATGATTGTAATAGATGATAGAATTCATAATTAATCATATAAATTAATAAGAAAACTGCAGTTGAAGTGTCAGAAGAATATGCTTTGTCCATTTTTTCATATAATTAATTTTATTTTATTTACATTTTTCTTTTTTTCTCTTTTTATTTCATAATTATTATAACATTATAATGCATAATAAATGCGATGATAAACATGAAAACAAAAAAAAATTTTTTTTAGAAAAAATAATGAGATATAGATGTAAAATTGATGTTTTTTTCGTTAAATTATGGAAATTAAATGTAAACATAATAATCGATCACAAGTAATAAGATAAGATATATATATATATACAAGTCGGTTTTCTTCAGTATATATGTGACGTGAAATTAAAAAAAATACAAAATGTAAGAATTTTAGTAGAAAGATATTTTTTGGTTATGTTAAAAGGTATATAACGGTATCGACGGAAATTAATTTTATTGTTTAAAGTTACAAAAATGAGTCTGAAAGCTCATGTTTATATACACGATAATCATAATTTTAATGTAGTTATGAGCAAAAAAAAATGATATTTAAACAAGTGAATACATTTAGAATAAATATGCGCTTAAAAGATAAATAATGAGCGTTTGTAAGTGAACTTAATTAAATTCAAATAACAATTTGATTGCTCTCGTAAAGATTGCGTGTTAGTACGCAATAAAACGTTGACTGCACTAAACCGAACTTTGGTAATTTTTTGTTTTCTCATTATCAAATTATAAGTAGTATTAATTAATATTATACTTTATACGTTACATATATGTATGAAATGTAATAATGGAAGTGTAAAATAACAAAGAACATTCAAATTATAGAGATGTATTAAAAATAATATGATGAATTTTTTCGACCGTTTGATGTGAAAAATAAATAATTAATTTAAAAAATCATTGCCGGAACGATGAAGTGAAGAAATTAAAAAATATAACGATATATGAATCACTTTTCCATGTCGATTATTGAATTGACTGTACGATAAATAAAGTTCATATAAATTATAATAAAAATCAGTTTTATTCAATAAATGCATCATTTAGAATTTAAATCAATTTTTAATTTTTTTTTTTATGTTTAATAAGTATTATAAAAAAATGATACATTTTAATGTACAATCAAGCTGAAAAAAAAGATAAAATGATCAAATATTTAGTCTGCTTAATGTGTCTATTTTTATTTTTCAAAATATATACAAATATCTTTTATAATAATTTAAAGAAAGTCAATTTAATATTCATAATAATTAATACAAAATATTAAAAGACACAATTAATCGTGTGACTAAATTAAAAAAAAAAAGTTATCAAAATAATTGAATTACATGAATGATTTTATGAATTTAATGTACTGATTAAATTTTAACACTGATATTAATAATATTAAAATCAAGTGTTTTCAAGCACAACTTGTAAGTCTCGTTCTCATATCATCATGTAATCTTGAATTTTGTGTTGGTCGTCCTTTAATCGTGTGTAGAGTAGTTGTAGGAATAAAATTATTTTTATATTGCCTTCTTAATGTTTTATAATTCGGTGTATAAACTTCAAACGGTGACCGACCATTTTCTATCACCCAAATGCTCCCGGATGTACCACTTTTTAGAATAGACATCAATCCATCAGCTACTACATAAGGTCTATAAAAGAATATCAATAAACAATTAATATTGTTAAATATTTAAACTTTAAATATTCTATATGGAGATGGCGTACGTTTGAATTGATAAATTTTCCAAATTTTTAACAAAATCTGCTTTCATAATTCGAGAAAGTAAACGATTTGGGCTGTTAATTGTAAGTGCGGTTTCAGTTAAACCAGGACAAATTGCTATAACTCGAACTCCGGTTTTATTATAACGATAAGGTGCCTGAAAATAAATTATTGTTTTATATAAAAAATGTACTACAATAAATTATTTAATTATCTAAAATTACTTTTCTATTAAGCTAATTTTATGAAAATTTAGTTTTAAAATAATTCATAGTGTATGTATTATAGTATGTATACATATAAACTTACTCCAAGAGATTGTGAAAGACCGATGATGGCAAATTTGGTAGCAGTATAAATAGGAAGTTGAGCTGTTAATTTAAAATCAAAATATTGAGCAACATTTACAAGAATTCCACCATTTCCTTCGTGATCCTTCCCCATAAAACGTATTGCAAGAGTTGCCACTAACAACATTCCATTCTAATTAACATATTAAATGATAAATATAATAAGTCGTAAGACGTAATAATAATTATTTAGATTTACCATATTAATAGAAATTTCTTTTTCCCATCGTCGTTCATCCAAAATTCCAGCATTATTAATAACTATATCAATGCTATCCATTAATGATGATAATTGTGTAAAAGAATCTACATCAATAATTATATTTTATATAAAAGAACATTGATAAAAATAATTCATGAAAAGTTTATAAAAAATATATTTACCCAAAATTTGTGAATAATTTGACGTATCTGCATTAATAAAAATAATTCTATCTTCTCCATATGATTTACTTACAGCACTTACAGCTTGTTTTCCAGCTTCTTCATCAACGTCTATAATTGCAACTTTCTAACAAAATAATTATTAATAAAAATTCAAATTTTTTTGACAATTAATATATGTTAATATATACTTTAGCTCCATGTTGAAGAAAATGATTTACAAATGAGTATCCAAGACCTGAAGCTCCACCAGTTATTATCACATTTTTACCACAAACTAGTCCTTTAATTATTGCAAGTTCACGTGCTTTTTCTTCAGCAGACGATCGTCGACCTTTACGATTTTGTATTTCAATAACTATGAAAACAAATTTTATGTACACATCCTAATTCTGTAATATTTTGTTTCAAAGATATCATAAATATTTATCAATAACGTACCCATTGTGTTAATAAAAACAATTAAAGAATTATTATTATTATTATCTTGCGATTCGTCAATGAATGTCTAGCCAGGAATCCCAAGGCTTATTATTATTATTTTTATAGTTATTATTATTATAGTTATTGTATAAAGAAAGAGGAAAGAATAATAAAAAAAATTAACTAAAACTTGAACAGGAATATATGTTTCCAAGTCGATTTGTTCGTAAAACTGATCAAATTGAATGTTCGATGGTACTTTATATTTATACTAAACTGATCGAAGCTACGTAATAAAATTCACACGCGTCTTTATCTTATCAACACTTTCGTTGACTACATTTCATAAAAGACACTATTGCACGTGTGCATATTATTATGGAGGGGAAGGTCATGATATTTCGTGATATAAGAAATTTTTTAAAATTATAATTGGAGTTTAAATTCACCAGACAAAGATTTACATGATTAATTTTTATATTTATTTATATATTTTTATATAATAGTTTGAATGAGCTTTATTGTTAAATTATCATAAAAATGAAAGAAAATATAATATATTTAAAACTATTTAATATTAACTTTTATGAATGGATTATTTAAATATATAATAATGTTATAGAAATTTTAATATTTATTACATATTAATATTTTATAATAAAATGTTTAATTAATAGAACAAATATTATATTAAATTTTTATAGTTTTAAATTGTATCAGTAATAATTATAGTTACTGATAGTGGATTCAAAGTTCAAAAGAAAACTGCTTTAAACTGCTTAATTGATCTCGATGTTTCTCTAAATATAATTTTTATATACATATCATTGCTATGTGCGTCGAAGAAAAGTTTAAAAAAAATAAAAATAAAAAATAAATCTTCTATCAGCCACGCGACTTATTTCCCTTCTCTCAACTTGTTGGCACGAGGACACTGCAAGTATAAAACTTTTCTGAAATGCAAACCGGGAAACGACTCTGATAAATGTAGAGTAATAAACAATAATTCTACCATTACTTATTATCGGAAATAATAATTATTAGCTTTAATATAATAGGACACATTTTACTTTGTTTATACAAAAAAAAAAAAACAATGTTATATCATTTATAAAATTACCCTTTTTTTCATTTTAAAAATATTACATTTTATTTATTATCATATCTGTAAATGTTAATAATCATGTTTTATTTTATTTTTATATTATTATTCAACCTCTAAAATTTTTAAAATTACCAAATATATTAAAGATCTCTTAAGAATTATCTCGTACAGACGATTTTTTGTAGGAAAAATTAATTTTTTCAATTAAACGATTAATCAATATATATTTATAAATGTATTATTATACATATGATAGATATTTTACCTTGATAAAACTATTTTTTGAGCGAAACATTATTCATTTATTTATTACTTATTATATTAAATGAATAATGATAAGTAAAATTGGATAAATATCATTCAATGCATTCGAAATTTAAAAGTTCACTTTCATCTTGTTTTTGCGGAAGTACATCTGGAAGTTGTATTTCATATACTGGTTGACCATTTTCACTGATCCATATGCTGCCGTTTTGAGCACATCTTATTAAATACATTAAACCATGAGCAACAGTTTCCGCTCTAAAAAGATAATTTAATTTAAAATTTCATAATAATATACATAAATATAATTAAATAAAATAAAAAAGAATACTTTTGAGGCAAAATAATGACTGATTCATTTTCTAATTTCTCTAACGTAGTTTCAACGTTTTTTTCAAGTTCTTCAGAAAATCCTGGGCAGTACATAACAATTTTTACTCCTGTTTTATTATAATGATATGGTTGCTAAATAGATAACAAAAAGATATATTTATATAGATAATTGAAGTTTTAATATAATTGATAGTAAAAAAATTTTTAAAACTTACCGAAAATGAACGACTAAAACTTAAAACTGCTTGCTTAGCAGATGAATAAATTGGTAATTGTGGAATAGTTTTAAGACCAAATATTGTTGTTATATTTACAATAATTCCACCTTTGCCACCTAAATCTTTCTCCATTTGTTGAACACCCAATAAAGTACTTCGAATGACAGCTGTCTGATAATTTATCATTTAAAATAAATCAAAATTTTAATAATCATAGTTAATATTACCAATTGTATTATCATAAATACATAAAAAATAATCAACATATAAATATTATCTTTACAATGTACTTACGACATTTACATCAATAGATTTCGTTATATCAGTCTCGTCAATTAAATCTGCATTATTAATCAAAATATCAAGCCCTCCTAAACACCTGACAGTTTCTTTAAAAATTGCTAAAAAAAAATACATTTATATGTATATATATAAATAAATAAATTTAATTATTTAAATGTTTTTTTCAAAATGATACCATCAAAATCTGAACTGTTTGATAAATCACATAAAACAAATGTAACCTTTTTTTGACCAAATTCTTCATTCAATTGATTAAGAGTATTTTCTTGATTATCTCCATTTCCTATTATTACAACAGTCTGTTAAAAAATAAAAATAATTTAAATTTATTAAGATAAAACTCTAAAACATATGTTAATTATCATATGAATCGAATATGAAAAAAAAGAGAAAATAAAAGTGTAAATTACAATGATAAGAAAACAAATAATTTGTACATCTTATTAATAAATAAATTTGTTAAAATAAGTAAATAATTAAAACTCACTGCAGCACCATTTCGAAGTAACTCTCGACAAAAATGAATTCCAAAACGGCCAATAGCTCCAACAATAATGGCTTTTTTATCTTTTATTTGCATTATTTGTTTTATTAATTAAATACAAATTTAAATAAAATTAATTTAATTACAAATAATTATTCTTTAATGATGTTGTATAGATTTTCAAATTCAAACTAATATAAGCTGTGTAACTTGCAGATGTTTACTATAACTTGAATTCATATAGTGCGATATTATTTAAATTGTTTTTTTGATCTCTTGAACCATTTGACCTTTTCTTATTTTCATCATATTTATTTATTAATCACTAAAATTATTTCTTATTATGAATATGAAAGTATATTATAATTTGTACAACATTATTTATCATTAGAGTTTCTGAATTTTGATGAAAATTATATTTTATTACGTATGCTAATAAAATGATTAAAAAACAATTTTAAACAATGAAAATTTTGAAATATTTTAAAATGTAAAAAGGATACCTAAAAGTATATGAAGGTTTATGAGTAGATACAATATATTAATATACATAATTAATTGTTTTGGTTACATTTAATTGTTTTTTTTTTCTTCTTCTTCTTATAATAGTATAGAGAGAATGAATACTGTGATGATAAATTCAAGAGTAGAATAAGATAAATTTTTTACGGTTGTAATGTTGTTAGAAATGCTGAACAATTTTCCCATGTTGGTAGACATTGTCCAAAAGCTTCTAATAATAATGGTTCTTCTTTGATTACAGTTTGGTAATCTTGAAAAGAAATCTTTCCATCATGATCAACATCTAATCTTTTTAAAACAAGTTCAGATAAATCTCTAACTCCTTCATCAGGATCTTCTTCACCAGGTTGTTTTATTAAACAATTTCTAAAAATAATCATAATAATCAGTATTTATAGCAATAATTTCAAATTATAACGATTTTTGTAAAATTTACTTAAACAATTGAAACATTTCATCTTTAGTTATAAATCCATCACCATTCAAGTCATAAACTTTGAAACAAAATTCCATTTTTTCTTTTAAATTTCCTTTGAGAAAAACATCTAATCCTATTATCCATGATTCCAATCTGATAGCACCTTCACATTCACGATCCCAACAACAAAACATTCGTTCTATCAAAGTATCCTCAGTAATGATATCAAATGTATTATGAAGTAATTCACGAAAAATCGTTCTATCAATACCCTAAATAAATAATAAAATAGTTTAATTTCGTATTAATCTCTTTTAACCCATTAGAAGTCACTGTACTCGATCGAGTACAGCTATATTTTGAAGTGTCAATTACAGATCTCGAAAAGTTTACTTGGGTTACCTAATTAGTTGAGTTTATTATAACCTTTTTCAATTATATTCAACATAATTACAAGGGATTTTTTTTTCTGAATTATGCCTTTCTAATTACAATATAAAAATAAAGTAAATTTAGTATAAATATCGGTACTTTTTATTTGACCTCTAATGGGTTAAATTAATTATCAACTTACCAACCTCAATAGTTTGAACAATTTGTGGTGCACCTCTAGCTAATACAGTTATTCCAGTTTTTTGGCCGGGAATAGAAGTTAATTTTTTATAAATTTTACAAAGTGTTTCTAATTCAAATTTTGAAAATTTCGTTTTTTTCTTCAATAATTCAATCATTTTAGCATGTTGGGCTTTCATACTGACACCCTCAGTAATGTATCTATATTTTTTTTTTTTAACTAAATCACTTGTTGGCTTTTTTAAATGTATTAGAGTCTTTCGTCCACACGTGAAGAAAAGCGAAATGCTTCTCATAACTATTGCACCAGTAAGTGCACTCATGGGAATTCGATTTGTTAAAGCGCCGACGTCGAATAAATTTTCCCCACCATTTTTATGTAATTTGTTTAAATTTTTTGTCAGTGTTATCTCTTTTTGTTCAGTCATTTTTTACAATTTTTTATCTTTTTAGATTGAGCGTATAATAAAAATTTTTATGCAATTAATTCATTTGAAATAATCGTTGATTTAATCATTTCTGTAATAAGTGATCATTGTTATACATATGAATCTATAATTTAGGAAATTGTTTTTTATTTCTTTCTTACAAATTATTTTATTAATTAAATTGATTCTTTTTTTATAGATAAATTAAAATACATTTTACAATCATGCCATATCTTTTACTTAAAATTTTATGTATGCTTATAAAATGTTATGTCTCTCAAAGATATATTTTTATAATAATAAAAAAAATAAAAATAACTTATTTATTTAGGTATATTAATTTTATTTATTTACTTTTTCGAAAATAACGTATTCAGTCACGAATTATTTTTTATTTTTTATTTATTATTACTATTGTAAACGAAAATATAAATTTTCACTCAGTTAAATGCAAATTTTTGTCAATAAAAATTAAGACAAAATAAAATATTCTTAGATAAGAAATAATTTTTACAATTAAAAGTTAAAGGTGTATATATGTACGTAGTTTATAAAATCAATTTGGTATGTATACATATATTGTGTACTATGTAATATGATACACGTAATAAGGGAGATATTTTATCATTCAACTTCAAATTAAACTCTATTTGCTCAACTAAAAATCATTATTTGATAACCTTTAATTTTTATTTGTATACAACGTATAATAAATAAGTAATAGAATTATACTATTGAAAATAACTCACCTTTTTTCATTCACAAATACCAAATATCAGTGATTTTTTAACAATCTTGTTGTCCTCAACAACTCGGTACCATTGATCAAACAATCAACTAAATGATTACATATTTATTTAAGTCACTCCCTCGAATTTATTTGAGAATTTTCAGTTGTTTTAAATATATTTATTTTTTTTCGCGCGATATTTGAATAAAATAAAATAATATATACATATGTTATATATTTATTCATATTTATAGGCATTTTATAATATGAATAATCCTTATTATCTCATACATACTTGAAAAATGACATTGTAATAGTTATAATGACAATAATTGGTTTTATTTCTTTGATATATTTGTCAAATATTGAATTGAAAATTGTGAAAGATTTGATAGGCGTTTTTTTTTTAATTTTTTATCTACTTGTTTTTCAATCAAAAGTATAATAAAACCTAAAATGATATTAATAATTATCAAAACTAAAAGCGGCATAATATCTATTATTTGAACGGCTTCCCATAATTCATTTTCCTGTTAAAAAATAAAATAATTAGAATTTAATTAAAATTTCAAATAATAATTATTATCTTTTAGTTAAATTATTTATTTTCAAAAAGTTAAATTATATATTATTATTTAATATATAAATTTATTTAGTAATGAATAATTTAACTCAATTATTTCTATAATTATAATTAAAATAATAACAATCTTACAGATTGAGCTGATATTTTTGTTGCTCCTTTAATAATCCTATTGAGAATACCATGTTTTTTCATACGAGCAATACTAAAAATCAAATATAATATTTATAATAAAAATAAAATTAATTATACATACAATTATATAATATTTATGATAATTTTACTGGTAATTAAATAATTCCCGAAATGGATTATGTTGGTTGAATCCAATACCCTTTGAAATTCTCATAACTGCTTTTGAAGTAATTAATGTACAATTTTTAATATTAAATACAAAACCAGAATATTTAGGTGCTATAAAGGCGTATTTTTTCTGCCAACATATACGATTGATTCCTTCACGGACAGTTGTTGTTATAGCATTGTATTTAATTGCAGTATTGTAAATTTTTTTCATTATTGAATCATTAGAAACCTAGAATAAATTTTTTTTTATTTAGAATAATTGTTTATAATAATATCATTTTTTTCAAATAATTACTTTAAATAATTCATTGAAAATAGACGATTCAACAAATCCCATCGTATAAGTTGCATCCTGATGAAAACCTTGTAAAGTTCTGAAAGGAGCTTTGAAATCACTGACAGTTAAACTACTTATTAAAAGAGCTGCATAAGCTGCAAATATAATTGTTGCAGTAAGATGAAGTGTAATATGAATAATAAAAACTGAATTTACAAATGACCGACGAATAGCTGAAAAAAATATTTTTAATTTTGTTAAGACATTTAATTAGATAAATTTAATTTAGTTTTCACCTTGTCCACAAAATGCTCCATATATAACAAAAATATTATCTGATATAAAGCATGACTCTCGATTCCGAATTAACATTTGATTATTAACTCGTTTATGAAATAACAAAATAAAAGTGACGATACTACTGGTAATTATTATAAGACAAATAATTATAATCCAAATATCTTTTTTAAATGGCTTTAAAAATTTTTTCCATTCAACATCTTCTTTAATTGGTTTTTTAAAAAAAAAACAATCACTGAAAATTAAAATTTCCATTAATACAAATAAAATATTAATTATTGTATAATTTATTTGCAAGACAGTAATAAAGTATTGTCTTACTCTGAAAAGAAAAGAGGTATAGTGAAATCTATAGCTTCTTTTCTTGATGATGTCATTCCAATACTTGATGCAAAAATGTCTGATACATTATTTACTAAATCAGCTATGCCTCCTGTCCAAGATCCGTTATTTAAACGAATTCCATATTCTCTTGTAAATCGATAAGTAATTCTTAATGGGGAGGGGGAGGGAGAATAAAGTAATTTCAATAAAATACGATAAATTATTTGAGTTTTAACGAATAATATTTCATAAAATGAAATATATTCAATAATATTCTAGTATTTGTAAAATTTAATTATTTTTACTCAATTATTTAAATGAAATTCTCTTACGTAAAATTGAGTTCTTTCTTCAAATGTTCCATTACTTTACCAATAATTCCATCTAATTGAATTTCATGATTTTGAGTATTAGATAAAAATGTATAAGGTGAATCCTTAAAAAATAATTTTTTTGTTTTATAATATTTTAAATCTAATTTTATATCAATAGAAAATTTGATTCAGGATAATAATATTTTACCAATACTGTTGATACTCGAAAATGAAAACCAAAAAGATTATTACGTCGTTGATATAAGTTAGTTTTAGAAAATTGAATTCCATTATCTAAATTCCAGTGAGCTAAAATATTTTTTCTAAGTCTATCATCTTTACTTATTTGATAGATCTCTGTAATAACTTCAGAATTGTCGGAATTAGTAATTGACACCAAACAATTACTATTAAATGGTATATAGGTTTTTAAAAAAAATTCATCCATAGTAATTTTATTATCAAGAAAAAAAAGCCATTTAGGCCTAGATATGTCAAGTGACGAGACTAGAAGCTGCAATTAATATATATGTAATGATAAAAAACAAATCTATACATATTTACGATATGTTTAAACTAAATTATTTTATAAAATAATAATGATAATGATTTAATAGAATTATTTGAAAATTAAATAAATATTTACATCATGAAATAATGATTTGTCTTCATCAGAATCATTGAGTAATACAAATAGTGATTTTCGCAAATATTTTTTCATTGTTTTCATTTTTAAAGACTGTAAAATATTAATTTATTTAATTATATAATTTTAATAATAATTAAAATTTTTTAATTATAATTATTAGTAATATTCACTTTCACTTACCAACTGATCAGAGAACATTGTAATGTCAATGATGTTGGTGTAAATCAAATTTTTATTGAAATAAAGTTGAAGATTAATTAATCGAGTAGTAATTTCGACATCTAAGAAAAAATATATTTCAATTTACCATTGATTGATTGTCATAAATAATAATAATTTTAATAATAACATTACCAAAAGCTGTTTCATTTCTTGGAGAAGCATAAAATATAAAAATATAATCACACTGATAGTATTTCTGAATATCATTGATAACATGCTTATAGACATTATTGGATCGAATAAACAAACTACTAATTAGTCTAATTAAAACTACCAAAAATACTAGTATATATTGAAATTTCATTTGACTAAATATAAATATTAATTATTCTTTGGATTATTTGGTTTACGTTTTAGAAATATATTTAACTAAAGAATAGAATAACTTTTCAACAATAAATAACAGTAACAAAAATAAAATAATATAAAACATTTTATAATAAATGGAAAGTAACGGCAAATATCTGCATGATAAAATAAATTTTTCAATGCTTTTAATATTATCTGTATCGCAATTTGAAATCACATTTACTCAATATGATCATCACATAGAATGAAAAAAAAACAAAAAAAACCAAAAAACAATGTTTCTATTAAAAAGTTAATGCATTTTTAAAAGTTATAAAGATCTTGTTAGATAATAATAATAATATGTTCTCGATTATTGCGATTCAATAAAAAAACTTTACTTTTTTAGCATGAAAAAGATCATGTGTCATTTAAGTAATTCTTTGAATAGAAGCTATATTATAATAAAATAATATTTCAAGAATAATGATGATAATCATCAATTTCACAATAAAAGAGAATAAAAATAATTTATTCCATTTCTAGAAAATACTTTTCAGAGTCATTATTATTATTATTATTACTATTAATATTTTAATGTGATCACTCAGTTGTTACAACTGGCCATTACCCTACTGTCTTCAGGTTTTACCAAAATTATTTTCATCGAGATTATTCTCAAATTAAACTATTCACATTATCATTAATAAGCATTTAAAAAAAAAAAATTTTTAATTATTTATATTTAGTACACTGAATTATTAATAAGCAAGTATTAATAAATTCATATACAAACACTATTTGATTGTTTTTCTTTGGTACTATTTATAAATTATTCAATCAATAATAACTAGCTTACTGAACGAAACTTAATATGATCTTTCAATTGTATGTCATTATATCTCATATTATCATTATTTTTACATTTATAGTTACTTTTGCTTTATATACACAAAACAAACTCAATACTCAAGTGAACGTATACTCTGAAATAGATAATGGTGATGGTGATTACCTCAATCATGAAACTTATAAAATTAAAATAGAAAAAATTAAAAGATTTCTCCATGCTGATAAAACATTTGAAACTTCTACAATTAATCTTGCCAGGGATTATTCTTTTGATCATACTAAAATTCCACATAAAGATTTTATTAATTGGGAAACTCAGGAGGACATTTTTTTAACATTATGTGATTTTGGTATTCAATTATTAAAATATTATACAACATATAAAACAAGTGAAATGAAATTACTCATTGTTACTGACATATTAAAAAGAATAAAAATAAAAATAGACGACAATGTTTCAAAATATCTTAATAAATGGATCACATGGCATAGAGGTTTAAGCTATTTATTAAAACTATTAGCGATATATGAATATGTAGCACATGATAACTTTGTAAAACATTTTATTTGTCATGATTTAATAGTTAAAATTATACCAAAACTAGATCAATTATTTGATATAAAAATTAATGACGAAAAAATAATACTTTTCGCAATTCCCAGATTATTAAGTAATTTTCTATTTGACCCAACAGCATATGAAAATGATATCAAGAGTAATGAATTCAAGACACTTGATAAATATTTTTGTATTGAATATAATCTATCAGATGATATTAAAACAGGATTATATAGCGATGGATCTTGTATTAAAGATAATTCGGTAGTTAGTTATCTTGATTTACTACCTTTGGTTAGAAAAAGAGATGCATTTTATGATAAAATGTATACTGCACTTGGCTTCAAAGTTAATTATCGAGAACGAGTACAATTTATTCTTAAAAAATTATTACATCCATCTATTAAATATCATATAGTAGGTTTATTTGGAAATTCATCAAATAAAATACAAATTCCAGATTGGTGGAATTTAGAATTACTTGAAACAGGTGTTCATATATTTCCATTCACTGGTATAGGAATTTTTAAAAGACATAATATCCTTTTTGCCATTCGACTCCATCAGTTATCTATTAATTCTCCTGTAAAAAATAAATTCACTTTAGGTTTAATGCAATTACGGAAAATTTATCAATTAGATGACAATGAAGAATCAGAACTTTCTGAGGAACAAATTATCCATGAACTGGGAGTTATTAGAATTAAAGGAACTGATACTCAAGATATCTATAAATGTATTCCAAAGGAATCGTATATTGGCAAACTACTTGATATTAATTTATTATTTTGGATAAATAAATATACATTGTTATTGCCATATAAGTGCGAGGTAACTGAAATTGGAGTAATGACCAACGGTGGCTTAGTATCAAAATATCAAATTAAAAATAATGAAAATGATCGATCATTAATATTTGTTAGTACAAATACTCATAATAAAAAAATAGAAAATGTTATAAATCCTGGGGTTACTAGTACTTTCTCGATAAAAATTATACTTGATGATAATGAAACTGTCACAAACGTAGATTTTCAATCTGATAAATTAATGGAATTTGAATATCATAGAAAAAAATATGAATTAATATCATTAGATCATCAAAATTCTTATATTGTCAAATGTGAAAATAAACCAATTATTGGTGGTACTTCTAGTAGTAATCCATTTGATTTTATGATTTACGACAATCAAATATTTAAACGATATTCATCCTTCATGTATGAACCGACAATTAGCACACACAAAATGAATGAGTAATCAAAAGAACGAAGAGAAAAGTATTTTTAAATTCTTAGAATAAGTTGTTTTATGAACAACATTCAATAAGAAACTGAAGGAATCATCGACCCTAACCTAGAGACACTGAGTCTTCTGAAATTTATAAATTGGAAAACGATTTTCTTTTCAAAGATATAGATTTTATACGAATCTGTGATTACTACAAAATATTTTTTTATCAATATTTGACAGTATATTATTGAGATCACTTCATATTTACCAAATTTTTGACTTTCAATAGAAAAAAAAGGTTACCCAATCCTCCGAAAGGGTGCATTACGAGTTTCTCTATACGGCCGTAAAGCGCTGCAAGCGCTTACTAGTCTCTCTTCTCTATATGTCCACATCTATAATGCTTAAATCTGTAAAATTAATTTTAATTCTTTATCCACAACCAAAATGTCTCTTTAACTTTATTTGTCAATTTATTTTTTAAAAACCATTATTGGAAAATTGTGTTTAAAGCTAAAAAAGTATCTGTTATATTATTTTTGGTGTAATATGAAGAAGAAGTTTAACCTATAAAGATATCTTGGAGAATACATACAGTGAATTATCATAAAACATTAGCACTTGGTGACATATTACTATCCATTGAATGGAAAAAATATTGATAGAGAAACACAATTTAATAAATTTTTCATATGAATTTTCGTCCAATTTCATAATTATTTGATTCAAATAATGTTACATCCTTTCTACTAAAAAGTATCTGAACTTTTCTTAAAAATTTCTTTTTTTTTTTTTGTTTTTTACAATTTAAACAAAATTATTTTGTCTTTTTTACAAAGTTATAAATTTATAGTATTTAATAAATTTAGTTAACGAAAATGAATACTAAACACGTAGATACTGTTGAAAGTGGAGAGGATGTAAATAATTTTCGCAGTTGTAGAGATCTTAGTGACATAATTCCATTATATTCAGCTAAAGGTCTTTATTTAAAACCAATTGCTAAAATAAATATATCCGTCAATCTTCCCCAACTAAAGACACCAGGTAAAAGGTCAAAAAATAATTTTTCTAAATACTTTTATTTTAAGAATGAAATAAAAAAGACAAAACTTAAACTTGATAAACTACATGCTTTCATATAACATAATTTCTAATCTACATTGAATAACAACAAATCTTTTATTATTTCCTGAGTAAATTGATAATTGAAAATTTTACCAAATAAACATTTATTATTGAATCAGTAATTTGAATAAATATTTATTATTTTGCAATGTTATAATTTATAAATAACAAAAAATAAAAGAAACTATTGTGTCAAATGATCAATAAATAAAAGTCATCGATTCAATTATTATTTTTATTTGGTAATCTATGAATACAGTAGGTTTTACAGCACATTACTACAATATCAATAGGAAAAACACTATCAACATGGGAAATTATGGAGAAGATACGACTACTTGTACGTCCCGACGAATTTGCATCATTGAAAGTGACCAAAAGTACATTAGAATTTTTGAGATTGGAAGCCGATTTAACAGACAAATGCCGACTTGCACAAGTTATAGCACGATTAGAAGGTCAACGCTTAAATCTCACTGGTTTCGTCAACGTTTTAAAAGTTCGAGCTGTAGAAACCAAGGATGATTTTCCAACAAAACATACCTGGGATTCATTTTTTCGAGATGCGAAACATATGAATGAACTCAAGCCTGGAGAAAGGCCTGATACCGTTCATATCAGTGGACTTCCTATAAAATGGTTTAGTGAAAATGATGAAAAAATCCCAAGTGAATCAATAATTATGAATATTTTCAAAAAATGGGGTAATGTGAGAAGAATTGATATCCCTGTTGCTGATCCATACAGACCAAGGATGAAATTAAGTAACGGTATTCAAAAATACAACTTTGGTAATGAATTATTTTTCGATGTTTACATTCAATATTATGAATATGTTGATTTTGTTAAACTTATGGATTCACTTCGAGGAATGAAAATTTTGAAAAAGAGTGGCGATAAATATTTTACGACACTAATAAAGGTAACTTTCATTTTTCATATTATTTATATGCTAAGCTGCCATTTAAATATTTTTTATTAAAAAACATAATTTTAGGTTGATTTTGATAAATCAAAACATATGAGTGATAATTCTGTATCGTATCGTGATTTTGAAAGAAAACGACTGATTGCACAGGACAATTTAGCTTCTGAAAAATTAAGAAAGAAGGAAGAAGCCGAAGCGAAATTAAAAGAAAAACAAAAGTAAGAAAAATTTTATTTAAAATGTTACGTAACAGTTATTAAAATTAAAATGGTTTAATGTCTAAATTGAAAATTCTATCAATTATTTATTATAATTTCAAGTGAGTTATTGATGAAATTAATTTTGTAGAAAAAAAGAAGCAGCTGATAAAGAAGCAAAATATGAACGAAGAAAAAAAAGAGAAGAGAAAAGAAAAAGAAAGGCTTTAACAAAGTTTAGAAAACAGGAAGAAGATAAGGTTTCTATGAAAATTGCAAGAGAAGAACAAAAATTGATAAAAGCTCAAAGACAATTAGAAAGTATTAGATTATTGGATGAATTATTCGATAGAATTAAAGTACGTCACTAATCACAACTGTATAATTAATAAATTACGTAAAATGATAGAGATATATATAAATATTTTTTTCCATTTTAGATTAAAGTAGAAAAAGGAGAAATCATTTTAGGCGATAAAACTTCATCTAATAAAGATTTTATAGAACAAAAATTTGAAAAAGTTATAAATAATAATGACAAAGTTACAGGAAAAAAAGATAAAAAATCGAAGAAAAAAAAATCAAAAACAGAAAAAAAAAAGAAAGTATGTAATTTTTAAATCAATCTTTACAATTTTTCGAAATTTCATATTCTTTGCCATCTATATGTCAATTTTTTTCAGAAAAAAGGAAAAAAAAATTCTAATAATCCAAGTGATGATTCTAGTACTGAAGAAAGTAGTAAAAAAAATATAGGTATTCCAGGAACCAGTACATCTACTTCTTTCACAGGTGATAAATATGTTGATTTTTTTTTTATATTAATTACATAATTTTATTATATTTTTAGTAAGACTTTGATATAAGAATTGATAAAATTTAATCATTAGACCATAAGAAGATAAAATTAATATAATTAATGCTTTTTATATAGGCACATCTGGAGTGGGTCCAAATCTTGGTTTTCCATTATATTCACAATTTCCTCAACCTTGGTTTTACGATGCAGCAGCTATGATGTTTCCTCCTATGACACGAGGAAGAAGCTCTATGAATCGATACATGCGTGGAAGAGGTAGAATTGCATTTTCTGGCAGAAGAGGACGTGGATTACGTTCAGTGAATCTTTTTAATCCTCATGTGTACAATGAACAATACTATAAATATTTTGCAAGATTAGCAGGCGTTGATACTTATGATAGTGAATATTCAAGTTCAAGATCTCGAAGTCGAGATAGATCAAAATCACGATCAAGATCGAGATCAAAAAGTAATAAAAAAATTAAAAAACGTAAAAATGTAAGTAGAAGTCACAGTTCAAGTCCACGTAGATCAAGATTGAGAAGACATAGAAGGACAACTTCAAGATCTAGTACAAGATCTCGATCTCGATCTCGATATGTCAAGTCAAGAAGCTCTAGATCTCTATCACAATCTAGATCTAGATCAAGATCTAGGAGTAATTCAACATTAAAAAGCAATAGAAGAAAACGAAGTCGATCGAAAGTAAGAATTACAAGAGCAAAATCAAGATCTCTAACTCCTAAAAAACGATCACGAAGTAAATCATGGTCAATGCCAAAATCACCACGACAAAGAAAGTGTTCATGGTCTAAAGTAGTAGATGATGTGGATCAAAATATAAAAGATACAGTTGTAACTAATAAATAAGTTATATATTTTTTTTGTAATTAATTTTGTATATTACAATAATTGTGTAAAATAAATATTTCATATTTATATAATGTTTTATATAAAAAATTTGAAATCTGGTCATAAATGATTAATTCAATAATATAAATAAAATTAAAAAAAAAACGAATTTATTTGTAAATATTTTTCAATATATTTCATTATAAAAATTAAAAAATTCATAATTTATTGTTTCTTGAGTGAATAATTTTTCATTACTAACAAAAAATCAGTAAACAAACAATATTGGGCCATTATGTATGTCTAATAAATTATGATAAATTGTTAATCAGCCAATTTCATTAATTACAATTACATATGAAATAAAAATTGGCTTTATTTAAGAAAAAAAATTAAAAATTAATTGCAATATTTAGAAAGTTTACTTATATAAATATCTGTATTCGATTATAAACTATCAAAAGTTCAGTCTTTCTCTGATTACAGAGATTGACATTCAAAACATGAACATGCAGCTGGAACATAAATTTTTTTTGGCAACATTTGTTTATCTTCACATATGAGATTGATATTAATCTCTTTCATTTTTGTTGGTTTACAACATTGACAATTTATTTCCTGAATACCAGTTGCTAGAAAAAATGAATCAAGAATACACATAAAAATGACTTACATATTGAAACAAAAACAATAATATAATTAAAACAAACTTACAAGAATTAAAATATGTAGATGAACTACATGTTCCATGGCACTCAGTAATTCCATCAATTGCTTGAAAATTATGACATATTCCGTGTTTTCCTCTTTTTTCAGATATTATTCCTATTGTTGAATCTGGTTCAAGGACTTCAACCAGACAAAGTTCTAGAACAAAAGACATATAATTTATTTAAAAAAAAATGTCACAATAAAACGTAGAAACTACTATAGTATAAACTATATATTTTTATTACTTTGATAATTTGATATTGTCGCATTGCATATATCACAGCATCCATTATTATAAATATTTTCCAACGGACATGATGAAACATCTTGACATACCGGCAAACTTACACTGACAATAAACTGTAAATATGAATTGATTATATTAGAATTTAATTATCGATCAAATTAGGATTAATACACTCATTATTATCGATTTAAAAAATTATTGACATTAAATTTTTTACCTGATCATTATGATATTGACATTCGTATCTTGTACAATTATCTTTTGAAAACCAGATTGAATGAGGTTTATATAATATACCTTCATACACACAAAATAATTGTTTACATTTTCCACAACATTGTCCTTCTTCAGGATTTTGATATTCCCAGCCCTTACAGTATGATTTTTTATAATATTTTCATTCCATTTAAAAAAATTTATACATGAATATGAATAAAGAAATATTTTTACTTACAAATTCGCAACTCGTGTTACAATTCTGAACAGTTTTTTGAATTTCAACTTTTTCATTATCTATTACAACACAATTTTCTATTAAACAATCGTTAAGTTCATTTTTCCAACTCCTTCCAGGTTTATAAATTTTGCCATTAGCTTTGCAAGCTTTGCGAATATATGTAGGACAACAGTTCCCACTAATATAGACCGTTTCAATTATATATTTTTCATTTTCTAATGGATCAAGTCTGTTGCATTGAACAATTGATTCTTTTATTTGAGTCTAAAAAAAATAATTATTTTAATGACATAAATTAATTAAAATGTTAAAAGTATTCATCTGAATATTTTATAAAATATTGTTTTTTTTTTTTTAATTTTCCACAACATAGAATTACTTGATACATTTTAATATACAATTTTATACATATATATAAATATAAAATATTTACACTTACATGATTATCATGATCCAAAAGGCATTCATAAGAAATACAGAAATCGTCAGAATGCCATTTTTCACCAATAGCTTTCAATGTATCATTTACAGCGCAAGATGTAGCAACACATTCTCCACAACAACGAGAACCTCCGTTGTTAGATGATTTATATTCAAATCCTTTTTTACATAAACTTCGACACGGTTGATAGAACAACTTCTTTTCTATTCCATAAGATGTATTTTCACATTTGATTGTAACACATGAATCATTCGTATCTGAATGCCATTCTTCTCCAACCTAATTTAGAAGATAAAATTTTTAATAACATGTCATTGCAATAATAATAATAAAAAAAATAACAATACTAATAGAAAGAATTTTTACATTAATTATTTTTTCATTATCTTTACAAGCAAATCGTTCAATTTGCGGGCAACATTGATCAGTAATAATATTTTCTTTCAATGCATAATCATTAGAGTCTGGATGATTTTTAAGATTCAAACATTCAGTTGTTACACAAACTGCTGTAGGATATTTATTTAAAGATTTTTCACATGTACAAACATTACAAGGTCCATCTTTCCATGTTTCATTAATTTGCATTACAATTACTTTCTCATCATTGATATTATCAATTACTGGTGTATATAGACAAACATTCTGTTTCGGCTCTAAAATAAAATAAGTTTACGTAATGTGTTCAACAAAGAGAAAAATTAATAACAATATATTTAAATTGAAATTATATTGTAATAAAATATATATGTATAATTGAAAAAATCATTACCACAATTATAAATAGAACAGCAACCATTTGGAATCTGAGAAACTTTTAAATCATGATACTCTGGACATTTTGGTGGTAATGGGCAAGTTTCTGGTTGACAAACGAGAGTAGATCTTGGACAACATCCCGTAGTATTTACAATTAAAGTATATCCTTCTTGATAATTTTCTTTTTCAACTTCTGTCGAGATATTGTCTATTATTAAAGGGCACTCTTCTAATGGTAAACATTCTGAAAATTTAAAAATTAAATTGAGCTGAGTTGTTTCACGTTTAAAATTTTAAATACTGTTGATACTTACGACAAATAAATTTCTGACAACCATCATTATCAATTATTAATTTCATCGTTTGTCCATAACCACATTCAGGTTGTTGAGGTTCAACACATGTTGGTGGAGAATTTGTCGGAATAGGAACTTAAATCAGAATTAATTTATTTTATAATTATATCACCTAAATATACCTACTGGTATTCGACTTTTAGAGTCATATTTTCTGAAGACAACTAGTTTTTTTTTCTATTTATGACTTCTAAAAAACGTCAACCAACTAATTATTAAAATAAAATTATTTACCACACAGATATTTTATGCAGCATTCGTTCTCCGTTCCAGGAACAGCCATTGGAGTAAAATTTGGTTCACAAATAGCATCAAGTGCTTGACACTCTTTTCTCTCACAATTAACAACTTTATTATAACAATAACATGAAGTACATTTATCTATATTCCAAACGTCACCATCAACATGTCCTTGATCATCACAAATGAAACAATCTTTTTCAGGAATACAAGAACTATTATGAAGAACAAAATTTTCCGGACAGAAACATCCTTCCATATTATTATTATCATTACATTTATATTCTTCTGTCTGTATAATATCATTCAAATTGTTACAAGTTTTAGGACAAGATCCACAAGGTTGATATTCTAAGTAATTTGGGCAATCAAATGGACAAAGATTATTGGTTCTCCATTTCGGACATACACCAACCTCTCTGCATTTTTGAGCATAATATTCTAAATCACCACAAATATTTCCGTGTTCACATAAAGTATAATGACAAGATTGTAAAAATGGTTGAGGGTCTATTAAAGCATGACAATGACCAAAAGTATCAACATTAAGAAGAATTTGACATGGATCGTCATTTAAAACTGGTAGTGTACAATTGTTTTCTGGTTGAATTGAGCAATCTTCACTATCCGAAAATCGGACTTGAGGCATTCCAATAGCTAACCAACTAGCACCAAATTCATCAACATTTTTGGTCAATTCTCCATTAGATTTAATAAATTCTTCGTCATTATCATTATTTAAATTACAAGTTCCACAAAGTCCTTCTATTGCACCACCAAAAATATGCGATGACAAGCTGATTATAAATGCAAAATTATGCCAATAAGTAATTATTTCTAATTGTATTGCTGGTATTAATAAAGTAATGTCCTCGTTGTCAGCTTTGCTTAAACTCATCCAAGTATTTTTAAATGGAATTTTTAATGGTTCTCCATCTAAAGTACTAATAAAATTCTTAATATAAGATTTTTGTTCTATTTGTAAAAAATGTCCTTTGTATAAAACACTTAACGCCTCAGTACAAATTCCTTTAGAACATGGTATATTAGTTATAAGAATTTGATAAGTATGATTATCTACTTTGTTACTTGTATGTTTGATGGTATCTTGTGATAATATATATGTACAATTTCCCATAAAAGTGAAATTTTTTCCATTAAAATTAATTAAATTAGAATTTCCAAAACTATTGCACTTACAATCACGACATTCTGATGCGGTGATGCACAAATTATCATTACGAATTAAATTATCAGGACAAAAACATCCAGAAAAGCAAACGTCCATTATAGGACAAGGATCTACTTCTTGCAGATTTCGACAGGTCATTTCACATTTATTCCGGAAACAGTCCTTGTAAATAAAAGGTGATGGACAATAAACTGGACAATTGTGAATACTTCTCCATATTGATAAATCAAAAGTAAAATCTCTCGATTGACATTCGGCTGTAAATGAGTTCAATGCACGACATCGGCAATCATCAACCGTTTTATTTTCGTTTAAACAAATACATGTTGTCTCCAAACAACGTGAAATATATTTGTCTATATCCAGTACATTATGACACATGCTAAATGATCTATCCTTTAATGTATTACAAATTATTTTAGATTTATCCAGAGTAGATAATGGACAATTTTGTCGTTCACACTCAGGAGTTCCATCCATTGCCCAACTATCACCAAATTCTTTCGTTGTTAAAGCTTGACTTCCATCGGGTTTTTGTTTATCATTTTCAGCTAACTTATCATAATATCCACATAAACCATCAACATGATGAACTAAAGTTTCAGGTATTCCAATTTTAACATTTAAATTTTCGTCCCATATGATCCAAAATTGATAAGTATATGAAGTAAAGTGAATAAAATTTCCAATTGTGCATATTTTAAAACTTGTGTAACGATTTTTAAGGAAATCCAATTGTTGTTGAGTATAGGTATATTCATTAATATCAACATTCATATTCGAATGTAAAACGATCACATCGTTATCTATTACTATTGCAAGAACTTTAGTACATGAATCATTTTGTCGGGTACAATGTTTTTCCACTAAAATTAAAATATTATATTATATTATTAAATAACATTTAATTAATATGCAAATTTTATCGTAAATAATAAATAAATTCTCTATAATACTAAATACTTACAAGTAATATACCATAAATTATGAAACATTTCCCGTACCAAAATATGATTGCAAATATCATATTTATATTCTAAATTATCAAATGTATTGAATGTCCTTCCAACAACATTACAAATATTTTCCTTTGGCAATAATGGTTTGCATGTATACTTTGGACATGGTACTAATTCATACATACTTGTTGGTTCATAAATAATTTGATAATTAGAAGGGCATTGAATTTTAGGGCATTCATTTGAAGATTTATTCACAACATCGTAATCCGATGAAAAATGGTGTGGTTTACAAGAAAATTGTGGACATTTTACATTATAATTTAAATCATTTTCATAATTAATATTTTCTCTGAAAAAAAATAAAGAATACACGAATGAATTACTGAATAAATAATAATAATACTCTTAAAATTATATGTATATTCTTACTTTTTGCGAGGTTCTTTAGTAATTCGTTGAATATTTTTGGTTCCTCTATCTCTAATTATTCGACTATTTGATGAAGAATAATGTGTATATTGAATTTTTGATGATTCTGAAAGAATCGGTTTGTATCCTGGAGGACAAATAGGCTTTTCACACTCGAATTTTGTTACTGTAAATATAAAGAAGAAAAAAATTCATAATATATAATTTATTATCTATATAGTATACTCACAAAAAAAAATTTCGTTACCATTTTTAATTTCAGTAGTAGTTACAACAACCATTGTTGTAGAATTTTTTGTCATATTATTACTTATTTCTTCAACTTCATTTGTACAATTTGTTTCGTCATCAAGACAATCTTTAACACCGTTACACCATGCAGATTTTTCAATACATACATTAGTTGATGAACAATATAAAGTGTCTATTGGACATGGTTTACAAGAACAACCACATAATTCAGTAACAACAGATTGCATGTTTCCGTCATTACATGGTGGGCATATTTTTAAATGGCATTCAGGAATACCTCCCATAGCACATAAACATTTTCGGCAATCATTAGTTTCAAAACTTGTACCAACAGAATACAATACATTCTCTACTACACATGGGCACTGTTGTTTTTCAACACAAAATTCACCATTCCACCAAAGTGCATTACTACATTTACAGTCAATATTTTCTAATGATTTTTCAAACACTCCATGGCAAATATTACACTTTGATTTAAATTCTACAATTTTAATTGGATGAATTTGCTTGATTGGTGCTAGAAAGAATTAACGTAAATAAATTATTGTAAATAAATAAAAATTGTAATTCGATTATAAATATGTTTTATACTTACAATATGGAATAAAACATCCTAAAATTTCAACTTTTAGTCCGATATGATTGTGCCATTTTACTGGTTGAATTTTCAAGAAGCGTGCACTGATAGGTTTATCAAAATAATTTATTCTAACAGTTACATCGTCGAAATTTCCAAAATATATTTTCTTATTTCCAAGTTCATCTACTATAGGATTCCAATGATAAATATCATTGCCATAAAATACTTTATATGCAACTGTCCAAATATCATTTAGACCTTTTATCATAATACCCGTAAGATTACGATTTTGTAAAAAGTCAAACTGTATATATTGATGTGGATTATCCAATACAGGTTGCCATATCTTTGTAGATGATAATTGAAGATTAGAAATAAGATTTTCATATGACGACGATGCTGTAATTTGTTCCTCAGACATAAAGCCATCATCCAATCCCATAGAATCATTACAAATTGGCTTATTTTTATTTTCTTCATAAATATATGAATATGCTGTACTCAATAGTGATTCTATTTTCGTTGACATATGTTCAATAGTTGTTATAGATGACAAAGTAGTGGGATTTACGTTTTTAGTGGATGATATATTTTCACATCCGAGTGATTTGTCACAAGTATAATAATTACTTAAACATTGACAGAGTTCACATTCTGATTCAGTAACTACTATACCTGGTTTAATAATTGTATTATTATGAGTAATACACGGACAATCAAAAATATCAACACAATTATGAGAATCTCGCCAAAATTTATGTGACGGACAATTAGAATATTCAGTTTCATTTACACAACCGGGTACACAACTTAAATCTGAGGAACATAAATTTTGTTCAACTAAAATATGATAATAATTAGAACATGTTTGATTACATTTTATGGCACATTCATTCCATATCTCTCCTTCTTGGCAATCATTTGGAATTTCAGTTATTTTCTTCATCTGACCACATTCAGGTCGTAATTTAATTACATTATATGGCCAATCACATGTTTGCGTTTCCGAATTATACATGGTACCTATTCCACATATTTTTTCAACCAATTTCGTACCAGTTAATGTAGAAATACACTGATAAAATGAATGACAATCAGTTAAATGTGGTTGATTTGGATATTTAATATCACAATTATCCGTTAATGGTTTGGTAATAAAAGTAGATGAAACAGTAGTAGAAGTTAAATATGGACTTGTTGAAATAATTGGAAGATATTGATTATTGCATTGACATAAAACTCTAATTTCAAAATCTTCACAAGGTAGTATATTATTATTTGATTGGCAAACTAATCCATATTCCATATTACATTCGACATTTAAACCTGTCTCTTTTGATAGTTTATGACTACCAACGGTTCTACATTCAATATCAATCATTTCTTCCTTGGAGCAACGAGTTGAATTTTCTAAATTAAGAAGATCTAATATTGAAGGTAAAGATTCTACGTCTGTAAATATCATCTTTTCCGACTTATTATTTTGTAATAATTGATAATTATTTTTATTTATCCAATTAGTCCATCCATCAATACATTTTATTGGTTCTTCCATAGGAACAGTTGTTAATTCGATTGATTTCATCGACTGACAAGGAACTCCATTACATACCAATTTCTTTCTACTGCAAAAACACGTATGACATGCATCACTACTAACTTGATCACCTTCATAGTATACAATTCCACTGATATTACTACAAAATGGTTTACATGATATTTTAGGAACACATTCGTTTGAACTACTGTTTCGATAGACTTCACCTTCAGGACAAAATTTCAATGTACAACCTTCGACACAAGTATCTTGAGTACACAAAGATATATCTTGATTGTTAATCAATAAATTATCACAAGTTTGGTGAGGACAAGCTGAAATACATGGAGAATATATACTGCAATTTTCATCACATTGTATAGGACATAATTCTTGAGATCTCCATTTTAATGGAATTCCTTTTTCATTACATTCATATGCATAAGCAGCGAGAGCCGTACATAGACACTCACAATCACCTCCTTCATCACAACCACAAGTATCAAATATACATTGTTGAATATACGGTTCAATATTGACTTCAGAATGGCACGATTGAAATAAAGAACTTTTTAGAATTCCACACTTTTCAATTGCCCAAACTTTTCGTTCTGGATGAAGAACACAAGTATCAGTAGTATTCATTGGTTCTGGACAATAACTATCTTCTTTCCACGAATCTCCAAATATACGAGCTGATACTTCTGATATACCTCCAGAAGGAGTTTTAAAATCATCTTCATTATTATCATTATAATCACCACATAGACCTTGAGTTCGACCTTTCCATTTTGGATCTAATTTTATATAAACACGAGTTCCTTGATCCCATTGTAAAACTAATCCTAAAGTTGGTATATCTAAGAAAATATATAGTCCAACTTTCCGAATAAATATTTTTTCATATGAAATTTTTGATATAGGCTTTCCTCTAGTTAACGTAATACATTCTTTATTATCAGCATCAATTATGCATAGAGTAACTGATTTAGAACAGGATACTCCAGCACTTCCACAAGGAACATTTTGAATGGATACGTAAAAATTTTCAAAATTACCAAGACTGCCTTTCACCAATACATAATTACATATTCCTTGAAAATCATATGTTTTATCATCAAATGTTTTATAATGTGAATCACCCCAAGCTGAACAAATACCACGACAAATTTTTTCAGTACATTTCCAATTTCCACTTATACATGTACATGTATTACAGTCTTCTTGGATAATAGCACCTTCATCAAAACTTTTTCCACCATGATAACAAGGACACATTTTTTGTTCAACACAAATTCCATTTAAAGGATTCAAAACGTAACCCTTTTTACAAATACAACCTGGTCGACAAATCACTGGACTATGCTGATTAATATATTCGTGCATATTTCGACAAGTTTTTGGTTCTTCAGGTTCACAATAAGTAGCTTCTAGATTTTTAGTAGCACTACAAAGTGTTTTTAAATCAGTCATCTTAGGATATTCATTGATTTCCTCTAATGTTGCTGGATGACATGTCCAAATTCCACCACCACACGTACATAATTCTTCACTTTTACGTCCTGGCCGAATTTCTCTATATCCTGCATTATATTCTATTCCATTGTATTGACAAGGACATTGTCCAATTAAAATACATTCACCTTGTGAATTCAAAGTTTGTCCTTCAGGACAATTACAACCTTCAATGCATTCTTGATGACAGTCTTGAAAAAATGAAATATCATAACAAGATCTTGTACAACTATTTCCGCAAATTTGATATTTTTGACCATTTGGACAATGTAGTTGACATTCTTCAAATTGAGTTCTCCAAAAAATTTTAATTCCACTATTAGCACACTCTCTAGCATAAGCTGCAAAATTAGGACATAAACATCGATCAATACTTGATTCGCAAGCACACATATCATATTTGCAATCTTGATAAAATTGTTCCGGATCTACGTGCCAATGACAATCCGAAAAAGAGGTCTCAAAAATTCTAGAACAATATTTTTCTGCTATTACATGTCTTTCAGGATTTTTATCACAAGGATGTGTGAATTCTATTTTTGAGAGATCATTACATTGCTCACTTGTTTTCCACTTATTTGCAAAAGAAATTATAGATTGTTCTACATCTCCAAAAGGAGTTAAAAAATCATCTTTTTGATTTCCATTAAATGTTCCGCATAAGCCCTTAGTTTTACCTATATAAAATAAATAGAGAAAAGACAATAGATTTGAAAATACTATAAAATATTCTTTAAATAAATTAAAAACTTATTAATAATAATAAAAATAATACTTACCACGGAATCCCGGTGGAATAGTAATGTAAATTCGTGAAATTCCATCCCACCAAATTTCAATACCATTAGGTGTATTTACTACAATAAATATACTACTTGCCACTCGAACCTTAGCTCCAAATACAGACAAAGGAAGTTTTGTTACGTCCTCACCGTCTATTAAAACTTGATGATTTTGTTTTAATTTGATAAAATGATTTTCAAGACGAATTGTAACAGATTTTGTACATGATGGCTGATCCATTGATGTTAACTTGGACAAACCCATACTCTAAACAATAATATTTGATACATATTCTATTAATTTTATTGATTTATTTAATTTAAAGCTTACCTCAGAAATTCCACCAGAACATGCTATATTTTCAGTTTCAATACTATAATTATCTCCTTTAACTAAATAATAATTACATTTTCCCATAAAATCAAAATGTTTCTTATCAAATGTAACATAATGTGGATCACCAATTGCTGCACATGTTGCACGACACGTTACTTCTGTACAAATCCATTTACCAGAAGAACACGTACAAGTATTACAATTTTTTGAAATTGATGATCCAGGTTTAAATAATTTTCCACGCAAAGTACATGGACATTCATCGATTGAAATACACTTATCTTTATGAAGAACAGTATTATTTGGACAATAACAACCCTCTTCACAATAAAAATTATCAGTTGTTAATTCAGAAAATTGAGTATTACAAGACAATTGTTTCTGGGGTCCACATGATTTATATATCCTACCTCCTGTACATTCCATTGCTAAAAAAAATTATTATTATATTAATATTATTAAATAACTAATTGTAATAAAATAAAAAAATTATTACTTACGGCATAAATTATCAAATCGCCAATCAATAGATTGTATTAATTGATCATGAAAACATTGACGAACATAAATATTCATTGTTTCACAAGCACATTTTTTCTTATCGTTCTCTTTGCAATGACAAAAATCTAATTCACACGTATGATAGAATGGCATTGAAGAGATGCTTTTAGAACAAACTTGAAATCGTTGATCAAGAAATAGTTTAGTACAAAAATGTTTTGCTTCAGTTTCAATATTTTCTTTTGAAGTACAAGTAGATGTAGGATCAATACTTTCATCACAAATCTCTAGAATATTTAAATATTGTATTATTAGTATTATAAATAATAATATTATATTAAATTAATATGACAATACCTTCAATATTTAAAACTTTCCACGACGAAATAAAAGTTGTAATACTTTTGGGATAAGTTAAATCTCTATCAATTATATCATCATTGGGATCTCCATTCATTCTGCCACACAATCCAGCAGTTCTATTCCATAGAGATGCTGATAATTTTACTTCCACAAAGAGTTTACCATCCCATTTGATATTTAATCCAACAAAATCTAATGATACTAATACAAAGTGTGCAGACATTTTAACTTGCATTCCAAGTAATTGACTTGGAATAGGTAAAATTTTTTTAGATGTTCGAAATTCAGGATAACCATAATCATTCAAGTGTAAAATATATTCATCTTTTTGTAAGAAAATTTTCAAAATTCTATGACAATTATTTCCATTGTTACAACCTTGACTGTTTTGTATTGTAATCATAAAAATTTTATTTTGAATTTCTTGAACTAGTGTATAGGTACAATTACTATCAAAAGTGTATATTGCACCATCAAATGTTTTAAAATGAATTCCACCCCAAGTAAAACATACTTTTGACTCCAATGAATTTTTTGTCATTTTCGTGTCTTTATGAATGAATTTCAATTCAGTTTTATCATTTGAAAAATGATTAAATACTCCTTCCTTTATTACCAAAAATAAATGATAAAATTTATAAATAAATGTAAATAATTAATTAATTGATTACTTTTTTGATTTTAAAATATTTACCATGCCATTTTTTGTTTCATGAAAATTTGCATTTGATAATGAAATTCCTTCTATAGTCCATGAATGATTAGAAATTTTATAAAAAGTATTTTTAATATTTTCTATTGGAATTATTTGAAAATCTTCTGTTACTTGACACTGTGGAATCGGTTGTGGTTCAAAAATTCCTGTTTCATAGGAACAAATATATTTGGAAGCTGGCGGTGATGTAAAATTTACTCCGATTGGACAATTTAGTGTACAAGAGAATATATTTTCATCACCATTACATTCATAACCGCCATTGAAACCAAGATTTTTAGTTGAACATGCTTCTGCCACTGTAATAATATTATAAATAAGTCTATATTATCATTCTTTTTTATTATTACATACTTTTCGAATTAACATTGGCTTATACTTACAGTATTGACATTGTGGTCCTCGGAAATCATTAGGGCATTGGCATACATTTAAAGCAAGACAAATTCCTCCATTTTCACAAGGTGGTGTACATGTTGCTAAAAAAATTTAATAATTAATTATGATTACAATTAGTCGGCTATATTTAAATTAAAAGAATAATCGCAACATACGTATACAATCTGGAATTGAAACCCAATTAGATTTTGTAGGAACCCAGTTACCATTTTGACAAATTAAATTAGCAATTGATGATCCATCAGAAAATACAAACTTATTCAGACACTCGATAGTACATATTCTATGAAAAAGTAAATACATTATATAAAAATCTTTCTTATATTTTTTATTGAATAATAATTAAAATTTACTTTGTATTACAACTTCTTTGAGAATTTTGTACTGGTGGGGGATCATTTAAACAAGGTTTTTCTTCAAATTGACAACGATGTCCAGAAAAGTTTTCTAGGCATTTACATTCGTTCGGAGAAATACATATTCCATTGTTTTGACATTTAGGTAAACAAATAGCTATAAAAATATTTATCATTTTTTTTCACACAACTTTCACTAAATAATTTTTAGTTTGTATTAATTATTAGAAATAATAATAATTCAAACTTACGTTCACAATGTGGAATTGTTGTCCATTCAGTTCCAATAATTGTCCATTTTTTTTTAATACACGAAATTGTTATTTGACTTTCTCCATTAGGGAATTGATAAGCGGTTTTACAACGTGCTATACATCCACTTAAAATTTAACCAAAAAATTATTAGATTAATAAATTTATAGTATTATTAGTATATATCACTGTATATTTATTCATGGTGGATCTGTACCTTTTAGAGTAACATTTGATATCTCCATTAATTGGAACACTGGGCCAACCATTACATTGCTTATTAAAACCAAATTTGTTATTATTATAATTATCATCTTCTATGTCATGATGATTAAAATTTTCTTCAATTGATTGATAATTATTACTGTGAATAATTTTTTTCTCCTTGAATATGATGGTTTCATGTCTGAAAGAATATTTGATAGCCTAGCTAAAATTATTCCATTTTTAAACTTTATTTAAATTGAGAATAAAATATTATTAACTGACTTTTTTGTATAATCATCGGCTGAGATTATTGAAAAAATTACAATCAATGTAAAATTAATAATAATTCGAATATTTATCATTATGTATAATCAATTAAATCAATTAATCCATAAGTATATAATCAATAAAAAGCAACTATATGTATAAACGAATTATGCACATAATGATAGTAAAGTTATTTATGATTGTTCAATTAAAATTTTTTAAATAAGCCGTATTCTATTTTGAAAAGATTTTTATACGAATGATATGTGATCTACAGGAAATAAATAATTGATAAAGTTTCAAACTGCTTATGATAAATTTAATTAATTAAAAATTAGGCCAATTAAAATAATAACAGATTAAAATGTGGTTTTTTGTATAATGATAAGATTTATGGTTCTTTAATATTAGCAAATCATTATAATATTTATGATAATATACTGACATAAATGAATAAAATAGTTTTTCTATAGAACGTCATGTTAGAAAAAATGTTTAATATTTCTTATCTTAAACATTCTTTATAAAGAAATTAAATCAATTTTTTTTACTTTTGGGTCGAAAAATGTGTTTGGGTTTAAACATAAATATCAAGATAAAATTTAAATAAAAGATAATATTTTAAATGATTTTTACTGAATACATATTTTAACAAATAATTATATTGATGAAGAAAAACATTGTTTAAATTAATTTTTAGTTTCAAGAACTCAGTTTACTTAAAATCACAAAAAATACATTTTACAATTAATCACAATATTTAACTAGTACATTTCCCACTATAATATATCATCTTTTTAAGTATTAATAAAAATTTTAATCTTTATTTCAAGTATATATTACGAAAAAAATCATAATCAGATTAAAAAAGTAGCAATATTATTAACTTGATTACATTGTTACATTATTATTACTGTGGCAATGGTATGAACTTTTTTATTTTTCAAATAGTGGACAAAATTATTGTCTATTAACATAATTGTCTATTCGTATGTGATAAAACGGTTTTTATCTATACATTTGTTTATTTTATTTTTTAACAATTAAATACTCAAAATTTTTATTATTCTTTATCAAAAAGTAAAAGTTAATACAAATCTTTGGGAATAAATTTTCTATGATTAATTACAATTACTTATTGAATTTTATTCATATAATTTCCGGTATCACTGTAAAGTATTTTTTTCTATCAATTGAAAAACCTTTTTTAATCGTAGTATTCAAGTTAAAAACGAAACAACGTTTATTCAACCATTATTATTATTATTTGTTGCAAGGCTCATGAAAAAATTAAATAAGATATTATTTATATTAATTTAATAATGTACAAAATAATACGATTTATTTTAAAAAAAAATTAATTCATCGTAAGGATAAAAAACAACCTTTTATGTGGAGTACTAGTTTGTGTAGAAATATTTAAAAATATGATAACGCATGGAATAATGTAAAGATTTAATGTGCGTTTAATATTATTATAATATATTACGTAATGATACCTTTACATAAGTCAAGCGATTTACAATAAAATAAGTAAATTGTATTTTATTGTTTAGCCTCTAGTTATTTATCATTTTGGTGTATATATATTTTACAATTTGGAAGTCAGTTGATATTTTTCTATTTTGGTGTTTTTTAATCTTATTTTGTATAATGAAATTCGAAAATGGCAACTTTATATATTTTATTGCTTTAACAATATTAAATAATTAAATGTTACTACTTAATTACTAAAATGGCAATGAATATTTATGATTTTTCTAAGAATATTTTCTTTCATTCTAAACTCTCATAAATAATTACATTAATAATAAACAATTTAATACTTCTTAAATGAGTATAAAAAATAAATAACATTCTAAAAATTAATTTAAAAAATAGTATTAAAATTAAATAATAATTTTATGTTACACTGCGCGACATTGTTTATTTTAAAATTTCATTAAAATTTTTATTATTTACATTATATTGTTATCGACGTGATAATAATTAAAAAGATACTAATTTTTATAAAAATTGTATTATCTATTATACTAAGGCTTTAAAAGTGAATACTGTATTTTTGTACAATGATTCAGATACCTCGATCATGTATTTCAAACATTTTTTATTGTCTTTAATTTGATTCTATTCACCAATTAATCATTATTTTGCAATAAACATCCTAATATAATGTAATTTATTTTTGTATAATACGAATTTGATAACTACCTTTTTAATCATCATTTGTATAACAATAAAAAATTATTTTTTGTTTAAATAACTTAACCAATTATAAATAACTACGCAAATTATTATTATAAAATTGAATAATAATATTGTCACGCAGTGTCATCATATATATAAATAAATTGCAAGTAATAAGAATTTTAAATTAATACTTTTGTACAATACTAAATATATAGAATGTAATGTAAAATTTTTTGTTTAAAATAACATAGTAGTAATAAAATTCGAACTTGATATTCAAGTTTCTCTTTATTGATAATTTTCAAAATTTTTTTTCAAGCTACGAATATTGAAAAATAATTTTATTTATCTAACACACATAGTTAAAACTTAGTGTGTTAGACGCCTATTTCATATCGCTTCTTGACTACTAACTGACTGTGAGCTTCGAGAAGTTTTACGGCTTACAGGTTCTAAATAAGCTGCAGGTGCCCATCCTTCTATGCTAGTTTTTAAAAGTTTAACAAACCACCATCCAGCACATCCTACTTTAAGCAATTCTAAATGATCTCCTTCTCGCATTGTTACTTCCGATTGACCCATGGCGCAATAATCAGCTAAAGCTATATATCTTCCACCCTATAATGAAAAATATTAAATAATAAATCACAAATATTAATAGAATTCATTGCTAATAATTATATCATTAGTGATATGATTATAAATTTAGGTCTTTCTAGATTAATTTTACATGTCATATTAATTTATATCTTACAGGAGCTGGTCCAGTATTTTCTGAGAATGCATCTTCATCATCAGTATTACTATTTTCAGAACTCCAAGCAACATCATCTTCAGTTGATTGAGAAATGTCAGTCATATGAGATAAAACACTGTTTCCATCAACAGATAATGTACGTAAAGTACCTGATATATTTTGTGGTTCCCAAGAAATCGTTTGACGAAGTGGTCTGTAACAGAAAAATTTTCAATTATAATTACTTAAATCGACTCTGAATACTAAATAAAACTTAACTGTACTTTAGGATATGGTGGAAAAACTTTATTATCATGACGATAAAAATAAAACAAAAATATGATATACATACTTGTGAGTCGATTTAGCGAAAGCATTATTTTGTTTTCCTTTCAATTCTGCAAGTTGTGACATCAAAACTCCTTTTATTTGTTGTATCCATGCATGCTTAATATCAATGTTCGGAGCTTGTATTGTATGAACTTCAGCTCGACCTTGTAACCAAACTTCGAATCTTCTTACATCGCCTTTGACTGATTCTGTCAAGCCTATTTGTGACATCTAATAACATTTTACGAATAATGATAAATATATTTTTATAATTATAAAAAAAATAATATTTATTGATACTTGTAAATAATTTTACTCAATTATTACCTTAAGGCATCGTTTAAATTGATAAGTCACTTTATTATGTACGTGTGGTTTACTGTGTTTACAGAAAATCATTGCTTTTTCATAAAGAAAAATATGCCTTTGTGATGGTTTCAATCTTAGCAATCGTTCTCTTTTGCTACTACTCCAAACACTAAAAGATCCTTGAAGTAAAAGTTCCCCTTGAGCCATCAAGTCTCCCTTAAAAAGAAACAAAAAATAAGAATAAATAATTATATAAAAATTACATTAAAAGAGTGTGTTTTTTTTTTAATTTTTTCAATATGTATTTGTTATATGTTTGAAAATTTAACAAAAATATTTACCGAAAATCCTGTAATTGCAGTTTGATGCATACTATCGTTGACACACTTTAAAACTACTAACATACAATCTAAAGCTTCCTGTAACTGCGTACAACAGGATGGTTCATCACTGTATTTAAGAAGATCTTTCAATAATAATTGATATTTTGTAATCCTTTGAACAGGTTTCAATAAATAAGCGGCTAATGGAAGTTTGTGTCCTAATTTTTGTTGACAAGTTGTCAAAAATTGCGGTTCGTTAGCTATTTGCTCTCGTAGACTTTCTGATCTTGGTATATTTTGACAATAATAACTGTACAATTTAAAAAAAAGATCTCGTCTTTGCACAAAACATAGAGCTACTAATTCGGTATTAGAAATACAATTTTCTAAATCTCGTAAAAAGGTTTCTCCATGAAAATGATAAATTTCTTCGAGATTACCAAATAAAATATCAGACTTTCCAACTAATGCCGATGGAATAAGATGAAACAATGCCTCATTGGTCATCTCTAATTTATAACCTTTTATAATAGATCCTAATTCTGATACATAAACACGTTCAGTTTCTATTAATTCTGTTAAAACATGACCACGTTTTAATCGAAATGCTTCAGTATCCCGAGGTTCACTTTCAGGTGACGATGAATCTCCTTCAATTGGTAACATTTCCATCTATAAAAATAGAATTTTTAAGTAATTCATTCAATAAGCTTTATCTCAATATTATAATCAAGAATTGTTAATAAAATTTCTACTAACTTTTGGCATCGTATTGGCCTTTTTCAATACTTTTCCCGGTTTAATAATTTGAGGAGACGGATGTAACGGTTTCGCTGGTTCTGGAGTAACCGTTTGAACTGGTCTTGCTGGTTTTACCAATTGTTGTTTCAGCACTACAATTTTTTTTTCACACATTAATGTTACGTCTTCAATTCTTTGTAAAACCTGTAATATTTTATTTCACTTATAATAATAATAATAATAATAATAATAGTAATGATAATGAATAATTTCGTAGATTTTATAATACCTGAGCAACTAAAGCTTTAGTTTCAGGTATAATTGAATCTTGAAAAATGCATCGTGGATTATGAAATTCTTCGGCAGCTTCGACAAGTTCCTCTAACTCTTGAAGCACTTGTTCTGCTGATATTGAATTATTTTGTAATGCTAAAAGTTCAATACCTCGAGTACACCAAGTATTAGCCTATAATAGTAAGAATATTTTTTTTTAGAAAAATTCCTTATTAACAGATATTTATTTATAATAAAATTACTTTGTCAATTCGTTCCATAAGTTCTCGACATTTCGTAAGTGTATGTAGTCGTTTTTCCAATTTCTGACTAAGAATGGTACAAATTCTCTGAAGCTCAGCGCATTTTGGTTCTACTACTTCAGTTGGACACTGATGACGACCAGAAAGTAGTTGTTGACCAGCAGCAATCACTTCTTCTGCACGATCAATATCTCCCTATAAATAAAACTAAGTTAATATTACATTTCAATAAATAAATAAAATCTACTTTTTTTTTTCAACAAAATATTATTAGCATGATTAATTATTATTAAAAAGCGGATGTAATTTGTTTGTTAATTAAGTATATAGAAAAACATGATTAAGATTATTCATTACAAATGAACGAGAAATTTCGTGCAAATGCGAGACATATTTTATTATCAGAAAATTTATCATAAATCATGCAAATAAGGTAATGGCACTTTGAATATTTTCATGAAATAAACAGTATAATAATTTTTCTATTTATTTTAATAAATTTTTAAATAAATTATATTGAAAAATAGTCAATCATTTAAACCAGTAATAAAATGACTTCATTAATTTCATCTTATATTTATGTATTATTATTTTCCTTTATACCTAATAATTACATTGAAGTATAAAATTTGTTGATTTCTTTTATAAAACTTTTTTTTTAATGCATTATAATTAGAATAGAAAAATGATTAATCAAAATATAACTTCAATGAATCAATTATATATTCATAATTTTCATCAATTACCGTCTGAAAATGTACTACGTAGTTATCAGTCTATCTATCATTCGAGACTCAATATAAAATACAGTATCACAAGACTTTTTCAGCATCTACTTAATGAATATGAATCTTTATATCAAATAAAAAAAACTATACAGTCACATAAAAAACATAAAATAATAGTTGATATATTACTAAAACTTTATTTGACATTAAAACGTTATGAAAAAAGTTTTAATAGTAAATTATCAATTGCATTATATCTATTATGTAAATTAACAAAACCATCGGAATCAGTATCAATATCAACAAAATTATCATAATCAAGTACTAGTGAATTTATCACAAAACAATGAGAGAACAAATTTAATTATTCAATTAGAACAAACAATGAACAATTTAAAAAAAAAGTATAATCTAGAAATAATCGAGTATAATAAACTAATAATGGCAATAAAATTTTATATGCATTATTTTGAACGTGGTATTATTTTCTTGGATGAAAACAACATGACAAATGAAAAAATAGATTCTCGTTCATTAAGACCAAAAATTGTAATGTTTTATAAATGGATTAACAAATTGAGAAAATATTTTGGTATTTATTTAGAAAATAAAAAACAAAGAAAGGATAAAAGTCAAAATTTTAATAGTTGGAAAATAAATTTGAAATTATTCCGAACAATATCATTATTAAATTTTCATTCTGAATTTAAAATAAATATTGATAAAAAACACGTAAATATTGATTATTTAAGGGATCATTATATGAAATTAATTTATAATATTAATGAATTTTACAAACATTTAATTGATCGTATTACTTTAGATGTTGATGAAAATCGAAATATTTATGGTGAAAAATATAATTATAAACATCATGTAATTGAACTTGATGATAGCATAAAAACGGAATTTTTAGATAAACTACTTTATAGCATCGGTCATTTAAAAGATCAATTAAATTCTTATAAAACAAAAATAAATTACGATTTTGAGAAAATTCAAAAGTTACAGGAATTATTAACAGGCTATACAAATAGTGAACTTGTTGATCAAAATGAAACATTAAGAAAAGATTTAAAATTATTGATAAAAAATACGAAATCGTGGAAATTAATGATCAATCGAATTGAGTGGACCATCGCCGATAAAGAAGATATGATGAACAATATGATTTTAGAATCGAAAATGAATTTGGAAAAGCAAAAAGTATATAAATCTAAAAAACATTTTAGCCATAGAAAAATTTAAAATTTGAAAGTTAAAAATATTACTTGCAGTGATAAAAGTAAATAGAAGTCAATTTTTTATATATATTAGTGCCTTTACCTTTCTAATATTGTTTTTATATTAATGAATTATATTTGTAAATAGCTTAACTAATAATGGCACAATTATTATTGAATATCGAAACAAATGAAAAATCTTAATTGAACACAATTGTATATAATAAATAATCATAGATTTTAATATATTGAAATTTTCTATAATATGAAAGATAATGAATTTATTGAATTTTGCTGCTTACCAAGACCCAAATCCACATGGTATGCAACAAATAGGACTATCGACAAAAATAAAAATGGAAAGCGGTGCAAAATACCATTGATGCTTAATGTGCTTTTTATCATAATAGAAATTTATTATAGAAAAAAAAACCAAAAAATTATTTTGGTTTAAATATATATTTATGCATAATTTTTTTTCTATCATATAATTATATTATATTGTATTATATTATATACATATATTTATATATATAATACATTTTCGAAAGAAAGAAATGACAGTAATTTTAATTTGGATATTCATTTGAATGGATAATATTGTGATTAAATATATATGTACCTTACAAATTCGTTGAAAAGCTGCAGTATCACGAATTAATTGTTCCACACGGACTTGAGTTTCACCAACTTCAGTCATATCGTCGGTTGTTTTCAAATGTTGATCTAAAATTGTTTGCAGCTCTCGAAAATCACTTTCAAATTGCCGAAGTGCTAAACAATGGCGCAGTCGAGAACTATGATGTGACCAAAAAAGATCGAAAGTACGTTCAGTTTCCTCCAACTGTACTAATAGCCTGCAATAAATATATTTTTATGAATAATAAATTTGACTTCATATTAAAAGATTTTTTTTTAATGAAAATTTATATTACCTTTCAACTGCAGCGACATTTCCTAACCGATCAGCAGTACCTTTGCCAATCAGTTGTCGTACACTATCTAAAAGTGCATCACCATGTCTTGCTGCGGTCAAAATTTCCTCTTTCAATTCATTATATTCTGCTTGTTGTTGATTTAATAATCTAGTCGTAGCTACTGTACTATTCGGAAATTCAATTTCTGCTAAACGTCGCGTAAAAGAATCTAGTGCTAATGATACGTCTTGGGTCATCAAAGAAAATTTTTCCAAACTCTAAAAAATACATATATTTTATATTATTATCTAATTATTAAAAATAAATGTATATATTATTGAACCCAAAAGAAAATAAAAATAAAACTGATTAATAATGATAGTTTCTTACAATTCTATTTTGAATCCAAGTTGAATGACAATATGGCAAATCACCTCCAAGTTGTTCTGTTAATTGATCTTTATCGATAAAATCGTAAAGCTCTGTAACGTTGGCTAATACTATCACTCTAAATTTGAAATCTTCACGAAATAGTTTATTTGAAACTTCAGATATAGCTTTTTGGAAAAATCCCACTGGCCGAAGAACATATGCAATATGAACTAAACCAGGAAAATAAGCCTACAATTGATATATTTATAAATATTACATCAAAAAGTATAGATTGTATATTAAAAATATACATTGATTTATTAAATAATGCATTATTTAAATATCTTTATTCAACATACCGATATTTTAATTAACACAGTCTTAACAGAATTCCATTTATCAGTTCGACGATCAATTATCAAATGAAATCCTAAGTCAGCTTCTTGGAGACTAAATGGGAACATTGAAAAATTTTATTCAATTTTCATTTTAATTAATTTTAATAAAAATTACTCACGTAGGAACTGAAGTAAGATATAGCATGAGACGTTGATAATCTAAATCACTTATGTTATGAAAATTTCCATTGTCTGGGAATGTAATTATTGGACATCCTTCTCGTGTTTTTCCACCTACAAAAATTAATTAATTAATAATTTTCAAACTGTAAATAATTATTAACAATAAGTTACAACATAAAGTTACATATAATTTTCTATAAACTTGTGATTCAATGATCAAATTTTGTCTGGAATATCTTTTTTTTTTTGGGAAAAAAAAATTTTCTTTTTATTGTATATAAAAATAAGTAACTTTATTGAAAATTTTACTGAAAATAACGTAAAGCTCATTCAATTGATGATAATATACCTAAACATTCTTACATATATATGAGAGATATAAGTATAAATATCTCAATTGAAAAGTAAAAACCGGTTTAACGGATTTTCTTACATTCCAAGAATGTAAAAATTCAAAATTAAATATTTTAAATAAATTCTAAACAGAATAAAACGTATTTATACTATAATGAATATATTTACTGTTGATAAAGATATTTTTCCATACCGGTGATAATAGCATATTGATGTTGTAAAAGATCTGCAACATCTCGAACAGCCAAGTCTCCATTCTCTATTTCTCCAGTCATACTTTCTACATCTTCTGTAAATAAAAATTATTCAATTAATCTATCATATTGTATTATTATGTTTGTAAGTATATTGTAATATTTTAGTTTATAGAACATATTAACTTATTAATTATAAATTTTAAATGTAATCATATAACAAATATTCATTTTAATTTTTTTGTCTTAAATTGTGTTACACTTAATTAAACTAGTATATAATTGATCGATATTACAACCTATTACAATACAATAAAAGATATGTATATTAAAGAATCTTTTTTGTAGATACCAATGATAATTAGATTATGCGTAAGTAGTGAATAAAACTAAGTGATGCCACATGAACTCTCGCAATGAACTGGCTAGAAAGGCCTTTGGCCCCATGAGATGCACTCAAATAACCTTCTTCATTCTTTCTATTTAAAATAGTTTTCACCTTTATCCACAATATCACTGTTCTAACTGTAAATTTAAGAGACTTTCAATTCTCAATAAAAAGTTTATGAAATAAAGATAATATATAACTTATTATCAACATATCCATTATTAAATAAATTAATATTATAGTAAGTATAAAAAAAAAATTACATTTTATTGCAAATTTTTGTGATTGTAAACAACTTTTCCTAGTTATATATTTTATGTTACTTTAAACAGAAAATCATTTTTCTTTTACAGAATAAAAAAAAACCTTTTATTATGGAGTTTATTTAAGTTACAAAAAATACTAATTGTTATTTTTTATTACATAATTCTTCATTACAAAGATGACAAATGTGAGCATAAATTACTTTATAAGTACATGAAGTGTTTGACCTCAGAGTTAAAATAATAATGAATTAACTAGTAAATTTAGTACAAAGAAAGGTATGAAAAAATCTATAAAACAAGTTATAAAAAGGCTTAATTTATTTTATCGATATTATTGAGAATATTTATACTATTAGTAGTTAGTATATTAAATTTTATACTATCTTAAATATTGAATACCTTTGAGTAAATAGTTTTTTTTATTATTATTATTATTATATATATATTCATTTGACTAGATGAATCCGACAAAAAAAAATTTATCATTCATCATTCATGCATTCATCATTGTGACGGTCATAGTAAAATCATAAGATTTATAAAATTTAATAAAGATAATTAAAATTTATTATTTATGTTGCGTTGATAGTACAATAGTGAAAAAAGCTCACATTAATATTTTATAATAAATGATTTTTTCGATTACCCCTCAGTGTCTTTAATATTTTTATTATAAATCATAGTTATAAACTTTATACATTATAACATTTTGTAATATAAAATTATTTCTATAATGACTTGTTGAAAATTTTTTAATATCCTTGTTTGTTTCATGGCTGCACATATTATGTACAGTCATGAAACAATACAAAACGTGTATATACTAATTATAAAAGAAATTTCGATAACCATATGTGCGATTGTAAACACACTATACTTAGAGTATATAAAAACATGAGATATTTTTTTCAACATTTGACTAATGTGTTTAAACTGAATTAAAAGTTTTCTTCTAATTCTTCTCATAACCAAATTATTATTAATACAATAATTAAATGAGCAATAATATTGAGCAATAAAACTTGGTATCTTTATTTTACTCTGCAATTAAATTTAAATATCAAATTTTAACTTTACAATTTTGTTGATAAATAAACATGAAGGTAAAAATAAAGAAAATTGGTAAATATTAAAAGATAAAAAGCCAAATTTCAAACCTGCACATCTGGTAGAACAATGTTGATGACATGGACAATTGCAGGCATGTTGAGGTTTTTGTCGTACTCCAGAATTTGTTGAATTATTTGGCATTTCTATTTTTTTTATAATCTATTCACTCATTCAAAGTCTATTGATACACATTTATAAATAATATTATTATTTAATAAATTAGAATTTTTAACCATGCAACTAAAAGCTATTAGTAATGAATCACTAACACATGATAATTCAAATTTGCTAAGTACAATATTGTACTGCAGATTATTTTTTTTCTCAAAAATATTAAAAATTATCAATTTAACATTATATAAAAAAAACTATTCAACTTTAATCTTTAGAATCAGACGAGTAGTGTATTGTAAACGGTTAATTTGATCGATAAAACGTATAATAGTATGATCTACCGGCATGTCACTTTTGCGCACATCACAAAAGCATGACCAAGTCTACTGCTTTATTTTAATTTAAATATTCTACTCTAAGTGCACAACACACACGGAATCACACATTAACCGTTTTCATCTCTGTAGAAAAAAAAATAAAATAAAAATATTGTTTAGTCAAAGTAATATAAATCCAAATAAACATAAATATGTATAACCATTTGAAAATAAATTATCTCAAAGAGACAAAAAAAAAATATTCACATAACACATTTACACTTTTGCCGTATTATAACACTTTATGAGTTATAAATATTTAACTCGTTAATAAGTTGTCAAATGTTATTATTTATTTGACGTTTTGTATAACACTATATGTAATAATGGAATTAAATTTCTAACCTCAATAATACAAAAAAATTGAATAAAGAAAATAAAAATAATAACACTTAATATAATTAGCCGTATTATTATAATATTAAAAAAGTTCGAATTTCACCACAATAATTAACTTACCGGCCTCCAAGACCTCGAGGTCAAGATTGCGACTTCTACTACGACTAATGCTGCTACTAGCATTGTAGCTCCCTCTAGCGACATCATCCATCGCCCTAGAGGCGCTTCTCTTAAATTGCTCGAGAAAACTGTCAATCTGATTTTCAATGCTGGTCGGTGAATTAGCCATTTCACTTTTCACTTTTTAAATCTATATAAATCTTCTCTTAATTTCATTGATTTATCTATTCCTGTTAATGAGTTCATTAACACTACTATCAATTCATTGCAATTACAATAAATATTCATTATATTTTACAAACAAGTGTTGTTCATTATTCTGTATACAAAAAACGGTTATGTAACAATCAATTCAACAACCATTATAAAACAAATACCGTAAATATTTTTGAGATTCCATAAGGATTATTTTAATTATTTCGTGTGTATGTATTATGTGTTTATTGTGAAGGAACGTCTAGAAACTAGATTGACGACCTTGCTGCAGGTGTCGCATTATAAGATTCTCCATTGCGCATGGTTTTTTCTTTCATGCTTTTGCGCAAATGAAAGAAAATTATTTCACAAAAAAATTACTTTCTACCACAAATCATTTTTAATATAACAATTTATTTATTTCTAATGCAATAAAATTTGATTTTATTTTCAATATTTTAAATATAATATACTTAATTTTTTTTACAAACTACAACGATTGATTTATCGTGACGAGAATTTAAATTTTCCCAGTAAAATTCGCCATTTGTATTTTTAGTTAATACTTTAGTCGTTTGGAGCAGTAACCTATGATTCGTGATGTACATATGTACAAATGTGTGTATGTACATATGTACAAATGTGTGTATATATGCATTTGTAGTATCGAATTCTTTCACTATATACACCTATACATAAACAGTATTAAAACATGGCGTTAAAAATTAATAAATGTTTTTTGATCAACTTAAAAATTGTAACAAAAGTTTTATTCAAATTAACAATAGTGAATTAAACACATTGTTTTAAATTCAAAAATGCCTGTAGATATAAATCGTTTAACTGAAGGATGGTTGGAGCTTGAAAGTGATCCAGGTAAATAGTAACTCTTAAATTCTATTGTAACAAAAATATCAAAAATTTTAAATTTATCACTTTCCAGGTTTATTTACCCTTCTGTTGGAAGATTTTGGAGTTAAAGGAGTTCAAGTTGAAGAAATTTATGATTTGCAGAAATCATTAGAAGGCCCTGTTTATGGATTTATTTTTTTATTTCGGTGGATTGAAGAAAGAAGATCACGGCGAAAGGTAGTAGAACAGGATGAAAGTTTTGTTAAAGATGAAGAGATAGTAAATAATATATTTTTTGCTCAGCAGGTAATTTATTTGATTAATTATTTTAAATATTTTTTAATCATTTAATAAAAATTGAATTATCAATTATTCATTAAATATAATATATTTATTACATAAAGTATTATCATTTATTAGTCACACAATTTTTACAGGTTGTCCCTAATAGTTGTGCAACACATGCATTACTTTCAGTTCTTCTAAACTGTCCTAACATTCATTTAGGTACAACCTTATCACGTTTAAAACTTCACACGTCCGGAATGTGTCCTGAAAATAAAGGTTGGGCTATTGGGAATACTCCTGAATTGGCTTGTGCTCATAATTCGCATGCAATGCCTCAAGCAAAGAGGCGACAAGATAAAAACACTGGAGTTTCTACTGGACGATTCACAGGGGAAGCATTTCACTTTGTTAGTTATGTTCCAATTAATGGAAGACTATTTGAATTAGATGGTTTAAAACCATATCCAATGGATCATGGACCTTGGAAAGAACATGAAGAATGGACTGAACAGTTTAAGCGAGTTATAACAGATCGATTAGGAATATCAACTGGAGAACAATTACAAGACATAAGATTTAATTTGATGGCAGTTGTTCCTGATAGAAGGCTTGCTATTTCTCATAAACTTACAATGTTGAAAACAAATCGACAAATTGTTGTTGAAGCTTTACAACAATTAGTTAAATTAAGCCATCATGAACATGGTGATAAGAATCATGATGCTGATAAGATTCATGAAAAGAAACAAAAAATTGAAGAAGATGTTAAATTTGAAACAAAAAACGAAACTGAATTATCCTTGAATGTTCCTACAGTCAATGTTGAACGATCTAATGATTTATCTATTGAATTAAATGATTCTCACATGAATTGTGTTAAATCAGAATCAGGAAATTTAGAAAAGGTTGTTATGTGTGCTTTAGATTATGCAACTCCTCTTCGTATACAAACATCACCAGCACATAGTTCATCAAGTACTGATACTTCTTCTGAAATTGGTTCAGCATTTAATTCACCAACACAAGGTAAATTATTTAATTGGAATTAATAAAATATAAATAAAATTCTTTTTAAATGTCATTTCAGCTTGGGGATGGAATTCTGGTCAGAGTAGTCCAACTTCAACGAAAGATTTCAAAAAATTTGTAATTATTCGAGTTGCAGGCGATGAGAAAAACGAAGTAGGATTGAGTGAGTATATCTATTTTGGAGATAAAACTTTAGACGACTTTTCAATTTTATTTATTTTATAATTTTTTTTCAGGCCGCTCTTTAGGTAATATAAATATTAATGGTAAAAGACTTGTGTCAGATTCAGGACATTTACATAAAAAAGTATGTCTTTCTGCTGAAGTTCGAATGCCACATGCTAGGGTAAAAACAAGTAATGGTGATACAGTTACAGAAGAAAAGAAAATTGAACGTATTGATCCAAAATTATGTTCAAAATATCCAGAGTTGTTTGAACCACATACGTTTGCACCAAAAGATCTTCTAGCATTGTTAAAAAATCTCGAACAAGAAATTAATATTTGTGAAACCAGTTTGAAAGACGAAAATGATAAACGAAATAAATATAAGGTAAAATCATCAATTCTTGAATATAATAAAAACTCATGTTATTAATGATTATTGATAATATAATATATATTCATTTTTTTAATCATTTTTATATGATTCTTTTTCAGATCGATGATTGCAGAAGAACACATAATTACGATGAATTTATTTGCACATTTTTATCAATGCTAGCCCAGCAAGGAAAATTAGCAGAATTAGTCCAACAACATTTAACCCTTAAAAAACATACAACAGTTACAGTGAACCGAGTTCACAGGTAAACAATACAATACTATTTTACTGGTTTTTTTTTAAATACATACTATTATCGTTTAATTTCAAATTATTATTCTAAAAGGTCTTCAAAAAAATCTGATTCTCGGCCTAATGCATCACGGAGACGACGTGGAAGAACTAAGTGTAAAAAACGGAAATAAATCAATAATACTTTTATTATTTTTAACGAATTTACGCGGGTCGTGAATATTTTACTGATTAAAAAAAAAACATTACTTTTTACTCGTACTTTTTTTAGTTTATCTATCTTTGTTTTCGTACTCAAATTTTCACATACATTATGATATAATAAGCAAGCTACGAATATTGTGCTCATTTATAACTCTATTTTTCTTTATTTAAGAATATAATAATATAAAATAAATGCGTTTATCTCTTACGAATGATTTTAATTAACACTTACATATTATTAAATATAGTAAGGTATCTTTTAAAAGAATCAATTCCTTGGATTATTAGAAAAAGTGGGTAAAAAAAATATTTTACATATTTTCAAAAACATTGGAAACATTTATTTTATTATTAACATATAAATACACTACACACTGTCGATATGTTACGATGTCTAAAAATTAGAGTATGTACTTTTCCATGTAAATATTGAAGGAAATTTTTTTATTTTTTTTTTAAATTTCTATTTGTTTATTCAATAGTTTTTATTTAACTTTATTTAGCTTCCGAGCGACTAGAGCCATCAATCATACAGTCACTATTATCGTACTTTTTTTGTATACAGATTTTTATAAATAATCCTCATTACTGTTAATATATGTATATCGAATAAATAGGCACTGGTGGTAACAATTCAATGAAATAATTGGTGGTATAGAATAGTTTGTCAACATTTCAATTAAATAATTAATCATTTTTTTATTGTAAAATTAATCATTATCTGTATAAAAATAATTATTATAGGCTCAAAAAATTTATAATTTTTCATACATTATTTATTCGTTGAATAACTTTGTTGAGTATCAAAAAAATATTTAATGAAAATTACATTTCATTTACCAGTCCATCCTCATAAATATTTTCCTTTTGTTTTTTGAAAATGTTTTCTTTATTTTTATTATTTTTATTGAATAAAATATAGAATATATATAAAACACTAATACAGTCTTATATCAAGTTTTTAAAATTATTTTATTCCATCACAATAAACAATATAGTGAATATTTTTCATTCTAAAATTGTTTTTCTACACATTAATTGAAAATATTTAATAAATATTTTTTTTAGTTTTTAGTGAATGAAGATGACGGGTAAATTTATAATTTTTTTTTTCATTTGTTAGTGATCTATAGAATTGTTTTTGTACAAATATTTCTCTAATAATACAATGATGATTATTGTTTCATTATATTCCATAATGAATAATAGTCGATTTTTATTGAAGGAAGTCAACTATTTGCAATATTATTAATCTTCTTAATGATTTATCATTTAGCATGATATCCAGTTGATTCAAAAATAAAATAATTGTAATACAATGATTAAATTATGTTAATGTATAAATAAAGATAATTACTTTTAATCATTCGTTGTATTTAAAAAAGAATAATATTATTATTGAAATTAAATAGAACATTCAGTTTATAATAAAAGTTGCTCAGTATACAATGAATAATCATAAAAAAAAGACCAATTATATTTACGTAATTTGAAATAATTATAATAACAATATGAGTATTAAATAAAATATATATGTTATAGTTTAGAATAATTTTTTAATACTTTAAAAATTTTTTTATGTACTTTGAGTAATTTTTTTGTTATAAACTGAATATACTATACTATAAACAAAATTATTTTTTCTTTTCAACTAAAAAAATGCTTCTTGAAAATTTGGTTATATAATACACGAATAACTTTTAATTAGCCGTTAGGGTTGATAATAACTCGCTCAAAATTTTGTGGCGGTGGTTAGAGCCGGTTGCGCGTTTATATGTTAATAATTCGCGTTCATCAATAAAATTATCTAAATTACAAAATTTTATCCTAATAGTAATAGTTATTACAATATCATTATTTTAAAATAATTAGAATAGTAAAATAATAATAACACATTAATCATATCAATAATAAAAACAATGAAGAAAAAAGTATAGGAATAATCCTAAACATTATTTATAATATAATTTACCTACACATAAAAATTGCCTTAAAATTGATTTACACTCACAAAGGCAAACAGCCATTATAGTATTAAATATATTTAATTACATTGGCTCTTAATATTGCCTTAACAATAAGTATTTTATAAAAATTAAAAAAAAAAAAATACCACAGAATTAGTCCTCTGGTAATTATGATGTTAGACTGTCTAGAAGCACATATCTTGGCACGACAAATAACGACATGTAATCAGTTTCAGGGTAGTCCGGATGCTGAACTCGTACTGTTAGTAATGCCGGTCGTATTATTTTGATGAGTAGTAACAACAGGTGTGTGTGAATCATGGTTCTTACTGAGACGAAGAATTGATTGAAGCGATGCAACTTCCGACGCAAGTCTGTCAAGTCGAGATTTAACTTCTGTCTCCGTTTCTGGAACCGTTGAGGCGTTATTAGGACCAGTCCATTCAGCTCCTAATGATATTCCTGAATCTCTTTCATCACTTGAACCTTCATTATCCCAGGGTGGTGATGCTCTAGATCCAGGTTCTTGTTTAATACCTTGAAGTGCAAGAAGGGCACTAGCGGCATCTTTGTCCCCAATTCGAGATTTATGCCTAAGTTTATGGGGTAAACAATTATTTGCAGCAGGATTTTGAGATGCTAAAATTGAAGTACTTTCATCTCCACTTCCAGATGACAATTCAAATGGTGATTGAGCTCGCCGACCTCTGGAAAGATTGAGTGCACTACTAGTGTCAAAGTGAATAGCGGGATGAGAATAGGGATATTGGAAACTTTCAGTTTCTGGATAGGCACTTGTCTCAGGAACATAAAGTTGAGCTGGGGACCTTGGAGATCTGGTACCGCTGACTGGCTGATGAATTACTGACGTGTGAACAGGACTTGGAGTTCTGGCATACAATAGGGCTGCTGATGTTGGTAATTTGGCTCGTTTCACGCCTAATGGTGGATCTGCAGGTAAAGCGGCCAATACATGTTCAGTGCTAATGACGGATTCCCCACAAATACCAAACTTTTCTCTTATTGCTTCCAGTTGAGCTTTTAAAATGTGATTTTCCTTGCTAAGCTCCATGACTCGTTGTTCCAAGACCATATCGTTGAATCTTCTCTTCTCTCTGGATCTTTTGGCTGCTTCGTTGTTGCGTCTGCGTCGGTCCCAGTAGCTGTCATCCTTCTTATTGTCCGGGATGAACTCTCGCTGCTTACGTTGCGAGAACAATTCTTTTCTGATGTCAAAGTTCGAGGGATAATTCTCAGGATGTGTCACCTGCGATTCATGATGATGATGCTGCTGCTGCTGCGACTGCTGTTGCTGTTGTTGACCCTGCGTTGGTGGCGGTTGATGTGGCTGATGTTGTTGTTGAGAGACCTGCTGCTGCTGAGGATGTTGATGTTGGGAATGCGACTGATGTTGAATCTGACCAGCATGATGTACTGAATGGGTTAGAGGAGGAAGAGGGCCATGTGTATCATGTCCAGTATGAGTTCCATGTCCAGGGTGGGCCATCGTATGACTTGCCGGCATGTTACTGTTGAGGCAAGCGGTTTCACCGTTTATGGGCGATCCACTTTGACGGGCAATAAACTCTGCCACCATAATTCGTCGTCTTAAAGCATCTGTAACAATGGAATATTATAAATTGTATTATAAATTACATTTTATATATGTAGTATTTTATGTATAAATATTTATACAGAATAATCACGGATTATTAATTAAAGGAACAAATAAAACCTCATAGGAAGGTCTTAAGTTTAATATTATCGAAACGTATGGTATAAAGAATGAGGAAATTAGCGGTGACGACCTCGAATATATAATTTATAGCTTGACCATAGTTATCCGGTGATACTTGAAAAAAAAAAATCCGTTTACTAAAAAGATCCAGGAAAAATTACGAATGAGCAAACAGCATCAACTTAACTATCAAGTAACAAAAAAGAAAAATTTTATGTCATGAATGTAGGTCGACTGATGCAACTTTTATTCCGCAAAGAACAATCCCTGACGATAGAACACGTGCATTCTCGAATGTAGTTATGCGATTACACAAGATCCCTGGTGAGCCTTGGGACAGTGTTGGCCGGATTGCTAGTATAGAGGTTAGAAAGGGACAGGGGAAGGTGAACAAGAACCGTGATCACGACTCAAGCGTGCCGATTACGCTACATAATGGGGGAGTAACATTTGAACATTCATTGTCAATATATAATATACATATATATATATATATATATTTACTATTATTACTGAAATATTATTTTAAAATATTATTATTAATTTTTAATAACCGGAAAAGGTCATTAATCGAATAAAAGGTTATTGCTCTTAATCATTCCGAAGTTTGCCTTTTCATGAATTTGATATTTTTAGCAAGTTAATCGAGTCAAGGACGGACATATGCTTGAAACTGTCAAATTTACACAACTACCAAGCACGTGTTCTAATCTTATCAATAGTTATTGATAAAAAGACAAAAAAAAAAATATAATCTAAATGAAGGAGACAGTTATGAAATTGATAATGATAAAACAAACGATATATAATAGCTGAATAAAAATAATAAATAATTATAATTTAATATGATAAAATAAATTTCATATTTTTGTAGTAAAAATTAAAAATTATGAAATTAAAATAGATAAAGTAATATTTACACAAGAAGTAATAAAAAAAAAAAAAATAATAAAAAGAAAAAGAAAAAAAGACAACCTATGTCATGGTATAATTGCGTCATTGGTGTGTCAGGTAGTACGGAACATGCGATAAAATATATATATCTGATAGAGCACGAGCCGGGTACTTACGTAATCCAAAGTGTAGACGCGCATGCACACAACATACTTTCTGGCCACGTGCAGTAAAGCCACGTATTATAGCGGAATCAGAGACCAGATATAATAGAGGCGCGTCTACAATACAATCTATATAACAAGCAACGGTGAATGTCAGCCACTACGGAAACCTTCTATGTAGTATGTAAATACATAAATGTAAGAGATCACACCAATAAGCATGTAAAGCACATGAAAATCAAACACTATCACGTGTCTGTTAACTTTTTACGATTCAATGTAATTTATAAACAGAAGAATGACTAAATAATACGTCGCGAAGTATCATTAATTCATAGAACACGTGCATACTAGGAAGATTATACATATGTAGTGCTACCTATAAATAGATGAATCTAATTATTATTAAACTATTTGATACTTTTTCTTATATATATATATATAATTATGCCCGCAATACCTATTGGCCTCTGCGTTTTGGAGTAAAATTATTTCAATCTTTTCTAAAAAATAAATCTAGGTATCATAAACTTTTAATTGTACGATGTCGTTTAAGAAAAAAAAACCACCTTGCAAGTACAGCGTACCAAGTTACAAAAATTTAGTTAAGTAAGGTTAAGCATGGGGAAAACCTAATGGCCTAATGGACTACGTCGCCAAATGAGTTCAGAGCGTCATATTAATGAGTTGATACGGAGGCAATAAAGGTATATAGGCATATTTATATGTATGTGTATGTATGTAAATACGTTATCAGTGCCTTATGTAATTAAAGTATATTTGATAGATTATACAATTTATTTACAATTACTCATAGATGAAGAGAAAAAGTATTTTATCAATATTATTTGCAAAGCATTCTGTGTATAATTTGATCGATCGAATATAAAATTTCAAAGAATTATGACACACCAATTACAACTATGAATCATTAACGTGAATCCTTCCAGTTCTTGAAATGATATTGTATTAATCATGAAATAAAATCTAGTTTTATTCATTTTTGTATTCTATATTGTTGGTTATACAGAAAAAAAAAAGTTAATTGATAGAACAGTGATTGAATTGTTTTATTTCTAAAAATTGACAGATAAAACCGATAATAAATTCATGATCAATATATATCTTTATGTACGTAATAAAGTAATGACGCATACGGAAAACCTCAGTTCTATTTGTGCAACCGGGGTCATACACGACAAGGTATTGATAATATCGTCTTAAGACCTTCATATTTTTCCGGTATTTACAATAAGATGTAAGGTTGAAGACATAATGTGTATACTCATACAAATTTTTTATATATAAAGAAACAAAATAGAAATAAAATATTTTTTTATACTACTTTAAAGAAAAATAAATTCGCAAAATAATAATTACGTTATTATTGGTAATATTAAGGCACATTTTTAATCTTGTTATTGATTAAATAAAATTTGAGGAAATTATTGAAAAAATTATTTAGATAATTTGTAAAATTTATTCAACTGATTTTATATAATAATATTTTTGAGAAATATGAAAGTATAATAAATTAATTAAATTTAACGTGATGTAAATATGTAATATTCAATACATTACAATGAAAAAAAAAAAAAAATAAGTAAAAACACCTTCAAGTATCTTTTTAGAAATTCATTAGCAACTTTAAACGCACGTGTTTCTTGACTTGATTGCGCAATATTATTAACGCACGTGGCGCCTACTTTGTTAGATAAATATACACACAAGTAATAGACTTTTATAATTTTATTACCTTTTCAATGTTACTCTGAAAGTTAAACATTAAAAAGAATAAAGAAAATGACATTTAAATAAATAATAATGCGGAAATATTAATGGCCAATGTCCAAGATCATACGTATTTTTGATATTTAAAGTTTATTTGAGTAAAAATATAACTTATTGTTTATAACATGAAAATATTTAATATAGAAATTTTTTTTTTTTTTTCAATTTTGTCTTAAAATGTATGAAGAGATAAAATGAAATAAAATCGATTTGCTCGTTGATAAGATAAGTATTAATTACACTTAACTATTTTAAATTAATTAGAAGATGTATATTTAAATGAAAAGAAAGAAAAGGAAGATATTTTTTCTCTGAATTTTTATACCATAAAATAGAAAAAAAAACCCCATTTTTTAACAAATTAATACAGAAAAGTTTAATAAAAAATTATGCAATTATACATATTTTTCCATTGTATAGATGTAATTAATACTATGAGGTCGATGCCAGAATATTCAAGACGATATAATCGATGATGACGCAACCTCTAGTCATGCAGACAAGAGAAAACAGAATGGAAGTATATAAAGAAAGACAGACTACACGTGTAGTTGAAGAACAGAATAGATACACAAAAAACGTAACCATTTTAAGCTTGTATATCATTTTTCTATATATTCTTCTTTAAATCATAAAAAATTTTCGAAAAATATAACCTAAAAAAAAATTCATTCCAAACTATTGCTGTCATGTTTGATAATAATTTTTATTTATGCTAATTATTTAATATTGACTTATCTAAATCTGATCAATTCTTTGTTCTTATGTTTATTAGACATTAGTTATACTCATATGGTGGATGAAAGAGTTTAGGATTGCAAATTAGGCCATGGCCCACTTTAATGAATAACGAGTGCTAAGAGCAGTGGGAAAATAGCTGTGAATTCAATTACTTAAAGAGAAAGACGAAAGACACAGGTGGAAGGGTTATATGATTTTAGAGTAGGGATAGAATTTTTTGAAACATAATCAACATTGTATTAATCATTGATTATTCAGACTCCGAGGCGTTAGAAAATCCATATGTTGGATCATTTTAATTAATATAACGACATATTTGGATATAAGAAAATTTTAATTGAGGGAAAAAAAATAATAAATGTCACTAGAAAAACACCTTGGTATTACTTCTTAAACAATAAGCTGTAAAAGACGAAAAAATAGATAATAGAATAAAAGGGGGGAAAAAAACAGATCAAATATCTTAATCAAAGCTAAACGCATGCGCATAAAGAACACAAGTCGGGTTACGCGAGTTCGTATGACGCAACAATTACCGCGATACTCACACTCAGAGAAACGTGAATTTCGCGCAAGGTCTTGCTTAGAATTAAATTTATATATGTATATGTATAAATAGAGAGATAGAAAGAGATAAATAGATTGAGAGATAGATGAAGAAAGGAAGTTGTCGAGGTCTTCACGATAGATTTACGATTGTGGTTCGTCAACCTTTTTTTTTTAATTTTTTTTTACTGTATATTTCATTATATGTCCTACGACATTGAATTTGTAATAAAGGAAGTTTTAAATATTACAAATGTCGTCATAACGATTGAGTAAGATTTTTGTAATCATGATCGAAGATTTAACAAGCATGGAATCTATTTAGTAATAGCAAGTCCAAAGTCCTGAATCATAAATACACGCCAAAACGACGAAGAAAGGCATTCAAAAATATCTATTTTTTTTTTTTTATTAATTTAAATAATAATATTATTACATTTGTTAATGGTTTTTTTTTCTCTTAATGATATTAATTTTAGGTTTGTTTAAAAATCCAAAATTCACTCACCAATTGTAAATTGTTCCGAGCGCGATTTCGCGCTGATATCGAGATCCACTTTGAATCTCTATCAATTAAATTAAAAATATATATATCAGTTTTTAAAATGAATTAATAATATATAATTGAAATCACTTTTTAACAGATATAACAGAAACTTATTTCACTGATTAATTCAAATCAAAATTTCAATTCCAGTTGAAATATTTGAAAAAAAAAAAAAAAAATATCCAAACACTTAATACTGTATATTATTTTAATAATAAAGAAAAACTGATTATAAACGATACTGTGTTCCACCGGAGTAGAAGTAATAAGAGAAATTTTCAAGTACGCGCTAGATAACAAATATGTCCATTCAGACGGAGTGCGCGCTCTTAACTGACTATTCGCCTCGTGAAACTCGGGACTTGGTCTCTCCTGGCCTCAATGTCGTATCGCGTGTGATGCTAGAAGACTGACATTACTAAGTGTTGGTGCCGCGTGCTCAGTAAGTCTGCATCAGATGTTTAAGATTATACTTGTGTAAGTGAAATATCGATGGTGGTGGCATTTCAAGAGTGGGGACAAGATGAACTTACGTCGCGTGACAGTGGAGGGATTCCCATCCCTTCCACGTTTTGTCTGCAATTGCTCAGAATCCTGCGTCAGAATGCAATCCCCACTATATAACATCGATAAATACATCAATATACCTCAACTAATAATGTATAATAATAGTATAAATATGCATAATAATGAAATATCAAATAAACTTGAAGCAATTTTCAAATTATCTACACTTTTATTTCTAAACATTATTTTTAAATTTCATCTTTAATCGCTATTTTAATAAATAAATTTGAAGTAAAATAAATATTAATTTAAAATAACATACTATTAAATGAATTTAAGTAATACCATAAATGATGATAATATTGAAATACATGAATTAATAAACATTAAGTGTAAATAATGAAATTACTTTAAATGTTAACAAAATAATGACTGATTTGGAAGATCAAGGCCATTGAGTTGCTCTTGAAGATCTTAGAATGTTTCTTACCAAATACATGTGCGACCTTGAATGATGCAGTCGTATGTCCGCCAATTAGACTAAATAATAAAAATAAAAGATAATCCGTGAAATATTAATTTATAAATATGTATATATTGGTATATCGAAAGAAAAACTAATTATTTATAAACAAAAAACAAAAAAAAATTAGTTGATAGAAAATTGTTGCGTGCATCACGATTACAGTTGAACGTCACTATTACTTTAAGCTACATATAAATAAACTTTCACCGTTTTACCATAAATAATGTTAAGTTGAGAAAAATGTTTTTATTTATTTTATTACATAAACAAAGTCAGTGACAATGAACGAAATAACTTATGCAAAAAATATAATAAAGAAGGTTATCATGACTTTTGATGACCTTCAGTCATCGATCAGGTCACGAATGAGGTTATTGGCCTGATGAAAGACATAAGGATAAAATTGTGAAATCATATAAATAATTGTTATGATGATTCATCGTTAACACCCAGTTGTGAAAGCTAAACGTGTGCTCAAGTTTATTGTACTCTGTTACTGTGTAATACGAATAACCGAAACATAAAATGTTTGTTTGGTCAAAAGTGACACCTCGTAACACTTGGCGTTTCGAGTTCACTGACCATTTCATCATCTCCCATCTAAACGATTCAAACTCTCTCATTTTGATAATTATATTATATTGTCATAATATTAGGTTAGTAATTCAAAAAAATTTTTTTATTCTCCAATTTTATATATTGCATGTTATTTTGAATTTTTAAAAATTAACAAAATAAAATAATTTTTTTTTTAATCTTCAACATTTGATTAGCTTTTGAATTAATTAAAATGAAATTATTGTTTGACGAAAAATTGTAAATTTGATAAAACTTAATCGCTGATTGTAGTGAAAAAAATTTTACCACGAATAAATCTGATAATCAATTGAAAAACGTTTACATTAATAATATTACTTGAGAGAGTTACCTACAGACCGGATCTGGTCATGCATTTTTTTGATCACCTTGTATAAAAGACTTGGAGTCTAGTTGGCTCGCGGACGATACTTTCATCGACCGAGTGAAAGCAATATGAAAGTGCTTGATTGCAAAGTAGAAAGGTGAAATGTATGATAAAAAGACGAGCGCCGTTACGTGCATGTGTATTGCTCGACCTATTTGAGTTTTATTTCCCTCGTATGTAAGAAGTTTGAAATAGATGCCGTTAGGCCCTTGACCCTAACAGTTTTAATATCATACTTGAAATATTTCTCACAAAACCATCTTGAGGATACAAGAAAAATATTGGACGATTAAGTTTTATGTTTATTATATCTTTAATATACTGTCAATTACTAAATTTACTAATTTATGTATATACTGAAGAGAAAAAAAATTAAATTAATAATTACATATAGTTTATTATAATTCTAACAATAATTATTGTCATTTTAAATTAAAGTTATTGAAATGTAATTATCTAAATTTAAAAACAATACTGTTTTCATGACAATTAGTCAGAAAAAGTTTAGTAACTTTATTATCTTGTCATAATATCAGTTTTAGTCTTACTTTGTATGCATAACATGAAACATTAGATAATAACTTGGCGACAAAACTTCCTAAAGACATGCAAACTTCACTTGTCATCTCGCCAACTGATAGATCTATATCCGTGTCTTATCTACATTACGTAGAAATAACACTTTATTGTCTTATCTACAATACGTGACTGGATATCTTATTTATGATATTTGTTAATAAACGTACAACGTCAATGTTATGTTAATTATTATTCTTCCGGACACTGCATACGGTTATTTTTCAGATAATCTAGTATGTTTATTGTTATAATAAATACATTTTTGCATCAAAATAAATATTCATTTATGATTAGAATAGAATTATTTCTTTTATATCAATTGTAACTAATATTACCACAAATTGTATGACAAATTGTTGGAAAATATTTTTAAAAAAAGTCATTAGGATAATATCCTGGAGAACAAAAGTGACCTTGGTAATCAAGCCTTTAATCAGGGTCAACATGATCTCTCTCATGGTAGGAGGGAAAGACCTCGAATCCACTGCAAGTCACGATGACGCTTGAATCTCCCCTTAAGTTGTGAATAAACTGGGAAGGACATAAGACTCGAAGCTATATATTCTGTGACAATTCAAGGAGATAAAAATGCATTTATATCAGGCTGCATTTCAGTATTGAAGGACAACAAGAAGTCAAAGTACGATAAATAATATGATAATTTCATTAACTCGAATTATGATAATTTTATTTGCGTTTTAATTTATTTAATACTCTAACAATGTTACCAAAGATATTGATGAAATTTTTATTTTTCATTCGTGAACAATATTGAACATGTGCTCTTTTTAAAATATAAAAATATGACTGAAATTCGATCAATTGAATAAGAAAATCGAGGTCATGAGGGTAGAATCAAATTGAATAAAATTCGATATATCGAATAGAGGAGGTTCCCATGATCCAATATAATAGTGAATGAAAAATAATAGATAACGGTCTTTTGATTTAGGATATTTCCTGTTGAAAAAAAAATTTGTTAATCTCAGAACTCTCAAGGTCTCTTTGTACGCCTTTGTGGGCGCGACAGATAACCGTTATAGCATTCGCGTAATGTAGATCAAAGTAAAGTATATCGTATGCACATCAACACATTTTTTTTCCTTTAAATATATTTTCGTTAGCATATGGTATTATTTATTATTCAATCATATATATATATATAAATATGTGTAGACATTGATTAATTAATTTTAATATTCATCATTAATACAAATATCGAATTATCCTTAGTTTGTGTAACAATTCGTTCCTTCACTTTTACTTAATCATCAGTGACAAGACGTGATAAAATTGGAAAAAATAAAATACGATATAATGTACAGAAAAATAATAAACATATCTTCTTATGCGGACATCCTGGTATTGTTAACCAGTACCAAATCTAATAAGATAATGATTTGTCTGTTTGCAATAACATTTTACTCAATTTTTCTTTTTCTTGAATTTGGAATAATGTCATCTTTTACTACCGTCATTAGGTGAACAATTGAATAATTTTAATTTTTATCAAAAAAAAAAAAGAATACAAATAAAAACTCTCGAGACAATTTGTAATAATCGGGGCCAGAGAAAGTGGACAATGAACCCGAGGCTTGTGTATCATCGTTACGCTATTTGACTTATTTTGTTACCAGTTCGAAAATACGTCAATTATTGTTATATTATATCGTATAAACACATTTGTAAAAATATACTGCTACATACTTGAATTTACACTTTTTACTCATCAATAGAAATTAATTTTCATCATTATTTGATTGAATTTCAAAAAGAAATAAAATTTTTTTATTAATTTAGTATTTCATACTGAGATTTAAAAAAATGGAAATATTTTATGATAAATTAAAAATTAAGATCCTTGTTTACAATAATTATCAAAAATCCTTTTGTTTTGTATAAAAGGTCTTTTTTAATTAAAAGCAGAAAAAAAAAATAATTTGTATTCGTGGATCAATGCTGTCACTGGCATAATCGAACATCGATTATCAACTCGATTGTAATAGGAGAGTGGCACGCAACTACGGAAGTTAAACGTAAGAGAAAGTTGACCACGACCCCTGAGAGTTATATTAACATCGACAACATCATATGACGTAGATTGGTGAGACTACATATAATATGTTTAAGAATGTCAACGAATTAGTTATGCGATCATTGAACTCGGAAAAAAATGTGCCAACCTATTATTTTATTTAATTTTTCAAAATTTCAATGATTATTTATAAGATAAAATTGACATTTTTTTATATTAAAAAAATTAATCAAATTAATTAGAATATTATTTTTCTATTATACAAATAACAGTTATTTGATTAAAAAATTTTTTTTTGTCTTTTGAATTTTGTATGATTAATACAAGTTAATTTCACCATGAATGTTTTGTTGCTCTTTTTAATTCAAAGTTATAATTAAATAAGGGAAATGCTGTAATTTAATGAAGTAAAAGTGTCGATGTTAGCTCGTGTAAATAATCCAAGTTATGTTTGTCCGGAAACCACATTTGTGGTCAGCAGTTATGAAAAGGTAGATCCGGTAGTATAAGATTCGCGTGGTTAAGAATATCCCTAGTAAAAAATTAAATACCGATTCTCATAATCATCTCACATTATGAGTACTTTATTCTCTTATTTAAAGAGATTCAATGTTTACAATCGACAAAATTATAATATATCTATAATTTTAATGTTAAACAAAACTACTTCACCATTGTTACTTAATATTTTTATTATAATAAAATGATGTAAATTTTATTAAAATTTTCTTGATTAAAACAAAATGGAAGAAGAATAATCGATTATTCAATTGATTTTTAATAAAATAATTTATATTTAATACCCAGAGTTTGGGTACAAAATTCGATGATG